CTCCCCTTGCCGGTTTGATCCGTGAAAGCTAATGGACCCAGTCAGGAGCTCTAGCAGGAACCCTAACAGACCTCCTCCTCCACCCCATCGACACCATCAAAACCCGACTTCAATCCCCTTCCCCATCCACCTCCCCATATAGTGTCCGCGGCGTCTTCAAAGGCATAGGTCCAGTCGTGTGTGCCGGCGCGCCCTCGGCCGGCATATTCTTCCTCACCTACGACACCCTAAAACGACTCCTCGAACGCACAACCGGGAAAAAGGGAGCAGGAGTCCATTTGGCAGCGAGTTCCGTCGCCGAAGCCGTGTCGTGCCTCGTCCGTGTCCCCTTCGAGCTAGTCAAACAAAACGCCCAAATAAACCCCGACGCCTCCTCCGACTCCTCCCTCAAAACCGGCGAAAAGCTCATCCAAAAAGGCGGGGTACGCGCAATCTGGAAAGGCTACTCAAGCTTAGTAGCCCGCAACATCCCTTTCACAATCCTCCACTTCCCCCTCTACGAACACCTCCGCACTACCCTTCATCTCCCACCCTCCCTCGCTGGGGCAATATCCGGTGCGACCGCTGCCCTCCTCACGACTCCAATCGACGTCATCAAAACTCGAATCATGGTGAGTGAGAAGAAGGATGGGGTGGGGATGTGGGAGGTTGTGAGGGGGATGAGGGGGGGTGAGATGTGGAGGGGGGGTGGGGTGAGGGTCGTGGTCGCGGGGGTTGGGGCTGGGGTATATTTGGGGGGGTATGAGGCTGTGAAGGCGGTTTTGGGGCAAAAATGAGTGCTTTTAACTTCTCCTAGAGTTGCAGGCTCGGGTCAATCCTGCAGCGTTCCGAGCATATAGCTACAGGGCTGTAGATGGAGGTCAGCAGAGGCAGCAGTAACGATTTCCCATTAAATTCGGCTCCTTGACATCTCACGCTCATCAGCTACCGCCATGCACGGCCTGTCTCACCCCCTGACCCCGGGGCGAATTTTGGCACCCCCGCTAACACCCTCTCTCCTCTCCTCTCCTCTCCTCTCCCTCTTCGCTCCACAGCTAAACAGTTGCAATGTCCTTCTACGACGAAGTCGAAATCGAAGACATGTCCTTCGACCCCGACACCCAAAAATACACCTATCCCTGTCCATGCGGTGATCGATTCGAGATCACCGTCGAGGAGTTGAGGGAGGGGGAGGATGTTGCGCGGTGTCCGAGTTGTTCGTTGATTTTGAGGGTGGTGTATGATGAGGTGAGTCTTCCCTTCGGTCGGACTCGATCTTTGGCCCTGGGTTGGGTGTGAGGTGAAGGTGAGGCTAACAGGGGACATGACAATAGGAGGATTTCATGGATGAAGACGACGAGGGAGAGACGATGGAGGTTCCGGGGGCGATAGTGACGGTTGTTGCGTGATCTGCTGTGATATGGGTTTTTGTATGCATGTGGGTGGGGTTCTGGGGGTTATCGGCGTTTTTTTTCATTTCATTTCATTCGGCATCATCCTTGGTCAGAGCCGTGGACAGGTCAGTTTCAGTAATAAGAAAGTTTGACGAAAGCAGAAGCGATCATTGCGTGTTCAGTCTCGGGGGCTTTGGTTGGCGGACGTGTAGCGATGTTATATCTGGCAACGGCAAGGATTCGCAGTCGCCCATGGCCAGCCGACACAACAGCAGCTGGTAAAAATGAACCCATGAAGAGACAATTGCAATACAAAAAGTAGCCGCGGGCTCCTTGTTTTCATCATTCCATTTCCTTTCGTCGCCAAGAATTGCCCATTTTTGGCGTACGGCTGCGTGTCCGTACGCGTACACACCGCAACGCTTCGGTATACAACCGTCCGACCAAACCTGGTCACTTCTTAATCCACTGATCGCAAAACCATCTCAGCTTCCTTCACAATGGCCCCCGCAACAGGGTTTTACGCATTCAGCCCAACAAACATCCGCCTCCGCTCCCTCGCCCTCCTCTCCCTCTTCCTCCTCTCCCTCATAATCCTCTCCTCATCCCTCGAATACAACAATATCTCACTCCCCCACGTCCTCTCCTCATGGCGGACGCCAGCGGAGAGGGTGGATACGCACAAACGCGTCGAGGTACGGTTGGACGTGATGAGTCAGTGTCCAGACGCCCGGGATTGTGAGGAGGTATTCGCGGGTGTCGGTACGTCTCTACAACCCCACCCTCACCCCATCCACTGACACTGACATATCACCAGTGGAAAAGGGAGCATACATGATAGACTTCCACATCGACTACATTGCCGCCCTCACACCAACCAATGATATCACCTGCAAACACGGCCCAACCGAATGTCTCGGAAACATCCAACAACTCTGTCTCGCGCAATCCTACCCCAACCCGCACCTCTCCCTTCCCTTCATCCTCTGCCAAAACCTAAACCAGTCACAAATCCCCCAAAATGGCGCTGCATGTCTCGTATTCCTCGGCCTCGATCTCAAAAAATGGGAGCAATGCGTCGAAGGGGACGAGGGTAGGGGGTTGTTGATAACCAGTGCAAGAGGTGTGCAGGAGAGGAATGTGACGAGGAGTTGTACGGTTGAGGTTGGTGGGCGGAAGGTTTGTGTTAGGGATGGAGGGGAGTGGATGGAGTGTGAGGTTGAGCCGAGTATGGAGGGGTTTTTGGAGTTGATTGCGAGCGAGTATGAGGAGTTGAATGCGGATGGGGACGTGGTGAAGCGAGGAAGACGTGCTCGGTGGGGTATGGGACGATCACTACGAGGAACGTTTCGGCAGAATTGAGCGAAACAGGGTAGGTATATTGGTCGCCGTCTTCGCCCCAAGCTCTGGTAGTTACACCTTCCGACCGAGCATGATATTCTGCCTCCTGAACTTGATATATATGCTGGGTACATTCCGTTATACTCGTTCGTGGAGAGTGTTGCGTTTCTCTGTAGTTCCCCGTGTGCCGGGATTCGGATCCCCCAGATTTTGCTCAGCGCATGATGTTGACGGTTTGAAAACGAAGTTGCTCTTAGTACAAAGCCTCTCACTCAAGCGTTGTAAATATGTTATCCCTACCTGCTTACGTGGGTTAGTCTCTACTGTGATTCACGCTTTTCCGGCCTCTTTGAACCACCTTCTTCTCGCAGGGAACAAGATTGAACCTGCCGATGCCACCAGTCATAGATTGAAGCTATGAAGGAATCGACTTTGGGGTTGACAGTTTGGCTTGTGGGTATGTCGAATGAGATGAGCCACTGCTACACGCCTTTGTGGAGACCAACCGTTCCGTCTGAGCGAACGTGAGAACTGCGCTCGCTGGTCCTGCAATCGATGCAGATATATTCACTCGCGTGCTTCGAAGCTCACAGACGGGCAAAGGGTGCAGTTCGATGGGTAATATAGTCGTCCGATAACCAAATTTGTCCTGGTTCGTGTACAAATAGTGAGTGGTGCAAATGATAACGGGTCAAAAGGAACCTTGGCAGAATGAAGGCCACCGGCCAAGCGGCCCGTACCGACACAACTCTCATCATCTGAGGGCAATACGCTGTGCGTATCAATCCGATGATGCCAAAAGTACTTCCATCAGAGCAGTGCTTAACGTGCTCCCCAGTCTTCTTTTTCAATCGCCTTCTCGAAGCCGTGGGAAACTAGGAGCACAAAACATCAAAACCACAAGCTCCCAAGGTGATTCGAACACCTGACCTAGAGATCTGCAATCTCTCGCTCTACCACTGAGCTATGGAAGCAGAAGTTGTTTTCCAAAATGGAGCACAAAATCACAGGTGTGTTGTTCAATGGCTGTCATCACTCCACCCTGTCGGTCGTCGATTCCACCTCCGTCGGCGACCTCCCGCAATTGAGCACCTCCATCGATGCTCGCACGACTCACAAACGTCCTATCGCACATAAAGCCCAGGCCAAGACCTTTTTCCACATCTGCAATGGCTTCGGCATCGTCTGCGTCTGCGTCTTCGCTGCTTACGACATACCCAGATTACTACAACGACAAGAACATTACCACGGCCGCATGTCTAATCATCGGCGATGAGGTTTTGAACAGTAAGGTAACCGGGTGTTTCCTCATCTACGATTGCTCTGAGCTCACGATGCCATTACAGACCTTCGATACCAATTCGGCCTTCTTCGCTCGATTTTGCTGGGATCTCGGCATCGATCTCCGCCGCGTTGAGATCATCCCTGACGTGGAGTCTGAGATTATCGAAGCTGTCACTCGGTTGAATTCCCGTCATGACTTTGTTATTACGTCTGGCGGTATCGGACCAACCCATGACGATATCACATACCCCTCCATCGCCAAGGCCTTCAACAAAAAGCTGGTCCTCCACGACGAAACCGTCGAAAAGATGAAGAAATTGAACAAAAGGCCAATCGACTGGAGTGTCGACAACGACGAAAAGAAAGCACGGCTACGAATGGCTCAATTTCCCGAAGGCGCACAAGTAATCTTCCCCGTACCCGAAGAACTCTGGGTCCCTGTCGTCAAAATGGAGAACGTTCACATCCTCCCCGGCATCCCCCGCCTCTTCACAACCCTACTCACCTCTCTCACGCCCCTCCTCTCCCCCCACATCCCCTCCACTCAAAAACGCACCCGTCTCCTCGTCTCCACCTCCCTCCCCGAATCCGCAATCGCACCGTTCCTAACTCGTCTCTCCGAGCGCGTCGAGCCCCAAGGCATCAAAATCGGATCGTACCCTAAATGGCAGGGTGGAGTCATGGTCAGTTTGATTGGACGCGAGGCGCAGTTGACGGAGGAATTGATTGGGGAGGTGGAGAGGGAGGTGCAAGGAAGAAGGGCTGATGTTGAGGCGGAGATGAAAGGAGAGGAGGAAAGGAGGAAAGAGATTAATGAGGACTTGGGCAAAAGGGACAGTGCTTGATGTGGGTAGCATGTTGACTGAGGGAGGGGCCCTGCGAGGGAGTTAAGGATCATTGATGTACGGTAATATACCCAAGTATGGAAGGAAACTGTTTGAGATTGAAGCACGCAGAATCCCCATTTGATGTGACTGTCTACCATGCTGAAACTCCGCTCGTTTTCCCAAACTCGCGTGCCCTTGTCGCAGCACTCCACGGTCCCGGACGTCGGTTGCGCTTCAGTTGACCCACACGGCAGACAGTACACCGTACCCCGCTCGGTCCATCATTACACCGATGAGACTCGACACATTTACCCGGCTGATCCAGTCTCCAAACAGATGGGAAATGACCTGCGAGCTTCACCAATCAGCGCGTGTCCTTTTCGTGGAAGGAGGGGTGCCCGTGTGATCCGCGTCTTCGGCGGGGTCCCGTTTGACGAGGATGAGGAGTATTTAACGACCGTTTGATCCATCGGCGTTACCAGTCAACACCCCGGATCAAACCTAGGAGAGTAATTGACAACACACCCTCACAATGGCCCACCACCTCGCCAAAGGCGACGTCGCTCGCGATGTCATCCGCGACGACCTCATTGCCGACACCTCCCTTCCCGCCCGTCCCTCCCACTTCTGCCAACCCGGTTCCCTAAACAAATTCTCCTCCACAATTACCCAAGATCTCTCTCAAGGTGGCTCCCAATCTATGCTCTACGCCATCGGCCTCCGCGACCACGAAATGGATCAACCACAGATCGGAATCGGGTCAGTCTGGTACTCCGGGAACCCTTGTAATAGCCATTTGTTGGAGTTGAGCGAGAATGTGAAGAAGGCTGTGAAGGATGCGAGGATGGTTCCGATGCAGTTTAATACGATTGGGGTTTCGGATGCCATTTCGATGGGGACGACGGGGATGAGGTTTTCGTTGCAGTCGCGTGAGATTATCGCGGATTCGTTTGAGACGATTATGAGCGCGCAGTGGTATGATGCCATGATTGCCATTCCCGGATGCGACAAGAACATGCCCGCGGTCCTCATGGCCATGGCACGTCTTAACCGACCTTCAATTATGTTGTACGGAGGCGCGATTCAGCAGGGGAGACGTCAAGTCCAACCCGGGGCTTCAGGGATCGGGAAGAAGGATGGAAGGATTGATATCAATGATACATGGGATGCCTATGGTGCATTCGTTAATCAGACCGAGTCTGCAGAGGGGTTTAGGGATGTCATTCGGAATGCTTGTCCGGGACCGGGTGCGTGCGGTGGGCAGTACACCGCTTCGACTATGGCCACCGCTGCGGAGGCTATGGGGATGTCTCTCCCCGGATCTGCCTCCAACCCGGCTGGGAGTCCCGAGAAACTCCGTGAGTGCGCGAAGACAGCGGAGGCGATCAAAGTGTTGATGGAGAAGGACATCAAGCCGTTGGATATCATGACCAAACCCGCCTTCGAGAACGCGATCACGATGACCATGCTCCTCGGCGGTTCTACGAACTCCGTACTCCATCTACTCGCTATCGCATCTTCCGCAAACGTGGATCTGAGCCTGGACGACTTCCACCGTATCAGCGCAAAGACTCCCTTACTCGCCGACATGAAGCCCAGCGGGAACTTTTACATGACTGATTTGCACGAATTGGGAGGCATGCCCGCAATCATGAAATTCCTCTCCTCCTTCGGCTTCCTCAATGGAAGCATCATGACAGTAACCGGCCGCACCCTCGCCGAAAACCTCAAATCCGCCCCCTCCCTCCCACAAGACCAAGTCGCCATCCGACCCGCCACGAACCCCATCAAGGAAACCGGGCATATCCGCATCCTCTACGGAAATTTGGCACCGGGTGGTGCCGTGGCGAAGATCACGGGAAAGGAGGGGTTGGAGTTTAGAGGTAAAGCACGCTGCTTCGACTCGGAGCGGGATTTGATGGATGCGCTTGATCGGAAGGAGATTAAGCGGGAGCATGGGAATACGGTTATTATTGTGCGATATGAAGGGCCGAAGGGTGGACCAGGTATGCCGGAGATGCTGAAACCCGGCGGTGCGATTCAAGGGCTCGGTCTCAACGATTGTATCGCCCTCGTCACCGATGGGCGATACTCCGGTGCCTCCCGTGGTTTCATTATCGGGCACGTATGTCCCGAGGCACAGGACGGTGGACCTATCGCGTTGGTCAAGGATGGAGATGAGGTTGTGATTGATTCGGTGGGGGAGATGATTGATGTACTTGGGGTGAGTGAGGAGGAGTGGGAGAGGAGGAGGAAGGAGTGGGTTAAGCCGCCGTTGAGAGTTAAGAGGGGAACGTTGCTTAAGTATGCGAAGTTGGTTAGGGATGCTAGTCATGGGTGCGTTACCGATTTGGCGGAGGATTGGTGAGGAGGTGCACTCTTACTTGATGTGTTGAACGTTGTCGTTGCCATATACCTACTATTCCAATAAGTTAGGTACCTTCTGATCATGCCATTTCCCATGCGGACCTCTGTGCTCCGTTCCTACCCCCGCCTCTCCCACTCAAGCTCCTCGGTTGACAATGCACCGACGTGTGGGGAACCCTGTGATGAAGGGTGAAACAGCCGATTTAGCCAAAGTTAACGAGACAGAATGAGCCTATCGAGCGCAACCTTAACCGCTGCGACCAGTGATAGGCACACTCCCCCACGCGTACGCCTTCTGTCACAGCTGACCTCAATGTTAATCATATGGGCATACGCGAGACGGATCGTAATGAAGCGGGGTTGCAACTGAAGGCGGGGCACAGGCTTGATCAGCATGTGAACTTGATCCTCAAGACGTATAAAAGAGCTCATAGGCCTTTGACCATTGCTCTCCAGTCGCGATCGCAATTGGCGAGCCTCACACGGCACCAACTATTACCATGTCAGCAGTTCAATGGAATAGCCAAGACCCCTTCAAGCAACAAATCAGCCACGTCGAACATGCCTCCCCCGACCACAAAGGCTCCTTCGATGTCGAAGAAGGTGTACCCAATCCACTCGCTCAAGGCACCACTCGCCATCCCCTCCCTGTCGAGTTACAGGGCTTGAGTCCGGAGGAGATCGAGCACCTCAACGTCAAGCTCAGGAGAAAGATCGATGCGAGGTTATTACCGATGTTGGTGATTATGTACATTATGAATTACTTGGGTAAGTTTTGAGGTATTGACTCGTTCGACACGAAACTAACCAGGCGACTCTGATTTATAGACAGGAACAACATCGCCAGTGCCCGTCTCGGCGGTCTCGAAGATGATCTCGGACTCAGCTCCGTTCAGTTCCAAACAACTGTGTCCATCCTCTTCGTGGGATACCTCCTTATGCAACTTCCCTCCAACCTCTTCCTTGACGCAATCGGGAAGCCATCGATTTACCTCCCGACCGCCATGGTCATCTGGGGCGTGATCTCCACCGCTACAGCCGCCTGCCAAGGTTTTGTGGGTCTTCTAATCTGTCGATTCTTTCTTGGATTTATCGAAGCCGCGTACTTCCCAGGCTGTCTATTCTTCCTTTCGTCATGGTACACGAGAAAGGAACTCTCCTTCCGCACTGCGGCGCTCTATTCCGGCGCTTTGATCTCGGGTGCTTTCTCAGGACTGATCGCTGCCGGAGTTGTAGACGGCATGGACGGACTCCACGGCTTACGCGCTTGGCGATGGCTCTTCATCATCGAGGGCGCGCTGACCGTGGGAATCGCATTCCTCGCCATTTGGATCCTTCCGGATTTCCCTGCTACAACGAAATGGCTGACTCCCCAAGAACGCGCACTCGCAATTTACCGTCTCGAAATCGATGCAGGCGAGGTTGATGCTGATCGTGGACACGGCGCGGGTGCGAAGATGAAGTTCTTGATGAAGGGGGGTGCGTTGGCGTTCAAGGACATCAGGACGTACATGCTCATGGTTGTCTTACTGGGAATTGTCTCCTCGGGTGGTGTCACAAACTTCTTCCCTACGGTCGTTGCCACGCTCGGATATAACCGCGTCAACTCCCTCCTCCTCACCGCTCCTCCATACGTCCTTGCGGTGGCCTGTACTTTTTTCAACGCCTGGCACGCAGACAGGACAGGTGAGCGATTCCTCCACATCGCAATCCCACTCTGTATCTCAATTGCCGCGTTCATCATCGCCGCCTGTACCATCAAACTCGCCCCTCGATACTTGAGTATGATGCTTATGGTCCCCTCCGTCTATAGCGCCTTCGTCGTCGCCCTAGCGTGGATCTCGAACTCCATGCCTCGGCCACCGGCTAAGCGCGCCGCTGCCTTGGCGTTTATTAATGCAGTCTCGAACGGGTCGTCGATTTATGTTAGTTATTTGTATCCGTTGAGTGATAGTCCGAGGTATCAGATGGCGATGGGGGTTAATGCTGGAACGGCGGCTGTTTCGATTTGTATGGCGTTTGGCTTGAGAACGCTGTTGAGGAAGATGAATAGGCAGTTGGAGAGTGCGGATAAGGGGGAGTTTGGAGCGACGGGGGAGATTCCTGGTGGTGGCGGGGTCTCGGTGGAGCAGGCAAAGAGTGGTTTTAGGTATTTGACTTAGGTATTGTATTGTGGACCAGCTGCAGTTCGAAGTGCCTCATAGCCAATTCAGAACACTCCTTTCAAGACAAATGAAGAGTGACTACTGCGAAGGAAACTATTCATCCCAATCTATCCCAATCCATTTTCAACTCACTTCACGCATTGATAGGGCCCATCCTGGCTGGTTGCTTAACCCCTGCGCCCACCCCGCTGCCATCGCATGCTGCGCGTGTTCGCGACTTGTCGTCGTGTTGCGGACCAAAAACACCAAAGCAGCATACATCCCCGGCCCGTGCACACCGCTCAATGCTATCAAAACGCTCTCACGACGGAGCATTTAACGACAGACACAACCGACATCCTGATATCGCACCTTCTGCGATAGGAGCCATGGTACCGACGGCCCCCCTCGACTGGGTGCCGCAGCTGCAGCTGCAGCTGCAGCTGCCGAGTCGCGAGAGGGTATGGAGTGGGTTGTTGGCCGCGAAGGCGTATGCTTGGGATCAATGCATGGAATGTGAGTCCATTCCGATGTCATTGGACTGAGAAGAGAGAATTGACCGTGTTTGTTGTGGTTTAGTCGGGCATTGGTTGGATGAGCAGACACGAGAACCACCGAGACCGAAGAAGAAGAGAAGGGTAGATCGGGAGGACAGGAAAAGGAGTCCCAATGGTATGGAAGACCAGCCCGGACAGCTACTTGATGCTCAACGACTTCCATACAGTCAAGATACAGAAAGAACCGCTGGGTTCGGGAGACGAACCACGACCCTCACAACGCAGGCAGAAGTCTATCTTGAAACCGAAGCCGAAAGAGATGGACGCTTCAAAACATCTGCGCATACGCAGTGATGCACCATGTATGCCACCCTTCCTCAATTGCAATTGCCCTGCCGCACCTGCTAACATCTCGTCTCAGCACCACCACCAACGCGCATCCTAAAACCTCGCGACCTTCCGCCCCCCGAACCCTTCAACGTACCGCATTCAGCACCCCGCTTCCAGAAAAGCATACCCGATCTCAAATCCAAACTCGCCACAGCTCTCGCCGTATCGCTGCAACCCGCGAAGCCGCCTCCACCGCCATCAACAAAGGTACCACGAAGTCCGTATGGACCTTCACCAGCACCACGGATCACGAAGTTTGCAGAGACGTTGGAGATGATGAGTCCGTCGCCGAAGAAGAGGGCGGAGAAGAGCAAGGTGTGGGACGCCAAGACGGTGGAGGTGATTGAGATTGATGATGAGACGCCAACATCGACACCGATCAAGAATCGTACGACAAAGATGGAGTCGAATGGGCTGTTCACGCCAACACCAAAGGCGAAGGTACCGGCACCAAAACAACCAATTCCGAGAGACGAACCGGACAATGACAGTCTCCAAGAACTACTGGAGCTCCTGAAGCAAGTCAGAAGCGAAGAAGGCCACTACGAATATGACAAATACCGCGAAGCAAAAGCAAAACGAGAAGCCGACCTCGCCAAGATGCGCGAAGAAAAAGCCCGCGGCGGGTACCGTCCCACCGGAAAACCGGCCCCTCTCTCCCCCGACATCCTCGAAAAAGTCAGCGAACTCTTCCGAGACGCAAGAGACCGCCCGAACCACGTCTTTGCCGAGAAAAACAACATCCCGATCAAGGGCCGAGATTTACAGACTCTCTCACCCCGCATGTGGCTCAACGACGAAATCATCAACTTCTACATCGCACTCCTCAACGAACGCTCACGCTCCCTCGGCATGAAAGTGCATATCTTCAACACCTTCTTCCTCACATCCTTCGAACAAAAAGGGTACAGCTCCGTCCGCCGCTGGGCCAAGAAAGCAAAAGTCAAGATCGAGGAAATGGATTTAGTGGTTGTCCCGGTAAACGTGTCTAACACGCATTGGTGGCTAGCAACCATCAACCTCGCCCACAAACGCCTCGAATGCTGGGACTCGATCCACACCGATCCTGCGCACTACTTCTCCCTCATACGGTCTTACCTCCAATCGGAATGTCCGGAACTCGATGCCTCGACGTGGGCGGAGTATGCTGATGAGTCGAGGCCGATGCAGAGGAATGGGAGTGATTGTGGGGTGTTTACTTGTTTGTTTGCGGAGGTGCTTAGTCGGGGGGCACGGTATGATTTTGGGGGTGGGGTTAGGGAGATGGAGGGGGTTAGGAGGAGGATGGTGGCAGAGATTATGGGGTGGGTTGAGTTGCCTATTGAGGTTGCTGATGGGGGGCCGAAGGCGAGGTTGTAGAATGTAAGGGAGGGGTTGCTGCTGAGTTTCGTATGGATGGAATGGATAGTATGGAGTTAGTGTACTTCATGATATTAGTCGTCACAACTTTAAGGGCTACATGCAGAACTCTTTATACCCTATGCTTAATCTGAGTCTTTCTTCCACCCCTCAATCTGCTCTCTCAATAGCTCCAACGCCTCATACGCTGTAACCAACTTATTCGTCTTCCGATCCCATCTGATCTGGTCGCCCTTCAATAATTTCGTTCTTATGCGTGATTCTTCGGGACCAACGATTGCGAGCCAAGCTGTGTCTTGTTGGGAGCCGAGGCCGAGTTCGCCGGTTGTTGAGATGCCGTAGGCGAGGTTTGGTGTTGAATCGGAGAGGGTTTTGAGGGCTTGTAGTCGTGCGCCTTTGGCCTAAGCATCCAACATCAGCTCTTCATATCCTGTGAGCAGTACATGTAGAGGGTGGAGTCGCGTACCATCTCAACAGCAACCTCCTCACTAACAACTCCCTTTTCCCTAATCGTCTCCCGTGCAACCCCCAACACCCCCTCTTTCGCCTCTTCCGAGTACGCTACAACGCCGATGCGGAAGACTTCGGAGGACCCGGGAATATCGGTTAGTTCGTTTGCGATGAGGCCGCCGGTGCAGGATTCGGCTGTTGCGAGGGGGAGGGGTTGGTGGAGGGAACGTAGGGAGGAGATGATTTGGTGGGGGAGGGAGGGGGCGGACATTTTTATTGCTGTGGTGGTGAATGAACGATGAGTTGTATGGTAGAGTAGAAGCGATCGAGACAAGAAACGCAGAGTTCTGGTGTTCATGTGGGGGCAATGGTGTAGGGGTCGAGGTTATTTGCGTGCTCGAGATGTTTGACGTCATAGGAGGGGAGGGTGGGAAACTGGTGTTGTCTTCTCACAACGACAAGCCATTGAGTGACGGGTATATCATAGCAGAAAAATGAGACAGACTAATTGAGTGCAAATGACCCAACGAATCGCAAATGGGCTGGGGTTGAACCGGAAAAAGCAAAAAAGTGCCTCTTGCCCGAATCGAACGAGCGATCTTCGCATTACGAGTGCGACGCAGTACCACTGTGCCAAAGAGGCGCTCCTTACGAACAATTTCTTAAAAAGTCAGGTATTCAGCGTAAACATCCGAATCGATTTCCTTTTTTGACCTCCTCCTCGAGTCTTCGTTACACCGCAGCGCTAAACTCCCTCCATTCGAGTACGACTTAGTCAATCCGCAACAACCACATCATAATGGCTGATCCAGAACCCGAAGGCGATCCAACCCTTGCACCTCCCGAAGACACCGACCTTGCCGACGAAATCCAAGACTGGCGCCTCCTCTCCTCCCTAACCTCCTCCAAATCCGACCCCACCTCTCTCCCCCGCCGTGGCGAGAAGAATTTCGAGCCAGATGGCACAAATCGCCAGGAGAAAGTGTTGAATGAGAGTAGGGAGGCAATGCGGAGCGCCTTGGAAGTGGAAAGGAAGTTTGCGGGAAAGACGAGTTGTCAGTGTACCTGGCTCGAAGAACTCGGCCTCGCACGCGTTGACAAACTCAGAGGCCCACATTTCAAGAACCTCGGTGTTGCCGCTCCTCCCAACACGACGACGACTACCGCCGATTCGCCTGCGGAGAAGACCAGTTTGGGATACCTCCTCCCCGAAGAAACAATCTACATGCTCGAACGCGGCTCCCTTGAAGTCTTTTACCCATACGGAATCCCAATGTCTCTTCAGGGCATCTACGCAGCATGTCTCGGCTCCTCCAAGACACGCGTGGAGGCGGAGGTCTATGCAGTTTATGCCAATCTGAAGAGGAGTGGGTATATTGTACGACGGGCTGCGACATTTGATGGGACGCCGGGTGAGGAGCAACCTGTGCAGGAGGTGGTGGGAAGGAGTTTGTGGAGTCCGTGGGTGAGGGGCGTGTTCAGCTCGATTTTCGCAGCGGCACTCAAACCCTCACAACCGCCCGTACGAACAGCAGACAACCCAATCATCTCAACAGACCGGAAATTCCGGCACTATGCAGACGTATACAAGCTCCTCTCCCTGGTGCCCTACCACTCCTTCTCCTCCCAACCCTCATCGACATCGACTTCGCAAAGCTTGGTGAATGAGCCGACTCATTCGTCGCTGTGGCGGGTGCATTTCGACATCTGGAAACCCGCAACAAAATTCAAACGCTCCGAACCCCCTCCCCCCAATTTCCGTATCTGTGTCGTCAGCTCACGATCAACACACACCCCCTCCCTTTCCGAGATCAACACTCTCCTCTCAACCATCCCCTTCCACCCATCCCCACAGGGAGAAGGACACGCTGGAGTTGGGGCACAAATGAAAAAGCTAAAGGAGGGGAGGAGGAGTGTGTTGCTTGCTGTTGTGGATAGTGGGGTAGTGAGTTATTTGAGGATTGGGGATCTGAGTTTTGGGGATGATGGGGTTGTGTACCCGAGAAGAGGCGAAGAAGCGAAAAGGGGGCGGGGTGGTGGGAAAGGAAGAGGGAGGGGGAGGGGACGTGGGCGGTGATGACCGGGGGTGGTGACAGACGAGAAGTGGATGGACCCCAACCTTCGAACGGATGGGTATGAGTTGAAAACAGAATGGATTCACACGATAAGCGGCGAAGATAGCACCGCGATGTACGAATTCAGACATTACGGATGGAGAGAACAAATGAGGCCTCATCTGGACGCTCAGGCCCGTCACCCCATCTTCAAATAGAGACGACAAATATGAATTCATTTCACCTCATCTCATCTGAAAATGCAAACCCCAATGCAAATAATACTCATACACTCCTCAGCACGCAGCACGTAGCATCCAGCACCACATGCTTCCATTTACTTGTTAATCTCCGCCAACTCCTCCCTCTCCTGCTGCTCGGCCTTATCCGCCTCAGCAGCTTCCCGCTTGGCCTCCTCCTTCTCCTCCTTACGCTCGGCGTTTGCGCGGTTAGCGAGGGAGCGGGAGTCTTGGGGGTCGTTGGCCTGGTGGGAGTTCTTGGAGCCCTCCTGTTACACGCGATATTAGCCACCTGAAGGGGGTCACTAGGAAGTATGGTTGAGACGTACGTGGAAAACTCCTTCTTGGGTGTCGGGCTTGAGCGTCATTTTGGTTGTAGTAGTGTTTTGTAGTAAACTAAGATTGTTGATGGATCGAATGGGTGAGGAATGTCGGTGGTCTTTATATGGTGGTGAGTTTTCGCACAAGGGTCCTAGGGTCGGCGGTGATGTCATGAATGATCGCATCGCGCAGTCAACCCCGACGACTTGCAAAATTTGAAGGGAGAGAGGAGATCAATGATAACAAGCGCTCGTATTTCCGTTTCTACGCTCTTCTAATTATGTCGTTCCTGTGTATGATATCCATATCCATATCCATCTGTCCTCTCTTTTCCCTTCTTCCCAATCCCTCTCTTTTCAAGCTCGTCTACTCCCATTCAATAGTAGCCGGAGGCTTCGTAGACACATCGTAAACAACCCTGTTAACACCCCTAACCTCATTGATAATCCTGCTACTCACAACCTTCAAGAACTTAGCCTCAAACTCATACCACGTCGCAGTCATGAAATCAGTGGTCTCAACAGCACGGAGCGCGATGACTTGCTCGTACGTACGCTGGTCACCCATGACACCGACGGCACGGACAGGGAGGAGAGCAGCGAAAGCCTGGGACATACGGTCATAGATCCCGTGAGCGCGGATTTCTTGGATGAAGATGTTATCGGCGGCGCGGGCGATTGCGATTTGTTCGGGGGTGACTTCGCCCAAGATACGGATTGCGAGACCGGGTCCGGGGAAGGGGTGACGCATGACGAGGTCGGCGGGGATACCCATGAGGCGACCGAGCGCACGGACCTCATCCTTGAAGAGCTCGCGAAGGGGCTCGATGAGCTTGAGCTTCATGTCGTCGAGGAGACCGCCGACATTGTGGTGGGTCTTGATGGTAGCGGAAGGACCCTTGAAGGAGATGGACTCGATGACGTCGGGGTAGAGGGTTCCTTGCAACAAGAACTCGATCTTGGCACCGGATTGCTCGGTGGCTTTCTCGAGTTTGTCGCCCTCGCGCTCAAAGACTTCGATGAAGGTGTTTCCGATGATCTTGCGCTTCTTCTCGGGGTCGGAGACGCCCTTGAGCTTGGAGAGGAACTCCTCGGATGCGTCGATGACGGTGAGGTCGATACCGAGACCTTTGGTCAAAGTCTCGTGGACGATCTCGGCCTCGTTGAGGCGGAGGACTCCGTTATCGACAAGGATGGCGTGGAAGCGGTGTCCGATAGCCTCGTGCATCAACTTGGCAGCAACAGTGGAGTCGCGGCATGCTTGATTGAATGCTGGGTATATGCTGGTGAATTGGCGGTCGTCCAGGGTTGCGACTTTGTTCGTACACCAGCAGTCGGCATACGCACTGAAGCCCCGCAGTCATGGGCGTACCCACTGAATGTCGAGGAAAAGCAGTAGATCTCGGTGGATAAGTTCTATGAAACGAAACAACACATTTAAAACTCGTTCCCTGGATCTTGACCGAGGCCGACTCCGCGGGGTGTGGCTAGTGCAGCAACTTTTTTCGAGGGATCAGGGTATCGATATCGTATGCCAAACATCCTCCGACAACATCCCATCCCTTCCCTTCCTACTCTGTCCAAAATGTCCATGCCCAAGGAAGGCGTCCCCACCGTCGGTTCCGGACCCGAGGAGGTTCACCAGATGTTCGACACAATCCTCATCCTCGACTTCGGCTCCCAATACTCCCACCTCATCACCCGCCGTCTCCGCGAACTGAACGTCTACGCTGAGATGCTCCCCTGTACCCAGAAGATCGCCGAGTTGTCGTGGAAGCCTACTGGTGTCATTCTCTCTGGTGGTCCATACTCCGTGTACGCTGATGGCGCACCGCACGTCGACCCCGCGGTGTTCGAGCTCGGTGTCCCCATTTTGGGTATCTGTTACGGATTGCAGGAGATCGCGTGGAATAACGGAAAGGGCGTCGCGAAGGGTGAGAAGCGTGAATTTGGGCACGCGATGGTCAAGGCCGACAGATCCAACTCCAACGAGGCCGCGGACCGTCTCTTCGCCGGTCTCGATGACGAGTTTGAGGTGTGGATGTCTCACGGTGACAAGCTCTCCGCTCTCCCTCCTTCATACATCACCATCGCTTCCTCGGCCAACGCACCATTCTGTGCGATCGCGCACGAGAGCAAGCCGATTTGGGGTATTCAGTTCCACCCTGAGGTCACCCACACCCCCCGCGGATCCGAGATCTTCAAGAACTTTGCCGTGGGCATCTGTAAGGCGCGTCAACACTGGACCATGGAGGAGTTCATCGGAAAGGAGATTGAGAGGATTCGGGCTGTTGTTGGACCTACTGGTCACGTCATTGGTGCCGTTTCTGGTGGTGTTCAAAACGCAACAACAGCAACCCAGACGTCGCTCCCTCCCCTCTCAAACAACTAACCCAAACCGTAACCTCAACCCTCCTCTCCCCCCTCCGCACCCTCCCAAACCCAACAACGACCTCATTAAACGCAATCGCCCCACAATTCCTCACGCGGCCCAAACTACGTGCACGGATGTTGAGCGCAGCGAGTCCGAGCGAGTTAATTCGGAGTCGGATTGATTCCAGTGAGATGCAGTTTCGGGCGGTTACGTATTTGCCAGATGAGGTGTTGAGTGATATTCCGGAGGGGACGGAGGAGGGGGACGGGGGTGGGGTTAGTCTTATGGATGGGTTTCGGGCGAGTTTGCCCGACGGGAGGAGAAGGCATAAGGCGAGAAGTTGGAAAGCGTTGGCGTTGGGGGAGAATGGGGTTTTTTCAGGTTTGTGGAATTGCAATTGACAAATTGAAGGTGTACTTACGATGTCACAGATCCAGCGGATGCAACGAAGAAACTGGACCGGGAACGAAAACATATCCAACGAGAGCACGACCTACTATCTATCCGCAAATCTCTCGCCATTGCCGAAATCCGCGAACTCGACATCAAGATTCAGAATTTACAGTCCTTACGGCACACAGTAGTAGAAAGAATGGGTGGACTGGAACAACAACAAGAAGAACTAAACCGAGAACTGGAGGAACTGGACACCAAACTGGGAGATCTAAACGAGGAAACCGAACTGGTAGCGCTGGAGTCCGAAGCAGGTATCCCACCAGCGATCGCGAGTAGCCCAACGATGCCCGCAACCCCCATCCTGGGCTCCGCAGAACCAGGATTATCAGAGAGCATATACGGCCGCATGCAAAAATCCACCTCGGAAATCCGCGCAGCCCGCCGCCGCCGCGCAACGAACCGCCGAAAATCCATGCGAATCCAACACGAACTCATGACCCCCGGCGCAAACATCCGCACGGTCCAAACCCACGGAGACTCCATCACCGCTCTCGACTTTGACATGCCTTTCGGGACGATGGTGACGGCGAGTATGGACGATACCGTACGTGTTTGGGATTTGGGGACGGGGAGGTGTAAGGGGTTGTTGGAGGGTCATGCGGCTAGTGTCCGGTGTTTGCAGATTGAGGATACGGTGGTTGCGACGGGGAGTATGGACGCTACAATCAGGATTTGGGATTTGAGTCGGTCGGAGACGTATGGGATGGGGTTGGGGTTATCGCCGCTTGGGAAACTCGTTGATCGGGATGATGATGATTACGAGCATGTCGGGGACGATATCTCGGAGACTGCGACGGAGGGAAGCTTGCAGCGAACTTCTGCTTCGGATTGGAAGGAGCCTGAGGATTGTTGTGTGTACACACTCGACTCGCATGTCGGCGAAGTCACCGCCCTCCATTTCCACGGAAACACCCTCGTTTCGGGATCTGCGGACAAGACTCTCCGGCAATGGGATCTCACAACCGGGCGCGTAGTCCAAACCCTCGATATCCTCTGGGCCGTCGCATCCTCCTCAAACTCCATGTCCTCCCTCACCTCTTCGTCCTCAGACCCATGGACAACACCCTCTACCCCATTCGTCGGCGCCCTCCAGTGTTTCGAGGCAGCCATGGCGTCCGGAACACTCGATGGCCAGGTCAGACTGTGGGATCTCCGCTCTGGTCAAGTGGCGCGTACTCTGATTGGTCATACGGGACCCATCACCACACTCCAATTCGACGACGTACACGTCGTCACCGGATCCCTGGACCGCTCCATCCGGACATGGGATCTGAGAATGGGAACGATCGTCGACGCATACGCCTACGAATCCGACCGTGGGATCCTGGGGATGGGAGTCGATGCGCGTCGAATCGTCGCCGGGACTGGGGAGGGGGTTGTTAGGGTTTATGAGAGGGCTGAGGGGAGACATTGGAGTGTGGGGCCGGGGGCGCAGGGGGATGGGTTGGAGATGGAGATGGAGGGGAAGTGTGCGATTGAGAGGGTTAGGTGTAAGGAGGGGTATCTTGTTGAGGGGAGGAGGGATGGTGTTGTTGGGGTTTGGTCGATGGGGCATTAAGTTGATGGGAGAGGGAGAGGATAAGGAGGGGAAGATTGCATTGTTTGTTGTCATAGGGACATGGCGTTATCTTGGAGTTTCGTTATTTTGACGGGAGCATATATAGGTATCTCGGTATACTAAAATCCATCATCACAACCATTCAATCACGGGTATCAACCAATCCTCTCCGTCCAATAAACATCAACCCTCTCCCTCGTAACAATCCTCCCCTCCCCCTCCCCCTCCCCCTCCCCCTCCCCCTCCCCCTCCCCCTCCCCCTCCCCCTCCCCATCCTCACTCATCCCCTCCAACCCCGGCACCCCCGCCTCTTTCGCTCTCCATAACACACCCATAATCTGTGCCATCAACTCCTCCTGCTTCTCGGCGGGGAGGGTGGAGATGTAAGACATACTCTTCACCCGATTCAGGAGTTGTGTTGGGGTGGGTGTTAGGGTATATGGGATTCGTGTGTGGGCGAGGGGTGTGGTGAAGAATTGTTTTTCACCGGATGAAGTGTCGAATGCGCGGAGCCAGGTTCCGTGACGGTATTGTGGAGCGGTATTCTCGTATTTCGTGAATAGTCCCACGATTTCTTGATACCACCCCTGTACTTTCTCCCTCTCTTCCTCATTCAGCTGCAGCCCGGCGACGGATCCATCTACGTCGTGATAATTCCACACCAAACCGAGCCGTCCCTTTGGTTTGAGCACACGGTGGATTTCTCGGAGTGCGTCGCGATCAGCGAACCAGTGAAATGCCTGAGCGACTATAACGGCGTCCACACTCTCCGATGGAAGGGGGATGTCGTATGCGTCGGCTTGAACTACTTTCACATCCTTATCCGTCACGTTTTGCCGCAGAACCTCCAACATCCCGGGAGCGGGTTCGGTGGCTGTTATGTGGTATCCACGCCCTTGGATGAGTTTGGTGAACTTTCCCGTTCCGGCGCCTAACTCCAGGATCCTCCTCTTCTCAGCGGTGTTGGGATTCGGAGTGAGATTGAGGTTGGTGAGGAGTGTGTCGACGGCGGCGGGGATGTAGGAGGGCCGTGCGGAGTCGTATAGGGAGGAGGTTTTTGAGAAGGAGGAGGCGGAGACGGGGTGGACTGCGCGTTTGGTGGACATTGACCTTGCGTGTAAATGGAGGAATGATTTGGAGATGTGGTGGATGTGTTTGGATCGAGGGATCATGGTTGGGGATTGATCGGGTTGAGCGGGTGCCTTGCGCGGAATGCGGGGAGGAATCGTGGGGAGAGCAAGCAACGAGGGTATTTCAGGTATATCTAACGCCTTCTAAGCTATTCCTCCTTAACCTTCAATTGCTTCCTCCCTTCCCTCCACGTCCTCAACTCCTTAACCACACTCAAAATCAACGGAACCGCCAACGGCCCAAACAGCGGCATATAAATCGCATACTTGTGTTCGTCCGGGAAATATAGCATACTAACCATCGAGGGGTCAAAGAATGCCTTTTCGGCGTTTGTCCTTGCAACGACGGTATGTGGGAATGCCTCAAGTACGTTGCCGCGGTGTAAGGCGGCGCAAGCGTTATCGAGGTTGGAGAGAACGAGGTTCACGCTATCTCGGACGGCTTGGGGGACTGACATGTGCTTGAGCTGCGTAACGAGACGCGCCAATGATCCTAATGTTGCTGCTGCAGACACGATGTTCTCTGCGGTACGCTGCCGTACCAATCCATCGTAAGACCACCTGTTGGGTCCCGCGCCTGAGAGTACAGGCATGCCGAGCAGTGAGAGAAGGTAGGTCCGGAACGTAGACAGTGCTCCCCGGAGTTCGTCTTCACTGAGGCTGTTTGCTGAGTCAACTGGGGGGTTGTAGATAACCACCCCACCCCACTGCGGAATCAGGAATGAATTGGAGGGTACAGGTTTGCCATCGCCGTCTCGAATGACCAAAGGCCGATACAGCTTTTCCGGAACATAGAGAAGGAAGTTCATTGTCGGATATGACGAGATTGGTGTAGCTAAACCGTGTCATGTCAATGCATGAAAGCACAAACCAAGGCGAAGAGAAACTCACCAAGACTCCACTCCGCCGAATTAATGAACTGCGAAAGTTCTTCGCTCCGTAACTCGTACCCATCCCCATCCACCGCCTTCCTCGGCTCAAACCCCAGGTTCGCATAATGCTGAATCTGCGAATGAACGCTAAAGTTGGACACGACACTCAACTCCCCCAAAGTCTCGCCAAACACCGAATCGACAGCTTCCTCGATCGCCCATTGCGACACACCATCGTGCGCACCACCATTCATCAGGCTGAATGATAGCTGATAGGTAGGTGCATACCCCATCACGCGCCGAAATCCGTTGTCGTTCTGGATATCCTCCTTGGCTTTGGATAGCACGTTTTTGGCATATGCCTTCTCCTTCGCGAATATGGACTTTATCTCATCGTAGAGGTAATCAGGGAGTTCATTCCGCGCAGACGAGGGATATGCGAATGTCAGTACTCCCTCAGAACTGAAACTCGATTTTGGTGATGATAGGGCGTCTGAGGGGGATAGCGTGATCACTGTACCGATCACAGAGCTCTCGTCTCCCGCGATCTTGAGTTGGATATCGTACTCGGGTACATCATTCCTCTCCCTCAACTTCTTCTCCACCTTCTCCAACAATCGTGGGAGAGCCAATATTGGATCCGGAGACTGAACATGAATTGAAACAGGAAGGATAATATCGCACGCCTGTGTATCCAGATCATTAGCCCGCATTCTGAATGCTTTTGTCGGGACCTGTTACGAACCCGTCTCTCTGACCACGCCAGCATCCTCTCCAACGGTAAAGTAGCTCGATATATCTCCGTGGTTTTCCACCATATGGGTATACCGAGCAAAATTACGGCCTACGCGTATTCAAGTAAGCCTCGCTGTTCTTACGGCCGGGGCGAGATACGGTACCCAGAAACTGAGGATCACCCATCTCCTCGTACTCGTCTCTCCCGCCGTCTCCTTTGGCGCTGGCATTGTCGGAGCGGGTCTTGTGGATATTGGTGAGAGCGTAAGAAGTATGACTGCGACTGATCGCGTAAGGCAGGTCTATAACCTTCGATTTGAATGAACGAATTTGGCGGGGTTGTCGACGTGACGTTGTTGACCTCGACTCAAGATCTTCATGCGAGGCCCTGGGCTCCAACAAGTACCGAGCAACGAGCAACGAGCACCTCTCCCCTCCTCCCCGTCCTTCTCTTTTCCAATCGACCATGTCCGCCGAGCCGGCATTCGAGGAACACTCCAATGGCGGAGTCGTCCGTGCGTTAAAAGACTGCCTCGCCGGAACCTGCGGCGGAATCGCCCAAGTCCTCGTCGGCCAACCCTTCGACACCGTCAAGGTCCGTCTCCAAACCCAACCCCGCACAGGAGGCCTCTACACCGGCGCAATCGACTGCGTGCAAAAGACGTTCAAAGCTGAGGGGTTTGGTGGGTTCTATAAGGGTACGGCTACACCGCTTGTGGGGGTTGGGTTGTGCGTGAGTGTACAGTTTGCTGTGTTTGAGCATATGAAGCGCGTGTTTCGGGAGAGGAATGGTGGTGAAGGGCTGAGTGGGGGACAATTCTACATCGCTGGTGCCGCGGCCGGAATTGCCAACTCTGCACTCGCATGCCCCATCGAACACGTCCGTATCCGTCTTCAAACTCAGACCGCGACGAATGCACTGTACAACGGTCCCATCGACTGTATCAAGAAGATCTACTCCTCGTACGGAATTCGTGGGATTTTCAAGGGGTATGGACCGACTTTCATCCGTGAAGGCCATGGAATGGGAGCGTATTTCCTTGCGTATGAGGCTTTGGTCAATTCCGACATGTCCAAGAACTCCATCACCCGCGACCAAATCCCCGCTTACCGTCTGTGTCTCTACGGTGCCGGCGCAGGCTACGCAATGTGGTTCACCTCCTACCCGATCGACGTCATCAAATCTCGACTCCAGACCGATGGGTTCGCTGGGGAAGCGAAGAAGTATTTGAGTGGACGGGATTGTTTGAGGAAGACTTGGAAGGGGGAGGGGATGGGTGGTTTCTGGAGAGGGTTTGGGCCGACGGTTGTTAGGGCTGCGCCGGTGAATGCTGCTACTTTCTTGGTGTTTGAGGCGGCGATGAGGGCGATGAATTAGGCGGTCGAGGTAATGGTAATCATGGACGACGGGAGAGAGCGAAGGGCTTGGAAGGAACATTATACCCCGAGAGAGAAAACGGATAGATAATAATACGAACGGAGCTTGCATTGATTCATGCGCTACCAACCCATATCCCCAAAAGAATCATAACGCCTAACCCCAAATGCCGTTTGCCGTTTTGGCCCCACTGATACCATCAAGATCTATGAATCTAAGAAATCCGCAGCAACAAGCAACTCCAACGCCATCTCCGGCGGAATATCAAACTCCGGAACATCCTCCCCAGTCACAGACGTATGCCGCCACTTATCGCTGAAATGCATGTATTCGCAGATCTTTTCCAATAGTCGTCCACTGTACACAAAAGGAATTAGCCCACTGTTAAATATTGAAATCCTCAGAGTGTACTTGGACGTACTCAATCGTGTCTAGTGTTACGCGGCCTTCAGATGACTCCCGAAACCGAGAGTCCTCGCCGAGCATGCTTTTCAAGGTCCCCGAGGCCGCGATGGCGATGGAGCGCTTGATGACGTAGGAGAAGCCGTCGGAGGAAATGAGAGTTACGTATTTGTCTTGGTCTTCGGTTGACATGGTGGTTTGATGGGGTTATTGAGTCGATGTGAGTTCGAGTATTTCGCGGCGGCGAGGTCAGCGACGTCGCCTTGTAGTTGTGCTAAAAATAGTAACATCGTACCTCACAACGTTCACCGTCAAGTCGCAACATCTTCCAGGCGCCAACGCGTCCAGTATTCGGCACATTCATTCTAATCTTTCGGTTTACCGTTGAAACGTCTTGTGAATGGCCGTGGACCCGAAAGATACACCTCCAGCCGTCAGGAATCTGATCCAGACAGTCACACGATGCTTCTATGATACTCGGCAAATTATTGTCATTGATGCTCTGCTGAAGCACTTGGCGTGTGTTAACCGTTCGCCTGTCATGCAAGAGTTGTTGCTGACAATATGAACAGGTTACGGGATGATGAGCTTGGTTTAATGCTGAACGGTAGTGGCGGCAAGAATAACAAAGAAGTACACAAGATTTGTGGAAAGCTGCGGGAAGACCGGCTGCTGAACCAGTCCGTTTGTCCGTCTACGTTCTCCCGAATGTGTGCTGATTGAATGCCAGTGTGACGCGGCCAGAAATCAAGGAAGGCCAGCAACGTCCAATAAACCGCAATTACTACTATATTGATCTTAGACCGACCATCGATGCTATCAAATGGCGTGTATACAAGCTTGTGAAAGCCGTTGAAGCCACTACAAGGAACGATTATGATACCAACGGATACATCTGCCCTCAATGCAAGAAGAGATTTGGACCGCTGGAGGTGGTGTCATTGTGGGGTCCTGACATGTTAAACTTTATTTGTGATAACTGTGGAGCTGTCTTGACAGAGGATACAGAGAGCGCAGAGAGTAAAGCAAGTCATGAGAGGATGAACCGGTTGATGGCGCAGCTGAAGAGAATCAGAGATGCACTGCGACTGGTGGATGAGATCAACGTGCCTGAATCAGACTTTGAATCTCTCCTCGAAAGGCGCCTTGTGCCGTTCCCATCAACGACCTCCGCTACCGATACTGTGTCTCTTCCGGCCTCCCAGGCAGTCCCGAAAACCGTCACCGGTGCCACATCGACGACCACCGCGGCAACATTCACAATCGATTACTCTGTCGATGGCGGTTTATCTGCTGCGAACAAGGAAGAGGAGGAGAAGAGACGGGCAGCAGCGGTTGCCAATGCCTTGCCAGAATGGCACAGCAAGTCAACTGTCAGCGGAGACCTCACCTACGCTGGGAAACCAGCGGCAGCCGACGTATCCTACGTTGCTGGCACGGCTGCTGCTGGGGCTGTTCCTGCCGCTGGTACGGAGGAGAAGAAGGCTGATATCAAGGAGGTCGAGGCTAACGATGAGATTGCGGCATTCTATGCTGCTCTGGCTGCCGATCGGGAGAAGACTGCTGCGGCTGCAGCTGCTGAGGAGGCAGAAGACGAAGATGAGGATGAGGATGGATTCGAGGACGTGCCGATGGCTACCCTGAGTGCGGCGCCCGTTCCAACAACGACTGATGTGATCAGGCCACCAAAGACAGACAGTGATGACAGCGATGATGACGATGATGCATTTGAAGACGTGTAAGGGTTGCAATTATCTTCGCACGAAGGTTTCATAGAATGTCATGGGTAGCCGTTGAGCATACACACTAATCTATTCCGTACAATGTGTATTGGGGTAATGATGGTAGCAATGCAGATGTAACATTCCCTTGCCTCCCTTCAACCTCAGCCCCTAGGCCTCACAAGGCAAACGCCCTACTTGTACTTTTCCCAACCCTTCGGCAACTCCGTCCCCTGCACCTCCAAAAACTTCCTCGTGCACGAATACCCCTTAAAATCAAATGTATCCCTCGGATTACAATGACACTTCTTCCTGAATTCATCACCAATGGGACAATGCGTGAACGGAACATGGTAGTATCCCATATCCCCAAACCAATGGATCTCCTCTGGCTTCAAGAAAAGCGCAGCACCGATCGAGTGAACGGGCGCATCACCCCACCTCTCATAGAAGAACCCACCGGCTTTCTCGAGGTGGTCAAAGAAGGCAGAGTAACCCTCCCCACGCCAGAGGTCCATGGATGCGATTTCGAAGTTGGACCAAAAGTGGCAGCGGTTGTAGCTTTCGCCGTCGTCGTCGGAAATGAAGCGCATGGAGTTATCCTTAGGAACGAGCTCAGGTTTTGCCTTGATGAATTTCTTGGTTTCATCCCAGAGGGTGGGGATGGTATCGGGGTATTCGTAGAGAGAGATGGCGAAGGCGTATTTCTTGTTGTTTTCCTTCATGTAAAGGAAGGGGTCATACTCGACGTCGCAGAACATCTCAATGGATGGCTCCACACGCCAGTAGAACTCAAACTGCTGCATCAACTCGTGGCGGTAGAAGAACCCGGATTCGAAGCGGCACATGTGTCTGTAACTCTTGCTTCCTCCGTAGATGATCTTGCGCTCCTCCATGTCCTTTCTGGCGGCCTCGGCCTTCTGCTCATCCAACCAGGGAGGGAAACTCCAGTGTTCGTGGCCAATGACGCCATAGTGTACGGGTCCACTGGCCAATCCGGAGGTCACGGTAATGAACTCCTCAGAGAATGGAACATCGTTCAGGAAAACCCATGGGTAGTTGTACCTGTGGTTGAAGCGGTCCTCGACCTCACGGATAGACTTGGCCATTTCCCAGACATCGCCATTACGAGCGAGGGTGACGAACGTAGCATTGGCACGTTTCTGCACCGCAGGCTCAGCAGGCGTCTGCGGCTGCAAAGGTGTCTTCATCCCAAAGTCCTCGATTTTCTCTTCCACGGTCTCTTTCACCTCCTCAACCGCATTTCCCACATTCTCATAACTGTGCCCCGTAGTTCGTCCAGTCCACGCGGTTGGGTCATAACTCGTTCCAGACGAGGTAACCTTATACAAAAGAACAATAAAAACACCCGCTACCAGAAGGTAACGGATGATCCGCGACGTAGAAGCAGCTGGCATTGCGAATTGGTATCACACACGAAACCTGGCGAGGTGCGATACTTATACTCCGGCGACTCTTCACTGGCGACGGACCGAGACCTGGTGCGATGGTGACAGGTGTTCAATTAGAAATCGGTCACCGGGCAAAGAGTAAGCTTGAACCTTGCGAAGTGAGCTGGAGCGGGAGTGAACCGTTTCGTGAAAAGCTTGCCAAGCCTTGCTTTCCGGTCCTCGAGGTCGATGCTTTCGGAACTATGTTGTTCTGTGGGGCTCAGTGGTCGTTAGGCGCAACGTTGGGACTTCTCGACCTGATTAGGAGCTCGAATTGCATATGAAGAGAGCTTGTAATTATCTACATTATTATTTCACAAGTTTAAGCTTACTTCCATGTACCTAGGTATAGAGGAGAGTGAAGGCCTGTGCACTGGATGACATCGGGCAGCGAGTGGCTATAGACTGAGACGACCCTGTACAAGGCAGATCAACAGGAAATACCGGCCGATCAGCCAAGCAGTTCAGAAGAAGGAGTCAAATAGCATGTCGTTCTTTGGCTTCGACACGACGGGCCCACCGGGTGGCCGCTCAGGAGCGCAATTCGCCTCGCAGGACGCCTTTGGTGCCCTTGGTGGCCACGAGGAAGAGGAGGAAGCTTACAACTTCGACGAGACGTATGATGGCCTAGGCGATGAGCTCGACGAGGCGGGCGATGTATTCAACGCGGATACCTTCGGTGGCAGCGCCGGCGACATCGGGAAGGACTTCGATTTCTCTGGACAAACTGCTGACGTCGCCGACGCCATCGACGACGAGCAGGTCACCTTTTCGCGTCGTCAACCTGCTCAAGCTCCGCTTCAACAGATCTCTCGCGAAGCTCAGGCGCCGCTCGCCGGCTCTGTCCCTGATCTGAGACCCACAGCGTCGGTTTGGGAAGCGCAATTCCCTAGCCGTCCGCGTCAGGCTCAGGTCCCGAGGACGATTGCTCCTTCGGTTGATCTTTGGGGTGATGCTGTTAAGCCCTCTGCGGGGACGCCCGCGAAGAAGTTCATGAGTCTCGAGGAAGTCGAAGCTCAGATCCTCTTGGGAGGTGGTGCTCAGCCGAGCCCTGCTCCTGCGCCTGGACTGATGCTCCATCAGCAGCAGCAGCAGCAACAGTTCATGCAGCACCATGAGCCTCAGCCGCAGTTCCGTGGTGGCCTTCCTCCACCGGGTATGCTCCCTCCTGGTATGTCCCCTCATATGCAGCACCCGCAGATGCAGATGGGCATGCCACCACCTGGACAGTTCCCTCCTCAGCACCAGCAGCAAGGATTCCCCATGGGACCTCCCCCACCTGGTATGTTGCCTCCCGGTATGTCTCCCATGAGACCTCCTCAGCAGATGCAGCCGCCTGTTCATCAACATCAGCAGCCTCCTCAGCAGCCTCCTCAGCAGCCTCAGCAGATCCAGCAGCAACCCCAGGATACCCCTCAACAGGAGCCTCATCAATCTATGCTGGGTTTCCCTCCACCGGGCGGCCTTCCCCAAATCATGGCCGAAGAGCAGCAACAGCGTTTCGTCGAGGACCAGAAGCGCATGCGCCGCGCTCAGAAGATCGCGACGATGGCTCGCCACAACGGACTCATGACCGCCTCTGACAAGGCGTTCATCAACCGTATTCAAATTGCCGCATTGGTTGGTACTTCCGAGGACCCTTACGCTGAGGACTTCTACTACCAGGTCTGGTCTACCATCAACGGTGGCCGCAAAGGCCCCGAAGAGGGCTTGGGCGGTCTTGCTCAGACGTACTTGCACCAGCAGGGCCAGATGCGCCGTGGTCGTCGTGGCGAGAATCCCCTCATGAGGATGCAGAACCAAGTTCAGCGTCTCGTTGCCGCTGCTAAGCAAAAGCAGGCACAGAGGAAGAACAGCAGTTCCCTCCAGGGTACGCTCGGGAAGATTGTCGCTTCCTCTGTCCGTACGCCGAAGCAATTGTTGTCTGTCTCCAAGAATATCAGTACCGACTCCCTTGGCAAAGACGCGAAGACTGCGCCGGCGTTGAGTAAGGAGGGTCATAGGAACACACTTCGTTCTATCGAGAACGTGTTTGACCTTCTTTTGGAGTTGGAGGAGAGGCAGAGGAAGCAGCCCAACCCCGAAGACGAGGAGGCATTCGCGGCGTGGCAAGGCAAGCATGATGAGTTAATCCAGCAATTGTGGAACAAGCTCCGTGTTATGGATCCCATTGATCCGGTCGCGCAGCCCGTTCACCCATTCATCTCCTACTTGTCTTACACCAAGGGAAAGAAATCTATCCCTCGTGTGTTCAGAATCATCAACTCCGAGCAGCGTATGACGATCTTGACCATGATCGTCGCACAGCTCAACACCCTCGACGTCGTAAAGAACGCCGTAGCGGTACCTACTTCCTCCGTTCGCGAGGAAGTCGATATCTTCATGGGTACTGTCATGCCACAACTCCTCGGCTACATCAACGAAGCACCCCTCCGCATAGTCACCGGACTCCTCGGAATCCTTCTCGAGCGCGTGGATGTTGTCTACATCTCCCGCTCAAAGGTCGGTCTTGCGTTCTTGACCATGCTCACCTCCCGCGCCGAGTCCCTCCGCCAAAATCCCGAGGCCCCACCCGCCGACGCCGAACTCTCCCAGTGGTCCCTCATCTTCAACGCTCTCTTCGCACGTCTGCAGGGCAATTTCTCGCTTGCCTTCCCTCAGGCTCACGGACTCGTTGACGACGTCTATGTCTGGCAATGGTTGGCCTCGATTGCGGTTGGTGCTTCGATGGAGCAGCAGCATGTGCTTGTTACGGAGGTCAGGGATAAGGTGCTCGATACGGTTATTGCGGCGAAGAAGTTGCCGGTTGATGTTGGGGCTGGGGAGATTGCAAAGGTGAATATGTTCTTGAACTCCATGGGGTTGGATGCGGATCAGTTGAACGTATAAGAAGAGATACGTATGGATGGCAGTGTAGGGCTTCGCTTGTCATTTGCGCATGATGAGTGAAGTTCTGTGCACCATTTACACGAGTTACGTGGGCATGAGTCTTTGGTTTTGTTTGTCTTTGAGCACTTTGATTTTTCGTTATTGTTTGTTGAAGCATCTGGACACCTCAAAAAGTCGCCTGTCTTATTTATGGCCGAGGGTCCCCGAAGAAGAAGATGCGATGGAGTATCTGAGTAATGTCATTTCGTTATGTTTTTTCGTCTCATTCACACCTCCGTCTTTACATTCCTTCCATGCGTACGTATGCGTGGAGTTTTCCGAAATCGTTCGCGTACATGAGGGTGAAGTTCGAGTGAGAAGGAGGAGGAGGGAGAAAATCGTCTTCGGTTACATAACATAGCTATAGCCCGTAGCCTACCAAAAAGGTCAAGTATCCTAATCAGCATTCGTCGGATCCCAATCCGTAACCAAATACTCATCACACCCATCCAACGCCTTGACATCTTCCTCTTCCAACCCCCACCCAAACACATCCGCATTCTCCTTCATCCTCGCCTCACGTACGCTTTTCGGCAGCGGCACATACCCCTTCTCCAAACTCCACCTCACCAAGACCTGTGCGGGCGTTTTTCCAACCTTGCTCGCGATCGTCTTCAGCACCGGGTGACTGAACCGCATTGCCTTGGCTAGTGGGGCATAGGCTTGGATGACAATGCCGTGTTGAGCGCAGAAGGAGGTAATGTCGACGCGGGTGTTGAATGGGTGTACTTCGATTTGGTTGATGCCGGGTGGGATCTGTGGTTTCATGGCCAGTAGCTCGCGGAGGTGGGAGACGCCGTAGTTCGAGACGCCGATAGAGCGGATCACTCCCTCCCCCACCGCCTCCTCCATCGCTTTCCAACTCTCCAAACGCTGTTTCTTCCCCCCATAGGGAGAGTGAATGAGATACAGGTCGATGTATCCGAGTCCACATTCCTGCAAACTCCGCTTGATAGCCCGTTTCGTAGCCTCATACCCACTGTTCGACTTCAACTTTGTCGTAAACCACACCTCCTCCCTCTTGGTCCCGGTCTTGTCACAGAAGTCTCGGATCGCACGGCCGGCAGCGGCTTCATTACCGTACCATTCGGCGGAGTCAATGGCGCGGTAACCGAGGTTTAGGGCGCTCGAGACGGAGGTGTAGGTGTCCCGGGAGGAGACTTCGTAGACGCCGAGGTGGAGGCAGGGGATTGAGTGGCCCGAGTTGAGCTTGATGGTACTTTTCAGGCTCGTTAGGTTTGACATTCTTGACATGAGGATTTTGGGAGGGAGGGACCGAGGAGGGCGGAGGGTTCGACGGACGTGTAGGACGTCACTGCTGACAAACGCGGTCTCGGGAGTAACGTAGATATACTAATGCGGCAACCCCGGTTCATCGAGGTTAGGACAGATGCTACACGTCTAGAAGTATTATGTATTCACTCTGTATGCCTGCTATGAGGAGTCTTTCTTCCACTACAGCTACCTCAAGTGCTGGTCGAACCGTGACATCTAGAGTTACGTTCGACCGCACGACACGGCACTGACCCGGACCGTCCTCGGCTGAATGATCCTGCGCACCTATCACTCACACCCCAACCCCTTCTTGATGTCTTGAGTCATGTGTCGCGGGAACGTCTGTCGACAGGACTCCTCCATGTGAATCTCAGATTAGAGTTGACGAGTCGTAGGACATGTGATCACGTCATGACTGAATATATAAACCCCACCTGTCGACCTCACCCTAACCCAGAACTTTCTTGAACCTGTGAACGATCATATACGAACATCATGCTCCGTACGACGCTCTGCTCCACCAGGCTCCCCGTTCTTGTTCGTCCCTTCTCCTCCACGCCCCGTCCCGCCAGCAAAGAAAACCCCGGCATCTACGACGACCTCAAAGATGATATTCGCAAGACCGTGAACGCGTTTAAGTCTACCGGGTCTATTGGACAGAAATTCGAGGCGGATGGAAGTGTGGGTAGCGTTGGGCAGAAGGTCGGGGGGCCGTTTTCGAAAGACGGAGGTATGTACCTATCACCCAGATAACTCCACTTTGCATTCGGCAAAGGTGGAAAAATTGCGTGAAGCAGAGGCTTATTTTGGGTTTAGTGATTGGAAAGCAGTTTACGTCCAAGGGAAAACTTGGGGGTACTATTGACGCTGCCGCGGCCAAGACGGAAGAGATTTTGAAGGGTGGAGAGAAGCTCGGAAGGGACGGCTTGGGTCCGTTCGAGTAAACAGACAGCACTCTCTGGATGATGTTGCATGTATGAGTATGGGATGAGCATAGCAGCTGTCGTTATTGAAGATTTCGTCCCCACGGCCGCGCCGGGGATAGTATCGTGTATTGGAAGAACATGAAGACAACACACAAAGAAAGGACATTCCCTCCTTAAAAACCCCTATAAGGAATACTCCTACTCATGAACATCGACAATTCGACTTCACCGATATCGATTTCAAATGACGTCACGCATCGCGAATCGAGTACTCGCACGCGCAGTCAACGGGTGTAATGGACTGCTCCCCAACGATCTCCCTTATTCCCTATATAAAGACCCGTGCTCCATCCTTGATCACAATCCTCCATAAAACCGCAACCCCAATCTAAACAAGAACACAATGCTCCGTACAATCACCCGCCGTACTCCCCTCCAATTGGCAGCCGCCCGCCGCCAGGCAATCCGCTACAACTCCCACCGCGTCAACGACACTGGCGAGGTCTCCAAGTCCATCCTCCATAACGCAAAAGATGAGATCAAGTCCGCGTTCTCAGCAGCCACCGGGTCGCCCAAGACTCTTAACCCCTCCGGTTCCTCCTCCTCGTCTTCCTCCGGTGCGGCGGAGAAGGTGAAGGAGGGCGCCAAAGCTTTCGAGAAGGATGGAAGTATTGGTTCAAAGTTCGAGGCTGATGGCGAGATTGGAAGCAAGGCGGATCAGGTTGGTGGACCGTTTTCTAAGGACGGTGTTATTGGGAAGCACTTTACGAGTGATGGGGCGATTGGAGGGACTGGACAGAAGGCGGCTGAGACTGCCGAGAAGGCTGCTGATGAGAAGAAGTAAGCTTGTGCTCACGAATGTGTGAGTGAACGAAGAGTATCTTTTGAGGTGTACGATATGGGATTGCCCTTTTACTGCATGAGGCAGGAGAGACTGTCTGAACAATACGAAGTGAGTCGAATATGATATCGTTGCTCAACCCAACCTGATATGCTTGTGTCCGCTATATCCCCTGACATCCAAATGTTTTCCAATCCTCGATCACCCAATGTCAATCTGGCAAGCCGTCCCTTCCACTACTCCACTGCATCTTCCCCATTCATACGCATCTCCGATCAAAAATCGATATCCTTCTTCCTCGCCTTCTGCTCCTCACTCTTCTCCTCCTCAACCATAACCGGCAAACTAAACGCCTCAATATAAAAGTTCTTCCTCGTAACCCTAAACGCCAAATCACCTCCATCCCCTCCCACACCAACTCCTCCAGCGCCTTGTGCGGGGGCTTTGTGTACCCTCACCAATCCTTGCGGAACGTCTGGGTTTGCGGGGGAGGTTGGGAGGGGTTTCGGGAATGGTGCGAGTTCGAGGACGGCGTCGACGTAGTGTTCGATGTATCGGATGAGGCCGGTTGAGCGGGGGTACAGGTCGAGGGGGAGGGTTAGGAGGACGACAAGACGGGAGGGGTAGGTTCGCAGCAGTACTCGCAGCGAATGGAAGAATCGCAGAAGCCACTCTGACCGTGCAGCATTCGGTGGGTATCGTGTCGGATTGAGAAGATTCGGGATGACGACTCGGTGGAGGGTGGGTGTGGGTGAGGAGAGCAGTTTAGCGATGTGTGCGATGATGGGTGTGTAAGGGTTTGTTTTCGGCGTTGTCGAGGGTGCGGTGTGAGTGATGTTCCCCACGGCGGAAGGCGGGACCGAGAGCCGTTTAGTGAGATCGTACGAGTGACAATACACCTCTTCTACCGCCGCAACGCCATCCTCCGCAGTCGTCGTCCGCACCCGTTCCCGTTCTTTAATCCCAGTTCCAAACTCACCCAGATTGTTGTATCTCCACGCAATCTGCATCCTCTCCTTCATTTCCTTCTTCTCTCTCGTATCTGCTCCGACTTCCCCTGGTAACTCGCCGACCCACCCCTCACCAACACCGACAGAGCAAACACCATGTCCCTGTAACACGCCCTCGGCGGCGAAATTGCGCGCCAAGGAGCCCGAGAAGTCTGTGGTACCGGATTCGAGTACGAGGAGGGAGGAGCCGAGGGGAAGGCCACCAAGGCCATTAAGGACTGCATCGAGGGAGGGGCAGCCGGTGGAGGTCGTTAGAGTGCCATTAAGGGCAGATGGACGAACACCGGAGGGCAGATTTGGTCGAGATGTAACCAGCTTCGAGGAAGGAGTGGATGGTAGGGCGGTTGTGGACACCTGAATCGGGGCTCGGCGGCGCTGAAAAGACATGATCTGGCTATATGAATGGACCGGGAGCCGAGCAGAAATGGAAGAAGTAGGAGTCGTCGATGGTCTTTCAATTTTTCGATATTTCGATATTTCCATATTCCGAGGCATGATGACCAAGGTCTGCGCCACACTAGCCACACGGTTCTATCGATAGCGGAAACTTTGCCTACTCGAAGGTCGCAGTCGTCCAAGAAAACGGTGCTGTTTATTCAAGGTGAGTTTTGATTTGTGCGACCTGTCCAGGAAGGGAGCAGGTGCGGTACGTGTGATGATCACGGCATTTGGCAAGAGCCTTCTGGCGTTGCTGAAAAAAAGTCAGCTACCTAATTTATGACAACCATCTGATGTGTCGCACCGAGCTCTTCCGGACTATCTCCGCTAGTTCAATTGGAATGGATGACTGACTGTCGCTGTTCAGACACATCACACCCGCCTGTTATATATCTCGCTCCTCACCATGCCTCACAAGAAGTCCGGCAAATCCTCCACCAAGGGTGCAGCCTCCACCGTCGTAAAGACCTCAGTATTGACGTCCGTAAACGGTTACTCAATCCTCCCCGTCCTGACGCCAACATCCACAAACCGCGACGCCAAGCACTACCTCTACGTTCGCGAACATGTCTCAAAACTCGATGAACCAACCGAAACGGACGGCCGCGTCCTCTTCGCCGTGAACCTCCCCATCGACTCGACCGAAGCACATTTGAGAGCGCTGTTTGGATCATTGGTGCCCGTAGGACAGGGAAGGATCGAGAGTGTCAAGTTTGCGGGACCGATCGATGTTCAGAGGGTTGTAAGTTCTGAGGATGTCATCGAGGAGGAAGTAGAGGAGCCGCAGACCGGAAAGAAGAGGAAGCGGGAAGCCGAGGCGTCGACACCGTTGGCGATCACCGGATTCCCATCTTCCTGGGACCGCAAGATCTTGCCTGCGGCCTCAACAGCCCATATCACATTCCTCGAGGCTTCCGGCCTACAGAAAGTTCTGTCAGCACTCGTGTCGGAGAAGTTGCACCAGTCACCACCACTATGGGGCAAGAATGTCAACCCAGGACAACCACCCCTCGGCCTCGCCCGCTACCAAGCCCACCACACCCTGTCCTACCCCTCCCGCGCCCTCCTCCAAGCAACCGCAGACAAAGCCATCGAACTCTTCGAATCCCGCGAAAATATGCGCGCAGTAGCCCTAAAACGCATGCGTTCCGAACCCGACGAGGACGGTTTCGTCACCGTCACCCGTGGCTCTCGCTCTGCCCCTGGTCGTGCCGCAGATGAGGATGAGTTGAAGGAGAAGACGGAGGAGAAGAAGAAGAAGGGGGAGTTGCAGGACTTCTATAGGTTCCAGTTGAGGGAGAAGAAGAGGGAGAAGATGATGGAGTTGAGGAGGAAGTTTGAGGAAGATAAAGTGAGGGTTAGGGAGATGAGGGAGAAGAGGAGGTTTAGGCCGTATTAGAGCCCGGAAGGGAATGAGGGGTATATTGATAGGGAATTAAAGATATCGAGATGAATGAAAGAGTGCTTCGTCACACACAATCCAAATGCAACACCGGATCTCGCGAGCAATAAACCCGTACAGAAACAAGCCCTAGCCCGGTATCCATTGTCAGAAGGAATAGGAGTCCAAGGATGAGATATGAGAGTATGAGCACAGGGGTGCATGTGTCGAGATCGAGGAAGTCGTCCATTTTGAGGAAACTCGTGATGTGGGTTCGACGGGACTCTTCTTCTTTGCTTTCATGAACGAGATGTTGTAAACTGCAGAAGGAAGCAAAGATCCTCAGCGCATGCAAGTCCAGCTTGGATTTCTCGCTGTCCTTGACACCATCGAAAAGTTTACAAACTCCCAGCCGGTCCGTGACGTGAACGAGCACTGAGACATCTGTGACGAGAGTTTCGGCTGGTGTGAGGCGGAAGTAATATTGGCGACAGATTTTGTCTGCAACAGATTGGTGGTCGTGGCAGTCGACGTGAAGCGGACTGGGGAAGGCACCCGGGGTTTTCGCACGCTCTCCATAATGATGGAATTTGCAATTATTGAAGAAGGTCACAGATTCAATCAAATAGTAAGAGCGTATGGAGTAGTTTTCAGACGAGGAGATCGATTGATATGCATTCCCCCACCAAACTCACACTGCTTAGTAAACGCATGCACCCTCCAACTCCGGCACCGCCTTCAACATCTCCTCCCTCGGGATCAACATCAACTCTCCCTGCGGTCTGATACCATAACTGTCCAACTCCTCCCCGGGCTTCGTCGTATACTGGAAGGTAACCCTCGCTTCCGGCCCCGCAATCTCCTGCAACAACTTATCCTCAATATGATAATAGAAACTCTCCTTACTCGGCTGCTTAGACTTCTTCTTCTTCATCGCCATCTTGTTCTTCTTTTTCGGCTGCTTCTCCTCCTCCTCTTCGTCGTCGTCTTCGTCTGAGACGAGGCCGGATGCGAGTTCGGTGTATGTCTTAGAGAAGACAAGGAAGGCGTCGAATTGGTAGGGTTCTTTGTCTTCGATAGCCCACTCGATTTCTTCGACGAGCATGCGGTACATCGGGGGAACGATTTGTGGAGGCATGTTGATGAGGCGCTCGGAGAGGACGAGGCCGAGGTGGGTTTTTGCGGTTGGGGAGAGGAGTTTTTCGAGTTTCGCGTGGAGGGCGGAGTTGGAGCGAGACTTCTCGAGGATGTATTTCTTTAGTTGCTTGATGACGTCCTTATCTTGGTGAGTGTTCATGTTGAGAACTGTGAGGAACGCGTATGGATCACTCTCGTTTCCGTCGACCTTGACTGTGCTTCCCAACAGAGGTTGACTCAGGATCAGGTCTGACAGCTCAGACGTGTTGAAATGAATCTTGTCCGGCCCGAAGAGCTGATTACACAGGTTCTTCAACGCATGAAAGTCGATGGGCTGCGGATCAAAGTACTCGAAGTCGACATTGATCTCATCGATGTCAGAATCCTCCACATCAGAGTCATCCTTCTCAACATCAGACTCCTGAGCAGGGACTTCCTCCTCGGGCTGTTTTCTCGTTCTCTTGGGCATGGTCGGAAGGGTTTATTTTTGTTGTCGCGTTATGGTAGAGTACGTCAAAATTGCCTGTAACGAAGACATGCCAAATTGGGAAATAGATCGGCAATTCCGTATCGATATCAACACTTCCCGCAAGGTATCTCCCTCGTCTTCATCGGAGGACAGGATACCATGAATCGGGTGTATACCTCCCTGAGGGCACTGAGAAGGTCGTTCTTTGAGGTTCGGTCATTACAACAGCCGTACGGGATCGTGTATCACAAGCGATGGGCTTCGACTGTCCCTGATGATCTGGCATGGCCAACGAAGCCAAATCCCGATGTACGTGATGCCACTGTGGTTTCGTGAAAACACTTACTAACTTTCTTCTCAAGCCATACGATATCTTCCATCTTACCCAAACTTCAACCCCAGCCGACATCAAGACACGTTACCGCGTACTCGTCCTACAACACCATCCCGACCGCGGAGGCAGCTCAAATCAATTCCACATGCTCCAGGAAGCCTACAAAATCCTCTCATCGCCAAGCAAACGGCGGAGCTACGACGCATACGGCTTCGGCTGGCACAGTCCCGAGAAGAAGATGAACCGGGGGTATGCACAGCCGGATTATAACCCAAGTTTCATGGGTGCATGGAAGAGCGAGATCAAGCACAAAAGATCAAATGGCATGGGTGCTGCGGCTTGGGAACATTACTATCCCGAAGAGAAGCTGCAGAAGGACCCCGTCTATATGTCTCACGGGAATTTCGCCGCTTTCATTGTACTTATTGTTTTCATATTCACGGGATTTCAGCTGTACATAGTTGGCAGCACGTCCGAAGTATTAAGGCTTGGGGCGGATAAAGCCCATATGGAGGCTGCACGGAATTTGGCTGAAGCGAGGAGGAGGCCACAAGGTCTGAATAAGGATCAGCAGATTGAGTTGGCGAGGTTACTGCACGAGGGGCAGATTAAGGAGTGGAAGTTGAGGGAGCCGGAGGTGTGTAGGAATGGGGTGCATGAGCAGACACGGATAAGAGCGCTGCCACCACCGCCGTCGTCGGGGGAGCATGCCGCGACGGCACACGTATGAGAGTACACGAGCAGGACATAATCACCATGATGGAAGCGCTATAAATTGATACCATACTGGACCCGGTTCTCATTACCCAATATCACACCTTCTTCTCCTCTTCCATTCCGTCCAGTCCACTCTTCAAGTACTCTCAGCTCCCAACACCCATTCTCCAACTCCCCTATCTTTCGTCGCCATCTCTCGCCAATCTCCGTATGCCTCCTATCCAACTCTTCCCATACGACAAGACGTGTTGAATCATGACCAGCTTCAGTAGCGGTGTGCAACCACTCGGGACACGACCATTGCATGGCCACACTTTCTTCCCCACGCTTCCGCACCCCGACGTGCCAGACACGGAGCTGTGCACCTGACAGTACTAAAGCACTAGATTCACCCTCTGTAGGCCAATAAATGACTGGATATCCAAGTAGCCAGCCCGCGATGGCAACGGAAGGCACAGGGGCAGAGCATGCCCGTTCTCCTTCTGTACATAGCTCCGGCACTGGCGGCTGAGGGTCTTGCGATGACTTTTCCAGCGGATGGACAGCCACAGAGGACCCGTCCATGTTAGCAGTAGCAAGGCAGGTATTCAATGCCGCACTCATCCGTCGCAGCAGATAATCCTTTGCGACACCTTCTACACGGTACAACGCCGGTAACGTAGCCAATATCGGCGACACATATCCATCGTCTCCGTACTCAGTTCTGTATATACTCTCATTCACGATGAACGTCTGATCCATATACCTATCACCCGCACTCAGTACCAGAGCCATAATGCTCTCATTTCCAGAGTGCTGTACGCGTCACTTGTCAGCTTCTGTCAACGAACGACGATGCGAAGAAGAAAACCACGCACTTTTCTCAGCACAGCAACGATCTTCACCGCCACCTGTTCATCCATATCCATACAATCCACCAGATATGCTACCCTGAGCCCAAGAAGGACGGGTAGAAGTCCTGTTCAGCAGAAGCTTAGTCTGTGTAGACACAACAGGACCGACCATCATCCGAACCATCAACCAAGTTAGAGACGATCTTTCTGCTTTTGCATAGCTTCGTCAAGTCATTTGTCAAGGCCTTGAGGGCGGTCATGGCGTGGAGGTGTGGGGTTACATACGTTTCCCCCCTGTAACGACGAAAAAGCCCGATTGGGAAACGTATAGGAAAGATGTGCAGCCAGTATCGTTAAGCAAATGAATTGCACCAAAGCCATATAGAACCACCAATAAAACCAAACTAAGCCATGACAAACAAAAGACACCTCATGAACCGCCCCACATACCGAACCCCATATAAAGCCGAATCACCCTGTAATCCGCATCGATACTATCCCTGGAAAGTATCAGTCTACTTCATCTCCTCCTTCTTCCCTCCCTTCTTTCCCTTCCCACCCTTTCCACCCTTCTTCCTCTCACACCCCCCCGGCACATCCCGACTCTCTTCCCTAACCCCTCCACCCCACGGCGTTCCCCCAACCAACTTCGCACCGACTCCCAACCCCCTCTTCGCAAACCCCTTCCAAATGGCACACTTATTCTCTCCTCCGGTAAGTGCGAGATCAGCCGCGATGATCGCGTCACGCGCTTCAGCGAACGAGGGACGACAGGGCTGGAGTTTGAGACCGTCGATGACGAGTTGGAGGGCGAGGGTGTTTCCGTGTGCTGGGATTGTTGTGTTGGGGTGGAAGAATGCCTCGGCGTTGGGGAGTTTCTTGTTCTTGCCCTCAACGGAGAACGGAGTCCCGACAGCTCCCTCCCTCATATCGGTAGTGTTGTGGTCAACGGGAGGCAAGAGGTATGGAGAAAATCCATGCTCGTCAACCAAATTCCACAAAACCTCGTACAACATCTCAGCCCAGACCTCGCCCTTGGCATGGACGCCCCAATACCCCGGTTTATCACAACTCGCGTATGTATCCTTGTTGTGCTCCTTTGAGCGTGAATACATATAATTCCTGATGCCCTCTCCGCCATTCGCGTACTCGCCCATTCCGAATTCGGCTTTGTGGGTGTCGGTATGCATCATCCTCAACACCGTCGCGAAAAAGTCTCCCCAACCTTCGCCCATGCCGCCAGCTTCACCCCATCCCAGACAATTGGAGTTCATAGGTCCACCCGTAAGACGGGTCGAGAGTCCGTGACAGTACTCGTGGATAACAATCCCACTTTCCATATCCCCATCACGGAACGGCTTGGTCTGATCCCACACATACATCCTCATCCGTCCATTCTGTCCATCTGGCGGCGTAGCAAAGTTAGCGTTATCGTACCCACTCCCATCCTGCGCATTCGCAATGACACAATCCCCGCCCCGACCTCCACGGCCAAAATTCTCGGTCTGGAAGTTTCCTGCGGCTTCAGTGAAGCCGTAGCGGTAGAAGAGGTCGTGGATGGCGTTGTTGACGTAGAAGAGGTTGGTGACGGCGGCGTCGACGTAGGATTTCGGTTCCATTGTCTCGTTGTACCGGAAATCAAAGTCCAATTTCTTTGATTTGGGGCGCGGTAGTTCCTTCCATTCATACCCGCCACTCGGATTCGCCTGTGCCCACACATTGTTTCCCGTCGTATCGTGACTCGTCGTGTTGGCGCTCGTTCCATGCCACCCAAACGGGCTGGCAACCAAATCATGGGGATTCTTCAACAACACCCTAGGTCCCTCCTCTGGGTCGTTGGTACCGAGGGGGAAGACGTTGTAGGAGGCGTCAGACACCCAATCGACGACGCCCAATACCTCCTTCCCTGTCACTGCATCCACGGCGGACGAAACCCAGTGATCACCCAAATCGACCTCGACAGCCCACACCAACTTCAACCCCGACTCCCAGACCCCCGTCCGCGGGTTCTGTACCGCGGTCTGGTAATACGCCCTATGCGCCTTTGCAGGCTTCAGGGCACCTGGGACATTCTCGAGGTGGAAAATTGGTTCAGAACCGGAGAATGTGGAAGTCGGCGTAATCGTAATGTCATTCGAGGCTGTGAGGGGAAGACGGAGATGGGACATGAGGCCGTGGAGGGCGGTGGTTGGACTGACGACCTTATCCTCCTCCAAGCCGAAGAATTTCTGGACACTCCCCATCAAACCACGGCCCGCGCCTTGGGGTTTGGCGCCGGTGTAGAACGATGACCCATAGGACAAGATGGTTCCGTCACCCATGATGTTGAGGTTGATGTCTCCGTTAAGAACCTCGATTCCGTCGACGACTTGGCGGAAATACATGTGCGTGACACCCGTGTGGAGATCCGTGTACCAATCATCAACGAGTTTGTACTCGTTCTTGTCGATGCCTTGGTGTGCGAGGAAAGCTCGTGCTACGTCGAGGGGTTCAGTCTCGGTGTTCAGAGCGGCGAAGGAAGAGAGGAGGGGGGAGCTGGTGCTCAAAGCGTGGAAGGACTGCATATAGTGGGTTAGTGGTGAAGGAGGATAGTGCGGGAGAGCTGAGACTCACGGCTTGAGGCGGGTGAATGCCATGTCCAATCTCCGGACGCTTATGCCCGCTACCATGAGCGAGAACACCACCGGCCAAGACGGCAGCGGTGGCCAAAAGAGAGATCTTCATCTTAATCCTCTTCCTTATACAATTCTTCCAGGTTCAGATGACGATGTTCTCGGGGATAAATGCTGCGTGTTCGTAGATGATGGGTCAATGGAGATGGAGGGGGCCTTCTTATAGGGGCTGGTGGTGGATTACGTGCGCGTCTCTTGTCGGGACTGTATCAGCCGCTACTCAGAATGCGGGGGTTGATAGGCACAGCGTATATCGATACCGGTAAGCGTGAGTCCTGATGGAGATTGTACATGGCAAACTGCGCAGGATTTACCAAGTTTCATCGAAAGTTCAATGAGAAAACGCTCTCTTTGACTACCCTGTCCATTCCGATAATGACGGCATGTTCAGCGGCTCTGGCGGATCCGGACCGTGCGCGGAATAAGCTTATTTAACCGCGGCCTCGAGATTGAAGCACATCGTACCGTCCTCGAACTCGAACTCGCAATTGCCATTGAGAACGTTAGAATCATGCCCGCATCTCCGAAAGTCATCGTTGTTACCGGTGCCGTGCGTTCCTCCCAGTTCCCGCCTCTGCTTTGCGAAGCACGAGGCGACCTCTTTTCCGTTGAAGTACTGATCTTCTCTCTAGAACAAAGGCATCGGCGCCGCAATCGTCAAGAAACTTCTCACTCAACCCCATACCCCCGGCGCACCCACTCGAATCATCTACTTGACAGCCCGCGACCCCGCCCTCGGCCACGCCACCTACACCTCCCTCCTCACCCTCCGATCCCCTCACGCTATTATCAAATTCCACGCACTCGACATCACATCCACAGAAAGCTGTGAGGAATTCAAGAAGTTTCTGCAGGTGACGCATGGGTATGTAGATGTATTGGTGAATAACGCGGGCGTTGCGTGGAAGGGGGATGCGTTTGACGAGGAAGTCGTCCGGGGCACCTTGGCTGTCAACTTCTACGGCACGATCCGCGTCACTACCATTCTCCTACCTCTTCTTCGAGCTACTGGCCGTGAAGCACGAATCGTAAATATTTCCTCCGGCTCCGGCATGCTCGTCCGCCTCCGCGATCCCGCCCTCCGCGCAGCATTCCGTGATCCGGCACTCACCGAAGAAGGATTATTGGCCCTCCTCAAGAAATTCCAAACAGACGTCAGCGCAGACCGCTGTCTCGAAGGCGGGTGGCCGAAACAAGCTTACGCTGTATCTAAAATTGGGGTGACTGCCTACACCAAAGTCCTCGCACGTCGCCTCCAGAACGTACAGCTTGCGGGCAAAGGAAAGGGGAAGGAGGAGGATAAGGTTTTGGTTAATGCTTGTTGTCCGGGATGGTGTCGGACGGATATGGCGGGTGAGAATGCGACGCAGAGTGCGGAGGAGGGGGCGGAGTTGCCGGTTAGGTTGGCGGTGGGGGATGTTGGGGGGGTCACTGGGGGGTGGTGGCATGAGGGGGTGGTTAAGGAGTGGTGACATGGCACCACGGGATGAGGTTTGGTAGGAAAGAAAGACAGTGTATGGATGTCAAGGAACAAGGAGGTGGTCTTGGCTGAGTATGTGCTGTCATGGAGCTGGAGTGGAGAAACATGAAGACACGGAGCCCGGGAGAGAACGCCAGCCGCTTGGCAAGGTAGATGCAGATAAATCAAGACAAATATGGGATAAAGAACGAGTACCTTCATCATCCCCATTTATGCTTATCGATGTTGACCCTGCTGTGTGCCTATATCCCATGCAAGATGGCGTAGACTCGTACAACCCAGCTACGGCGACGACAAAACAAACCACCAAACCCTCGAGGAGGGATGTGTTCAACTTCATACGACTGAATCGAAAGCATCAACTACAGCGATCACATCATAACATTTATCAGTAAACCAACGCGACGCGTACGACCGTCATGGGCGCAACGTTCTCCTCAACAACCCCCTCCTCCGCAACCGCCTCCCTCGACTCCTTCATCGCCGAGATCGGCTCAATCTCGTACGAAAAATCCCTCTCCTCCGCACGTTTTCTCAAAACCGTTCGCGCACGGCACAAGAGTGGCCCGGTTGTCGTAAAGGTGTTCATCAAGCCTGTGCCAGCTTCGGGAACTGGAAATGGTACAGGTACGACGACGTTAAAGAGTGTTACGGATCGGCTGAGGAGGGAGCAGAGGGCGTTGTTGGATGTTCCTAATGCGTATCCGTTCTTGCATGTGTTGGAGACGGAACGCGCTGGGTACCTCATCCGACAATTCTTTTTCAACTCGCTTTACGACCGTATCTCCACTCGTCCTTTCCTGGAAACGATTGAGAAGAGGTGGATAGCCTACCAGCTTTTGTGCGCGCTACGGGATTGCCATGAGAAAGGGATTCACCACGGTGATATCAAGACGGAGAATGTCTGTGTGACAACGTGGAATTGGGCGTATCTTGTTGATTTCTGCACGATTTATAAACCGACATACCTTCCCTCCGACAACCCCGCCGATTTTGGATTTTATTTCGATACGGGTGGGAGGAGAGTATGCTACATCGCGCCTGAACGATTCGTGCCGGCTGATGAGGTGAAGGCGCAGAATAAGGAGGGGGTAGGAGTGACGGATGCGATGGATGTCTTTAGTGTCGGGTGTGTTATTGCGGAGATGTTCTTGGAGGGTACGCCGCTCTTCACGCTTTCCCAGCTCTTTGCGTATCGGAAGGGGGAGTATGATCCCATACCGAACTATATCGACAAAATCGACGATCCGCATATTCGGAGTTTGGTCAAGGATATGATTAATGTGGACCCGAGCAAGAGGTTGAGCGCAGCGGAGTATTTGGAGCAGTGGACGAACCGCGCTTTCCCGGATTACTTTGGGAACTTTTTGCATAGGTATTTGGCGAGTATCACCGAGGCTGGAGCTGGGAGGGGTGGGAAGTTGGCTTCGGTTGAGGGAGATGCAGGGGAGGATGGGTTATGGGAGAAGGAGGCGGATGAGAGGATTGAGCGGATATGGCATGATTTCGACAAGATCTCGTTCTTTTTGGGGTTTGGACCGAGTGCGGGAATGAATGCGGGAGGTGACGTCGTGTCAAGACCGCGGACGACACCGTTGCCGGTACATCTGAGCATTCCCAACTACCCGCCAACACCACTGCCAGCACCAAGATCGCTCCCACCAGACACTGGGGCTCTGCTCTTCCTAACATTGCTCACCTCAAGTCTCCGGAATACATCCAACCCTCCACCACGCCTCCACACCCTCGACCTCGTCATCGCCCTCTCCCCCTATCTCACCTCCGAATCCATCATGGACCGAAGTATCCCCTATGCGTGTTCTCTCATCTACGATAAAGTCCCAATAGTCCGGATCGCCGCTTTACGCACGGTTGCGGCGGTGCTGGAGAGAGTTCAGATTGTGGGTGAAGCGAATCGGGGGGTTTTCATGGAGTATCTGATTCTGATTTTTAGAGGGGTAGTGGCGGATCGCGAACCAGGGGTGCGGGCGGCGTATGCTGGTGTTCTGGGGAGTTTGGTCAGTAGTGCGAAGAGGTTTCTGGAGATCGGTGGATTGGGCAGCTCGATTTCGGAGAGTGTGATAATGGATGGGGAGGGGCAGAGAGAGGTACAGAGTTATGATGAGGGGTTACAGGAGTTGAGGGAGGTATTTGGGGAGCATCTGGCGGCGTTGTTGGCGGATCCGGAGCCGTGTGTGAGGAGGGCGTTGTTGAGTGATATGCCAAGTTTGTGTGTCTTTTTCGGGCCACAGATGGTGAATGATGTCTTGCTCAGCCATCTGATCACGTATCTTAACGACAGGGATTGGATGCTCCGTTGTGCGTTCTTCGACGCAATCGTGAGTTTGGGCACGTTCTTGGGTGGAAGGGGGTTGGAAGAGTATATCTTGCCACTGATGGTGCAGAGCTTGTGTGATGTGGAGGAGTTTGTGGTCGAAAGAGTTATCACGAGTCTGGTGAGGGTGACTGAATTGGGGTTGTTGAGGAAGACTTCGATGTGTGATCTTGCGAAGATTGTTGTGCGGTTTACGGTGCATCCGAATCCGTGGATACGTGTCAAATCGGCGAGCTTTACGGCGGCATGTGCCAGGTGGATGGATGTGGCGGATGTCTATTGCATGCTGTATCCCATCGTGCGGCCCTTCCTGCGGAATGACATTGGGAGGGTCGAGAAAGTCACCGTGCTCGAAAACCTAAAGAAGCCATTGAGCAGGACGTTATTTGACGGAGCTCTGGCATGGGCATCGAGAGCGGACCGGACACAATTCTGGAAAAGCGCACGTGAGCAGAAGATCTTTGGCGCCGGCAATCCATTTGGCACGTTGAGGAATGGCGGAACGAATGGACCTGGGTATTCTAGGAGAGGGAGTGCAGTGGGTGCGCTCGACCTCACTGAGAAGATCGCAAAGTCTGAGGAGGATGAGCAGTGGCTTGCGCGCATCTTGAAACTCGGTTCTGGGCCTGCTGGAGAGGATGAATGGAAGCTGGGCGTACTGCGGGAGTATCTGTGGCGCATCGCGAATGTTGGGAGAATGCCTCGGTCGAAAGCCGATGGTGCTTCTTCGTCAAAGCGGGGTGTCGTCATGGTCAAGGAACTTGGAATGACCCCTAATACCGTCTTTTTTGACCTCGATCCAAGTGGAACAACGAGTCCGAGGGTGGTAGATACGAGGCCGAGCACTGTGACGCCTATTCCGGGTTCCGTGGAGGAAGCTCTGAAGGGCGCTGTCAAAGCCATGGACACTCCCATGAGACGACAAGGCAGCCGCGCTACCTTGACTGCACCGAACTCGCGATGGCATACGCCTCGTTTGGTCGCTGGAGGTAGTTTACCCAAGGAAGCCATCAAAATTCCTGAAGGCCGCAACGGGACACCACCACGGATCGTCAAGAACTCCCCTTCGGTGTCTACATTGGCTTCTTCACCCCGGAGCGGCGTTTCGCCGAACTTCTCGTCTGTTGCTGGGAGTCGACGAAGCTCGTTGGTCCCGGTCTCTGCACAACAAATCGTGTCGAATCTCGACAGTGACCATCATAGTACGCATTCCTTGGAACATAAGATGAGTATGGTCAGCTTGTCGACGAGGGGACGGGAGGCAGCGAAGGCCCCTGCCGAGACCGGTATGCAAACTGCGACTGTGATGGGAAGCGTGAACATGCCAATGAAGACATTGAGTGAGGCGGTAAGTCGGATGGACACCGGTTCCCCGGTATCTGAGAAGGCTGGTGTGCATCGTGGATCGCATACCTACCGCGGGCAAAACGATAACGTCTACAGACTTCTGGACACGATCTATACACAGCACTACAGCCAACAACCCCTCGAGTTCGGCCCAACCATTGTGCGACCATCGCGGCCAGCACCTATTATGACTCCGAATGGGAAGCCGAAGGCTGAGCAACCTTGGCGACTGGTGGGGAATTTGATCGCGCATTTTACGGAGCATACGGGGGGTGTTAATCGTGTTGTTGTGGCGCCGGATAGTGCGTTCTTCCTTACTGCTTCGGATGATGGGATGGTGAAGGTTTGGGATACGTCGCGGTTGGAGAAGAACGTACTCAATCGGGCGCGGTGTACTCATCGGCAGGGGAATAACGTGAAGGTTAAGGCACTGTGTATGGTGGAGAACACGCATTGTTTCATAAGTGCAGGAGATGATGGGAGTATCGACGTCGTGCGGGCTGAGTACGGTTTCAACCCGAAGACTGGACTTTCGCAGTATGGGAAGCTAAGAGTGTTGAGGAAGCATATGCTCGACGATGGGGAGTATGCGGTTTGGATCGAGCACTTCCAGCAGGATCAGAGCAGCATTATCATTATTGCGACGAATCGTTGTCGGATATTGGCGGTGGATGTTGTGAGCATGGAGGTGTTGTATACGCTGGATAATCCACCGCAGCATGGGAACATCACATGTTTCTGTATTGACAGGAGGCGGGCGTGGCTACTTGTCGGTACCTCGCGAGGTGTGTTGGATGTCTGGGACCTACGCTTCCTTCTCCGCTTGAAGGCATGGAGTATCGGTTCCGCCCCGATTCACCGCATCACACAGCATCCCGAAAGAAACAAGGAGAAGTATCAGTCTTCTGTATATGTCGCTGGCGGAACAGGTGACGATGAAATCACGCTGTGGAATATGGCCGATGATAGGTGTTTGGAGGTGATGAAGGTGTTGAACGGGAGGGAGTCGTGGGAGTATAGGGCGGTGAGGGTTGATGAGGAGCAGGAGCCGCCGATGATGTTGGAGATGTATACTAGGAATGGGAATGCTAAGGGGTCCTCGTTGGATTCGACGGGGTCTGCGGGTAGTTCAGGGGTGGATAGGAGTCCGAGGGCTATGGTTGCTGGGTGTGATACGTATCACACGAATGACGGGACGGAGCAGTTACGGGTTTTCCTGGTTGCGGCTGGATATGATCGGAAGGTGCGCTTTTGGGATCAGAGCAAGGTGGTAGAGTCTCTCATCATCACCGGACAGGAGTCTGGCGAGGCTGACCCAACCTACGAACAGTCTCCTGAATCGAAGGTCAAGCCAAGGTATTACGTGGAGAAGGCATCAAGTGAGAAGAGAACGGCGGTGAAGATATCACGGACAGCAGCGTTGGAGAATCTGCTGCATAATCATCAGGATGTAGTATCTGATATTGCTTTCTTGGATTTACCCTATGGGATGGTTGTGACGGCGGACAGAAGCGGCGTTATCAAGGTGTTTTCTTGAGGACTAAGGACTAAGGATTGAGGATTGGATACCGGCGTTTTTCACGAAATATTCAGCATTTCCGAATGGAATATATCAAACATCTTCGACTCCATTACCTTTGCCATTAATTGATTGGCGATGGTGAGTGCAGGGTCTTCCTGCGATGGATGAGCCTAACCCCTGGCGGTCCGAGACACACACAGTCGCCGTCGTACGAGTCGACCTTTTCTTGCCCGACACCCCTTAGACGCTCTTGTACAATCGAAACGGAGAAAGCAGGATGGTCACGAGAACAGAGAGAGAGCATGATGTTATCATCGTTGGCGCGGGTATCCTTGGTTCGGCTGCTGCGGTCGCGTTGGGAAAGCAGGGCCGCAAGGTTCTCCTGATCGGTGAGTTCGGCTTCTTCGGTAAGAGTCGTGGATGTATGCTGACGGTTTCGCAGAACGCGATATGTCTGAACCAGATCGTATTGTCGGAGAACTTCTACAGCCCGGAGGTGTCAAGGCGCTGCATCAGCTAGGTCTCGCGGATTGTCTGGAGGGCATTGACGCGATTCCCGTACATGGATACCACTGCATATACCACAATGAGGGTGTTGCTATTCCTTATACTTCGACGGAGGGTGTACCAGAACGCGGAAAGAGTTTCCACCATGGACGGTTCGTGATGAAGTTACGCGAGGCTGCGCTCAAGGCGCCGAATGTGTCTGTTCTCGAAGCGACTGCGAATAACATCTTCACTAACAGCGTTACTGGCGCTGCTCTTGGTATTACTTGTACGGTTAAGAGTACCACAACTCCTCAGCATCACTTCGCTCCATTAACACTCATCGCGGACGGATGTTTCTCCAAATTCCGGTCAAAGTATATTCCGAAACAACCGGCTGTCAGATCACATTTTGTCGGCTTGGTGTTGAAGGATGCGGACCTACCTGCGCCAAATCACGGACATGTCATTCTCGGCAATAACCCACCAGTCCTCGTCTACCAGATCGGCACCCACGACACGAGAATCTTGGTGGACGTGCCAGGGAAGCTCCCAAGCGTCGGATCAGGCGCGCTGAAGAAGTATTTGGAGGATACAGTATTACCGGAGCTGCCAGAATCGATTAAACCATCATTCAAAGACGCATTGGAGACCCAAAGATTACGAACAATGCCCAACTCCTTCCTTCCACCATCCGTCAACAAAACCCCCGGTATCATTGTCCTCGGCGACGCAATGAACATGCGGCATCCCCTCACAGGCGGAGGCATGACAGTCGCCTTCACCGACGTCGTTCTCCTCCGGGACCTCCTCTCCCCCTCCCTTGTACCAACACTCTCGAACCGCGACCTAGTGGTACGGCAAATGGAGAAATTCCACTGGCAACGAAAGCACCTGAGCTCCGTCGTCAATATCCTAGCAATGGCCCTCTACGCCCTCTTCGCCGCCAACGACAACCGTCTCCGCGCCCTCCAAAACGGTTGTTTCCGCTACTTCCAGCTCGGTGGCCCCTGTGTCGAGGGTCCCGTTTCTCTCCTTTCCGGTATCAGGCGTCAACCACTCGTCCTGTTTATGCACTTTTTCGCGGTGGCGATTTATGCTATTTATTTGATTTTCGCGGAGAGTAGCCTTGTGATGTGGCCGGTTATGGTTGTGCATAGTGGGGCGGTGTTTGTGAAGGCTTGTCAGGTGTTGTTTCCGTATATTTGGAGTGAGATCTTGCCGTAGTCGGCGGCTGTTGATGGAGGTGAGGGGAAGACAGAGGATGGGGATAGTTATAGATAAGAAAGAGAGCATGTGCGGGGATTTTGGCGTATTGCTTGGTTTTGGTTGGATACCACAAGAAGAACATGAAAGAATCTGCTCTATTCTTGATCAACCCATTACATTCCCTGCATGATCCGAAAATCTCCTATGAAGAAAGCTCTGCTTCGAGCTTGACTCCGTTGACCGGATTCGTCGCGGTGACAGCGGTGCACCAGCAAGATACGCGATTTTACGTCATAAAGGCGAAGGACGGGCAGCTTGGAAGGCCTATTGAATGTTATATCGCACAATGTATGCCCATTTGCTGTATAATTCCGGGTATGATTGATACGTGTTAGAAGCTGCTCAGATTGTTCCCACGGCTGGTCGCGAGCTGGGTTGTCATGATGGGATTATCGGGAAGAGGAAATGACCTATATATTCTCGGACGACTTATAGGAGCTCATACGGCTGCTAAAAGATGTAGTACCAAGCTTAATCGACAGTGTTATGCCAACGGTAAATACACTCAGTGTAACGTGCGAAATTAAAACATTTGAACCCAAGCCTCCAGATCTGCGAAATCACTTTGCTTAAACAACACGTAAATGCAACGATCCCTTGTACATGGTCTAAACAGGGCTTTACGTTCAATATGGTGCTGTCGTATCAGCAATACTATGTTGATGACTGCCAACCATTGTACCCACGGTCGCCGATGCAGCAAGACTTTCGTCAGTGGCAACGAAAACTCCACCGACCCTGGTATGGGAGTAGATTGATATATAGGCATAACCTTCTATTAGCTTGTCACTTATAGGACTAGCCTGCCTCCCATGTATCTCCGGCGAAATCCCCGGTCACGGGTCAAGGTTGCCGTGACAGAATATGATCAAAAGAAACAGCGATTCCAAAGTTGTTTGTGATAAACAGGAGTCGTATGATCAATAACGACAATTCATATTCTTCAGGTTCATCTTCACTGAGCGAGCCAGCTTTTGTGCGCTCCGATCCGATCCTCAGCACCAGAATAGGCGCGCTAGCACCTCCGCATCCGGAAGCTGCAGAGTACCCACTGCGAGTGTCATCGTGACCAAAGCCTTGTCGTTAGCGTATCTGCTCTGTTCATCCTCTGTTCGTTTTTTTTCCAAATCAACCACTCTTGCAAACTCTCTACCCACTCTCTCCACCACTTTCACTACTATCAAGTACGTAGTACTAGAGATGTCTTGCAAGTATGTTGGCTTTTACTTCTTCCGCTTACTCTTACTACGCTGTTACCGCTTTCACCGCCTTTATGGGGGTTGTTGGGCCGTTTGAGGAAGATATCACGGTCAAGATGACCGGTGAAGAAGAAGTTGTTGAAGTTAAGGTGACCGAAAAAGGAAGAGGTCCATCTGCTACTTCGCTGCAGACGAGGAGACTGAAGTGGAGTACGAGAGTGACACTGGGGAGGACTCCAAATCTGACGACAGCCGAGAGACTGAAGTGGAGTCCATTAGCGACTCAGAAAAGGACTCCAAGTTGTTTGACAATAGGAAGGGATGCTCCTGCGGGTGCTTGGCCCACTCCTTGGCTGACCACCCTGCCTGGCTTGTGGTTGAGGATCGGGAAGAGTCTGAGCGCCTTTGGGCCCTGTTTTCAGGTGCCGCCTGTGAGGCCGAGGCCACCGGGGAGGACATGGTCGAAATCCTCTACACCACGAAGGGCGGTTCCGAGCTCCAAGATGTGCTCTTGAACGAGGTGTCTAGTTGTTCTGTTCCGAAGGAAGTCGCCATCCTCGAGGAAGTTGCCGTCCCCGTGGTAGTTGCAACCCCGGAGAAAGTTGTTCGTTCGAAGAAGCTTAAGCTAACGGTCGAGACGGAGTACTGTACCTTCAAGGAAGCTATTTTGCCCTGGTCCGGCCAGATGGACTACGACAGGGAGATAAGGCGGGCGTCCGAGCCTGAAGCCGAGCAGATGCTGGTGGATGCGGCTCGCCTGAAGGCCATGTATTTTGCAGAGAAGGCAGAGGCTGCTGCTAAGGTCGCTGCGGTGTTTGAAACTACGCAGAAGACCTGGAATATGCTCGCACAAGCAGCTATCTCCAAGCACTGTCCCAAACCATCGGCTCGCCTTCTTCCTCAGGGGTTGAGGGATGAGATAACTTCCCAAGCCGTTAAGGTCAAGATGGATGCGCGTCGCGATGCTCGTCACAGCACCATCAACGGTTTCAGGAAGAGTGTCTTGTCAGAGCTGAAGGAGCTGCTTCCGAAGTGAGTGCAGAAGCACGAAGAGTTGTGAATGTGGATGGTTGGAAACCGTTAAAGAGGCAGCAGAGGTTGCCCTTCCGTAGACTACGAATAAGCCTATGACGGGAAGCGTTGTGAATGTGGATGGTGGGTGGAGTGTATCGTGATCACAGGTTGTGAGGGAACGAGAAAGGTGAAGCTTCGAAACCAATCTTCAAACGGTTTGCATTCAATTACATTTGCGACAACCCCGGCACACAACACCGGTTGTGTAGTGTAGTGGTCATCACTTTCGGTTTTGAGCGCTTCTTGGGCGACAACTTCCGAATAACCCCGGTTCGAACCCGGGCACGACCTGTTTTGGTCCCCTGGAAGGGACCCGTGTATCTCCGGCTGATGCCCTAACAATGACATATAGGATAGACCTTGAAAGTCTGCCTTTGTGCTCGCGAATAAGTCCCTCTCGGTGTTTGTATTGTTAGGAGCTCGAGCATATACGTATATCAATTGCGTATACATTCGAATTCACCGTTGGGCTCGTGCCGCAAGCCAAGCTATATATCGCTCTTGATCAAGAACTCAAGAGAGCCCGAGCTTGTTGGAAGAGCGAAAAAAATAGACATACTCGCAGTTATTGCCGAAGTTAGGTTCCCCTGTGTGATAGTTGACGTTTTTGCATATGCGCCACCCCTAGCGTTTTGGAGAGGGGAAACAGCCTTCTCACGAAGTAGCTTATGAACTCCATTTTACCTGCATTTTTTTTTAAATGTGATAAACGAGTCTCGTGTGGCAACCCTGACTTCCATAAAGATTACCTCCATACTCAGTCAACCACGGCTCGCGGAACTTTGCTGATGGCGTTAGCCATGGGGCCGGCTGGCGTTATAGTTGTTGGGTTAAAAACTCTGACGAAGGTGTGGCAAGATCACTCATATCCTTGGACCGAGCCCGTTGTGGAAGGGAGTAAGATGGCCACTGCGCTACTGCAGGAAAGCATTCCGGTCGTCTCGGGTGTTCAGACAGCAAGAGGAAACATGAAAAAAGGTCGTGCCCGGGTTCGAACCGGGGTTGTTCCGAAGTTGTCGCTGAGCGTTCAAAACGGAAAGTGATGACCACTACACTACACAACCAGCTTTTGTCGCTTAATCCAACAAGAAGCAAATGAGGTCTTGGCCAATTTTTAACAGTCATTTAGCTGCAGCGCGTGCCTCAACGCGTTCTGAACCTTTGGGAACGCAACACGCATCTCCATTGCCGTTGAAAAGCTCGGTCGTTCTCCTTCGTCGTCATGAACAATCCTCAAGCTGCTGTCGTCAAGCCAAAGGCTCATCCTCCAATTCCTCCGCGACAGCCAGACGGCACGACACTCCTCCCTCTTGCTCGCATCAAGAAGATCATCAAGGTCGACGACGAGATTACTCAATGCTCAGCGCCTGCCACTTTTCTCATCTCAGTGGCTACAGAGATGTTTATTCAGCACCTGGCTGCGGCTGGACATGCCCAGTCGCGCTTGGATGGAGCGAAAACGTTGCGGTATAAGGATTTGGCGAACGCCGTGGCGAGGAGGGATGATCTGGAGTTCTTGTGTGATATTATCCCGAGAACGACCACGTACAGACAAGTGAAGGAGAGGAAGTCAGGCAAGACAAGTGTGGCGATGCAAAACGACGATCACAACGCATTGGAGGCCGCCGTTGCTCTCTTCCGCAGTACACAGCAGCAACCGACATCCACCCCCGTCACCGCAGCCCCAACCCCTCGAGTCGAGCCCGCACCAGTTACTATGCAGCAACCAACTCTCCAAATCTTTCCTCTCCCCAATGTCGCAGGACCAACCCTCCAGACACTGCAACCACCATTGGCAACCCTCCCACCAATACAATCACACACCCCAATTCTCCCACCGCCAATGCAACCCTCCTATCCCCATACCTACGCCACCTACTCCTACCCTCCGCACGTCCCAGCACATCCCCATCCTTACTACCAACAACCCGCACCCCCAATTGCAACACCCGAACAACAAGCTCACTACGAAGCATACTACGCGGCACAAGCACAAGCAGCACAAGTCGCTCACGCGCAACAGATTCAACAATACGAAGCGCAGCAGGCTCAGTTGGCGCAGATGCAGGGAGGACAAGCACATGGGGTGCCTATGTCGAGTTTGTTGAGTGGACCAGGACCGCAGGCGAGTCCGGCGGCGACGGCTGGACCCGGGCCTGTAGGAGGAGATGCGGCTGCAAGGGTTGTGGAGACCCCGGCGCCGGGCGGTGAGGGTGGACAGGCGCAGGCAGCGGTAGAGCATATGGAGGGAGTAGAAGGACAGACACAGACGCCGGCTGCGGAGTAAGGTATCAAAGGGCAGTTGTGGATTTGGAGGGCTTGAGTATTTTGGATGTGGTGAAGGACGGGCAGCCTTGAGAGGAGGAAAGATGCATCCGCAAGAGATGAAATATTATCTAGGTATCGTAGATTGATACGGAAACGATTCTGCCATCCAAATTACTGCCCAAACTGTCAGGACTTGTCCATACTTCAGCGATGTTTGCATTCCTGCAGCGGGGTGCATCGTACGCTGCCTGACGTAACGACGAGACGACCACCCTACCTCGACGACTTTGGAGATCTGACAAGCTGGAAGAGAATCGTTTCTTCACCATATTACAACTTTAGATCATCTCATCTACTTGACCAACGATGGCGGCTGCCGGCTACGTTGTGTCTGCCCATAAGGCGACGTCTGTTCGTCATGCAATTAAAGCCTACTTCACGTCGCCGACGGAGCAGAACTTGATTCTGAGGTAAACGTCCTTGTTGAGTTCCCCGTTATCCTACTAACAAGGCGTTTGCAGCAAGGCAAACCGCATCGAAATCCACACACTTTCCCTCGAAACTGGCACGCTCCACTTCGACCACGAATTCACAGTATACGGCCGTGTAACTGTCATCCAAGCCTTCCGCCCCGAAGATGCCAGAAGTGATCATATCCTGGTCGGTACGGACATGTACGATTACTTCACCCTTTCCTGGGATGCCGAGAAGAAGACAATCGTAAACGAACGGAGTATCGGAAACCTACATGATCACGTACTTAGACAACCAGAGTGCGGGAGCATTAGTTTGGTGGACCCGTTGCAGCGGTGTATGGTTATGCACTTGTATCAGGGGCTGTTGAGTATCGTGCCCATGGCTCAGCCATCCCGTGATAAGCGGAAGAAAGCCAAACTCGAAGTTGGTCAGTTGGAGGAGCCTTATGGAATAAGGCTACCGGAGCTCAATGTCGTCGCGTTGAGTATGGTGCACAGTGAGAAGAAGAACCCGGTTGTTGCGGTGTTATATCGGGACAATGAACAACAACGACGTATGAAGACGTATGAGATCGCCTTGAAAGGCGAAAAAGAATTAACTGAGACGGAGTTGAAGGCTGGTGATTTGGATCAGGGAGCGAAGTTGTTGATCGGGTTGCCGGCGCCGGTTGGTGGTTTGATCATTGTGGGCGAGCAGACCATTACATACTTCCACGAGGAGTTGCAATCTCCTCTGAAAAGGCCGATTGACCCGACTATCTTCTCCGCATACGCGCAAATTGATGCAGACGGATCGAGATATCTCTTGGGCGATGACTACGGTAACTTGTACGTTCTTCTTCTGATCATCCAAGATTCTGTCGTCCGCGATATCCAGGTCAGCAAAATCGGCGAAACATCTATCCCGTCAACGCTCTCATATCTTGATGCTGCACACGTCTTTGTTGGGTCTCACTACGGGGACTCGCAACTCATCCAGATTCTCGGCGAACGGGACGCGGAGACTGGCATGAACATCCGTATTCTGCAATCCATGACCAACCTTGCGCCTATTTCAGATTTTGCGCTGATCTGTCAGTCGGATCAGGTTGGAGAAGGACAGATCGTAACCTGTAGTGGAGCATACAGGGATGGAAGTTTACGTGTGGTAAAGCATGGAGTTGGGCTTGATGAACTGGCCGTCGTTGGGGATATGCCTGGGATCCGACACGTGTGGGCGTTAAAACCGGATCTGGGATCTGACGTGGACAGTACTCTCGTTGTCTCTTTTGTTAACGAGACGAGAGTACTCAGACTCGATCCGAATAGTGAGGAGGGTGATATTGAGGAGCTGGAGGAGTTTAATGGCTTTGCGTTGAATGAGCCAACGCTTGCTACAGCGAATATCACTGGTGGGCAGTTGGTGCAGGTTACGCCATCTCAGGTCTTGGTGGTTGATGCTGAGGGTGGTATGGTCCGAGCAACCTGGAGTGCACTGGAAACCAAGATCATTACGGCCTCTATCTCGCGTGACAGAGCTGTCGTTGCTCTTGGTGGTGGTGTTGTCGTCTTGCTCAACCTCACGGACGGCGCCGTTGAAGTCGCAAGAAGCACGTTCCCTCATGAGATCGCATGCGTCGACATTTCTCCGGAAGGCGGGCCGTTCTGCTCCGTCGGATTGTGGACACAGCCATCGGTACATCTCCTGTCTTTGCCGGAGTTGAAGGTTGTTGCGTCCGAGGAGTTGGGTGGTCAGGTTATTCCGCGCAACACCCTCGTCACGCAGCTTGCCGATGTTCCAAATCCGGTCTTGATGGTGTCCATGGGAGAAGGAACGCTGTACACGTATTCTGTGGATGCTACGTCTGGCTCCCTGTCCGATCGTAAAGCTACGAATCTCGGAACCCATGAACTTCGGCTTACCAGAATGGGCTATACGAATAGTGTCTTTGCCACTTCGGATCGCCCGACGATCATCTACGGTAGTAGGGGAAGGATTGCGTATTCGGCTGTCAATCTTCGTGAAGCTGTGGATATGACACCATTCAATTCTCCTGCGTTCCCTTCATCACTTGTGATCGCTTCCGAGGATGGGTTGAAGATTGGTACTATCGACTCCATCCAGAAGCTGCACATCCGGACAGTTCCCTTAGGTGAACTTCCAAGACGGATCGTACATCACCCACGTGCAAAGGTGTTTGGTGTTTTGACGATGAAGCTCATAGTAGACGAGACGACTGGAGACGAAGACCAGAGGAGTTACTTGAGGATTGTTGATGATGCGACGTTCGATATTACTGATGCTTTTGAGATGGATGAGTGGGAAATGGTCAGTAGCATCGCGTGTCTGCCACTAGCAGAGAACGGCGGTGACTTAATTGTCGTGGGTACGGGATGCTCGTTGCCTGAAGACGACGAAGCAAAGAAGGGCAGGTTGTTGGTGTTCGAAGTGACCGGCGAAAAGAAATTGTCGTTGGTGTCAGAAATGGAGACCAAGGGTAATGTGTACTGCATTGATATGGTGGAAGGCCATCTCGTCTTCGGATCAAATTCAGTGGTAGGATACGGAAGACCTGAAGGAGGACATATTTGCTGACAAACGAGACCTACAGGTTTACATACATTCTTACAACCCCACTGCCCAAGGCGCAGATCAGTTCAAACAGATTGCATCGAAACGTTCCGCGACCATCGTCCTCACGCTTTCTGTTAAGGGTTCCATCGTTGTCGTGGGTGACTTGATGAAGTCCGTCTTCGCACTGCGTTTCAATACTGCCGACAACTCACTTGAAGAGATCGCAAGAGACTACGCCGCATTGTGGATGACAGCTGTAGACGCCATTAACGATGACACCTACGTCGGTGGTGAAGCCGAGGGCAATCTCGTTATCTACAAGAGAGATACCACAGCACCAACGGAGTTGGAACAGACAAGGCTACAAATTGTGAGCGAGTTCAGAGTTGGCGAAATGGTGAACAAGATCAGACAAGGACAACTGGTGTCGTCGTTGTCACCTGCAGAAACTGAAGGCGCAGCGGTCACTCCGAAATCTCTGTTTGTCACTGTAGATGGCTCAATCGGCATTTTCGGCGTGGTGAATCCGGATAAATTTGACATGTTGGACAAACTACAGAACAACCTCACACAGGTGATCAGGGGTGTCGGAGGTCTTGAGCACGCCCCATGGCGAGCACTGCGAAACGAACGCAAGTATGCTGACGCACCACTACGCTGCATCGACGGGGATCTCATCGAGCAGTTTTTGGAGCTGAGTCCGGAGGATCAGCAGGCTGTTGTGGAAGGAAATACTGAGGCTGATAGGTTACCCGTTTCTCTAGAAGAAGTGGGTAGGATTGTTGAGGATCTGGCAAGGTTTCACTGAGCATGAAAGGCAATACAGGGTTGGTGCTTTCTTTGAATCGATATTTTATCAGTCAGGATATACGGTTATAAACCATAATCCAGTCCTATCGGGGTATATCTGACTATATTCCCTTGACCTCCGCCTAATCCAGAGTGATAACACCATCATCGTCTTCAATCACAATCGTCTCCGTAGCCCTGACGACACCATCCTCTTCCGCCACGCGCCCGCGCTTCCTGATATCATCTTGATGATCATCACTCTCCAGCGATCGCTTCTTTGGGTTAACATCTGCGGGGATAGAGTCGTTCTCCTGTGCCATGGGTGCTGGTTTTGGTTTCCGTGGAATAGAGCAATCCGCCGGCTGCACCTGAGGCTCCTCTTCCGGCGAATTGGCGACGTTAAGAACGAGATTCTGTCGCGTTTCATAATCGTCGTCCGCGTCGTTCTCGTCCACGACAGTCAAAAATGTCCCATCAGTGATTCCCATCTCCCCCAACGTTCTCTCAAGGTTATCATCGAAATCGACATCATACAGCAGCTTATCCGTCATGATACTGATTTCCTCGCCATACCCCAGAGGACCCGTCAGATATGACACGAGTTGCTCAATCGTCGTTCGCTCCAAATTAACATTGATCGAAGCTCGCCCAACAGCACAAACCTCACAAACCGAATTAGGTGGTCGCAACGGTTCGGAATTAAACGCCCTCTCCGCCCTCCTACTCAGAAACACCATCCGCGCCTCGTCCCACTTTCCTTTTAACACCTTGAACGCCTGCAACACGCAAACGCCCGCAACGATCGCATTCGTGGTAGCGATGGCGGGGATGATGTTACCTGCCATTTGCTTGATCTCGAATTTGGATTTGGTGGGTATGTGGAAGATGAGGGAACGGATGTTTGAGGCGGCGGCGACGAAGTCGAGGGTGTCCGTGTCGTCTTTGTCGAAAGAGAGGATGGGAGGTGGGCTGCCTTCCTTACCAGCCTTCTGGAGTGCGGTGAGGCGGGTTGAGAGGCGGTTGAGGGAGTCGATGAAGACTGCGAAACTCTCCTCTGCGTCCCAGACCTTCTGATCATGCTTGGCAAGCTCTTCGCCCTCTGCAACTTTAGCGCCCAGATCATCATATTTGAGTACATGCGGCTTCTCCCTGTGTTTCCACATATCTTCCATCCCCCGTAACCGCTCCACATCCTTCTCAAACACCTTTTCCCATACCATCCTCGCGAACCCGTCCGTACCCATGCTCTCTCGAATCCGTTTAAGTTGTTCTGCTTCCGCACGGAGTGTTTTCACTTCTTCCTTGTTGTCTTCATCGGTATGTGTAACATCTCCCGCATCCTCCTCATCTAACCCGAACAGCTGCGGGAAGAGATATGATTTTGCCCATACAATACAATGGATCGGCTGGGACGGCGTACTACGGATCGTACACACCGGAAAACTCTTAGGTACTTCTTTCGGGTTACAGTCGTAGCACTCCGTCTTCCCTCCCTTGATAACCTGGACTTGTCCGAGGAATCCGGTGGTGCCGGATTCGATTAAGGGTACGTCGGCGGCGAGACACATCTGGTTTACGTAGCGGCGTGCGTCGAGGTTGTCGAGAGCGTTGAAGACGATGTCGAAAGATGCGAACCAGGACACGGAGAATTCGGGATCCTTGATATTGGCGTGGTGTGCGACGAGTTTGACATCTGGGTTGAACTTCGCTGCGGATTCTTTGGCAACCTGAGTGAGAATGTTAGACACGCTATCTTATGAGAGCGTTTGCGTAGTCCTACCAATGCTTTCGACCTCTTGATGTGTTCTTTTCTGAAGAGGAATTGGCGATTCAGATTTGAAAGATCGATGGTATCGAGGTCAACCTATCCCACCACCAAATCAGCACGGGACGCTGCAAACAGCGAAACAACACAAACCATGTGAATTTCTCCAAAACCAGTCAATGTTAAATTCTTCAACAGCTCACACCCAATGCCGCCCGCGCCGACCATCAAGACCTGCTCACGAGTCGATCAGCCAGCGCACGTCGAGAATGCTTAATGATAGGACCTTTGAGGTCTTGATCTTCTCGCTCAATGTCGGCAGCGACTTTTCTAAATGTGAATATCGGCTCATTGCAATTGCGACGTATTTGTCTTCGACGTCGTACGCGTTCGTCGTACGTTCAGGCGCTGCAGCGCACTGCGGGCCGGTGCGAGCGACATCATCGAGCAAGGGCCGTGCGAAAGGAGTTGAGGGTGGGTCTTCAAGGACTTGGAGAGCAGCATCTGCATCTGCAAATCTTTTATGGGGCAGCAATGTTTCTCGAGTCTTTTCGAGGCCGTCGTCTTCAGCTTTGCCTCATACTACCCTACTTGTTCATGCGGTTGGGCCTTCACTGTATGGCATGCGCGTGAGAAGGCCCGCCGAGCGTTAGGGACAACTTTGACACCTCACGGGTAACCACAACCCACAAGATAAATTGTACTTATATGATCTTCAATGTCTGGTAATGCTCGTTTTCGTAAGAAGTTACTTCCTTTCCTACGACTTAACGACATTCACAACGCATCCCCACTCCTCCTTCTCCGGATCCCTCTACTCGTCGAGATCTCTTCCCATGGCTGTTCTTCTCCCTTCACATTCTTGATGTCGACAAGCTTCACTCGTCCGTCTTTTGCTTATCGTCACGAATCCACCCTACTCCTTCTTCACTGGAGCAGAAATCTTTCTGGCCGGCTTCGCGTTCATCTGCAACTCCCCCTCCACCTGCGTCTTCGGCGCACTCAACATCGTCAAATACTCCCCAACACTCGTCACACACTTCAACGGCTTCCTACCCAGGCCGTCCTCTCCCTCTGCAACTGGAGGTTGTACCAAGTTCCCACTGACGTTGATTGATTCCGGGTCTGCGACGTCGTGCCATTTTAGACGGACCCAGCTGTCTTCTTCCGCGAGCCGTTTGGCGGCGAGGTTAGAGTCGATTTGTGGGCCTTCTGAGCTTGCGGCCTTTGCGGTGACCGTTACTGCTCGGGGTCCAGCTGTAGGAGCAGCAGGTCCTTCGGTCTTCTTTTGGGCTTTGGCGAGGGTGTCGAGTTTGTCGACATAGTTGTACGTCTGTTTCAACTGTACCACACTCTTCACCGGACTCAAATGTAGCTCTTCTCCTCGTAATACACCAACCATATAGTTTCCCCAGTTATTCTGTATCCGTGCGCCGAAAATCTGGCGGTCCAACAACCTCCCCTCTCCACTCTCGAACCCCTGTCCTTCCTCGAGTGCTTGTCCCAACTCACGTCCACGGTCCTCGTCATAGTATTTTTCGAGAGCGATGGGGACGTCGACTTCGATCATGCCGGCACGAGGCTTGATCTTTGCGGAGAGTGGTTCGGAGTTGCGGGAGGTTGTTAGAGGGCGGGTGTTAGGGCGGGTGGGGTATTGGAAGAGGTAGAGGTGCTCATTCAGGCGGTCGGTGGTGTAGATGTCGTAAGTCTTGACGACTGGATCATCGTCGTCTTCTTCTTCCTCCTCCTCCTCCTCCTCCTCGTCTGAGGGTTCTTCCTCGTGGTGTTCTTGTAGGTCCTCGGCGTGTACTGGCCCGGTACCAGCGTCCGCTTCATGCATGCTGATGTCCTGGGCCATCATTGGAGGGATAGGATCCTCAGGCTGCTCAGCCATCTGGTCATTGCCGATGCTCATGTCTTCATCGATGTGTTCCTGAGGAAGCTGGACTCCAACTTCCATCTCCTCATCCTCGGAGTCACTGAGAGGGTTGAAAAGCGACATGAGGGTAGATCCGACGGGTTCTTAGATGGTCTGGATTTGGTAACGCAGGAAAATAGGATGCGCTGGCCCTGGGGATGCTCGGGTTGATTTTGGTGTGTTCTGTTTGTAACGACGAACTTTGACCTGCCGAGTTCGTACGATAAGGGTTGGCACACCGATAAGACTTTGGTGGGTGCAAGACAAACAGATTACACGAAGATTATGCTTCTCAAATATCATAGATTTCGTCCGATTCCTTGCTTCTTTGCAGAGACTTTTTTGGTTGGCGGCACCCCGGATTCACGACATGCTTCACCGAAACCAGCAATCGCACATCTTCGTTACAGCCCCACCACAATGTCCTCCCCGCGGGCCTTCAGAGCCCTCTTCCGGGTGTCAATCGCATCCACCGCTCGCACAACCCAGCGAATCAGTCAGCGCACCCTTTTCGGCCGTGCAACCCGTCCCTCTACCCCATTCACTCGTGCCCGCAACGCCGCGTACGGAGTTCTCACCCTTGCCGGTCTCGGTGTCGGTGCATTCTACGCAACAGATTCCCGATCCGCTCTTTGGCGCTATGCGGCTATGCCAATCCTCCACCTCACCACTGACCCCGAACAGGGACACTGGCTCGCGATCAAGGGTTTGGGTATGGGAATCGGTCCCTTCGACCGCGTCTCCGACGATGAGCGATTGGCTGTCGAGGCATTCGGCAAGAAATTCTCTTCCCCCGTCTCCATGGCCGCAGGCTTCGACAAACAAGCCGAAGCTATTGACGGACTTTTCGACCTCGGCTTCTCCTACGTTGAGATCGGATCCGTGACACCACTTCCACAGCCGGGAAACCCACTTCCCAGATTCTTCAGATTACCAGACGATAAAGCTGTGATTAACCGTTACGGCTTCAACTCTGACGGTCACGAAGCCGTTGCGCGTCGTCTCCGGGATCGCGTGAGGAAGTGGGTGATCGACACTTTCCCATCGCCCTACAACCTTCTCTCTCAATTCCCCGACGGCGCCGCAGTCGCCGACGCGGCGGGTCAGCCTCGCTCCTTGAGACCCGGAAAGGTGCTTGGTGTCAACCTCGGCAAGAACAAGACAGGCGAGGAGATCGAGGATTACGTCAAGGGCGTCAGAGCCCTCGGCGCCTTTGCTGATATCTTGGTCATCAACGTCTCCTCACCCAACACCCCAGGCCTCCGATCCCTCCAGAAGAAGGAAATGTTGGCATCACTCCTCACAGCCGTCGTCTCCGAGCGTGAGAAACTGGCCGAGCCCAACCCTCGAGTGTGTGTCAAGATCGCCCCTGATTTAACCGAGAGCGATATCGAGGATATCGCGTGGGCCGTGAAGGAATCCAAGGTCGATGGTGTCATCGTATCAAACACCACTATCTCCCGCCCATCACACCTCATCCACCACCGCTACGTCGAGGAAATCGGCGGTCTCTCCGGACCCCCCGTGAAACCCCTTGCCCTCACCGCTCTCCGAACCCTTCGCCGTCACTTGCCTAAGGAGATCACCATCATCGGTGCCGGAGGTATCTCGAACGGAAAGGACGCAGTGGAGTTCGCTCGTGCTGGTGCGTCGTTGGTTCAGGTTTACACTGCATTCGGATACGAAGGTCCTGGCCTCCCACGAAAGATCAAGGATGAGATTTTGGAGGAGTTGGGTGGACAGAGATGGGTTGATATTATCGGTACTGAGAACGCTCCTGTGCTCGCTCTTGCATAGATTCTATCAGAAAAATACTACAAATATACCATCATCTATACCTACTACCTCATGTCTATATCTGCTTCGCAATCTACATTACCTCCGCCGCCAACCTCTCCAAATAAAACCGTCTCGCACTATGTGGTACCCCCTCCCTCAACGCCCTAAGTATCAATTATCTCGATCACCCCCCGTCCGTACTCATAGCCCCTCAAATCCCTATTTCCAGACACGTCCTTGCCGTCACAATACGCCTTATCCTCCAAGTTTAAGTTTCGGATTGTCTACGTTACCCGCTTGAAAGCCGCCGATTACCCAATTGGGCAATTGCATATCACTAGCGTCCGTTCAATCTCCGTTGAGGCCGCTTCGCTTCGGGAGGTTCAGTCAGTCAACTACGGTGCTGCCTGAGGAGGGCGAGGAAACCATTATATCACGTATGTTGAGCATTCTTCGGGGCGGGTGGTTGTTATTAGACATGTGTTATAAGTGGGAGTTCCGACATTTCAGGCATGTAATTGAATGAGGCTGGATTAGAAGAAGATGTTTACAGATCCACCCTCGTCAAACTCTGATCCCGACTCCTCATCCTCGCCCGACTCTCACTCCTCCCAATCCTCCCTCCCAGACCCAACCCCATCCCCTCACCAGGTAAATTTAAGCTACTCGTACTCCGCATCGCGAAATGTGCGCTACTCCCTCCCAACGGTAAGCTCGTCGCGCTCTGGCTCTCCTGTGCAGTGTGATCCGCTGATATCGAGGAGGAGCCAAGAGGTGTGAGGATTCCCGTCCGCTTAACCCGTGATGAGCGGGGGCTGGTGGGAACACTCGCACTAACCCCACTCCCCCTCGACGACCGAATATTCGGCGCAGACGCTCTCCTCCCTGGCTCCCCTACAGCATACCCCATCCCCATTTCCGGATCAGGACTAACCCCAGCCTCCCGTCTCCCTTCTTCGAGCTCGATATCTTCGGCTGTCCCAACACTGACATACTGCCCATGCGCATCCATAACCCTCTTTCTTCCTCCGACCCCCCACTTGATTCTCTTCTGTACTTCCTTAACCCCCCTCCTCATCATTGCCGCTCGTCTCGCAGGCCCGATCATAAGCAACATCACAACCACAAACAACGCAAATACGAACAGCGACGCAGCGGCGATGGTATGCGTATGTCGAAACGACGCCGTGAACAGTCCCGCTTGAACCCTTGCGGGAAGAAGTGGGAGGTACTCCCCGCCCGGTTGGAACAAGGCTTCTGCGTGGGGTTTATTAGGTCCGAACCCGACCATCTCTGACACTTTCTCCACCGCCTTCACCCCAGCAACACTACTAATCAGCGAAACCTGAGAAGAGGCGTACAAGACCATCCTCCCCAACGTCCAACTAACATCCGTCCCATCAATCTTATCCACACTCCTAAACGCATCCGCACTCCACCCCTTCCCCTCCGCCGCCTCCTCGAGCTCTTTCGTCCCGTTATGGCCCGCTTCGACAACGGGCAGACGTGGTACGCCAATTCCGTCATGTAAGACCTCCAGCATCCATCCCGCTTTAAAACACGCCTCTTTCAACCTCTCCTCATCGACTTTTTTCCCATATCCCCCTGCTGTTAGAGTGGTGAGGATCTCGGTCCAGGGTTTCGAGCAGAATGTTTGGACGCGGGAGGAGTATGTGACATAATCGTACGCACCGCCCATATCGAAGATATCTTCGGATGCGTGCCAATATTCTGACACGCCGAGGAAATGGTTGATATCGAAATCGATGAGAGGGGCGTGGACGCCGTTGAACAAGCACGGATAATCCGGACACGGCGCATCCTTGCCCAATAGTGACTGTAGACTGTTCAAGCATTTCTCGAATTGGCCCGTGCCCTCCAACGTGATCGTGTTCCCGTTGACTGTCTCTATGTCAAGCGCACCAGGCGGGAGACATGGATCAGCATACGTCCCCCCACCCTTATTCTTACTCGACCCAACAACAGCCTCAAGATGCCGTCTCCGCGCCTCGTTCGCCCCAAACCCCAACCACGTACTCACAAACACCCTCCACTCCCTCCCCACTCCCCCCACAGTCCTCAACCGCACCAAATACAAATCATCATCATGCCTCTCCGCTTCCGTCGCGTTCGGTGCAAACGCAATCTGTGCGCTCGCGCCGCCCATATCCAAGAACCCATAGGTTGGGTGTTGGTTTTGAGGGGTAGGGGGGGTGGAAAGGGTATCGAGGAGGTAGTTGATTGTGAGCCAGCCGTAGAGTGCCTCGACTTCGCCGGGGATGACTTGGATGTGTGAGGAGCAGTCGGGGAGGAGGAAGGATGTGTGGGCGCGGGTGTATGCGCATGTCTCGGCTAAGATCGCGGACTGTTGCTCTGGTGTCAATAAACGCATCCCCGCGGTCGCGAGTAGGAAGATGGGCGTTTCGGAGATTTTGGAGGGTGGGATGAGTGAGAGAGCGTGTTCGAGCAGCGGGGCGAGGTGTGTCCCCACCTCTGCTGGGTTCTGTGCGAAGGTCGAAATACCGGGGTGGACTTTGAGTTGCCATTTCTTTCCCTTGCGATCTCCTTTCTCCACGCGGGGGAGTTGTGCCAAGGCAACCTCATCTGCCTTCGCGCGTGCCGCGGTGGGATCGAGCCAGGAATAAACTTGAACGCGAGTTCCACTCGAGCCCGCGTCGAATACGACACCGTACTTCCGGCCTTTGTCCCATTCTTTGTCTTTTTTGCCCTTGAAGAAGGAGGTGTCTGGATCGGCTGGGGTTGTCGTTGCAATCGTCGTTATTCTCGGAGGAGGAGGAGCGCGGATGGTTAGGTTGGCCATTGACTGAGTGTTGCCAGGCTCGTATATACAGGACGGGGCAGCAAAACGAAGGTGGAATCGAGCAGGACCAGCTGAACACGACGGTGAATAAATGCACCCGCGGGCCTTTTGGTGTAGCACTTTGTACGAAGCCACTTGGAGCGCGATACGGCCAGCGCGGATGCAAGTCGAGGCAGGCAGGCACGCACACACGCTCAGATTTATTCGGCTCACCACTCCTCCTCGAACAACCAGCCATGCCAATTGACAAATCCAAGATTGACTGGTCCCTCTACCTCGTCACAGACCCGGACATGATCCCTGAGGGTTCAGATATCTACACCCATGTCCGGGAAGCCATCAAAGGCGGCTGTACCGTCGTCCAACTCCGAGAAAAAAAGACTGACACTGGGCTCTTCGTCGAGAAGGCCAAGAAACTACTCGAGATCACTCGGGAATATAATGTCCCTCTGTTGATCAACGACCGTGTCGACGTTGTCCTTGCATCTGGCGCAGACGGAATCCACGTCGGGCAAGACGATATGGACCTCAAGGATGTAAGAAGGTTACTTGGGCCTGATGCAATCATTGGTATTTCTGTCGGCTCTATAAAAGAAGCAAAAGTTGGTATCGCAGGCCGCGCAGATTACTTTGGCCTTGGCCCAATCTGGGACACAAACACCAAGAAACTCACAAAACCCCTCGTCGGAACAATGGGCGCCCGGACAGTTCTTTCCTACATCGAACAAAATGCTGGGTATGAGATTCCATGTGTCGCGATCGGTGGGATTAAGGACTACAATATCCAGCGCCTTTTTTTCCAGAGTCGCACGGGGACAAAGTCAATTTCAGGTATTGCCATTGTGTCAGCGATCATGGCCTCTACAACCCCATACGACGCCGCCAAATCCCTTCTCACGTCCATCAAGACCCCCGCCCCATTCATCCCCTCTCCTCCTTCCCCCTCCCTCCTCCACCCTGGCGACGCCCTCATCACCAAGATCACCCAGATCATCACACAAATTGGCAAGAAGGGTCCACTCGTCCACCACATGACCAACAACGTCGCCAAAAACCTCCAAGCGAACGCATCCCTCGCCATCGGCGCCTCCCCAATCATGTCCGAAAACGCCCTGGAAGCTGCCGACCTCGCAAAGATCAACGGCGCCTTGTTGCTCAACATCGGTACCGCACACCCTGAATCCCCCGTCGCCATGCTCGAGGCTCTACGAATTGCAAACACCGCCGGGACTCCTGTTTTGTTGGATCCAGTGGGTGCTGGAGCGACGCAGTTTAGGAAAGATACCGTGGCGGGGTTTTTGGCGGGTGGGTATTGCGACATTATCAAAGGCAACGAAGCCGAAATCCGCGCCCTCCTCGGCCTCTCTGCACATGCCCGCGGCGTAGACAGCCTCCACTCCTCCTCCTCCGCCTCCCGTGCGGAACTCGCTTCCACCCTCGCCCGTCGGGAACAGAACACGGTTGTCGTGAGTGGGGCCGTGGATGTCGTGTCAGATGGTGAACGAACATTTTGTGTGAGCAACGGGGATGCGATGTTGGGTTTTATTACGGGGTCGGGGTGTACGCTTGGGACGGTTATTGCTACTTGTGCGGCTGTTGAGGAGGATAAGTGTGTTGCGGCGGTGGCGGGGTGTGTTGTTTATGGTATTGCTGCGGAACGTGCGGTGAAGAGGGATGATGTCAAGGGACCAGGGACGTTTCAGACGGCGCTCGTGGATGAGATTTGGAGGATTAGGGGGGAGTGTGGGGAGGGTAACCTCGATTGGGTCAAGGGAGCGAAGGTTACCTCTGCGTAAGAAAATGTGGGCAGAGATATCAAAGTCGAGAATCGAATGCTCAAGAATCAAAGCTCAAAAATGCCTACAGCTACAGAAAGTATTCGCTCATCTCAATAAATAAGGTCTCAAAGTCCAGAAACCCAGCTTGAAGCTCAGCGACGACTAGAACCCAACCTCGACACGGAGAAGAAGAGTACAATGAGGACGTGGACCAAGACAGGTGTGTGTTCAAGAAGCTGCTTGTTTCAAAGTGGGGACGATGGTCAGCAAGATTCATTCGGGAACCAAGCGATTGATTTACCTTGGGTGATCCGCTCGCTCCGTGCAAGAGCCTCAGCCTATTCAGTTCAGCTTGCGAAGCCTTTGTCGGATGCGTGATGGGTATGCCCATGGAGGCCGTGGGGAAGTCTAGGGTCATTGTCAGTGTTCTCAGAAGATACATTACATCACTGCGCTCCTTATCCTTTAAATAATCAGAAGACGCGTGAGACCTATGGTATTTTTCGCACCCCCCAAAATAGACACGATATCGATGGAGGTCCACGGTGACGCATACCGGGCCCAAGGGCTTGCTTTCACAAATTCACCTTAGTGACGCTTTAGGCGATTCTTTGACTGTGAGAAGGTCAGACGAATCTACGTCTTTCGAAGCAAATAGCAAGTCTGCAGAAGATTACTGTGGACGTAGCTTTCGGTCGGACTCGGGAGGTCATTCCTCATTTAAGCGGGTAAACGAAGGTATTATTTAATATACCGTCCCAACGCGTTCCTCTACTCATCAACATACCCATCCTCGTCACAACCGTTCACCGGCGCCTCGACCCCACCCAACAACATCACCCTCTCCACCCCACCCACATACCACTCCGCCTCCACAACCTCCATCTCCGGTCTCTTCTCCACACCAGTCTCCACAACCCTATAAAGATTCGGTAAATCGTCGTACTTCCTCAGCACGTCCTCCCTCGTTGATGTCTCTGCGATAGACGCGGTGTGTACGATTGAAATTGGTGGAAGATTGATGATCAGGGGTTTCTTGAGGAGTCCGAAGGGAAGTGAGAGGCGGACGAAGGGTGAGACTTCGAAGAGGGAGGTGTTCCTAATCGTGCGAGCGGTAAGCGGGATCTGAAGTCGCAGCTTTGTCTTGGTGCCGCTTTGTTGTGGGTCGAGGGTTTCGATATGTGTGGCTACCATTTCCTCCAGAATAACATCTTCCGTAGTTGTCTCCGTTGGGGTGGGAAGATCTTGGCGCTTATCCCCGAACAACGTTATCCGGTCAACCAACTCAGCCTTAACGTGCTTTACCTTCTTCCCCTCCGGTACGCTCACATCGAACTCAACCTCCGCTACCCGTCCCGCTACACACATCCCCCTCATCCTGGCCTCGACCCTAACCCCGTCTCTTCCGCCATCCGCTTGGACTTCGCGCTTGTATTCGTCCGAGTTATGGATATCCCATGCCTCCGCCACATCCACCAATACGGTTTTCTCAACCGTTTCGAAGCTACCCATGAGCTTGATCTTCGCATACGCAGTCAACGCATACCGCACCCTCGCCGTATACCCCAAATTGCACGTACTCGGCGCATCAATTGGGAGAGCAAATGCAAAGGGAAGGGCGTGTTTCCCGTTCGCCAATTCCTTATACCCTGACTCGTCATGTGGTACGACGGGGTTGATCAGGGACGTGTAGTCGTCTGTATCCTTCGAAGGTGTCTGGTATATTTGCCGAGCAGCGTAGAAGACATGGGATCGCTGAGGATGTGTCCGGTCGTTATGCACCTCCTCATACCCAACAACCTCAACTCCCACCTCGCCCACCTTGACCTCGCCCACTTTTCTCTTCCCCAGCCTCCCTAGTGTGAGACCGTCACCTACCTCCACCTCAACGTATCCATTGATCGTGTCCCCTGCGCGGAAGGTACCGGTTGGGTGCGTAGGAGCTGGGTCCCGGATGAGACGCAGTTTAAGGTTGGCGGTGCGGGCGAAGGTGTGGATGCTGGGGTGGTCGCGGAGTTCTTGGGAGTAGGGTGGGAGTCGGATGGGCCGGAAGGGGAGGTGGCTCAACGAAGTCAATGGGTCGATGATTTGTATTTGAGGCTGCGATGGCCGTTGAGGTTGGGGGGTGTAATGAGTGGGTTCGGGTGCTGGTGTTGGTGAGGGAAGGGGGCGGTCGCGGTAGGGTGAAGTCGTACGGTGGTGTAAGATGGGCGCAGGTGTGATAGAGGAAGGAAGGTGAGTCGTTCGGAGAGGCATACTAACTTCATGACGATATGACGAGGATGTAGACGTTGACGGAGCTGGCGAGAAAGGTGCATGCGGAACTGAAGCACCAGAAGAGGTTGAGATGCGTGATCCGGGTCGCGTATCAAAAGAATACCGCCGCGGAGATGCGACGGGCTTCTTTGGAGGCAGAGGAGGTGGCAGTTCGGATCTTACTGGCGATGTAGGATATGCGCCAGGCACATCGACCTGATAGGAGTGCCTCCTGGCGTACTGGTCGTACTCAACTCCCTGATGCACAGTTGACATTGGGCGAGATTGTGGATAACCCCACATCACTGGCGACACAGGTGACATCTCCTCTTCACATCCATAGCTCTTGTGATGCCCCAGGTGCAAGTTGCTCATATCCAAATGCAGTCCTCTCTGCGGACAGTCAAACCCCTCATACCCAGCCTCATACCCCCTTCCCTCCGGCTCCAAAGAATTCCCAACTTCAGGCGGCTCGATGACATCCCTGTCGGCCGGCGGTGGCCACACAGGATCCTTCGAATACGTAAATCCAAACGGCTTAATCATCGACGTTTTGTAACATGAGCTTTTGGCGGTAGTGTTTACGCAGTCGTTAATCAATTTACCCATTTGGGACAAGTGAGGGGTCACCCCAGAACTCGGTCGAGGTCGAATTCCGGGCGAAGTTGAACTTTAATTCCATTCCAACGACCAATTGACCTTGTTATTCTCGATCTCGAGCTCGATCCCTTCGCGTATATCCAGCTGAAAACGCATTTTCAATCGCAATGTTCGGTTGTATCGCCGCCGGCCGGCCCCTCCAAACAAACATGGTGATGCTCTCCCCAACGACAGCCTCCTTCACCCTCGACGACGCCTCCTCAATCAACCACGTCGTCATCTTCCTCATGCCTGATACCGTTCTTCCAGCCGGACAAGGCGCGACGATTTATTTCCAGCTGCCGGGGAAGGAGTTCCGGTTGTTGGGGAGCGTGAGCATGGAAAAGCAGTCTGCGGTGTTTAAGTTGAAGGGCCCAGGTGCGGCAAAGACGGGTGGTGATGAGATGATGCATGATGAGGCCGTGAGTGGACCGCTTATCATCGGCATTCAATTGGAGCCACTGGAGAGCATCGGCGCACAACTGCAACAAATGCAGCAGAACATGTCTGGAGCCACCACCACTGGTGCTGGAGCCCTCATCAAACCACCACCGCCCCCAAGCACCGTCGCTGACAAGATCATGAAACACCTCTTCAACTACCTTACCAGTTTCGCTACCCAGAATCTCCCGATGGGCGCAATGGCGCTGGGACAAATCAATCCACAGACGACGTATGTCCCGTTGAAGGCATTTCAGGAGTGGTACGCCAAGTTCACGAACAGAATTCGACAGGATCCGACGTTTTTGGATAGGGAGGATGTTTGAGCGGAGATGAATTCGTGAAAATACGGGCAGTAACGGTGTTACCTTTTATACTTAGCGGGCGTTTTTCATTCTTAGTGAGGATACAACAAATCAACAATAGCAAGACCAATCAATCAGTAGATATCCGGCCTCCACTCCTCCTTGCTCTTCGGCCCCGCCAAAGTACTAATCCCCCTCTTCACAAACTCCCCGTACCCCTTCTTCCCTACGAGTCCCTCCCCATCCTTGTCCCACACAACCTCACCCCTCAAAATCGTATAACGAGGCCAATTGCGGACTTCGCGGCCCTCGAAAGGTGTGTAATCCACATCGTGATGCAACATCTCATTCTTGAGCGCATACGGCTTTAACTTGCCCTCAGGATACCAGATGGTGATATCCGCATCAGACAGACCAGGAAGGAGCGCACCCTTTCGAGGGTACAACCCATAGAGTTTCGCAGGGTTAGTACACGTCACCTCCACAAACTTCTGCACCGTCATCTTCTCCTCCTTCTCAATCGCACTCATAACCATCCCCAACCTCGTCTCGACACCAGGACATCCGTTCGGGATATACTTGAATTTCCCCTTCGGGAACTCCTCGCTCACAACGACTTTCTTACCGTATGGATCCTCGTAGCGGAATGGACAGTGGTCCGAGGAGAGAATGGTAAAGGTTCCGTTTGCGAGTCCACGCCAGATTCCTTCGTGGTCTTCGGCGCCGTCGCGGGGAGGGGGGGAGCAGACGCATTTCGCGCCCTCGAAGCCGTCTTTCTGCAGGTCTGCACGGGTCAAGAAAAGATATTGCGGACAGGTCTCCGCGTAGATAGGAAGACCCGCGGTTTGGGCTTTCCGAATATGCGCCGCAGCAGACGGTGAGGAGACGTGCACGATCAAGATCGGGGTATCCATCATTTCTGCCATCGCGATGGCACGGTTGGTTGCTTCTGCCTCCATCAGCTGCGGACGAGATGTGGCGTGGTATTCGGGATCAAAGTGTCCGTGCTCCTCAAGCTTGTCGGTTAACCAGGCGATCATGTCACCGTTCTCCGCATGAATCATGGTGGTGATCCCAGTCCGACGAGCAGCGAGCAGGATATCGAGGATCTCATTATCCCTGAGTTGAAGTGAAGCGTATGTCATATACAACTTCAGACTCGTGATACCCTGCTCCTTCAGCGTCTCAAACTCACCCAGTACTTTCTTAGAGGGGTTCGAGATGATGCAGTGGAAGGAGTAATCACAGTACGCCTGTCCCGTTGCGCGATCATGCGTACGAGCCACGACATCAAGGATCGAATCATCCGTCTTGCGCTGTGGAGCGAAGGTGACGATGGTTGTCGTACCACCACACACAGCGGATCGGGATCCAGTTTCGTAATCATCCGCTGTACCACCCTTTCCGTACATGGCGGGCTCGGCGAGATGAACGTGCGCATCGACACCACCTGGCTGTAAGGATATCTGTCAGTACTTCAACAAGGCTGTGAATCAAGGCATCCGTACCGTCACGTAGGCGCCCTCGGCATCAATCACGCGCTTCGCATTTTCCGTTGGGAGGTTGGGTCCTAGCATGTGGACCTTCCCATCCTTGATCCCGATGTCGTAGGTGCCGATGTCGGATGCGGTCACTACTCTGCCGTTCTTGACGACAAGATCGAAGTCCATATTGTAGCTGTAGGGAGACGGAAGGGATTGAACAGTCCATCTTGGCTGAGACGTCAGAGTCCATTTATGGGCATCTTGGGAAGCTGTGAGTCCGAGGGAGCCGATCCATGCGAGCCGTGGGGTGCGGTGGGCCAGGGACGCGTACGGGGCCTCGATAAGATATATATACGGGCCCAACAGCTGGACAATACTTTCGGTCTCGGCATCAAGCCTTTCATTCCAATAATACCGTACGGCAGTTATAGGCGTATCCAACACCTCACATCTCGAGATCCATATCAAACTCCTCAAACGCCTTATCCAGCCTCTCCGCCAACTTGCCAACATTCCCCGCATCCTTTACCACACCTCTATCTAACCTGTTCTCCTCCCACCAAACCGCCTCATCCCTTGCGGCGAGCATCACCAACGCCATTCTGATACCGTTCACTATACTCGAGCCTCCCCCGCCTTCGCTGAGATCAAGGTGGAAAAGAGGTTGGGGTTCGAGAGTCGGAGAGGAGGTGGAGACGTAGGCTATGAGAATGATTGGACCGAGGATACAGAGGCCGTAGAGGGTTGGGTGGTGTTTTGCGGGCCAGAGGGTTGAGGAGTCGGTTGGGGGTGTTGGGGGACCGATGGGGCCTGGGTGTGCGGTCTTCATTGCTTGCATGGTTCGTTGAGTTTCATTCAGATCCGTCGCGAGCGTTCGGAGTTTCTCGGTCAACTTTCCAACGTACTTCGTTCGCTCCGCACTGGTAGGCAAAGAACTGAATCGACTTTCCCGTGGGGTTCTGCCAACGACAGTACAGAACACGTTCTGGAGTCCAGTATCCTGCTGTATCCAGTTGATGAAATGATGAACATCTCTCCTGATCCACTTGTCAATCGAGATATAGTTTCCCGGTTTGCGCTCTTCCTTGTTGGTTTCGACTTTCTCACGGACGCGTTGGCCGACTGTTGCGAGTCGTTTGAAAGCCATGGCTCCTATATCCCAGAAGTTAGCGACATGTTTAGGGCCAGCTCTGATGAAGGCCAGAATACCTCTGTTATTCCAAGTTGGATTCACAGCAGAGAGAGGCACTTCACCCACCCAACCTACTGGGACGAACCACGAGCGTGGGAATCCTTGGAAATCGAGCTGTAGGCGCGCATACAGTCAGCTAAATCTTCTCAGCGGTGACCTTCGAACTGACCTTCCAATCATTCGGCATCAGAGGCACCTGTCCAACATGCTGCACCCTCTCCCACAACTTCTCCAGCCCCTTCGACCACTCTCCGGCATCTCCTCCTCCCCATCCATCATCGGCAGCATATCCATCAGAACATCCTCCGTATCCTCTTCCCTCTCCTGACTAACCCAACTCTCCACATCCACCGAGATCTGTCCCTCAGTAAGGAATATGGTCTCCTTGACATACTTCCTCCGCTTCAAGCTGTTGTGCGGCCGATATGCATTCCTCCCCACGCTCAACGCGCCAAACTGCGCATTCAACATAGCCTGCTCAACATGGTCTTTCATCAAGTCGTTCATAACTGGTAGCTGGTAGCAGGCCGTAAGAATACTGCTCAATTGCAACGTGAAAATCAAGGAGGTTCAGGAGATCTGGGGGTGTACGGGTTATATGGCACCAGGTGTCAAGGACGCATCACGGAGCATTCTACTGCGAGACCTGAGCGCGAGGAAAGCAGGGGATGCAGTGGGTCCAAATATAATCGGATTCGAGTTCTATGAGATTTTATAGCAGAAGAAATGATAGTTTACACCTCCGTCGTCTCCTCTGGACGACTTTCACCGACCTCACTCATCAGAGGCTCACCGCTTAATGACCGTGACCATCATCCTCCGCGACTGGTTCTGGGTCCACCTTGATCATCGTATCAATCCTCAAAATTGCGATACAAGCCTCCACAGCACTCTTAAAACTCTTCACCTTCGAAACCATAGGCTCAAGGACACCGGCCTTGACATTGTCCCTAACCACACCATTGAGCAAATCCAATCCGTAGTTCTTGTATCCCCTCTTCTTCGTGTCCGTTGCCAATGCCGCTTGTGATGCAGCGTGGTATGCCCGGAGCTTGGCGGTGAGGTCGGAGGAGTCCTTAGCGGCGTTGACGGCGAGGGTCTTGGGAATGACGAGAAGTGCGTTGGCGAATTCGGCGATGGCGAGTTGTTCTCGGGAGCCCAATGTAGTGGCAAAGTTCTCGAGGTAGATCGACAGTGCGGTCTCGACGGCTCCACCACCGGGGACGACGGTACCTGACTCCAGTGTTCTCTTGACGACGCAGAGAGAGTCGTGTACTGACCTCTCCATCTCGTCAAGCTGGTAGTCGTTTGATCCTCGGAGGATGATGGATGCGGAAGAGAACTGCTTGGTGCCCTTGATCAAGATACACTCATCGTCCGAAATTCTCTCCTGCACGACCTCCTCGGCATGACCCAACGACGACGCCTCGAAGACCTCCTCACCCTCGAGATTAGACAAAGTGGAAACCATGGTGGCTCCAGTAGCCTTTGCTATTCTTCTCAGATCCTCCTTCTTGCAGCGACGGACAGCCATAGCACCAGCCTCCACAAACATCTTCAAACAAAGATCATCGATACCCTTGGTCGTCAAAATGACATTTGCTCCAGAACCCAAAATCTTCTGAATCCTGTCAAGAGTCAAAGTAGCCTCCCTCTTCCTGATAGCCTCCAACTGATCGGGGTCATCGATGGTAACGTGGACACCGAGGGCCATGCGGACCTTCTGGAGGTTCATGTCCAGACACGCAATCTTGGCACCCTGGATGCGAGTCTTCATGGCTTGAGATGCGACGGTGCAGTTAAGGGCGTATCCCTTAACGAGGAGAGACTCTACAGATGACTGACCGTGCGCCTTGAGGATGTTGACAGCCTTCACGGGGTACCTGACCTCACCACGAGAGTTAACAGAGCGAACAGACTGCATAGCATCAACAACCATCTCCGCAAAAAAGGCACCGTCAGAACCGATAATCTTGGACGACATCGAGGTTCTTGCAATGTTGATCAACGAGTCCCTGCCCAAAGCGTCTACCTTTGTCGCGAGCTGCTCCTGCATGTGTCGGGTAGCCTCACGGAGAGCGAGACGGTATCCGGTGATGATGGTAGTGGGATGAATCTTGTTCTTAACCAACTCGTTGGCGCGACGCAACAACTCCGCGGCGACAATGACGACAGAGGTAGTACCGTCACCGATTTCCTTATCCTGCTGCTGAGCGAGCTCGACGAGGATGCGACCGGCGGGGTGCTCCACCTCGAGGAGGGAGAGAATGGTCGCACCGTCGTTGGTGACGGTAACATCTCCAATATCGTCGACGAGCATCTTGTCGAGACCGACGGGACCGAGGGAGGATTTGACAACGTTGGCGATAGATTGAGTCGCCAAGACGTTCTGGTCTCTCACATCCTGTCCGGAAACCTTCTGGCCTCCCAAAACTGTGTAAACATCGTTAGCAACCACCTCTTTTCGGGTTATGAAACGGAACCGCGCGTACAGAGAGCACCACCACCCATTGATTGCGAAAACATAGCTGACATATTGGCTGATCTTGTTCACAACACTTTTGTCAACTGCTCTCTATACAGTCAACGCGAGTTTACGCGGTGTCTACTAGCCGGGCACTGCTTCCCTGCGCAATCCAGGGGTCCCAGGCCTCTCAGGGTAACTGCTCCTAATTTTGGTAGCAGACAACGTTGGGAGGAGGCCTTCGATAACAGGATATCTTGCAAGAGCTACGAGCACTGCGCATCCTCACGACGCAAATGGCCTCCGTTAACGACGTTACCTCTGCTCTCCAGGCTCTCAGCGTCTCGGCTGATGTCAAGTCCCATGAGGCTGTGAACAACGCCGCTACTTGGCGCGTTGCTTTGGGATCTGTGGAGGGATTGCCGGAGTACCTCTTGACGTGAGTCTTTGATCTCTCTACCTTGTCGGTTTTTGGTTATTATTGGATGTGTTTACTAATGGCGTGTGTAGCAAGACCCTCGCGTTGAAGCCCAAGACTCCGAAGTCTCAGACCGCAATCCCCATCATCCTCTTCGCGCTCGATGACACCGAGACTCCCTCCGCTGCCGTCTGCAAGGCCGTCGGCGCCAAGGAGGCTCGTATGGCCGCTGCCGACCTCGTCCAGTCCACCCTCGGCGTCTCTGTTGAGGCCGTCTCTCCCTTGTCCATCACCAAGGAGAACGCTGCCGCCGTCGAGGTCGCTCTCGACTCCCGCATCGCTGCTGCCACCGAGAAGCTCGCTATCCACCCTGCCGCCTCCGACAAGACCATTTTCATCTCCGCCGCCGACTTGAAGAAGTACCTTGAGGAGACTGGTGTTAAGGTTACCGAGGTTGACTTTGCTGCCGCCAAGGCCCAGGGTGCCGCCGTTGGAAAGCCCGAGGCCAAGAAGGCCCAGGAGAAGGCCCCTAAGGAGGATGCTAAGATCGATGGTGCTGCTCTCATTGGTATCACCACCAAGAAGGACGTCGATTTCTCCGGATGGTACCAGCAGGTGTTGACCAAGGGTGACATGCTCGACTACTACGACGTCTCCGGATGTTACATTCTTAAGCCCGGATCGTACTCTGTCTGGGAAGCCATCCAAGGCTGGTTCGACTCCGAGATCAAGAAGTTGGGTGTCGAGAACTGTTACTTCCCTCTCTTCGTTTCCTCGCGAGTACTGGAGAAGGAGAAGGACCACATCGAGGGTTTCGCTCCCGAGGTCGCATGGGTCACTAGGGCTGGTCAATCAGAGTTGGAGGAGCCTATCGCTATTCGTCCTACGTCCGAGACTGTGATGTACCCTTACTACGCCAAGTGGATCCGTTCCCACCGTGATCTTCCCCTTAAGCTCAACCAATGGAACTCTGTCGTCCGATGGGAGTTCAAGAACCCCCAGCCTTTCCTCCGTACTCGTGAGTTCTTGTGGCAGGAGGGTCACACCGCTCACCTTACCCACGACGAGGCTGCCGAGGAGGTCTACGCCATTCTCGACCTTTACCGCCGTGTGTACGAGGAGTTGTTAGCTGTCCCTATGATCAAGGGTATTAAATCCGAGAAGGAGAAGTTCGCCGGAGGTCTCTACACCACCACCGTCGAGGGCTTCATCCCCACCACTGGTCGTGGTATCCAAGCCGCCACCTCCCACTGTCTCGGACAGAACTTCTCCAAGATGTTCGGAATTAACGTCGAGGACCCTAACCAGAAGAAGGAGGAAGGAAAGGAGGCCGCGAAGATCGATGTTTGGCAGAACTCTTGGGGATTGTCAACTCGTACCATCGGTGTCATGGTCATGACCCACGGAGATGACAAGGGATTGGTGTTGCCCCCGCGAGTCGCACAGACGCAGGTCGTCATCGTTCCTTGCGGTATCACCGCCAAGTCCACCGACGAGGACCGCGCACGGATTAACAACGCATGCAAGGACCTTGCTGCGCAGTTGGTGTCGATGGGCGTCAGGGCTAAGGCCGATGTTCGTGACATCTACTCCCCTGGATACAAGTTCGCGCACTGGGAGCTCCGGGGTATTCCTCTCCGTCTTGAAATCGGTCCTAAGGATTTGGAGAACAAGTCTACTCTCTCCGTTCGTCGTGACACTGGCGTCAAGGCTTCCATCGCTATGGACGAGCTCGCTACCGCTATTCCTGCCCTTTTGGAAACTATCCAGAAGGACATGTTCACCAAGGCTCAGTCCACCTACCACTCCCGTGTCAAGGAGGTCACCGAATGGAAAGACTTCGTCCCCGCTCTCGACGCCAAGTGTGCTGTCCTTATCCCCTGGTGCGAGGCTGAGGCATGTGAGGACTCCATCAAGGAGGAATCCGGAAAGAGACCCGAGGGCGAGGTCGTCGATGACAAGGCTCCCTCGATGGGTGCGAAGAGTTTGTGTATCCCGCTTGAGCAGAAGCCCTTGCCGGAGGGTGCTAAATGTGTTGGATGTGGTGTTGCGGCGAAGAGGTGGGGATTGTTTGGTCGTTCGTACTAGAGAGGAGATGTTCGAGCATGGACGGTATATGGGATATGAGAGGCGTTAGGGGTGTAAGATTTAGAAGCAAAAGCTTAATCAAATACGGAACATTTTCGAACGCTTTGCATGGATCCTGGGGTTCTTATCTGAATATGGCCGCTGCACGGTGCAGGGCTTAAGCACTCCACACTGACCGGGTTCCCACCCAAATCACTCACTCATACAACTCAACTGCTCTGATCTCCACACCCAAGCAGAACTGATTCGCCATGGCAGAAGACTCGTACGAATCCGTCCTCTTCATAGCCAAAGAGGTGTGGTGCTGTTCGCCTCCTATCGCAGCTGAGCTAATAACATCGCACAGGTCTCCGTCTACCGCATCCCACCCCGCCAATCCTCAAAAGGCCACAAAGCCTCCGACTGGGACGCACCCCGCTCCTTCCTCTGGTCCGGTCGTCTCCGCGTCATCGAGCGTACACCATCATCCTCATCCGGTCCACCTACCTGTGTGGTGTTGTTGGAAGATCCGAATACCGGAGAGTTGTTCGCGGCATGTCCATACACCGGTCCGCATAGTGTAGAGCAGGTCTTGGATTCAAGTAGGTATTTCGTGGTTACTGTTGAGGATGCAGGGAGGAGGGCGTGGCTTGGGCTGGGGTTCAGTGAGAGGAGCGAAGCGTTTGATTTCAACGTTGCGTTACAGGATTTCGCAAGGGTCCGACTGACTTGTTTCATCCGTTCAATTACAGGATGCTGATAGTCTGTTGTACAGCATTCCAAACCAGTTACTTCAACCCCGTCAGCTTCAGCGGCGAAGAAGGATGTACCACCACCTCCACCAAAAGACTACTCCCTCAAAGAAGGACAAACCATCAACATCTCCATCGGTGACAAAGGACGGCGATCACGGCCTTCGAAACCGTCTCCATCCGGTTCGTCCGGTAGTACTGGAGCTATTCCGTTCCTCCCACCACCACCTAGTGCGGACCAGGTTCGAGCACAGAAGGCACAGAATGGGTCTGATTTGTTACCACTGCCGCCTATTGCAAGGCAAGTGAGGGAGGAGCCGGAGATTGAGGTGAAGGATAGTGCGGTGGATCTGGGGTTTGATGACGATTTTGGGGAGTTTCAATGATGATGGGATATGTGAATGGAAGCAGACCTTGATAGTTTCTTGGCGTTATCTGTTCTATCTCATATTGAGGAATCCAAACTCGATACTCACCCTAAACGTATGGTCATTATGTCGGCAAACTCGGCACCAGCATGAGCATCAACAGAAAAGAAACCCGGTGTCATATCTCCCTCATCCGGTGTCATACCTGCCGTAAGATCCGATGTCTTAGAGCTTCAACGGTGGTGTTCTTGGAAGCACTTCGTTGTCTGGGGCGCGCATTGGGTTCGAATTCAGGTGGAAGCTATCGATGTCAACGTTGCTAGACTTGTCGGCTGGGTAAATGAACTGCCGGAGCTCAAGGGCATGGCCCGTCCAGCAACTCCCACTGATCGAGTATGTCGTCGATCAAATTAATGCACTACAGGTTTTACGGGTGCTGGTGGAAGCTATCGATGTCAACCTCAGCCTCAGCCCTCTGCGCGGTGGAGTCTTGACTCGTTGCGGTGGTCGGTTAAAAGCCGCCCCCAAGGTCCGCCTGCGTACATAGTCCCAATTCCGCAGAAAGATCGGGTCTGGAACTCTCGATAAGGCCCGGACTGGATCCAGGATCCAGAATCTCCGATGTAATGGAGCTGTCTCAGCCGGGGTCCAATGCTTGCAAAACGGCGCCGGCCGCGGTGCACGTTGGAGTGGAGCACGTTGTCTTGCGATCGTGAAGTCACCAAGTCCAGCTTGATTTGCAAAAAATCCTCCGTTACGGACTGATGGGCGCGATACAAAATCTCCCTGGGTCCCCTCAGCTTCGGCTGTCGTTTCGAATTCCTGATCGTAATATAGAGCATTCCGCAGTTCATTTCGGCATAGCAACGATTTGGAGATTACGTTGAGTCGCGACAGACCCCGGTATCGCTATCGGCTTATTTCAGGGAGAGTAACCCTACTGTTTACTGTCACGAGACGGCTCGGGGTTGTTTCGTGTTGAACGACGACGGCACCGTGACGGTCATTCCTTGACTTACCGCGGTTAACCTGTCAGTTTGCTGGCAGTCTTCGTTATTGTCTCCTGTCATAAGGAGACGGAAGGGCATCTGGATCTTGGGAGAAGAGAAGAATCTTGAGGAATGTCATCATCACCTCTCTCGACACCATCAACGATATCTATGTTACCTTCACCAACCTACGCACAACGCCGCACAACGCGTCCAACATCCCTCCTCTTTGGACAAACCTCACCACTTCGCTACCCAGCCAGCAGCAAGAACGTCTCGTCCGTTTCCGTTCCCGCGAACTTGTGTCTACAAGCCGAGCCCTTCTTCATCATTCAACCCCAGCATAGTTCCACCTCGATTCTAGACAGCGTCCCACGCACCCACCTACAAGCTGAAAGTGGACCACAATGGGTGGACCCAACTACACCCACTGCAGCGACGTTCGCACACCTCCCAGTTCTCCGCCGCACAGATTCCCGTCTCTCGGTCCTAAGGGGTGCAGAGACCGTTGAAGCTTGGGTCGATTCCGTGGAGGACAGTCCCGTCGATTCCCACATTGATGGTATCGATTTTCCTGAGTTGTGGATTGGTGAGAATGTCGGGTTGCAGAACCTCGATGTTGAGGGCGTTGAGGGTGGGAAGAGGTTGCATAGGGCGAGGAGTATGATTGCGAGTCCGGAGCATGGGGTTGAGCATGTTGAAGCGTGGACTTCTCCTACTGAAATGGACATGGAACACGGAAGGGAGGACCAAGAGGATGAAGGGAAGAGGTTGAAGAGGGCGAGTCTCATCTCGCGGGATATCTTGACGGAGTATGCACGTCGGTTGTCGTTGTTTGTCCAAGAAGCAACGGAGAACGAGGAAAATGAGGAAGAGGAGAATGTTGTGCAGGAGTTGCCCTTCATCGACGTCGTCACGTCGTCACCATTCGTTGCCCGTACTCCTACTATTACAACCGGTTTCTCTCCGCGAAGCTCCAACTTTGTGGAGGCGATTAGGAAGTCACGCACGACTATGAAAGGGAGCACATCAACCTACGAACGTCACCCCAGCGGTGCCCGCTACACCCAAACCTTCCCCTTCATCCGCCACGACAGCGAACCCATCATCAAACCCCTTCCACCCACCGTCTCCACCTCTCCCATCACCACCACCGACCGCGTCGAAACAGCCTCCTCCATCGCATCCATCACATCCGTTAGATCCCTCCCGGTCCGGACGAGTACTCTCCCACCCTCAACCTCAACCTCGCCCTTCACCAACTCCGGCGTTTGGGTCGAGGCGCGTGCATTGCCGAGGGGGAACACGCTCGGGAATGGGCATGGTGGTAGCGAGACAATTACCGTCACGCCGTTTAAGATGCCGAAGGTGGCACGTGGGATGCCTAGGTCGCGTACCAGTATCAGTCTTTTAGGTTGGGTTGAACGGTGTGAGGGTGCGAGTGGTGTTACGTCTACGTCTGGTCTTCTGGGTTTGGATCACTCGGGGGGTACAATCACGACCTCCGAGACTTCGTCGTCCGCTGCGAGTGTCATGACGACGGATGTGGATGGCGAAGATTACTGGAGCGGATGGGCAAGGAGGAAACCGAGGGTCGTGAGACAGATGCAGCAAGGTCAGGCGAGTGATTTGCCGGCGGACAGGGTGAGGAACGGACATGAGGGCGTCAAATGGGGACGTCACGGACAACGACTCTCCGAGGAGTAGGACTACATGGTCACCCACGGCGCATCATCATTTTGGATCGGAGTTTCTTATTACACGGAGGAAACTTGGCACACGCGCCTCCGCTGGTCTTTGGCGTTTACTTGAAGAGTTATTTGGATACCCTTCCGATGGAGAAGGAGGATATGCGAGGAATTCCAGGGGCAGGTTTTGGTTATGTTATTGCATAGCACAGACAGTCTTTTCTCATACTTTGAGCTACATTTGAATACGAACGATGTGAATTCACTTCACCGGGCGGAGCATAGTTGAAGTGACGAAGAAACATCCAGCTCACGACCATGGGCTTTCCAGAGACCTGGTCTGCTACTTTAACCAAGTGCAACGACGATGGAGTTGGAGTACGTCGTGGCGCATGCTGCTGAGCCACAGCGCGACCGGCCCTTAAAACCCGGACAACTCCCTCGTAAATGACTGACTGCAACTCAACAACCAATTGCAGTTGGCACATACTTCTTTACAGTTGGACGACACTTGAGGGTGCAGTGGCACATTTTACGGAGTGTAATATCCTGGAAGTTGGCACTGCAACCATTAGTCTCGTCCATCCCACGCTCTCGTTTTTTGTCGGTACCTTTTCCACTACCTCGACTTCGGTCAGGGTAGACGGTGTGTAGGATATCGGTTCACGATGAGAGTAGAGCACAAATACGGGATACCTTTTTTACGGCTTGACCTGGGCTTTCGAGTCCTTTGATGTCTTTGTTGTTATACGCGGTAACTACATACCAAGATGAAGGAACGAGATGAAGCTTAATGTGATGCGGATGTCATGATTAGCAATACTGAATTATTTCCCTATAATGATTGTTGATACCGTACGCTTACACCAATTTCTTTTTTACGCGTATGCTCCCTTCCCATCCAAAATTCCATTGCCGCTCTCATACTTGACTGACAACCAAACCCCTACCCTCCTTGGTCCACCTATACAACCCCAACACCTCTCTGACCTTTGCGCGATTAGCATCCTCTGCGCGCTCATCAACCACCCCACCTCTCTTTTTCTTGACGATACTGATCGTGCCGCTCATGATCCTCCTGAAGTTACGCTGGTACGCAGTGTCGAGCGTACAAATAGCACTTTCGTGTGCACGGACAAGACCTTCGCAGGCCGAAATGACAGACTGGTCCGGGTCAGGGAGCTGATCGAGGATGAGGAGGAGCAGGAAGGATCCCTGCAACAAGTAAATCCCAGAGAAGAATGGCAAGTACGAGATTGACGGATCAGCAACGAGGATCCGCCCCACGGCTTCAGCAGCTTGTACAGCATGCGCCGTAGCATCCAAGAACTCCGGGCTCGTGATCCACCCATCAATATCGTCGAGCATTTCGAGCGCGTCCCATTTGCCTGATAGAAGAATATGCAGCGTATGCATGATCTGCTCAGCATAAGCCCTAAAGGGACCCTCATCCATCCCGTCGGCCGGAACAAAGTTCCCCAAGCTGATCCTGTACCCTTCCAGATGCGCTGAAATGACCGCCTTCATATCCTGCTGAGCTTGTACGGACGGTGCGAGCGTCGGGTGTTGCATCGCATTGTGCAAATGAACAATCTCCCCCAAGATACACATCAACGGCAAAAAGAACTCGAACACCCCCCTTCCTCTCACCTCAAAGAAAACCCCGCTACCCTTAGGGCCTCCATTCTCCACCAAGTCAACATCAGCTTCCCATACGACATCATCGATCGGCCACCTCAACTTTTCGCATTCCCATTCGCCGAGCATGAGAGGCCGGTGATAGCACAACGCTAAATGCCTGTCAACCGCAAACAAGATCCACCACGTCCGTCTTCGTTCCTCACGTTCTTCCTCGGTGAAGTTTTCCAGAGCATCGCCTTCCTGGTTAGGCTCCTCGTCCCCTTCGGAGAACCCAGACTCGCGGTTCAGATTCAACTCCCTCGCCAAGGTCCACGCAGCATTCCACCACCTCAAACTAACCCCTTTGAACTCACTCGCACTGATAATAGTTCCAAGCTGGATATACGTAATAACGTCGTCCAACACCCCCCCACTCTCATGCCTCAACGGCTTCAACTCCTCAAGACACAGTTCAAACAACCGATGCACGACGCGGTTCCTCGTCACTGGACTCGAGCTCAAGGCAGTATGCTCAGCATGATGTGACGCAACGCACAACATAGCATACACCAACGCCTTCGTCGTCTTCCTCGGATTTGTTTTGTCGAGGATCGAACTGCGCCTGATACAATATCCCAAAACCAACGGCGAATTATCGAAATACGTCTCCAACAGACTTGCAGCAACATCCGCTCCGATAATCGGCGCAAGCGCTGGAAGTAGGGGGTGTAGGATCGGATATTTGCACGTCGGTGGAACATGCGTTCTGTTCCCGGGATGCGGTAGACGGGGGAATGGACTGGTACCCATACCCGCTACAACGCCTACACCGGGGAAGGAGGTATGCGTTGGTGCCTGACTCGTAGGAATGCCCAGAGGGAGAGGTGCAGGAGCAGGGGCGGGGGTATTCGCGATCGTTCCGGGGCCCGAAAAGATCCCGCCGAATGAACCTCCAGGACTAAAGGAATGCGATGTGGTCGTAGCACCCGGTCCAGGTCCAAGCCCAGGCTGAACTCGCTGCACGGCTTGCTGTTCATACCCGTACCCACCATACCCGCCCACACTCCCACCCTGAGTATGTCCCATCCCTCCTCCACCATACGACCCACCAACAGGTCCCATACTAGCCTGTTGCATGGGTGCAGCGGGTAACAATGGCTGTTGCGCAATCTGCGGCTGTGCGATCGGTAGATAAACCCCTGACGAAAACGTATCGTTCATAGCGTCATTACTGTAAGGTTGTTGTGATATCTGCGTTCGCATGTCTGATACGGGCGGGGTGTATTCTGTCTGGAGCGGGGTCATTCCACTCGGTGCCGCCGAGGTCAAGGTTGGGAACGTGCCCGAGCTGCCGTACGGGGTATGCACACCCGTCGTATACCCTTGCGCCTGCTGCTGATGCTGCTGTGGATGTTGCTGGTGGTGTTGATGCTGATACTGGCCATAATGACCATGCGTATCAGGACTCGACACACTAGCATTCCCACTCACCGGCTGATGCGACGTAATGCTTGATGTCCGACTGCCCTGCAAATCCCTCTGTACCTGTTGCGGACTCTCCGTTTTGTAGGATACATTGGAGTAAGCGGAGTGCTGTTGTCTCCCTACATCGGGACGGAGTTGTGCTGCTTGTCGATGTAATCCGGGTCCGCCGTCATGATATGAGGGACTTCCCGTGGAAGGTCCGGATCCTCCGGGCTGCGACATACCCGACGACTGCGGCTGCGGCTGCGGCGTCCTCGTCGTCGTACCCTTCGCAACTCCCCTCTTCTTCGGAATCCGGGTATACTCACACAACGTCCCCGTTTCTGCACGTACGTATAATTAGCCTAAACGCTCATACCCGTAATGAAACATCAGAAAGCTTACCTAAACACCTTTCACATGGACATCCGCCTCCGCAGCGAGTACGGAGGATGTTGCATTGATCGCAGGCTCGGGAGACGCGTTTGCGTTTTTCGCCTTGCGGGGTGGAGGAGCTGTCGTCGTTGCTGATGGGGCGGGGTGGGCCGTGAACTGGAGGCTGTTGGGAGTTGGAAAGGGCCGAAGAAGTGGTGGAGGGCATCATTGTGGCCGGATCACAATGCGATGTTGTTACCAAGGCAAATACGATGACCAGCTTGGTCCTTAACGACGTTCAGCGGCGCGGTACAGGTGCGATGCGACAGCACGACAGCACCTGACGTCGCCGACTGGGAGAGAAGCGCAAGGCGCAGCTGAGAGCGCCTCGACGGCTTTTTCGAAAGCAAACACTAAATGCTCGATCTCAACAACTGCCACCCACCAGAACTGTCAAGCCAAAGAATGCTGCCCAGGCTGTACTGTATGCTCTCTTTTCCTGATTGAATGCGCGACGTGCAGCGCTGCAGACTCCGAACCGGCGAAAACTCCCCACCGCAGCACTTCCGCACTGGGGAACATGAAGCGATGTAGCGCTAACTTTAGCAACGAATGGCTTCGGAGCGGACGCCGGAGCGTACGACGGACCTCGGAGGGTCTTGAAAGGAAGAAATAATGGACTGTTTACATCCGTCGTTATGCTGAGTCGGCTGGGCCTTCCTTCGTTGACGTCGTCTATCGCTATCCGGTGGATGTCGATACCGATATCGACAGGATTCGGATGACGAGTGAACTATCTGGAGACAGTGATCAGAGGTGACAGGCCTGTATGGTTGACATGCATCTGACTTGTATGCTGAGCTTCTCCGGCTTGGCTTTCCCTCCTCATATGTTATCCCGCGGTCGGGGCATACGTTGATATCGATATCAAACGGAAGGAGACAATCCAACGGACCAGACTACCACGGCCAGCTTCAGATGTAGTAGATGGTATTATTAGAAACCAAAGCTTAAGAAATAAGTTCAAAAGGCTACCGTGCCAATTCAATAGCAACGTACCCAATAGACAGACAAGACAGACCCAATAGAAAAAGATAATCGGAAAGACCCAACATAAACGATCGCGAACAACGACAACATATGTAAAAAAAGAAAAAGATAGCTGTAGAGGCCAACGTGTCTGTAGCCAACCCCTTTTGACAACTCAGCTCGCGATTTATCCCATACATATCGCACTTCCCCACCCTGCCTTCCATAACTTACTCGCACGTCACTCGCAACATGCCGCATAGCACCGCCAATCCCAAACCTTTCTCACACAGCTCAGAGAATGATACACCCCCCACAACACCCCGCCGAACCCGCACTTCTTCCCTCATCCATATCCATCCTTCCACCACTCGCAACCCCGTTCTTCGCACCACTCTGATCCTTGTTGTACCGCCTGATCTCGCGCACGAGGTTATAGAACGCTTCGTCGACGTTGATGCGTTGTTTTGCCGACGTCTCAATGAAACGGCAGTTGAACTGACGTGCGAGCTCCTTGCCCTCTGTATTTCCCAATCAGTCCCTGTACGCAAAAATACGAAGAGTAGAGGAAGCGTACCAGCCTGCGACACCTGCCTCTCCGCCTCCAAATCACATTTGTTCCCCACCACAATTACCGGGAAATAATCCTTATCCTTTACCCTCAGAATCTGTTGCTGGAAAGTTTGGATTTCTTCGAAAGAGGAGCGGGAGGTGATGGAGTAGACGAGGAGAAAGCCTTCGCCGGTACGCATGTATTGTTCGCGCATGGCGGAGTATTCTTCTTGGCCGGCTGTGTCGAGGACGTCGAGGAGGGCGACTTCGTCGTCGATGAGACATTGTTTGCGGTAGGAATCTGTGCCATCAAGGGTCAGCTCCGGCTCAAACCAACTTAATGCACCGGTTGTGAGGTGAAGCGTGCGTTGCAAAGCGCATTCATCCCATCCTCCACACCTGCCCTCCCGCGACGCACACTTCACCCGCTTCACCACCGACGCAAATCACACGGAACTCACCTTCGATCGTAGGATCATACTCATCCACGAAATGACTCTGAATTAACTGAATTGTCAGGGCGGATTTACCGACACCTCCACCACCGACCACCACCAACTTGTATTCGCGGAGGAATGCTGCCTGTGTATGCACATGTCAGTACCCCCCTTACGGCTTACAAACACCTTCTGCGTCGCTTTGGCGACTGCGCTGGGTGAACAAGGGCTCATCGAGCTCGGCAATGGCTCCTGGAGAGATAAAGGGGCCGAGCGAGAAAAAGACCCAGCGCAGTGCGATAGAGGGAGCGAGCGACGAGAGGAAGGTAGTGCGTACCTTTGACATTGCGATTGAATGTTATAGACTGAACTCGCTGAGATATATGCGTGCCGATATCTCGTATAACCGAAGAACCAGGAGAGATAGAAGGAGAGTACCGACAGACGTTACGTGTTATCCAAGAAAACAAGCGTTCGAAGACTGCAATTGCTTGTTGTCCAGAGGGTTGAATGGGAAGGGACGCTCTCGGGGGTTCAAGCGTGCTGCGAGCTCCCTGTCTTTGTGTTGGTCGCGGCTTCAGGCACGGGTCTGCATGCGGCAGTTGGAGGTTGCAATGGAGCAGCGTCCCTTTGCGCGCGAGCGAGGGCTGGCGAGGAAACCTTCTCCGCAACGAACAGTCGATGCTGACCATTGGGGTACCCTACTATCTTTTCTTATGTCTGTCTGTCTCTCTGTTCGTCGCATGATGAACGGCAACGCTACCGCGGCGGCGCCTGCGCATTCTGCCCCTCCTCCTTCCACTGCTCCCTCTCTACCCGATCGTAACTCTCTCTCTCATCAATCCACCGCTCCTGTACATCCCTAACATTATACTCCTCCCCCCACCCTCCCCTAACCGCAACAGCCCAGACATCATCCCCAGCCCCCTCCGCACTCCCGAACGCGTACCCTCCTGCGCGATCAATGTTGTTAAGGAGTTTCGTCATTGACTTCTTGTCTTCTACGGCGAGCGTTTCGAAGGCGACGAGGGAGAAGGATTCGATTAGTTCGGTTATTGCGGTGTTTAGGGAGGCGTATTTTGCGAGGCGGGGGTCGGCCTCGAGGAGGGGGAGGAGGTAGGAGAGGTCTTGGACTTCGGTGTAGAAGTCGAGATTAAAAGCTGTCTCCTTGTCAGTACGTTGTGTCAAACTAAAAGAGGGAGGAGAGATATACCTAGCTTCCCATATCGCTCCAGTAAATCAATCTTCGACAGAACGTTGATATGCGGCAAATCCATCGCCAACATACTCCTCAAACTCAACAACAACACCGAGATATACTTGGCCGGATCCGTACAGTAATGTGCGTCCACAAGATGTACCACCACGAGTCTGTACCCCAGCTTCTCGACCTTCCGGAATATTCTCTGTAGTGACCCATCGTGTGTGAAAAGCTCCACTTGGCCTGGACAATCCAGCAGGACATAATCATCACCTAGCTTCTTCAATCCGTTTTCTAGCCAGTCCCAGTTCTCCTCTAATACGTCCAGAGCATGGATAATCCCACCATTTGGCCCCAAATTCTCTGCTTCCATGATGTCGTCCAGCGTGACCAGGTCTTGCACATCCAAAGCACATGGATATGATACATGATCATTTGCTGGGTCGAGATTTACGACCGAGCACTTGCGGCCAATTGCGGACATGAATTGGTGCATTCCATTGCAATATGTAGTCTTTCCTGAGCCCGGTGGGCCGATGACAATCTGTGCGCCGCTCGTTAGCAATAGGAACGCAGAAATGCTGGAACACATACCTGTGCGAAAGGCATAACGGCTTATGAAGATGTATGGAACTGTGCTGGCTAATATCGTAGTGCTTCACTGAGGATAATATGGCGAGACTACGTTACGTGGCTGATGCAAGCTGAGCCACTCGTATGCGCATTCTGGAAGCCGCCAATTAGACAAGTCTATCCCATAGTTCTTCAAGTCCCCAGTCCCTAAACCTACTCCCTCTCCCAAACCAAGCACTTCCCATCCCTCGCCTCCCTCATGGCATACTCCCAATGCTCCTTCTCCGCCATCTGCTTTCCCCACGGGATAACCACCGTCTCACCCATCTCACCAGCAATGAACCTCCCCGCCTGCATCTTGTACTTCTCCACATTCCTCCGTAACTCGACGACGGGGGCGAGGTAGTGCTCGTCACTCAAGATCCAGGTACCCCAGTGAACCCCGACGGCTCTCTCCGCGTCAAGCTCGAGGGCGATCTTGACAGCGTCTTCGGGGTCGATGTGTTGCGTGCACAGATGCCATCTCGGTTCGTAAGCGCCAATGGGAAGTAGAGCGAGTTTGGGCGATCCATAGTTCTTCTTGATGAGCGGGAAGAGATCCTTCATATACCCGGTGTCACCAGCATGGTAAAGGATGTTCTCGTTGTTGTGCATCATGCAGAATCCAGTCCAGAGGGTAGTATTCGTATCCAGCGGTGTCCGTGCAGACCAATGCATAGCCGGAACCGCAACGACCTCGAATGCGGTGTTGGAGCGAACTGGGGCGAAGTCCCACCACTCCATCTCTGTGACACGGAAGACTCCGAGATCGTTGAACCAATCCTTCATACCCATCGGGACGAACCACTCCGCCGAGTCACCGATAGCGAGAACAGACGCTTCCTCCAGATGGTCGTAGTGATTGTGCGAGACGAGGACGACATCGATCTTACCCAGACTCTCAAGCGTAGCTGGGACAGGACGGATACGGTCGACTTTCATGAATGTTGGAAGTTCTGAGTTGTCGGACGGAAGCGAAAAGGAGAAAACAGGGTCGGTCAAGACGGTGAGGGACCCGAGTTGGACGTGGACGCAAGACTGCCCGAGCCAGGTGTAAACGATACGGTCTTCGACGGCAGGAATTTCGGGGACTGGTGCAGAGTCTTGAACGAGGACAGCAGGAATGGTGGTCAACATTGGTACAACGGTCTCGTCGGAGTTTGGGTTGGATTCTGGTTCGTCGGTTGATGAGGTAGACTCCATCGTGGCCCAGCTTGCGCTGAGCGGATCATCCAGTGCCACAGCCTCAACAATTTCCTGTCCAGGTGCAACCAAGTCATGCAAAGCAATCATCTCAGCCTCCTCAACCTCAGTCACCTTATCTCCTGAAGCCTCAATGAGCAATGCAAAGTCCGGGGTGTAAAGCGGTATCGTACGCTCCAAGACTGTCTTATCCCAAGGAAGTCCAGCAGGGTTAATGAAGTTCCATGTGACGAGCTTATGCAGTTTCCAGTAGAACCATTCCCAGATACCCTGTTCTCTCCACTCCGGGAAAGGGTTCCAATATCGTCCAGCGTGCTTGTAGACCTTGAATCTCTCCCTCTCGTCAACCTCCGCCTCACCCGCCTCCTCATCCTGCTCCTCTGCCGCCTCCTTTGCCTTCTCCTGATGTCTCCGTCTCCTGCCACGAATCGTCTTTCGTCTCATTGTCTCTCCGTAAGCAAGATACAACCCCATCCCCCCAACCGCAACCAACAAAGGCGTCGTCACAAACGGCGAGTACGTCCTCACCAACCCAAGCACCTGCACCCCAAATCCATCCCTTTTCGGACCGCCTAGGAGAATCAGCGGCATCCCTGGGATAGGGATTACGGTTGACTTTTTGCTGTGTTTTGTAGTTGGGAATAAGGTTTGGGTTCAGTCCCTGCATTCCATCCTCAGAACGGCAAAAAGCACTACGAAGCCCCCCGCACAGACAACAATCAAACCAAGATATACAACAATGCCACCGAAAGGAAGAAGACAAGCGCCGAGCTCTTCTACTCAGCGACAAGCGAAGAAGGCTGTGAGCTTTACGGAGTCTGCGCCGGGGTCTGTGGCATATGATCCTAACGACTTGAGCTCTACCTTACAAGCTCAGGGATTATATGCCAAAGACGTTCTCGGAGATGGCAATTGTCTTTTCAGAGCGCTTTCGGATCAGTGCTATGGTGAAGTCTCGCATTATGCCGAAATCAGGGAGAAGTGTGTCGAGTACATGAAAGCCTACGAAGACGACTTTAAATGCTTCGTCGGTGAAGATGAAGAATGGGATCACTACGTTCGACGGATGGCATCAGATGGTAGTTTTCCACCGAGTTTGAAGCATCTTACACGCCGTGCTGATTGAGGACTACAGGCGTCTACGGCGATAACCTCGAAATCGTAGCTTTCGCCCGTTCCTACGACCGCGACGTCAAGATCTACCAACCCGGCCTCGCCTACATCGTCTCCTCGAACCCTTCCTCAACACCCGAAGAATCCGCTGCACGCGCCAAAGAGAACCCTGCAAACCTCCTCCATATCGCATACTACTCCTGGGAACACTACGCTTCCGTCCGGAACATCAGCGGCCCGCACACAGGCCCACCGGAAATCGCCTATAGACCGACTGTTGAGGAGAAGAAGGAGACGAAGAGGAAGGCGAAGGTAGATGCTGTGAAGGAGAAGATTGTATTGGCGAGTTTGAGTCATCCTGTGGGTGTTGAGGCTGTACGGAGAGCGCTGGAGGATGCGGGTGGAAGTGTAGCTGTTGCCGTAGAAAAGTTGCAGCAAGCAGAGGCCGAGAAGGAGGCAAGCGGACTTGTGGATGGGAAGGAGGAGGAGCGGAATGAGGCTCTTGTTGGAAGTGCGGTTATTGCTGAGGCAGGTGCGGCAGAGGAGAAGGCGAAGGACGAGGAGCCAGCGAAGGAGGAAGTGAAGCCAGCGAAACCAGTACGAACAAAACCCGTTGCTGCACCGGCAGTCAAGGCAGCGCGTATGTCGGCTGCCCAGCGCAAGGATCTGGCGAAGAAGAAACAGAAGGAGCAAGCGAAGCTGAAGAGGCAGAACGAGTTTGTCAATGGAGAGGATGTGAGCAAGATTGCCGACGCAATGAAAACGGTGCATATCTAAGATACCATAGCGAACGAGTTGAGAGCATAATGGGGCAAGAAAAGGCGATGAACCGGAAGTGCAATGGCGAACGAGGCAGCACCAAGATATCATGGAGTAACAAGGAAAGGACATTAAGCGCATAGACAATATGAAAAGATGCATTTTTAACCCGGTTGAGCGGGGTTCGATATGTTATGAGTAAAAACCGAAGTGTTGAAACGCCATACCCAGAAACCAATAAAAGATAACAGAAAACCCAACCATATCGTACGCCAACTCCCTTACACAACTAGCAAGAGGTCAACATTTAAGCGTCAGACCAAACCTCCTCAGCAACCTCAATGCAAAGCTTCAACTTGGCCCACTGGTCAGCAGGAGTAACCTCGTTACCCTCAGCAGTAGAGGAGAAACCACACTGAGGAGACAAGCAAAGCTGCTCAAGAGGAGCGTACTTGGCAGCCTCAGCGATACGGGCCTTAAGGGACTCCTTGGTCTCCATGTTGGCGTGCTTGGAGGAGACAAGACCGAGGACAACGGTCTTGTTGGGGGGCAAGAAGCGGAGGGGAGCAAAGTCACCGGAACGCTCGTCATCCCACTCGAGGAAGTAGGTGTCGACGTTGAGCTCCTGGAAGAGGACCTTGGCAACGGGCTCGTAACCACCGGAAGCGAAGAAGTTGGAACGGAAGTTACCACGGCACAAGTGGACACCGACGACCATGTCCTCGGGGACGCCCTCGAGGGAAGCGTTGATAAGCTTGGCGTAGTTGCGGGGGAGGGCATCGACGTCCTCACCACGCTGGGCGGCAGCCTCACGCATCTTGGGGTCGCAAAGGTAAGCGAGGTTGGTGTCATCGAGCTGGAGGTAACGGCATCCGGCATCGTAGAGGTTCTTGATCTCGACCTGGTAAGCCTTGGCGAGGTCGGTGAAGAAGTCGTCGAGGTTGGGGTAAGCCTCCTCAGAGATGGCCTGACGACCACCACGGAAGTGCAACATGGTAGGGGAGGGAATAGCAGCCTTAGCGACGAAAGGAGCCTTCACGTGGGGAGCGAGGAACTTGTAGTCATCGACCTGGATGTCCTTGACGTGGCGGATCTTGCCGACGACCTCGAGGGTGGGGGGCTTGTAGTCGGCCTTGTTGTCGGACTTCAAGTTGTGGTGGGCGACACGGACACCCTCGAGGTGCTCGAGGAAGTCGAGGTGGAAGTAGGCGCGACGGAACTCACCATCGGTGACGGACTTGAGACCGCACTCGCACTGCTCCTTGGCAGCTTGAGCGATCCACTTGTCCTCGACGGCACGGAGCTCCTCGGGGGTGATCTCTCCAGCAGCCTTCTTGGCACGGGCCTCGAGAAGCTCCTTGGGACGGAGGAGGGAACCGACCTGCTCGGCACGGAAGGGAGCATTGATCTTGTAGGCAGGCATGTTGATTTTTGGGAGTGGGTTGAATAGGGGTAGGAGATCGAGAGGATGGGAAGTAACGGAGTTTTAGGGACGGGAGCGTCAGCCGGGGATGGGTCCTCGAAGAATTTGCAGATGGCGCTAAGAAAGGCAAGGAGGGCAGAAATCAGAAATCACCGAACCGTGGACAGGGATAAAATACGTCGGTTGTTGATAGCCGGACATCACGGCAGGTCTACCGAGATTTCTGGAGTCGGGTAATCTTCCAGGTTGTCATCATGAATGTCGGTGAAGATGGGCATGGAGGGCTGGGAGACCGGCACGGGCAACGTGGAGCGTAAGCCCCGCTTCATACACTTTATACACTTCATGATAACCATGAAGGTACCAACCCCCATGTTGATCGGCCGGGGAATCGGTTGCGGGATCGGCCGAAGTGACAGGCCGTTGGGGGGCTTCGAGAAGCATGAAGACGGAAGAATGAACCGAGGACCTTGGCGTTTGTTACCCGACCGAAGACCTGGTTCGAATTGGAGGATAAGAGGTGGAGTTTGATGAGTTATGATCTGCCCCATAGAGCTTCTACTGACTGGGACATTCGCCTATTATGTCTGACGAGACCGTTTTCCCAGGATCATGGTTTATCCGTGAATGTGTGATGCGGTACTTGGAACTGGACAAAGGTGCCTGGTGAGGCGAGAATACGAAACCCCTGGGTATGTTCTCCACCAGATATGAGCATTGAACTCAATCGCTGTTTTATTTGCCGTCGGTATAGAATCAATTCCATAGCATTTTTCCGTGGTCGCTGGTCTCCGACGCCGTTGTACCAAGTCGAGCAAGTCGAACAGATTGAGTTTACGCACATCCCAACCGACGAGATTTGAAAACACCATAAGAAAACAAAGCTCATGCATTTTTGGTGTCCCAATACTCCCCATCCCCAAGCCATTTACTCTACCTACTTAGGACAAGGAAACTCCTTAGCCCAAGTCCTAACCTCCTCCTTCAACTCCATCAACTCCTTCACCTGCGTCCCATCTCCCAACTTCTCCTTAAAGTCCTTCAACTTCCCTCCATACTCCTCACTCAACCTCTGCGTAATTTTCACAGCACGGTCGATGTACCTCGCAGTCTTCCTGAAGTCGTCTTCATCGAATCCACGGGTCGTGGCAGCGGGCGTTCCAAGACGGAGGCCGGAGGGGATGAGAGCGGATTTGTCGCCGGGAACGGTGTTTTTGTTGGAGGAGATGTTGACGAGTTCGAGGACGCGCTCGACACGGGAGCCGTCGATGTTCTTGGAGCGGAGGTCGAGGAGGAGGAGGTGGTTGGAGGTTCCGCCAGAAACGAGATCGTATCCAAGCTTCAAGAATTCGTCGGCGAAAGCAGCGGCGTTCTTCACGACCGCAACCTGGTAATCCTTGAATTCCTGGGTCTTGGCCTGTCCCAACGCAACAGCCAATGCGGTGATAGTGTGATTGTGCGGACCACCCTGGTGACCGGGAAACACGGAAAAGTTAATCTTCTCCTCGAGGTCGTACATCACATCTCCCTTCTTCGTCGTCTTTCTCACGCCCTTACGGTAGAAAATCATCGCTCCACGGGGACCACGGAGGGATTTGTGCGTGGTGGTAGTGACGATGTCGGAGTGCTCGAAGGGGGAAGGGATCACGCCCGCGGCGACGAGACCGGAGATATGTGCCATGTCGGAGACGACGTATGCGCCGATTTTGTCGGCGATTTTGCGCATACGAGCGTAATCGTACAAACGCGCGTAGGCAGAGGCACCAACGACGAGAGCTTTGGGCCTGAAGAGCTCGGACGTGACCTCCAACTGGTCGTAATCGATCAATCCAGTCTCGATGTTGACGCGGTAGGGCATCGTCTCGAAATAAGTCGACACAGCCGAGATCTTCTTCGTGGGGATTTGGTATCCATGCGACAAATGTCCACCATGAGGAAGGTCGAGACCCATCAGACGGTCATGGGGCTTCATGATAGCTTGGTAGACGTAGAGGTTTGCGGGGGCACCGGACAAGGACTGCACATTCACGCCCCACTTCTCCGGGTCCAGCCCGAACACTTCGAGAGCGCGGCGTTGACAGGCGGATTCGGCTTGGTCGATGAATTCGTTACCACCGTAGTATCGCGCACCGGGGTATCCCTCAGAGTACTTGTTCTGCATAGGCGAACCCAGGGCGTCCATCACGGAGCGAGAAGTGTAGTTCTCGGAGGCGATGAGGACGATGGATTCCTTTTGTCTCTTGATCTCGTTCTGGAGGATGTTGGCGATCTCAGGGTCGGTCTCCGTCAAGGGAGCCTCCAAGAGGGACTGCTGAGAGGTGGAGAGAGCATAGGTCCTCTACTCACGATGGATTAGTCATGAGTCATACCAAAAATCGTCCATTTTCCGCGGGAGAAGTGGGAGGACGGAGCGGAAGAGCGAACCTTGAGGGCGGGTGCGTTGCGAGCCTGCCGCAGCAAAGAACGACGGGCCGTTGTAAGGAAAGACATTGTTGATCTGGTTGATCTCTGGTGTAGCACTTCACTTTCGCCTCGAAGTCGATGGGGGTTATTTTAGGTGAGGGCATGCAAGGCACACAGCAGTACCGTATCTACGTTACACCCAGTTGAGCTCCCCGAGTCTACTTTACAACAAGATGGACCCCAACGCTGATACTGAATGGAACGACATCCTCAGGGAGAAAGGCATCTTGCCTGAACGTCCCCCTTCCCCGACGGAAATGCTCGAAGAAGCCCTGCAACAATCCATCAAGGAAGCCCACGACCGCCGCCTCGAAGGCCTCGATATCGATGAATTGGACGACCTAGAAGACGACGAAGACGAGGAAATTATCGCCCTCTACAAAGCCCAACGCATGGCCGAAATGCGATCCCTCCAAGCCCGATCAAACCACGGCACCGTCACCCCCATCCAAAAAGTCGATTTCGTCCGCGAAGTGACAGAGGCCTCGAAAGGCGAGAACAACTGGGTGATCTGCTACCTCTACAAAGACTACCTCCCCGGCTGCAAAATCCTCGCGCCACTCCTGTCTCTGGTCGCCCGCCGCTACCCCTTCCTCAAACTGACCTCCATCCAATCCGACATGTGTATCCCCAACTACCCCGACCGGAATACCCCAACCCTTCTCTTCTACGGAAACGGAGATATGCGGAAACAACTTGTCGCTTGGACCGCGAAAAGGGTTGAGGAAGTTGAGGTGTTGCTGGAGCAGGTGGGGTGTTTGACGTTGGAGCAGATTAGGAGTGCGAGGAGGGCGGAGGGGGTTGATGCGGAGGATGAGGAGGCGGAGAGGGAAGTTGGGGAGGAGAAGGGGAGGGGGATTAGGAAGAGTGTTAGGACGACGGTGCCCGATGAGACTGATGATGATTGGGATTAGTCGGTTGAGGGGACATCCCTTGCAATGAGTATGGGCAAGGGACATGCGGAGGGAGCGTTTACGGTGATCGTAAACATGGTCGGAATAATGTGGCATTTGGAACGCATACGGGGAGAATACCTTCTGATTGAGAGAAGCATATGCAGTTAGGACAGTACTACGGTGGTGTATGTTGCAGCGATAGCCGGGAACGACAACGGAAAGGTAAACCGGGGATTACCAGGAGCAGCACAAGAATGACAGAATAGCAACTGATCTCGATGAATCGCATGTCATTCACATACCAAATTAGCTATATGCGCTACATGTATGGTTTGTCGTGTTCCGCCAGTTGTGCTGCTGCGGCCTGATTCCGCAGTCTCCGGACCGGCCGTACGCGTGCGCTGCTGTCATGCTCCCAACTGTAATGAGTCTCGTGCTTTTCAATGATACCTACCAACGAGCATAGTCAAATCTCCCTTGTCTTGAGCCGGTACCGCCGTCTCCAATACTAGTGATCCATGAATACTCCAGCCATGATCGACGTCCTAGGTATACCACGCCAGCCGGTACATTCCCATACCCACATCTAACATCTACATCTCTCAGTCATCGGCGCCGGCCCCGTCGGCCTCTTCCTCGCCTCCCTTCTCAAGAACTACGGCCACTCTGTCCGTATCATCGAAAAGGACACCACGCCCAATAAGTGGTCAAAGGCATTGAATGTAAACACGAGGACGTTGGAGATGATGGAGGTTCTGGGGTGTGCTGAGGAGGTTTTGGGGAGGGGGTGTGTGGTTCGGGGCCCGGAGGTTTGGGTTGATGGGAAGATGGTATGTATGCGCGCACGTAGGGTATTTTTGGTGGATGGTGCGGCGGGCTGATGGGTGTGTGTAGCGAGTTTCTTTGGCAGATACTGTTTTTCCTGCTGGGGGGACAAAGTATCCATATCTGTTTAGCTGTCCTCAAACTGCCGTCGAAGAAGCTCTTCGTCATGTCCTTGAATCACGCGGGCTTCGAGTCGAAACTGGTCATGACTTGGTCGTTTGGAGTCAGACTGAGCACCATGTCCGAGCTATGGTCAAAAAAGAAGGCGTCGAAGGTCTTGAGGAGATCAATTGCAAGTATTTGGTGGGTTGCGACGGTGCTCACAGCGCAGTGCGCAAATCTGACCCTAGCTGGAACTTCGTGGGAAGAACGGTTGAAGGGACGTTTGAGCAGGCAGATTGTGAACTTGAGGTTGATGACACGACTGATATGGAAGAGTTTCATCGTATAAGGATCTCATTGTGTGCCGACGGTAACATGACTGTTCTTACACCCATTGGCTCTGTCTAACTTTGCACGCATAGGGCTTGTGTTTCGTTTTCCTGTCGATCCCGCGAGACGTATAGTACGCCTAGTCTGCAACGTGGGGAAAATAACATTTCCAGATGAGAAGAATGCATCATCTGCAATCCGTCACGGTCGCGATATTGATGAGGAGCCGCCCGTGCTCGCTGACTTTGAGCGCCTTTGCAATAGCAGGCACGCAAACGTCAAGATCAAGAATGCGACCTGGCTCACACGCTTTCATGTCAACGAACGTATGGTAGCGACTTTGAGAAAAGGACGAGTCTTTCTTGCAGGTGACGCTGCCCATTGTCACTCGCCTGCTGGAGGTATGGGAATGAATACGGGACTTCAGGATGCCATGAACCTGGGCTGGAAGCTATCCATGGTGCTGCACAAAACGACCAGCAATGAGGATGCATTGCTCGACTCTTACGACCAGGAGGTGCGATGGGTGATCCTCTTCTCCTTTTGAAATTGGGCTAACAGTCGTACAGAGGCTTCCTATCATCAGAACTGTTCTGGACAACAGTTCTGATTTAATGAGACTAGTGGTGGATCGCAGCCTTACCAAGAGTACATTGTTATCCCTAACTCCAAGAATATGCTGATGCAGGTTTAGCTATTTTCCTCTACCTCCTCACAACCGCCTTTCGTTTCTTCCCCTCATTCCGCCTCAGAGCGCTCGAAGGCCTGACTTCATCGCAGCTGCGTTTGCCCAATACATCCGGGCCACCAGGGACAGTCTTCAACGAAATCCTCAGTAACGATCCTCCAGTTGGAACATTCTGTCCGAATGTCGTGATATACCCTGAATTAGTCCTCTCCAAACCTCAAGACTTGCATACTGTCATTGCGGATGGTATGAGAATGTTGGGTAACAAGGGACCATGCCACACGCTTCTCGTACTGGTTCATGCAAACACCCTTCACGCGAGCTTCATTCGCAATCTCGCGACTTTGAAGAAGGGTCTTGACAGCATCATCAGCGTTCTTCTAATAATGTCGCCGGGCGGGTGCAGTTTCCAAGGAAATGGCCTTTCCGGATATTTCACTCGTCATATGACAGTTATTCTGGGCGCCAGGAAAGCTAAGCAGACAGCGACGTTATTGCTTGTCCGCCCTGATCTCTACGTGGCTGGATGTTGGGAGTGTGAAAGTGATGGACTTTCCTTTGGACGAGTGGGCAAACACTTATCATAAGGCTGGGACTTACGGGAAACTGTTGTGATAAAAAACGTCCCGCAACAATTCAGGACGGCCAAGTGCCGGGGTCCCCTCTGCTGCACCTTCACGTGCCCCCACGACGTGCCTTAATCTCATCTCCTCGTAAACACACCACCAAATCAAAGCTGCAACGAAAATTAATTATGCCCAGCTGGCTGGCGGGGGGTTCGTTTTACAGTGCTGACAGACAATCAAGCGGAGTGGAAATGGTACCAGATGTGCTGTCGGATCCAGCGCTGGACGCTGCTGATCTAAAGGTTGTTAAGCAGGAAGAGGCCGAAGAGTGTAGATTGGCGGGAATTCCACATGCACGATCGATCTCAGTTGCGTCGGAGGCGATCAACATGGAAGAAAGTGCAGAAAGGGTAAACTTGGAAGACGTCGCGGGACCGGCACCTACAGCTACGCTCAACGACGGATCGGCAGAAATCCCGGAACCACCATCAGACGCGACCCTGCCCGCACTAAAAGACGAAGAAGAAGATGGCGAGATCTATGATACACCACCCTCATCGCCTCCACCCCGCATTCCAAGACCACACAGGTGTCCAAAGTGTTGGCCCCGCTGGCCACGCAAGGCGCACCTTAGCATTATCCGACATGCCGAATCAACAGGAAACGTCGCGCATCTCCTCCAAGGCCGCACTGACGCTCCGCTGACCGTATATGGACATCAACAAGCCGCAAGTCTTGCTTCAAATAGTATTTTCAGTGAGTACCCGCCGACGAAGGTGTTTGCCTCACCGCTACAGCGCGCAAGACACACGGCAGAGGCACTCGTCGCCGGGTTGAAGATTGCGGACAGGAAAGTGGGAAGGGATATTATGGGACTGGAAATGATATTGGATAGAGGGTTGGTTGAACGAGATCTAGGAAGAAGGGAAAACACCAGTTGGAAAATGGCAAAAAAGCTTCCGCCGGCTGAACCGGATAACCTTGGCGGCGAACACAAAGAGACGTTCAAGAGGAGGGTAAGGAGGTGTGTCGAGCAGTACCTACGCCTTGCACGAGAACTTGTCGACAGGGGCGAGGAGAATGTTCACATCGTCGTCGTGACCCACGGCTTATTCCTGACCGAGTACCTGTGGCAGGTGGAACACTTGGTATCGAACTATTGTGGTACAAACCCGCAAGGTATCCTGTGTGACATACCACCTGCAGCGAACGCGAGTATTTGGACATATGAATTAGAGTTTCCTGCACCCTCGATGGGGCGAAACGACTGGAGATTCGCGGCGCAGATGAGCCCTGCGAGGATGAACAATACGAGCCATTGGAGTGGGCGTTTGGAAAGGCAGAGGGGTGGGCTTGGGAGTATGGCGTATGATAAGCGGCAGAAGACTTTAGATGGAGTTTTCAGGAAGGGAGGGAGGGAGTCGTGATCGAGGTCGATGGTATGTAGGTTTATTTTGCCGCCTGGGCTCGATGCAACTCACTCATTCATAGGTATTGTACACCTCACTATTCATACACTAAATCCAATTCCGTGATTTACACACCCTTCGAACCAACAGGCTTCGTCTCATCCGCCGTAGCCGTCAAATCACTCCCAACCCTCGCCGCGCTGTCCCTCGGAACAGGGTTGTCTGAGCCGGCAACTTGTTCGTCAATAGTCTGCGCCCCGGATCCGGTTGCGAGCTCGCGTTTGAGGTCGCCGGGGCTGGCTTCGTAGCCCTTTGCAGGCGGGTCGAGCTGGGGGAGGCCCGAGGTGGAGAGGGTTGGGTTCTGCCAAGCGTCACAATTAGTATGGATGGTGGGGGAGGAGGGCGGAGAGGTACCTGTTCGGAGACGTAGGTTCCTTGGTCCTTTGCTGACATTGTTGGTTATTTGACGATAAATGTGATTCAACGATGGGTGTTTAATTGGAGACGACGGCCTTTTATATACCCTTGCCATTGCCTGATCACGAGATTCCGTTGATCTTCGGATGTCGCAGGGTTATTTCGTCAGGCTCCGTGGCCGTGGCCGTGACGTCACTCCTTCGCTTTACACCTCATGATCTGTCAAACTTGGGATGGTAATTAATTTTCAATTGAAATGCTTGTGGTATTCTCCGTCTCTCCACGACATGCTGGGCTTCGGCAGCTCGCAACTGGCCCTCTTATGATCGGTCCTAACTCTTCAGTCAAGTAATCTAAAAAATCTTGCTAAGAACCCTCTCAACCTTCTCCCTCCCCTCTCCCTCCTTAATCGGCTTCGTCTTATCCGTCAACTCCCTTTGCCTGAACATTCTCCTGACATCAATCTCCGCACCCTCACCCTTCTCCGAACCAGCACCAGTAGCAGAACCATCCTGCCTCTTTCTCTTCGCACTCTTCTTCGCCTCCATATTCGCGACCATCTTCCCTCTCTCCACGTTTTGAATAAAAGTCTTGTTCTCGCGTGTTGCTTGTTGAATTTCGGCACGAAGACGGGACTGTCGGGAGGCGTTCTCGTAGGCGATTTGTTCCGTCAAATGATCCCATTTGAACTTGGGCAGATATTTGAGATTCCACAAATCATCATGATAGTAACTCCCCTTCTTCCCTCCAATGCCCGTCGCATTCAACGTCTCCGCAACCGTCTTCGCTACTTTCTTATCCTTAAACTCGATCCAACCCTCCGTGAAGTTTCTCTTTTTGTTACCACCGAACCGGACACGCTTGGCGTATGATTTTGGGTCTTCGGGGGCGAGGAAGATGCGGCCGATTGGGCCGAATTTCTGGAGGAGGTGTTTGACTTTTTGGGGTTTCATGAAGGGGGGGATGCGGGACATGTATACCACGCCGGACTTTTTGCGGGCCAGGCGGGCTTTCTCTAAATCGTCCGAAGACAGTCCTGCAAGTTTCTTGGATTTGCCGCGTTTGCGGGGGCCGTCGGTTGTGGTGACGTCGTCGTCTTCGAGGGGTGCGAGGCCTGATTCTTCGTATTTTCCTTTTGGTTTTGAGGGTTCGGTGTCGGAGTCTGCATCCGCAGACAAGTATCCTTCCTCATCACTCCCGAAATCCGAAACATCATCTCCACTCTCCTCATCATCACTCAACTTCCTCCTCTTAGTCGCCTTTCCACGGCCTTCCTCTTCTTCTTCAGCGCTCGCGCCTCCAGCGTCTTCTTCATCTGATCCGAGACCAAACCAATCCTGCTTGGGCTTCTCGTCTTCTTTGGCAGATTTGGATGCTGTCTTCTTTGCCGGCATTGTGAGGTTCGGTATGGAGGAGTGCTTGGGTGTGTAACGTTGACACTTGGAATTTCTGGAGCGCCGACTTGAGATTCAGGCACGCACAGCTGTCGGAGTTGCAGGTCGACTTGTACGAATTCTGGAGCATTGAAACTTTGGAAGTATACGACTTGAGCCTTGGGGAAAAATGTATGGCGGCTGAAATCGAATCGTCCGGGATTCTGTTGACACCTCTGTACAGATCAAACATGGATCCACGAGCACCAGCAAACCAACAGCCCGCACCCCTCATCGCAGGCTTCGACATTGTCAAGACATATAAACAATTCCTCGAAGAAGACAATGACCTCACCATGCCCGTCGCAGCCATCGAGGCCCTCGTCGAGTTGTTGTCACAATCCCAAGCGCAGACAATCTCCGAGATCATTGATCTGTTGAAACAAGGCGCGAACGCACTCAAGAATTCTGTATCAAACTCGATATCGTTGAGTGCTGGGTGTGATTTGTTTCAGCGATATGTTACGGGCGCGTTGAAGGATGTCAGAGTACGTTACCGCTAAGCATCTTCGAAATTGGAGTGCTGACAAAGGCGCACAGAACTTCGAGTCAGCAAAAGAGGACCTCATCTCGCATGGCCGAGCATTTGTCCAAAACGCCCGCTCAGCACGCCATACCATCGCCGAACTCGGCTCGCAGTTCATTCACGACGATGCACAAATCCTCGTCCACTCCTACTCTCGTTCCGTGACCGCAGTTCTCCTCGCCGCTGCACGGAAACATGTCCGCTTTACAGTCTATGTTACCGAAGCACGGCCCACAGGATCCGGTATCGTCGCGGCGAAGGTGTTGGAGGAGGCGGGTGTGCCGGTATGTGTTGTGTTGGATAGTGCGGTCGGATATGTCATGGATAAGGTTGATTTGGTGTTGGTTGGTGCCGAAGGAGTCGTGGAGAATGGTGGTGTTATCAATCACGTACGTGTTCTTGTAAACATAGACTTCAAATTCGGTTGGGCTAACAAGTATACAGGTCGGCACACTACAAGTCGCCCTCATCGCAAAAGCCCACCACAAACCCCTCTACGTCGTCGCCGAATCCCACAAATTCTGCCGCCTCTTCCCACTCTCTCAATACGACCTCCCAACACCACACCCCATCCTCCAGTTCCCCACCCTCAAAACTCCGTCCACCTCGGGTACCGAATCCCCCTCGGGTACCGAATCCCCAGATTCTCCAGCCACGCCCGGGTTTAGACCGACGAGTTCGAGTACCGAGATCAGGAATGAGAATATTATGACGGAGAAACAGATTAGGAATAACCCGTTTTTGGATTTTACCAGGCCGGAGTTTGTTGATGGGTTGATTACGGATTTGGGTTTCTTGACGACGAGTGCTGTTGGGGAGGAGTTGTTGCATTTGTACACCTAAGGGTTGAATAAGGGAGGAAAAGGTCTGGAAAGAGGGCGAAGCATTGTTGGGACGATACAGAAGCCTTGCCGAGCTGAAAATCATCTGTGGGAATCATGAGGTCTAGGGCGGAGAAGATCTCACCGCGGACAGCACGCTGTCTTAGCCAATTTTACAGGAGATACAAGAAGAGAAAAGAAGATCCTCAATCCTTTCCAAAATGTCTATCAACACAATTCAATGCCTTTCCAAATCCGGTGATTCAGTGTATGTACGCCTCGCAGCGACCATGCAGCAGATTCCTCCACACTGTAAACAAACCGTTAAGGCAGGGAAACATCGACCGAGGACGTGGCCATACATCAATTGAAGGAGCAGACAACCAGGCCTGTGAAGTTGGGCATACCAGGCAACAAATGGAATCTGCTCCACTTTCGCCCACGCCGTCTCTTTTGCGACGAAGGTTTGGCTCGCCGGTGGGTGAGGATGTGGATGTGTATGGGGAGGAGCCAATGCTGTCACCGACGACTGCGGGGACGGAGGTAGATCCCCTCTTAACTTCATCGTCATTGGATCAGATCCCGGTCTACGCCCTCACCCACTCCATCCGACAAGAAATTATCGCAGCAATTGACACCTCCCTCACCTGGGACCAACTGCGCTCACCCCAAATCAACCAATTCCTAGTCCGACCGATACTGCAACGATGTCAGGATAGATGTTCGCGAGCAATTGTGTTCGCATTACTGATTAATAAGGCGCAGTTCGAGGAGGAGGCGGTGAGGACGGAGGTGAAGAGTGGAGTTTTGGGAACGAGGGGGAGGGTTTGTGAGCTGGTTGCGATTAAGATATTGAAGACGTTTAGGCCGAGGGAGTTGGTATGAATATTTGGTTGTTGACGTTATGCGTGGACTGATCTTTCGTACAGATTGATATCCTTACGTTCGACTTTTATCCGCTTCAGGGACATGTAGCGACGACATCGTTTGCCCCGGTGCAACGTTTTAGCGCTCTGGAAATTGCAATCCGTGGGGAAGCGAAGCAGTTCCTCTCGACTCCGCTTGTTGTTCAGGTTCTGCGAGAAATCTGGGCTGGAAACCTCGTCTTTCACTCGCACACGGATCGTACGTCGACACTTAACAACTCGTCATGGTATTACCGGAAGGTTGCGGCTGTGTACGATATGCGAGAAGCATCTCTGTTCAAGCTGAGCAGATTACGGGTACCGAAGTACCGGTTTTTGATGCAGACGGCGAGTTTTGCATGTATGCTGGGGTTGTACATCGCCGTGCTTTGGCAGAGGAGTTTGGAGACGAGTACTCTGGAGTGGGTCATGATCGCGTGGAGTCTAGGGTTTATGCTGGATGAGGTTGTTGGTATCTCCGAGGTGTGGACGGCTGGATCACTGTATCTATTACAGATGTGGAACTTGTTCGATCTCTGCATCCTCGCACTCTTCGTCGCCTTCTTGTCACTTCGGCTCTACGGGCTTCATCAGGGCGACCCTGACCACAAGATTGCGGAGACCGCATATGATTTGTTGGCGACGAACGCAATCTTTCTCTTTCCTCGACTCTTCAATGCGTTGGATCACGTCAAATATTTCTCCCGGATGCTCATCAGTTTCCGGAGGATGGCAAAGAACCTGGTGACGAGTATGCTTCTCATCTTCATGTTCTACTCTGGTTTCTGGGTCGCGTTCAGTGTCTACGCACGGGATTTCAATCCGCCTAAGACGGTTGCCTTTCAGCTCATGCAGATTTTCTTCGGGTTTCAGCTTCCGGCGTGGCAGACGATTGGGAATTATCACATGTTGGGGAAGGTCGTGTTGTTGATCTTTGTGGCTACCTCGAATTTCTTGGTTGTGACTATTTTCGTGTCGGTGTTATCGAATACGTTCTCGAGCGTTTATCATAATGCGGACGAAGAGCATCAGTTTTTGTTTGCTGTTAACACGACCTCTTCTGTCAAATCAGAAGCAGTGTTTATCTATCAGTCACCACTGAATCTGTTGGAATGGTCGATAAGACCCCTCGCTCTATTCATGTCGCGATACCGGTTTATCCGCATGAATCGGCTACTTATCAAGGTCACTCACTTTCCGATATTGCTCACGATCTACCTCAACGAGAGGTTTTACCTCCGACCACAGGCATTTGACCTGAAAGATTTGATGTTGAGTCGGACTAGGAGTATCGAGACCTTAACCAACGGGTTCGAGGAAAGTCAGCAGAGGGCAAGACGCGGGCTTGGAAACAGACAGAGCAGGGTGTTCAGTGGGATGAGCAAGGTTGTTGGGAGATTACGGAAAGGCTCTATGGGGGGTGTTCAGGAAAGGGAGGACTTGCTGAGGGAGGTTTTCCGGAAGAATGACAAGAACGTGAACTCGATACTCGTGGGTCCTAACGGACCGAGCACGTACATTGGTCCTCGTGCAAGTTTGTTGTTCAGGGAGCCATTGAGTCCACCTGTTGAGGGGCACGGACGAAACAGGTCGTACTTTGGGGGCCCGGCTCGAAGACCCCAGAGTCAAGCGCGAGAATCGATGGAGATCCGTCAACCCTCGAACTCGGACACGATTTCGTCAAGTGTTCCAGCGAGCGATACCGACGGACAGGTTGATAGCGACATGGAGGACGAGCAGCTGGATGTACACACCCCACTTCAACCATCATATATGGCATCATCGCCATTTCCGAATGGCTGGAACCACAGAAAGAGAGACTCAGCGGCTACTATCCGTCGGATCGTTCCTCTGGCAAATAACAACACCGAGTCAATGGTGTTTGTGGGTGAGCCTAGGGATAGGGTGGTGAGCACTACCTCGGTTCGGTTCGCGGAAGGCGAGAATAAGCAACGGCGGCCGCAGCATACACATGCGGCGACCGATTCGTTGCTGCCTACTTCGGCGGTGACCGCTGCGGATTCTGTTGAGCAAAGTGAACGGAGGTCGTCTGCACCAGATGTGAGTGTGTTTTTGCAAGAGCCACGGCCGACGGATAATACCGTACCTAGGTCAGTCGTGGTGGATGAATGGAAGGCTATGGATGCACGTATGGATAGGTTGGAGGCGTTGATGGGTGCCGTGGCGGAGGAATTAAGACTCCTGAGACTGGAGAGAGGAGTGGATAAGGCGTAATGCCTCAATACCTATGGGCGTGAGTTTATGGCTTTTTTTCTTTCGGTCTGGGTATGTGGATCAGGCGTTTGTTGATTACTTTGCATTGGGATAATTATAAGGAATTGATTTTTTCTTCTCAGGGCTGGCGCATCTGTGGAGTTCCAGACGGGTTGGGCCCAATAGTATCCCCGTGAGGAGTTACATCAAGGATCATTCAATCGTCCTGGTTCAAATCCCACGCTGCTCAAGGACGTCTCCCAATCGCCGTGTCGACGTCCCGGATCCGTCCGTACATACATATACCCCAGGAAGCCCGGACTCCTAGTAACCATGGCCAATCTTAAACTGCACAAACGATCATATTCAATCAAGTTCTGGATTGGCAACTTTGGGAACTTCTGTGCTCGGTTGCAATTGTCGCTTTGAATCTTCGAAGCCGACGTCAGCTGCACCCCCGCCGTGCGCATGTGATCATGTCAAGCCGTTCACCAACATCAGTCTTTCACGAAGGCTTCGCAAACCACTATTAACCTTGTGCAACACCATCAAGCAGGTTACAAACCCAGCTTACAATCCAATTTGGCTAGCGAGTCGCCATGAACTCGCTTCAGTGCTCGTGCTCAGCAGGTATATATGCCCCCACGCCTCTCTCCCACGTTCATTTTGCGAAAACAGCATATTTCAGGGGAAGCCCCACCCAAGGACCACACAGCGACTTGTCCCAAAAGACAACTCCAGTCCCAACGGCGTCGGCCGTCGAACAACTTGTGCAACTGTGGAGTCGAAGAAGACGCAAAGTGCCCCCACCGAGGTCAGAGCCTGCATGACCATAAGGAGCTTTGTGTTGAAGCTAACGAGTTACAGAGGGAGAACTATGTGACTGCCATGGCCCTAGCTGTCCATGCTTCATTCCAGCTGACGTGAACGGTTCGTGACGGGACGAGAGGCGGAGCAGAGCGTGAAGGTAGGGTTAACCCTGACTGTCGGGGGAAGTGTACGATATAGCATGTACTCATAGAGACCGAGATGTTTCGTCCAACTGTTGAAGATTTCTCACGGCGGGGCTCATGCACGGTCATGCGGGCTAGATCATCGTGCGTCGCCAGCCTTCCTCGCCGAGTCCTCCCCTCCAAAGAAAAGACCCTGCTCAAACGGCAAACCATCCACCTTGCTCGCTTCCAAGAACGTCGAGCTACAACAACATGCCGCCTCGTCGCTCAACTACGTCCCCAGCTCTCAAGCGCACTCCTTCCAGCACTCCCCGTCAAGGCAAAATTAGCTTCACGAATGGCGGCAAGGTAACGAAACCTGCTGCTAATACCTCTAAACCCAAGAAACGTGCAGCGACTATTGGCTCTACGAAAACCACCGCTATCGACGTTGAGGGTGAGGATGCACCGAGTCAGACTGCTACGCCTCCGCCGTCGAGTCCGGTTCGGGAGGTGGAAAAGAAGTTGAAAGCCGTGAAAGGAAAGAAGAAGGAAGGCGGTGAAGAGGAGACGCGTTTAAACCCGAAAGACCGGGTGTATGCGCAACTTGCCAACGAAATCGACGCCCAAAGAATACACCCACAAAGTACTTCCTCCCCATCTCCCGCCTCTCCCCAGACTATATATGCTAACCCGTTCACCCAGTTCACGCCCAACACCTGACTTCTATTGACAAAATCCTCCGCAACTTCGACCTCACGTACAAATACGGGCCCTGTGTCGGAATCACGCGTTTACAGAGGTTTGAGAGGGCGGAGAAGATGGGGTTGGAGCCGCCGAGTGAGGTTGGGAGGATATTGAGAAGTGTGGAGGGGAGGGGGGAGGAAGGGTTGAGGGAGGGGGTTTGGCATAAGAATCCGTAGGCAGGAGATGGGAGGGGTGTATGCTACGAGAGGTGAACCGTGGGAACGATATGTGTGTGTGTGCGTGCGTGATGTACGTGAGAGTTTGAGGGAATTGTATGAGTAAGACCAACTGATAAAGAGAATACGGAATTGAACTTGATACTTAACTGACCATGAGCCGTCTCTTCACTGACGTTTGTTAGTGCCTCACACGCCTCGCGTACATAAACACCCCCGCGCTCTCCCAACCCAACCTTCCCCCAAACCACGTCCTATTCCTTACCTCCCTCGATATCTTCTTCCTTGCTTGCCGCTCATTAGCATATATCGCTAGCAACGAGCACGCACTCTCTTCTTTATTCTACTTGCTACACTTTTATCGTTACCTTCGTGTGCTTTACGAGCATTCAACCCCTGAGCCGAAAGACCAGCATTTATCACCTAAACGGAAAGACATCTTGATATGTGGCGTTACCAAGACCCTATGCCTGAGCTCGTGAGGAGCCTATGGAAGGTTGCGCAGCAAAAGGTATGTGGTCAAACAAACGGACCACCCGTGGAGGCAACGTTCTCACGAGTATATGCTGACCGTATGCTGCCACAGTACCAAATTGAAACCAAAAGGAGGGATGGGAGATTGGAAAGAATCATTCAACATGCCTGCGTATTCAAGTATGTGACACAGGACCGCCCTCCTCTTCAGACGTGATGCTGACAGAGGTGTAGTAAATTGGTCAACGCCCAGCATAACCCAGTCCGAGCACTCAAAATCGAAGCAGAGATTGCGAGACACAAGATAAGGCAATTGGAGTTTGTGATTGAAAGAAGGAGCAACTACAAATCTAAGCCGGTGGTGTATGTTGAAGCTGTGCCGGTTGAGGATTTGCATGGGTGTACGGTTGAGAATGAAGAAGGTTTGGAGGAGGTAATAAGGGCGAAGGAACAGAAGGAAGAGGATGAGATGTACGAGGTCGATCCTGGGCTGCAGGCGGAGATGGATGATGTGTTTTGTAGGTTTTCGACGGCATCGGATGAGGTATGCATCCCGCACACTCCGTGGGTCAATAAGCTGATGTTTTTGTAGAGTGATTCTGATAATGAAGAGGAGCATTATTCGTGCATGGTGAACATGGCCTGTAGAAGTCCCATCAAGGACGCCTCGCTGACTTGTTTACAGGAGAGAGATTCACCTCCCAACGAAGATTTTATGTCGACTCTTGTGAGTGGGTACACATCGCTTACCGCCCACCCTAACACCAATATCGAGCTCTCATGTATGCCTGGCTCGTTTCCGTCCGAGCCGCTCAATGCTGGAGAAGGAGAGGATGTGGATATGTACGTCGATCCCGAGGAGTGCAAGAAGAACATCACCGTATATGTGGACCCGGAAGAACACGACGACGACAATTTCACTGTGTTCGAAGAGCCTTCCCCCTTCAATCAGGTGGACGACCTCATCATGTCTCCCATGTCACCCGTGTCTCCCATCTCCCCCCTTCCTAGCTGCACCAACGAAGCGGGTGGTATCTGTCTCTGCAATGATTGCGCTATTGAGGTATACCTCTCAGATGGCTCTTCATCTACGGAGTACGAGCCTGATTCGTCTGAGCATTATATGGCTGTCTCTTCGTCTTCGGAGCGTGAGAGTGCTATTCATGGGCTTGAGTTCAAACCGGCGGGATGGTATGATTTGTTTGGGCTGCAGGTTCCATGGATGGGTGACTATGAGCCTCTGCCGAGGATGGAGGAGGATTTTGGGGTGTGTATTGGGCCGTTTGTGTTGTTGGAGAGGGCGGCGGGGATTTCGATTGTAAGATCGGAGCACTGAGAGTATCGTGGGAGTTTTCAGAAGGGGCATGAATGGCGTTTTCATGGAGTGTTCTTTTGTTTCGTTCTTTCATGGCCTGGTTGTGTTTGACTTGAAGCTCAAGGGGAGTGTACGATATGGAATGGAAAAAGTATATGTTTAAAGTATACCTCGGTAACAAAGACATTGGGCACATGAACACTTCAGGCGATAATAACCATAGATATCGTACACCATATGAGGAAGGCCCCAGCTGCTGAACCTACAACTTCGACCCCTCCTTCCTCACCTTCGGCTTCGGTGGAATGACCGGCAAACTCGCCGACAACCCCCCATCCACTGCCCAAGCCTGCCCATTAACATAACCCGCCTCCTCACTCGCCAAAAACGCAACAACCTTCGCGATCTCCTTCGCGACACCATACCTCCTCAACGGGTTCAGTTGTCCCACAAGACTTAGTCGACCTTTCTCCCGGGCCTGGATGAAGAGCTCGTTTGTCATGCCGGTTTCGATGAGGCCGGGGCAGATTGCGTTTATCCGGATTCCTGTGCCGCCGAGTTCCCAAGCACCGTTTTGTACGATGTTGATTACTGCGGCTTTCGAGGCTGAGTAGGCCATTGGTCCAGCGCCGTTACGGAGTCCGGCGACTGAAGCAGTGGCGATGAATGAGGCGGTGGAGGGAGAGGGAGAGCGGAGCATCGCTGCCGAAGCGTGTTTCAGGGCGAGGAAGACGGAGGTGGTGTTCGTGTGGAGGACTTGGGAGAAGGTTTGGGTTGTGGTGGTGGAGAGGGGGGTACGGGAGCCAATGATACCAGCGTTTGCGAAGAAGATGTCGAGGCGGGAGTAGGTCGACATTGCCTCACTGTAAGTCTCTGGTTAGAATCAGGACTGACTGGCTCTGCACACCATAACCTACTTGATAACGGCCTTCAGTGCTTCTTCATCTCCTGCATCGAAGCTCTTGACAATGATATCCGTCTTGGGATGCGCCTTTCGAAGCTCGGCCGCATTGTTCTCGAGATGGTCGGTTGAGAGGTCACAGATGTAGATCGCTTTTGCGGAGCCGGCGGCGAGTTCGTGGGCGGTTGCGAGGCCGATGCCGAGGGGTGAGTTGGCGCCGGTAATGATTACGACTTTGTTGGTGAAGTCCGGCATGTTGTGCTAGAGGGAACTTATCACTGGTGGTTTACGGGAGGGAGTAATGGAATGGATCATGGTGGGGTGTAATGGCGGGGTGCGGGGAGGACCTCCGAGAGGGGCCGTGACCCATGGAGAACGGTTCGGGTGGGCACCGGCTGCTAATTAATATGTTATGTTTTTCTTATCAAACACAAACAAGGACGGCCGTCTCCATTGAAAAGCCAGCCTCCTTCCAATAAGGTTCGGCTAGTGAACGCATTCCGACACCTGGGCTGCAGGACATTTGGAGCTGCACAACGTGGACCCAGACATCGAACAACCCGACGAACAGTTTATATGACCATTCTCCCAATCAACAGCAATTCCTCGACATTCTCATCGAAGTCATAACGCCGTTGAGGATTCTGTCAGCCTCGTAGGGAGTAATGGTGGCAGCTCCTTTACCGAGGTCGCGCTCGGAAACCATTGTGAGGAGTCCTGACAGTATACTGCCGACGACGGAGTCAGTGATGGATCATCCACTTTCTCCACCGCCTGAGGAGGCATTGGATGGGCAAGGAGATGTTCAGGAGGTACGGAGTGTCAATGGGAAGGGAAAGGGGAAGGTCACGGTTATGGCTACTGTGTTGCAAGAGGAACGAGAACAGCCGGAAGTCACAGTTACGTCGCCAACGACGAGGTCGTCGGCTACAGCACGTACCCCATCGGATTCTTCAACGAATGTACCACCATCTCGGAACAATCTTTCCGTTCTGCCCCCGATACCCTTCAACGACAGTACAACCTCCCCCAATTCACCCGCCTCCATAGCCTCCCGCCAACCTCTCTTCGAAGATTCCCTCCTCACCCCAACCAACATCCCCGGCAACGTCCACCTGCTCCCTGACACCACCCTCCAAAAACTCATCGACCGCCACGGCGCCCTAACGCTAATTCGCCAACTCTCAACCGACCTCGCTCATCGGGACGCACAAATCACGGAATCGAGAAGACGGTGGGAGAATCGTGAGAGAGCGTTAATTCGGATGTTGAATGAGGCGGGGATTGGAAGTGTTGACGTGCAGAGGGGGTTGGGAAGGTTGTTGAGGAGGAGGAGGAGTAGGGAAAGCATTTTCAGTGAGGAGGAGGGAGGGGGAGGGGAGTATGCGGAGAGCGTAAGTTCGTTATTGGTGCAGGCGATGAGTGAGCCGGGTGTTACGGAAGATGAGATGAGTGTGCATGTGGTGGATGGGGATGGGGATGATGATTGGATGTCTACGCCGGGACGGAGGACGAGTGTCACGCCGAAGCGACCACAACGGGATTCTCCGCAGGCGAGTGCAAGGAAAGAGGAGGGAAGTCCGGTTACCACCCCTGTACGACCCAAGGCTGGTGTCATCAGACGCTTCAGTCAGAGCATCTTTGGGTGGGATAAACCAACGGCGGATCCTCTCGCCGTATCAGAACCGCCTTCGACGACAACCTCGACAGCCAACTCACCGCAAGCCGTTCGTGCACCCTCACCACGTTCGACCTCAGTCATGGCACCAGGATTGACACGCACAAGCAGCCGCTCCTCGAGTCTCTTCTCCGCGTTCGGCTTGCCCGTTCAACCTCCAGTGGCGGCTACTGCAAGGCGGTTCACGGCGCCGGTGGTGCAAGGCATGCCGCGGCCAAATATGGCGGCGACAAGTAAGACGCCGTCATTGATGAGCTCGCCGAGGGCTGTGTTGCCACCTGCCACTACGACGGTCACAACGGAGGCTACGGGAGCAATGGAGGGTGCACCGCCGGTGTTTGGATTGAGAAAGGCCAGCGAGCGTGGGAATAGTGGGCAGGTGTTGGAGAGGGGACAACCACTGCATTTCCGGGCGATTGCGATGGCTTCGAGTATGCTCTCCTTCACGACCTCTTCCTTGGGAGCGCCGGTGAAGAAGAACTCGTCGGTGAGGGTGAAGGGGTGGGCGGAGCAACTCCTATCGTCACTCCCAGCGGGGACGATGGAGAGGAGGGATGTCGAGGTGAAGAGCCCAGATGCGGAGAGTGAGGGGGCGGAGACAATGAGTCTGGCGAGTGAGACAATGGAGCAGATGAGAGAGATTATGGTGAGGAATACGGCAAAGATGAATACCTCGCCACGGAAGCGGGCGTCGACGCTTCTGAACAACGCCAATTTCCATATTACCCAGCCGGCCGGCCAGGGTACGCATCCGGGTAGTTGGCAACCGCTGAAGACGGAAGGTGGGGTACAAAAGAGTATGAGTCAGACGAGTCTATTTTCGTTGACGGAACACACGGTCGAGCTGGACACAATCGTCCCACGAGATGCGCGACCACCGACCTTCGTGTCGGAACCGAGGGAGGATATGATCCTGACAGATCGCTTTGGGTTCATCTACGATGCGAAAAGTCAGCGATCGAGGAAGTTAAGTGAGGTTGTTGACTTGAGTGCGGAAGAGGAGAGGGCAGCCGCTGCTGAGGAGAGGCCTGTGACGCCGCGGACCAGGGAATGGGAAGACGAGGAGGGAGTAGGGGAGGAAGAGGATGTTTTGAAAACACCGACGCATTGGACCCATTTCAAGCAATTTGAGGTTAAGCCTCGGCCCGTGACGCAGCGTGTACCGAATGGACTTGGGCTGAGGAAGAGGCGGTCGCAGTCGTTGTCGGCTGTTGGACAATCGCTTCGGTCGAGTAGTGCGGGTTCGTTACCAGTGAGGCAACCGCTGAGGAGGACGCCCACGTCGCTTGCGCCGGCGAGTAGCATACCTACGGCGATGTCCACTGTTACCGCCGCGACACAGAGTAGTGCGAATGTTAACGGGGAGACGAGTACGGCGCGCTTGTTGCTCAGTCAGCTCACGGACCACGATGCACTGCAAAAGGCGCAGAGGGAGAAGTGGGACGCGTTTTTCAAGAAGATTAGGGCTGAGAGGGCCGCGTTGCCTGATGGACCGGGGGGTGAGCAGGGTGAGTTGGTAGGGATTGCTGGCCTAGGCCTGGCTGGCAAAGAAGGAAAGGCGCGGTGGAAGGAGTTTAGGGGGTTGGTCATGAGTGGTGTTCCGGTCGTCTACCGCTCCAAGATCTGGGGTGAGTGTGCTGGAGTCCATGCGTTGCGTCATCCAGGGTATTATGAGGAGTTGTTGAAGGATGGAGTTGATGGGGATGCGATGGCGTGTATGCAGATCGATATGGACATCTATCGGACGATGATGAACAACGTCTATTTTGGTGGGAAGGGACCGGGGGTTGTCAAGTTACGCCGTGTCTTGTTGGCGTTCTCGAGGCATAATTCGGTCGTTGGGTATTGTCAGGGCATGAACGTCATTGCGGCGACGTTGTTGTTGACGCACGCAACAGAGGAGGATGCGTTTTGGATGTTGGTTGCGATTGTAGAGAATATCCTGCCGGAGAATTACTTCACGCCGGATTTGTTGGCCAGTCGGGCGGATCAAAGGGTGTTGAAGGGGTATGTGAAGCAGTTGTGTGGGAGGGTGCATATTCATCTCCGAAAGCTTGGGGTTGATTTGGAGGCGATGACGTTCAACTGGTTTTTGTCGGTGTTTGCGGATTGTTTGTCGCCGGAGCTACTGTTCAGGATTTGGGACGTGTTCTTCTTGGAGGGGAATTCGTATCTCTTCAGGGTGGCGATTGCGCTGGTCAGGCTCAATGAGAAGAACCTGCTACAATGCCGGACGCCGGCTGCGGTGTACAGCTTCCTGAAAGACATGACGACGCATGTCGCGACGAGTCCGGATGGGCTTGTGAAAATGAGCTGTGAGGGCATCGTGGTGAAGGAAGTCACGGCGAAGGATGTGGAGAAGAGGAGGGCGGCGGAGATTGAGGAGCTGAAGAGGGAGATTGAGGAGTTGAGCAGGCTGAGTGATTGAAACGGACATTCTTGGGATATATCATTGGGTGGTTCTTCTTGCTGGGAGTTTACGGCGTTCTACCTTTGCCCGTGTTTTTATATATATCTAGATCGTTACTACTACTGGATCCTTCGTCAGATACCGTCCAGCTGGGACGTCGTTGCCCAATTCCTGGTAAATCGCCACTCCAGCCTCATTCCCCGCGCGCACGCACCCTCCTGGCTTACTAGGCGACTCCCGAGAGTGCTACTGTACGACTACACCGCTGAACCCATACACCCAAATCACCCACTACGACAACCCCAGTAACCATTTTGGCAAGCTTCGACAGCATTCATTCAGGATAATCTCTGCCATAGACCTACGGATCAGTTTCGGTTACTGTAGGAGGACGCATACATTGGCTTCCAAAGCGTCAAGACCGTTGCTTCAGTTGTGAGCAATTTACAGATCGACATCAGATAACAGACAGAGAGAACGTGCACTCGTTTTTACACAACACAGAGATAAACATGCCGACATTCGGATCTTCGTCGTCGACGCATGCAAGCCATGATGGTACCACCAAACCCAAGGTTTCAAGCCGAATCAAGCAACTCTTCCGTATAAAGCCCTCATCATCCTCCGGACGTCGTCAACTTCTCGACTCATCCTCTGTCTCGACTGGCGAAACAGATAACCACTCGCCCACTATCGTCTCGAACCCGTACTTCCAGCATCAAGGTGCACCGGAACACGAGAACGGCACAGCGAACGGAGCGGCGCCGAAACCGAAGCGGAGTCCGACTGAGACGAGTGAGATGGCGAGAAGATTACGGCGTGTTGCGAGTGCGCCGAATGCGCAACAGCTGAAGAATGGACAGGTTGTTGATGAGAAGGAGAGGGAGAGGCCGGCGAGTACCGGTCTTGGGAAGGTATTGGATAAAGACCAGTTAGTGTCCAGCATGCTCGAGCCACCGAATTCCAACAGCAGTTCCGACCCGTTGAGCGAGTCGGCTGTTACCGAGTCTCTTGGCTCAGCTGCTGGATCCGGGACTGGAAGCAGTTTCTTGTTGCCGGTGAAGGACGAACTCGCTCCGCCTGATTTGAGAGGCAAGAACGGAGCTTTCAGGAGGACGTATTCGAGTAATAGCATTAAGGTTCGGACTGTTGAGGTTGGTCCACAGAGTTTTGAGAAGATTAAGTTGCTTGGGAAGGGTGATGTCGGAAAGGTCTATTTGGTGAGGGAGAAGAAGAGTTCGAGGTTGTATGCAATGAAAGGTATGTTGTCTGGTATCCTTTCGTTTCATTTTGGGGTGGTTGGCTAACTTGGATAACAGTGCTGTCGAAAGCCGAGATGATCAAGCGCAATAAGATCAAGCGTGCGCTTGCTGAGCAGGAGATCTTGGCGACGTCGAATCATCCGTTTATTGTTACGCTTTACCACTCTTTCCAGTCTGACGAGAACCTCTATTTCTGTATGGAGTATTGTGCGGGTGGAGAGTTCTTCCGTGCACTACAAACTCGGCCGGGCAAGTGTATCCCGGAAGATGCGGCGAGGTTCTATGCGGCGGAGGTTACTGCCGCGTTGGAGTATCTGCATCTGATGGGTTTCATCTACCGTGACTTGAAGCCGGAGAATATTCTGTTGCATCAGAGTGGGCATATCATGTTGAGTGACTTTGATTTGTCGAAGCAATCGGAGAGTGGTGGAGCACCTACCATGATCGTTTCGAAGTCGGGTGCAACACCGCATTCTCTTCCGGCATTGGACACGAAGTCTTGCATCGCGAACTTCCGGACGAACTCTTTCGTTGGAACGGAGGAGTATATCGCGCCTGAGGTAATCAAGGGATGTGGACACACGAGTGCAGTCGATTGGTGGACACTCGGGATCTTGATCTATGAGATGTTGTACGGCACCACGCCGTTTAAGGGGAAGAACCGGAATATGACATTCAGCAATATTCTCAGAAACGAGGTTCCCTTCCCCGAACACGCAGGCGCACAGCAAATCTCTTCCCTCTGCAAAGGTCTCATCCGAAAACTCCTTATCAAAGACGAACACAAACGACTCGGCTCCCGCGCCGGAGCGTCCGACGTCAAGTCTCACCCGTATTTCCGCACGACACAATGGGCACTCCTCCGACATCAGCGTGCACCGATGGTGCCGAATCAAGCCTCGGGCTCGGATGCTGTCAATTTTAGGAGTTTGAAGGAGAGTGAGAGTATTGATATTGGAAGGGGTGTTGCCATTCCGGGGAGGAATGGGAGTGCGGGTGGAGAGGATGATCCGTTTGAGAATTTTAACAGTGTCACGTTGCATCATGATGGGGAGTTTGAGGGGTTGGTGGGGAAGCCCGCTGGGGTTATTGCGTAGAGCAAAACGACTTGTGCCAGCGAGTTCTTCCACGAACGAAGGACATGAAGTGAGATGAGAAATTGCGAACGGAGAAGGACTGTTGGATTGGGTTTATCTTGGCATTTGATTTAGTGTAGTGCTGGTATGGGGTAAAGTGCAAGTGTGGTATGTTACGGCCGTTTTTCTTTCATGCTTTCGAAGTCGTTTGGGCCGGTCAGTCAGTATCAGAGGATCGTTGAATTGATTTCAGGGTCTCGTTTTATCTCATCTGGTTCATGGTCTTAATGTTGTCGATCCGGGGCTCCAAGCTTACCGGAGACGCAAACGCAGACGCTATCGATAGCTGAGGATGGTCAAAGCTTGGCTGGTTGATCTTTGCGTCTGTACATCTGCTTTCCCTGCATGACTCTCTTGTAAACTATGATCATCTCCATCATTTCGAAACCGCAGGACGCTTAAGGTAAGTTCAATTCAGCTGCTGTTTCAATTGCTCATCCCCTCATATCGTTTGAGACCGAACTCGGAAAAAGGTCAGAACAGCATCTAACAGGCAAAGCCCGTCATGATCACTGCCCGGGTCAGAGAATCTTTTCGTTGAAACCATGATATCCACCTGAATTAGACCTTGAGAAATAGTCGAGCTGCCATCAGCGAGTCACCCCAAACCGCGAGATTCCAAAGCCCCCCGAACCCGCCGGTTATTGCTGCTGAACGTTCGTCGGCTATGGCGGTTATGCTGTTTCACGGCGTCGTCTGGATAAACGTTTCTCCTTCCTTCTCCAATCGGGTTCACTTCTCGTCCTTCCACCGATGTCACTCCGCGCGCTTCAGCTCGCTTATGGGGTCCCCGCGGTTTTCCAAGTACTGCCGTACGAGAACGCTACTTTGGACCCCTAGATCTGTACGTCTTTGATCGGCTTCTTTCGAGATGGTTCACTTCGCGAGTTGGAGGTATAAAGGGTCCATGAGTCCCCGGCCTTAGAGCTGATCACTCGACAACGGCTTGGTTTAAGAAACAGATCAGCATTGTTGATCATGTCGACCATGTCGACCTCAGTCGAGCTAAACAATCTCACGCACAGGCCAGAGGTCCATCCCGAATCCAACTATGATGTACCCGAACACGATGGACTCAATAACCACACACATTTGCCAGGAGCGTATCCCGAGCCTACGTCTCCTACGGCACGCACAAAGCACGATAACCTCCATCTCGAGGACGTCGGCGGTTCATCGACACAAGGCTCCGGATCCGCGAGTATCGTGCCCGACAAACGATGGAAGCAAAGCCTCGAACACCCAGACAAGATCGAGCTTAGGGAGCAAGACTGTCCAGAAGTCCTCGGCTTCGCCTTCCCGGCACTGAAAAAGTGGAGGATCATCGCGGTCATCTTCGCAGTCCAAGTTTCCATGAACTTCAATGCCGGTATTTATGGTAACGCCATCCCTGGTCTCCAAGAGGAGTTTGGACTTTCTGCTCAGGCTGCAAGGGTTGGACAGGCAGTGTTCTTGATTTGCTATGCTTTTGGGTGTGAACTGTGGGCACCGTGGTCTGAAGAGTTGGGGAGGAAGCCGATCCTGCAGTGGAGTTTGGCCTTCGTCAATCTATGGCAGATACCATGTGCTGTTGCACCGAACTATGGCACTATCATCATTGCTCGAATTCTGGGTGGATTTTCGTCTGCCGGAGGTTCGGTCACGCTGGGTATGGTTGCTGATCTCTGGGGCCCGGATGAGCAGCACTCGGGTCTGAACTTCGTGGTCTTGTCTTCTGTCGGTGGATCTGTTGTTGGACCCATTGTTGGTGCCTTCGCACAAGACAATCTATCTTGGCACTGGATCTTCTGGCTTCAACTGATCTTCGGCGGAGCGGTCCAAGCACTTCATTTCTTCCTCGTGCCGGAAACTCGGTCGTCTGTTCTCGTCGACCGCGAGGCTAAGCGTCGCCGTAAGGCTGGTGAACCGAACGTCTACGGCCCGGGCGAGTTGAAGCCGAAGTTAACATTCAAGGAGATCATTCGCACTTGGGTGCGCCCATTCGACATGTTCATCAATGAGCCGATCGTGCTGTGTCTCTCCCTTCTGTCTGGATTCGCGGATGCCTTGATCTTCACCTTCATCTCTTCCTATGGCATTGTCTATGCTCGATGGGGCTTTGGAACAATCGACGTTGGTCTCGCTTTCATTGCTCTTCTCGTCGGCTATCTCCTCGCTTATTTCTCCATGTTCTACGTCTTCTCACGGGCAGTGAAGCTGCGCCGGAATCATCCCCAGAGGATCACCCCCGAACATAGGCTGTGGTGGCTCTTATGGACTGTTTATCTTTTGCCCGCCGGATTGTTCGGGTTTGCATGGTCTTGTAGGGGTCCGGAGTATAATCACTGGATTGTCCCCATGATTTTCTCGGTGGTTATCGCTATCGCGAACTTCACGATTTACATGACGACGATCGACTACATGACTGCCGCTTACGGTCCTTACGCTGCTTCGGCCACCGGTGGTAACGGCTTCGCTCGTGACTTCCTTGCGGGTATCGCTGTCATGTACTCCACCCCTCTCTACACCAACGTCGGCTCTTACCCCAACAATGTCGCTTGGGCCACTATGATCTTGGCGTTTATCTCGATTTGCGTCAGTGTTCCGGTGTATGTCTTTTACTGGAAAGGCCCGCAGATCCGTGCTGCGTCGAAGTTTGCTCAGAAGATTGCGAATGCGAGGGAGGAGAATGAGGGGAGGATCGCTACGCTTGGTAACAAGGCGGAGGCAGGGCATTTGGAGAACGCTGACCCACAGGTGTAAAAGACTTTAGGTAAATCGTGGTTATAGATTATATTGTTTTAGATCGAATGGATCTCCTTTCATTGCACCATGTTCTATGGGCGAATTCCGGTAACTTCATGCCTTGTGCATATACATCTCTCCTCTGGACTCTAGACGTGGATTCTCTGCTTCTTAACCGCCTCCTCCACCTCCGGACTCTTCTCTCTCTTCACACTCTCCTTCACCTTGCCCTCTACGCTCTCCTCCGCCTCCGCCTTCCCGTCGTCAATCCGCGTCAAAACAGCAATCGTCTCAACATGATGCGTCTGCGGGAACAAATCAAACCCCCGAATACTATCAACCCTCCACTTGCCCTTCCCCTTCTCGTGCTTCAACAAATATCCGATATCCCTTGCTTGCGTGTGTACGTTACACGAGATATAGACCACCCTCCTCGGGCCGAACGTCAAGAGCTGGTTCAAGAAGTCATGGTCGCAACCGGAGCGGGGAGGGTCGATGATGATCGCGGTCTGGAGTGGTGGAGAGCGCACGTCCTCGAATATATGCGACGCCGTCGCGGCGCGGAAATGAGTGTTGGTAAGTCCGTTAGAGGCAGCATTCTTCTTCGCCCACTCAATCGCCTGACTCGAGATCTCGACACCGACGACGCTCTCGAACCCCTCGTGACACGTAACAGCAAACAACCCACTCCCGCAATACGCGTCGACCAAGTGTTTGACATCGTCGGAGTTGGGAGGGAGGTTCGTGCGGAGGTTATCGCGGACGTAGCCTGTGAAGGCGGGGAGGATGGCGTTATTGTTTTGGAAGAAGGAGCCAGCGGGGGTTTCGAAGCGGAATTCGTCGACGTATTCGATGCAGATTTGTTTAGAGTCTGTCAAGGCGAGCTTCTCTTCCACGACAGCGGTAGCCACGGCTTTGGGGTCGGATCCTGGCTCTACCTCATCGATCCTCGTAGCTTCGGTACTGGAGGTTGCGGTTGTGGTGATGGTCTCGCCAGAAGGGGTACGGGTGGTTGATTCACGGAGAAGGAGGGTAGCGCCCTTCTTGTAGGTCTTGACATTCTCATACACCTTCCTCCTCGCGGCAACTAGTTCCTCATTCAACTTCTCTGTCGCAATCGGGCATTCCTCGATATCCATCGTTCTCCTTCTCCCCTTCTCCATGAACCCAATCTGGGGGAACACACCATCCGGAAACCCGGCTCTCGGGGTGTCGAAATGGGGCGTGATCTTTGTGCGGTAGCGGTACTGGAGTGGTGAAGGGCAGGTGTCGATGATAGGGGGGAACGTCTCAGCGGGGAGCCCGGAGAAGTTTGCGAAAGCCTTCTCGACGACACGTTTTTTGTGGATGAGTTGGTCTTCGTAGGTTAGGGTCTGGAACTGGCATCCTCCGCATTTGCCGTAGTACTTGCAACCGATGAGTTCGTCGTGGCGTTGTGGTGATTTTGTGATGACTTGGACGAGGTCTGCGAGGGAATACTGGGGGAAGATGGTGTGGATGCGGGCTTTGACGACTTCGCCGGGAAGACAGAATGGGACTACGACGACGTGGTCTTTTGCGGCAGTCGCGGCGAGACCGTCACCTGTCGAGCTCAGGTCGGCAATGGTCAGCTCCACCTCTTGGAATCTCTCGAATTCAGTTGGTTGTGCGACGTCGGCGGGGACATCCTTCAGCAGACTCTGGACATCGTGCACCAAGATTTCCTCGGAGCTTCCAGGCTTGACTTCCTTTGCCTTGAACTTGCGCTTGATCTTCTTGGGCAGCTGTTTCGGCTTGGGAGCTTCAGCTGCTGGAGTGGGAACCGTGGCAGCCGGGGCCTTTGCGGCCAAGGCGATGCTGATGGGAGACGCAGCAGGCGCAGACATTGTGAAGAATCGAAGGAAAGCTACTCTGTGATCGAAGACCGGACTTCTGATGGACGGCGGTAATAATCTGAATCTCATAGGGTCATCTCATATACTTTGAACATTTCTGGTGTGGCTGGTGCTGGGGACACAGACAGGAAACTCCAGCTGTGCCCTGCGAGACCCCCCGACGGAGACAAAACCACCAGAAAAATGTCCAGCTCAAGAAAGGTGCTGGCATCGCTGGCAGGCGCTGGTGCGTTGTTATCCTTGATCCGTTGTGCTTGGCCCGAAGATTGACAGTTGTGCAGCGCGATCCTTCCATACTACCGCACCAGCACGAGCCCGTGTCCCCCGTCACCGGTGGAAGCCCAAGGCTCCAGCTCCAAAGCCCGCAAACAACTACGACGATCTCGCCGCCGTCATCACTCCAGCCGAAATCGTCAATCTCCCTCGACGAACCACCGGTATCTCCATCCCCTACTTCGACGACTTCAAGAAACTCCACCCAATCCTCGACTTCCCCTCCAAACAGGTTCAGGAGAAGGCCTACGCTGCAGGCGCGATCGAGGCAACACCCGATCTTCCTGATGTCCGGCCGAAGCTTACGCAACCAAAGGAGGGAGAGTTAACTGAGAACGCGTTGATTGCGGCAACGGGAGTCACACCCGACCAAATCCGATCGAACTTTATCACAAAGACGTTGGTGTTGCACCGTGTCGTTAACCAGACCAAAAAAGGAAAGATTTCCTCGATGTACGCACTCGCCGTCGTTGGAAATGGTAAAGGTATGGTCGGCTACGGCGAAGGCAAAGCCGACGAAGCCGCCCTCGCATCCCAAAAAGCGACCTACGCCGCTCTCAAAAACATGCAATACGTCCCCCGATACGAAAACCGTACCATCCACGGCGAACTCAAAGTTAAATACCACGCCGTCCACCTGACGCTTCGACCACGACCACCGGGTTTCGGACTTCGTGTGAATCATTATATTTATGAGATTTGTAAGGCGGCGGGGATTTCTGATTTGGGAGGGAAGGTTATGAACAGGGGTTCGAGAAATGGGATGAACGTTGTTAAGGCTACTTTTGAGGCTCTAACGAACCAGAAGTTGCCGGAGACTTTGGCGAGGCAGAGGGGAAAGAAGGTTATGGATGTTAGGAAGGTGTATTTCTCGAGGACATAGAGCGGGACAAAAGTGGGGGTTTACATTGTATGAGTTTGGTATATTGGCGTATGTGATAAAAGCGTCTCTCATTATGCATTTCGTCCGAGTTTGCTTGCCCTCATTCGTCAGGCTTCGTGGTTCATAACCACGCCTTGGGTAAGCAGAGCAACGTCGCTGAGCTTCTTCCCAAAGCTTCATCGGGGCATCAAACGTGCACGCCACCCTGGTACCTCCCGTGTTCTATTCCATGCATCCCCATCGATCCTTACGGCGGCAGCCCCTTCACTGCTCCGCCAACGGATTCGCGTGAATCGTCACATCCTTCAGTCTAACTTCCTTCCCAGGTAACGGACGATACTTTCCATCAACCTCACACCCCTCCAACCGATCCAACGTCTCCCACCCATCAATCACCTTCCCAAATACCGTGTACTTCCCGTCAAGATGGGGGTGTTTATCATACGTTATGAAAAATTGAGATTTGTTTGTGTTGGGTTTGTTGGCGTTTGCCATGGAGAGGATGCCGCGGGTGTTGTGTCGGAGGGTTGGGCGGATTTCGTCGGGGAAGGTTTGGGTGGGATAGATGCTGGAGCCGCCTTTTCCGGTGCCGGTTGGGTCGCCCATCTGTGTGCCATGTTAGTCTTCTGCGTAAAGGAGGGTTGAAGGAGGAGGGGAGACGAACCTGTACCATGAATCCCTTGATGTTACGGTGTATCAGACATCCGTTATAGTAGTCACTCGCACATAACGCCAAGAAGTTCTCTGCTGCCAACGGCGTCGACTCGCAGAATATCTCGAGCTTGATATCGCCCAGATCTGTATGGAGGGTCACTGACATGATGGTGTTGTGTTTGCTGGCGGGTGTATGTGCGCGAGACAACACCTGCACTGAACCGACCCCGGTGTTTGAAGCAGCTGAAGAAGCTGTAGAGGCCAAGATGTCATCGAAATACTCCTCGTTACCAGACCTCGACACCTCCAACCCCGATATCTACGAAACCCCCGACATCCCAGACTTAACCGATGCCTCGACATCCGAGGAAGACTCCTCCAACGACAACATCCTTCGCGACGGACTCTCCGTCACCGATGCCCGTGCACGGTTCGCAAACGAATCTGTCGATGCCTCCAGCGCAGACTTCTCCGATAGCATCGCGCCTGGAGGAAGGAGAGGGGTGGGAGGAGCTGGGAGGGGGATTAGGACGTACACGAATGTGAGGCTCACGGAGACGGTTGGGGAGAGGGTTGCGAGATTGAAGAGGGAGATTGAGGAAGTCAAATTACAAGCACAGGCAGAGGCGGAGGCAGATGTGGAGGGAAGTGAAAACGGGAAGGAGGTGGGGTTGGCGGAGATTGTGAGGTTGGAGGAAGCGTTGTCCGCGCCGAGCGTTGGTGGTGGGCCGAGGGTATTCACCAAAGAGCTTTCGCCTGTACAACCTCCACAAACAGCTGCCCCAGCACCCACGCACGACCCCGTCGCAACTATCGATCCCCAAACCGCGACCCTCCTCTCCGCCCTTGACACCCGCCTCGCATCCCTCGAATCCTCCCTCGGCCTCGACACAACACCCACAACCTCCAAAACTACTTCTACAACCATTCTGCAATCCCTATCAACCATAAACGCAAAACTCTCACTCCTCTCCTTCCCCGACGACATCCTCAAATCGAAAACCGAGGCGCTCCGGACACTCTCCACACTCTCCTCGAAGACCGACGCCATACCAATCGACACCAAAATCGCAGCCTTGCACTCTGCACTCCCAACGCTCGACGCCCTCTCCCCGCTCCTCCCGCCCACCATCTCCCGCCTCCGCACCCTCCACACCCTCCACGCCGACGCCTCCACCCAACACACCCTCCTCTCCACCCTCGAACAAAAGCAAACTCAGTTAAGGACGGGTTTGGATGCGTGGAGGGAGGCGTTGGAGAGGGTTGAGGGGGGATTGGAGGGCGTGCAGGAGGGGGTGAGGAAGAATGTGGATGTGGTGGAGGGGTGGGTTAGGGGGGTTGAGGGGAGGTTGGAGAAGTTGGAGTAAGGAGAAGGGAAAGTGGAGGGTGTGCTTGTTCTATTCGATATACCCATTATCTCGGAGACTGCGTCCATGGAGCATTACCTCAACTTGCTAAAGCTAGACGGTTCAATGTGTTGAAGTAATGCGTCAAATTTGTTTTGTGACCACCCAAAATGATGGACTTGAAGAATGCCCAAAGATAAATAAATGCAGTACCCAGAACGCCGTTACCCAGTCGATCCCATAAGACCCGTCCATCCCTCGCCTTTCACCTAGCATACAACAAAGCTCACTACCCCTCAACCTTCTGCTTCGAACTCTGCGCAATAATCCTCACTTTCTCCGTACTCACAGTCTCATTCTCAAACCGGAACGTAGGCTGCTTAATAATGAACGTCCAGACTTCATCGCAGAGACGATATGTGTCGAGGTGGCCTTTGAAAGACATCTTTGACTTTACGCGTTCGGCGAGGGCGTCGCCCATGGCTTTGTCGAACTATGCAATGTCAGTTCCATTGATATGAATGTACAAGGGAGGTTGAGGTACGTTTTCCATGATCTTGACAGCGAGTTGAGGGACGATTCGGCCGTCGGAGATCATCTCGTCGAGGGTGTCTGCGAGACACATACCGATGCTGTAGCCACTCATCAGCCCAAGCCCTTACAACTCTAACTCCGAGCAATGCTACCTCGTATTTCTGTAGTGCTCATAGTAGAATTTTCCCATCTTGGTTGTTTGGAGGTTCTCTCGAGGTGTTGTATCTGGGCGTGGCTCCCCTGAATGACGCAGCCGGGCCGGTGCGCTCGCTCAGTAAGCGGGCAGGACAGCATACACCCGTGGACAGCATACACCCGAGAAGAAGCTCAGTGAAGAGCAAGAAGCAGAAGCAATGGGTGCTATCACTACAATTACCTACTCTACAGCCTCGCTGGCTACCCTGGTCGGGCTATGTACGTCCCCATCCCCATCCTCGTCGCATGCTGGACAGTAGCTAACGGTGGTTATCAGACATGCTCTTCCACAATACCGGCGAAGAGTTCAACCCAGGCTACTTCCTCACCGAAACCTCCCCCTACTCCTGGGGCCTCCTCGGTATCTCCCTCTGCATCGGACTCTCCGTCGTTGGCGCCGCATGGGGTATCTTCATCACTGGATCGTCGATTCTTGGAGGTGGAGTACGCGCACCGAATATCCAGACGAAGAATTTGATTTCGATTATTTTTTGTGAGGTTGTTGCTATTTATGGGGTTATTATGAGGTGAGCCACGCCAAGGTGATCGAGTTTGAGCTGGCTTGGGATGCTAATGGGGTGCTTACAGTATTGTGTTCTCTGCTAAGCTCGCGTCGGTTCCTGAGACGGGGTTGTACTCGAAAGCAAACCTCTACACCGGGTACGCTCTTTTCTGGGGTGGTTTAACCGTGGGTCTGTGTAACCTCGCCTGTGGTGTCGCCGTTGGAATCACTGGCTCCTCCGCCGCACTAGCTGACGCCCAAAACCCAAGTCTTTTCGTCAAGATCTTGGTCGTGGAGATCTTCGGAAGTGTTTTGGGGCTGTTCGGGTTGATTATCGGACTGTTAGTCACTGGCAAGGCTGGAGACTTTGCGGGTGTTGCGGCATAAAATCAGAAAAGAGGAGGCGGAATAGGAGGCATGAAGAGAGTTTTTTTTTTGCATTTCCTGATAATTTAACGCACAAGAGACATTACCAGACATATGCATTTTCCTATGCAACACCAGAATATAATACTAGGAATCAAACCAGAAAAACCATGTACGCCAGAGACACCGAACGACAGACAACAATCTCAACATCCTCAATCCGTACCCCCATACAGCCTCACCTCAAAATTAGGCATCAGTTGCAGTACTGTTCTCCATCTCCTCCCCTTCATCCAACAAACTCCAACTCTTCAACAACACACACTCCCCACCCCTCGCCAAATCAATCTTATACGTATAAAAATACCCCTCACTCGTCACTACCAGAATCTGCTCACTAACCCCACTCATCCCCACGATACTCTTCAACTTTCCAGTCGGTAGCTTGAGGTACGCGAAATCTCTTTGCGGGTCCCACATTTCGGAGAGTGCCGGGGGTAGGTATCCCCCGAGGGAGTTGGAGGCGTGGCGGCCTATGCTTTGGGCGGATTTGCGGAATACGGAGCCGAGGGAGCCAGAGCGGCGTTTGTTGTCTAGGAAGGCGTCAAATCCTCCTGATGGCTCGCCGTTGGGTCCCTGTCCTTCTTCGCCTGGAGTGCCTAGGCGGAAGATGTGGACTGTGTCCGTATCTGAAGAGACGCAGAGGAGTGTGCCGGCGGCGTTGAAGGTTACGTTGTAGATCTTCGCCGGGTACGTTCCTCGTCGGAATTGGTAGAGCTTGACGCCGCCGTCGACGCGGAAGACGCGGATGACGGTACCTTTGTCGGACGCGGTGGCTAGGAGGGTTCCGTCTGAGGAAAGAGCGAGGGCGCTTAGGGGTGATTTGTGTGCGTGGATGAGGGTTGTTGGTTGGAGGGTTAAACAGTCGAATATCACCACGTCTCCGGAATGTGGAGCGGTGTTCGTCGTTGCCTTACCGGGTGACCCCCCACCCGCCGCGGGCGTAGGCGCCGGATACGCAATAAAACAATTCTCACTACTCGAACTCAACGCGCATATCGCCGTCGGATTCGGCGCCGTCTCAATCGTATGCAGTAACTTCATATTACTGATGTCGTAGACATAAATCTGTTCTTCCAGAACCACGATGAGTCGTCGTCGGTTGAGCTTGACGGCAAGGACGGCGGTTGGGAAGGTTAGTTCGCAGATTGTGGTTTGGCGTTTTGTGTTTACGATTGTCAGGCGGCGGGGGGAGTGGGTTGGAGAATCGCCTAGGCCGACGAGGGCGACAAGGGAGGTGCAGAACAGCATTTCGACGATGCCGATGCCGCCGTCCGCTGTCCGTCCAGAAATCAGTCAAGGCTCCATGTCCTATCGGTGTTTAAAACAGACCTTTGGAATAGCATTTTCCGAATGGATCACAGTTATAGATCTTGTATCCATGTCGTGTACCGACTGATATGCAGCTATATGACAAATCAGCTCTTGGCCTAACAGCCAGAACGGGGTTGTCACACCTGTAATCCTGATTGAAGTTGACGTGAACGATTCCATCTGCCTTGTCGGCCAAGCCTCTGCCAGCGAGGTTCATTGTTGCTGTTTGTGCTGACTCCTGAGTCCTTGTTCGGTTCGCGGTTAACTGCGCACGCGATTGTCGTATCGCGAATGCCAGCCGCCGTCATAAAGCAGGATCCGCAATAGAAGCGTTTAGCCAGGGTAACGATACAATATCACACTTCTTAAACTGTATGAATAATGAACCACCCGTGTTCGTGTATGTCTTCCCCAGTCTGTTCTCCCATACGTTACCCCGACGAAGCTGAACCCACCTGAACATCCCCCGTCTTGCCCCACCGTACGACCATGGACTCCGATGACGAGGACGTGAAGGGGCTCGTCGACCAGGCTTTGGCTCGGGAGCTTTCTCAGCCTCCAGCGGGCCAAACTCCTGCGAGGAAGAAGAAGAAGAGGAGCAAAAAGAAGGCAGGTGATGCGTGTGAGAATCCGTCTGGAGACCTTTTGCTGACTGTGATGAACAGAAGGGAACCGCGACAGGTTTTGGTAGGACCCTAGACTTGATGGGGTTTGAATGAGTGCTAACGATATCGTCCTACAGAGGAATTCTACGCCGAAGGACCCCTTACGCCTGCTGAACAAGCCGAGGAAGCTGAGCTTTACTCTTATGATAAATCACCACGTGAACGTCTGGAATTATGCGTCGATCGCTATCGGCAAAAACGCCGTTTCGATCCTACCCGTACCAAGATCTTCTCGTCTTACCTCAGTTTCGGGGGTATCAAATCACCCAACCCGAACCTGAACCTGAATAAGCAGATTGAGGTCGAGAACGCGAATGATATGGAAGAAGCGCAGGAATTCGCCGGCGCCGACACCCCTGCCCTGGTGGAAGACGACGACGACGACGTCGAAGTGGACTTCACCTACGTCGTCCGCGCCTTCCTCGCCTACCACGTCCCCCGCAAACTCGCCTACATTTCTACCCAAAACCTCCTCACAGCCTCCGAGCTCGTCCTAAACTTCCTCCGGTACATCCACGCCCACCGCGCGCTCCCCGAATACTCCGCTGATATCGTGTCAGCCATTGAGGTTGCGAAGCGTGCGTGCGTTGAGGTACCGAGGAATAGGATGTTTGGGACGTCTGCGCCCGGGAGGTGGAATTTGGGGTGTAGTGCGGTGTTTGGGGGGTATAGTGATGGTCTCTGGGTCGACGACGCAGTAGAAAACGGGGGACGGCCTAGTTGGGACAACACTGTACCTTCTGCGAGGTCGCAGCAGGATACGCTCAAGCTTTCCGAGGCGCGTGAACTCATCACAAAGGTGCTAGGCCCCGACGCTCTTTCAGCCAAGAAGGTTAAGGAAGAGATTCTCCTCACCGAGGTCACGTCTATCAACAAATCATCCGACGGCGATCTTGGCACGCTTATGTTAAAACCATGGCACTATGAGGGCATGGCACCGCAGGAAACATCGGTGACGTCCCTGGAAGTAAAACTTGAGAACTCCGCTCTGGAGCACGCCTACATCGGCATGCACATCGACGCAACATTCCATCAACTCGACAACGGCATGTGGTATTTCGATCGAGTAACGGTACGTTGCCTGAGTGCGCGACTCCGTGAAGTCGCTGACATTCGTGTCTACAGGGCATCACACCGAGTTTCTACATTGAACCAATCGACGACGACGATGAAGATCCTTGGAGTTGATTTTGATTGTGAGCATACACTTGGACTTTGCTGGCAAAGACGAAAAAGATTGCAGGATATTCGTAGTATATCTTGAAGGAGGTACATTATACGGTATAATATACCCTGTATGCCCTTGAAGATACGCTACGAATATTCTGTCATCCAAAATTCTAGAGGTTGACGGTATTTGCAACGGGAAGGGCATGGATCAGGTCTGAGTGTATCATATCTCATTGTTACGCTGTAATGTACATTCTTTCATTATTGAAAACGGTCAAAGCCCAAAGAACCCTATCCCATACCCGAGCTTAAAGGAAGTAGTCGGGAGTACGACGACTGACAGTGGGCTCTCCAGTCCGCGGTGCCGGGTCAAATTGCAAACTATGTCCTTCTATTAGCATTCATCCTGAAGACACTGTCTCAACACATTAACATACAAGGTGTACTTAAGATGCTCGTCAATCTCCATAATCGCAGCCTGGTTACCACATCGATAACAATAGTTAGGTGCTGAGAAGATCGTAACGACATTCCGCTCCTGACTCCAGTTGAATCCCTCCATCACAAGCTGATGCGCACGCGCAACGAGCGTGAGGCCGTTATTGTGGTTGAACACTTCCGAGATATCCTGTCCGAAAGTGTATCCGGCTCCACGTGGCGATATACCCCAACCGCACCTGTCGTCGGGATCTGACCAGAGGAGATCACACATGGGTCCCTCGTGTGGGACTTCTTGGATTCTGTCCAAGGCGCGGATGTGGTCGAGAGTGTCGATGGAGGGGGATAGACCTCCATGGAGACAGAAGATTTGGTTCTCGATGAGAGCGGTGAGTGGGAGGTAGTCGAATAAGTCGGTGAAGTGTTTCCAGACGTTGGCGTTACCGTATTTGCGGAGACATTCATCGTAGAAACCGTAGACTTGGGTGATTTGGCGGGATTCGTGGTTACCGCGGAGGATGGTAATACGGTCCCTGTAACGGACTTTCAGGGCAACGAGAAGGGTAACAGTCTCGACAGAGTAGTATCCACGGTCGACGTAATCACCCCTGTGCATATGTCAGTATATGCTGTGCCGACATGACAGAAGGCCTGTGCTTGCTTACATGAACAAGTAGTTTGTGTCTGGGCAGTTTCCACCAATCTTGAAGAGCTCCATCAAATCATGAAACTGTCCGTGGATGTCACCACAGACAGTAACAGGACATTTCACGGGCTGCACGTTCTCCTCCGCCTGCAAGATTTCTCTAGCCTGTGCGAAAACAAGGTTGTTAGTCGACTGCAAACCTCGTCAAGAAAACAACTCAAGCATCCACACCTTATCGCATAGTCTCTTTACGTCTGCTTCGCTGAGCTGTTTGCACTGCATCAGAGTTTCAATCCATCCATCAACCTCACCGATAGCATCTTGAGCAATCGGCGCCGGTGACAACGACGACTGTGACACGACAGGAGCCGCAGGTGGAGGTGATGGACTCGTCATGCCCGTCATCGTTACGTCGGCCATTCTGGTACTGCTGCTATATTCTCAAAAGACGCGTTGTTGTTGCTGTGTTGTTGGTACGTATACTGATGGCAGGCTATTGCGTCAATGCACGAAGACGGCGAAAAAGGGGCGCGACACGTACTCGACGGGATGTATGCGACGACTTACAAAGAACTGAGCCCGAGCTGAACTGGACGATTGGAGGTGTTAACAAACAATTGATCTTTTGTGGGGACGTTTGCAGTTGCCGGTGATGCCTGACCGAACGCCTTGCAGTTAGCGTTGTTCCTCGACTATGTACAAGTTTAACCTTGACGTCGACGATGGAGATCACGAGTTTCTGGTTAGGGTAAATGTTATATTTTGTACACATCGACAGGTTCGTAGATGACAGTAGTCATCCTTTCATCCCACTCCGCCGCCTTCGACTCCAAAGTTTTCGCCTTTCATGGCATCACCAGGTATTATCCACGCAATTTCACACTTTCACTTCCGTTTCAGTAGTCTTTCATCTATCGTTCAACGCCGTAAAAATAACTTATCCGATGACGAGGGTGTTCTCGTCAGCGAAGTCGTACTCAGGAACCTCCAAGTTGAGAGGAGCAGGACCCTTGCGGATACGGCCAGCTGTAACAACCATTAGCATTCATCCCGCACAGCAAGACATAGAGATTGACGTACAGATATCGTAGTGAGAACCGTGGCATGGGCAGAACCAGCCTCCGTACTCACCGGCCTCACCAATGGGGACACATCCCAAATGCGTGCAGACACCCAACATGACCAACCACTCCGGCTTCTTAACACGCTCCTCATCCTTCTGGGGATCTCTCAACGAAGAGACATCAATGTTGTTGGCCTCCTCGATCTCATCAGCGGTACGATGACGGATGAAGACGGGCTTTCCACGCCACTTGATGATGACGTTCTTTCCTTCGGGGATCTTGGCGAGGTCGAGCTCGACCTTGGCCAAGGCGAGGACATCAGCGGAGGCGGACATGTTGGCAAGGAAGTCGGAGACGGTAGCCTGGGCACCGGCGGCGGCGATGAGACCGAGGGTACCGGACATGAAGTACGAGAAAGAGCGGGAGCCGTCGACGGACTGCTTGGTCCTGTAGAAGCAGTTGTAAGCATTTGTTCAATGGTTCATTCACCAGTAGCAAGCGTGTCACTGTGAATATCTGGATATCATGGTGTTCGTCACGTACCTGTACTTGGAGAAGTCAGGAATCTTGGTGGACTCCTGGTAGTCCTCCCTGACGCTCTGCTGCTGCTCAGAAGCAGGGTTCTGGTGGGTGGCCAAGAAGCGGGAGCCTGTTGTTCCTTCGTCAGCACTGTTCCTTGAGCCTTATTGCTTCTCCCTAATGGTAGGCGTCAAATCGGCCGTACGGCACGAGCTGGTGATCGGAAGGAGAGCGGGAAACTGGTGGAACGTACCAGTGACAGCGCATCTGGAACGGAGAGCGGCCCTCAAGGCGGACTTAGCGACGAGGGAAGGCATTTCTGCTTGTGTGTGGGGAGGTCTGGTCTTCTGGTGTACTGATCAGTTGCTGCAGTGTGCAGTGTGCCTCAAACCCACAAATTCGAGTCGACGCTCATTGGGCCGGGCCTCAACGGGTCGCAAAAGTGGGAGCATACACCTTGCACGGCTACCATTGTTCGATTCTGAAAGTTGTTTGCATGCTTTGAAGGTCTGCTTCGTACATATTTCCATGACCAACGTATATGACTTCATGGCAGCGGTGCTCGCCCTTACGCTCTTCTCCCTTTCGCGATCAAACACCTCCCACCTCCGGACTTCAGTGAATCCTCTCCATCTTGCAACTCCGTTCAGGAATCTCCAATACACCAGGAAACTATAAGCATTATTATCCAACTCCGCCAACACCTTCAAACCCACAACAAACACAGACCATGCCCGTCCGAACTCGTGGTCACGAACTCCCCACGACTCGCAACACCCTCGCGAACGGTGTAGACGCGCACTCCGTTATCCCAAAATGCCGTCCTCAAAACGTCGCGTTCAAAGAAGGGGCGATACGTATGGTCCGCCTCAAGGTCCCCCTTCCCAGCGGTCGCCAAATGTACATCATGCGCTTCGAAGACGAACCTGCTCGTATCAGCGCAACAAACATGTTCAAGGCCTCCTTCCCGGAGCACACTACTGCCCAACTTGAATCTGAAATGGAGTGGATTGAGGAAGAATACGCGACGCATGATGCGAACGGCGCGCCGGGAACGTGGGTCGGTGCGGAGGATGCGAGGGAGTTGGGCACCGAGTATGGTATTCTGCCGTGGATTGAGGGTTTGTTGGGAGCGCCGTATTCCAGGGGAGCGAGTTTGACGCCGGCGCCGGAGTTGGCTGCGCCGTCTGAGACCACGAACGTTGATGATGAGCCTACGCCGAGGCCGACGCGTAAGGACCCCACGCGTGCGGCGAATCACCCGAAGCGGTCTGTTCGCTCAAGTAGACGCGCACGCGAATCCTCCACAGCTCCCACCGAGCCCGAGACTGAATCTGAAGTCGGTACCGAGGCTGCACACGTCGTCTTGGGCGAGCCCATCACCACCAGCGACCAAGGCGTGATTGTCCAGGGCGTCCACCATGACGACGGCTTCATCGACGGCAACAACGTTGTTCGCACCCACGAAGCCGCCGCCGAATCCAGTACTGGCCAATCCTTCGAGACCCGCCAAGTCATCGTCGAGAATGAAATCGACGGCGGCCGCGACATCGAAGCGGAAATTGAGGAGTCGAAGCGTATTGCGCGGGAGACGATGGAGGCTATGCGCTCTAATGCTGATGACGAGGTTGACACGTTGGAGGAGAGCGAAGGGTTGAGGAGGAGGCATAAGAGGGATGTGGAGGCGTTATATGCGGATGAAGACGAGGAGATGCCGTTGGTTAAGAAGACGAAAGTTGAGAGGTTGGAGATTGAGGTTGTCAAGGAGAGGAGGAAGGTTAGGGCGCTTTTGGGGCTTGTTGTTGGCTTGGGAGCCAGTGCTGTTTTGCCTTACATTCTCTGAGGTTCTGGTGGTGTGCGATGTATGCTATGGATGAAGAAGAAGAAACGGTAACCGATATTGACTTATTGTTTTGGTACTCCTTCTGCAATGGACCATCGTGGGAAGTGCTGCACGTGAGGCCAGCGCTAATGAATTTGCCCGCACAAAAGTCGCCAGCGAACATCGACCAGCAACCGCTACACCATAACAACCCGGCCCTCGATGATGACGACGATCTTAGGTTGGCATTGCCTCCTTTGCTGAGCGTAAGTTCTTCCTCCCTCACCCATCCCTCATCCTCGCATCTCACATTGCAACCACTTTGCAAATGATTACACCTAAACTTCTTACTCAATCAATCTGTCAATCCCCTGACCTGCTTCGTCCTGGAGAGGACGTTGAAGAATGTTGATACAAGTTTTATATGATCATGGTTTTCTATTGTGTGATGTGGAGTTTGAGGTGGAGTGTTGTTTCGCATGAAGCAAGTGCTGACTGTGAGATCAGGTCTCCTTCCTTGTTCCTCTTCCTCGTGTGTGACCATTGCCTGTTTAATACAATTCTACTACTTATTTAACGTTCCTGTTCGTGTCCAATTTCGAGATGCTCTGTCCTGGGTAATATCTTCTATTGCGTATGTAATTTTGATGCCTCTGTCCCTCCTACTACTGTAGCGTATCACGTCCATCCACTACCATCTTACACTCTAGACACAGACTTCATGGTCTCCTTACCAGTAACAATCGCCTCAACCTTCTTGTGAATATCCTCAAAGGTCTTGAAGACAGTATAAGGGATCTTCTGCCTGTCACAGTACCCAATCAAATCCCTACCCTCCTTCGCGAACAACAAACCAGTCTTCTCCGCCGCACTCAAATCACTCACACCGTCACCGCAGTAGAAGAACATCCTCTCCTCCTCAGGGACACGTGCGTTCCACTTCTCGATCTCGAGGGATTTGTCGTGTCCGAAGCCGGAGTCGTCGTGGTAGATGATTTCCCAGGTGCCGTCGGGACGGATGTCGACGGAGTTGGAGACGATTTCGATCTTGGAGCCGAGCTCTTCGCCGAGGAGCCTGGTGAGGAGGGCGCGGATGAGGGGTTCCATGCCGGAGGAGAGGATGATGACCTCGACATCGTTGGCGAGACACCACTCGTAGAAGGGGCGGAAACCCGGGTCAAGGGTGATGTCTATGAATTCATTGTAAGAATGGGGTTCATGCGCGATGCACGGTTCGACGTACTCTCGGTAAGGATCTTCTTGGCCTCCTCGAAGGGGAGCTTGACAGAGTCGAGCATCATCTTGAAGGAATCCCTGAAAGTAATTTCATCCCTCAAGACCCTCTCGTTCATTTCCTTTCTCTTCTCGACTCCGAAACCGTAGTTGTCGGTCATGAAGTCATTGGAGTCGCTATAACCAGAGTAAGTATCGCATTACAATGAAACGATACAGCGCACGTACTCCCAAGTAATGGTTCCATCAAAGTCGGAGAATACGATTGACTTGACCATGATTGCTGTTCGTTATGGGATGTATGGATGTCTGCTCTTCTCGAGGGCATTGAACTCCGCGGGGTCGGTTGCGCCAATCTCAGCGTTCGCCCCGCCAATGACACTTTCCCGCAGCTACCATCGAAATTATTGAACAAACAAAACAATTGGGACCTCATGAACCTGTGTAGACGGTCGCTGTTTCAATCGTCATGGAGAAGTTGCAGTGGTGTGATTAGATCACGGCGGTCAAGTTTGGGGTATTATTCCACCGCTGCGTCGTCGCAGCCCTTTGAGGAACCGCCGGTGGTAGAAGGTGTGGAAAGGGCAGTGCCGCCGCCAAAGGAGCCTGTGAGGGATCTTCCGAGTGCATTGGAACAGCGGCGTTCAGATCTGTCGAGACGGATGTCGGCAAGGCTGGACGAGCTGCAAGCAACGCTGTTCACCGCAGGCCAAAAGCTCAACGATGTGACCGGATATTCGAGCATTGAAGCCCTGAAGAAGAGAATAGTAGAACAAGGTACAGTCTTTGGCGATGAATGACATAGCTGTTCTAACGATGATTGTACAGAATCGCAACTGCTCTCGCTCCGCTCCGCAATCCGCGCCGCAAAACAGGCCTACACAGAAGCAATCGCAAGCCGTTCCTCCTCCCAGCGCGAAGTCAATGAACTCCTCCAACGAAAGCACACATGGCTCCATCATGACGTCGAACGTTTCACCGAGCTCTACCGCTCCGATCACCTTAACGAACAAGCCGAAGCCGCAGCTGCATCCAGACTCACAGAGTTAGAGGGACAAGCGGAAGAGTTACAAGCAGATCTGGGAAAGAACATCTTATCGAGGTATCATGAGGAGCAGATTTGGAGTGATAAGATTCGGCAGGCGAGTACGTGGGGAACGTGGGGGTTGATGGGATTCAATGTGTTGTTATTTGCTACGACGTTGTTTTTGGTTGAGCCGTGGAAGAGGAGGAAGCTTGTTAGTGGATTTGAAGATAGGGTGAGGACTGTGTTGAAGGAGGAAGGCATTGTCCGGAAGGAAGGAGCGGTTGGGGCGACGGCAGCACCTGCGGAAATGCCATCAGTGGAGGATGTCAAGGCACAGGCAGTTGACCAGGAGGCTCTGGTAGCAAGGTTGAGTGCCGCTATGGAGGAGTCTCAAAAGGTACTGGAGAACTATGTCAGCCTCGCGTCTACCACTAGGGCCGAGTTGGAGATTGACCCTCCTCTTGTCGGCGCAGTTTCGTCCGCATCTCCCACCTCACCCCGCTCATCCCTTGACATCATGCGCTCAGCCTTTGCCGCCTTCCACCAAGCACCCATGGAAATCATCCGAACCGTTTTCACCAAGGAGAACGTTCAAGCCATCGTACCTGCGACGAAAGCAAGTGTGGAGAGTCTGGTTAGTGAAGAACAGATCTCATTGAGCAGGAAGGATGTTACGGTCATTGCGGCTGAAAGTGCGGTTGCAGGTGCGGTGCTTATGGGGCTGATTACTTGGATGTTGAGGGGTTAGTAAATACGTAAAGGATGATCATAGGTTTGCATTAGCATTAGAGTAGTTTTTGGCGTTTCTCATCATCTAATATACCGGTTTGCGTACAAGGCAACTGTTTGTTGTGTGAGCTCTTAGCGGTACGTTTTCCACAAGGAGTTTTTCGCGGCACGCTTTTGGGCGACTGGACAAGACACCCGTTGGAACTCTTTCTAATTCTGAAGTTGAAACGATTCTAGGCACCGCCAGTTTAGGTAGGGCAACGGGCTCGCCAAGTTCCCACAGTCCGTCCATCATAGGTTGACATCACCAACTGCATTCGACATCGTCTTGAAACCATCGGAGCAGTGCAAATCTGTCCTACTATACTTGAGTTGTGTTCACGTATTTCCACCTTCCGGTCGACAATATCACATCACATCACTTTCCGTGCAAGTGCCTCGTTTTCGAGCCCGGCCCGCTCATGACCTCTCTGTGTGCGCGGAACATCCTTTCGCCGATACAAACCCCACGGAGGGATGAAAGAGGTCAGTGCAAAGGATATCTTTTCGAATCTCGCTCCACTAACTTTTATACAAAAGACAATAATAATTAGGTAGATAGGTATACGATATTGGGTAAACAGATAACAACTAAACTATTCCTTTCCCAGGCTCCTCCTGTAGCACGCTTTATATCCCTTATTCTTAGATCAAACGGTCATTGTCCATATCCTCTTCCGTACTGCGAGCATTAGGCTGCGTCTCACCATGAATCCTAACACGGTACAGACACGTGTAGTCCACATTACCCCAGTTGCTCAACACCCTGATTACGATTTGCTCGACAGGGACGGCAGCATCCTTGATGACGTCTGCGATGGGGAACGTCTGGATGGCTTGCTCTTCATAAACATCATACGTGAACTTGGCGATCTTGACGAAATCCACACCAACAGACGGCAAATCGCCCTTCTGACGCGGAATCACCGACAAGGCAGCCGCACCAACCTGCTCACGCAAGTCATCATCCTCTACGAAAGCCCAAACCTCAATCTCCTTCGGCGCAGACGTAATATCCTGAGCTACCTCAACCTGAACATGCTCGATCGTAATCTCAGTCGGTACCACTCGCGCACTAAGTCTAATCCCCATCTGACCCTGCTGCCCGGCAAATGGCCAACACATCCCAACGGAGTTGTCAGGATGCAGCGCAATCGCAGGTGGATTACTCTCAACCCCAGAGAAAGGAAGGAGACGACCGAAAAATGAACGAGGCTTCATCACGTACGTTTTCGAGGTCAAGAACGGGTTGACGCGTGCACCGGCAGCGTAGGCAGCATAATCTGCGCGACCGACAGACTCGGAGGCATATCTCTGAAGTGCAGATGCAATAATGGAGTCGAGTGCGAGGTCAGTCAGGTTGAGAGACTGCGGTGTACCCTGACGACCCTTGATGGAAGAAATGGCAGTCTTGACCTCGTCGTCCGTGTACTTCTCCAAGGAGAACTTGAGATCCTTGAGTATACGCTCGATATCCTCACCCAAGTCTCCGATTCTCTCACGCAACAAGTCCAAGAATGCGGATCGGGAAATGACTGCACCCGCGTCCTCCTTACGTTCCCACAAATCGTTACCCTGCTGCCTAGCAATCCCCTCAATCGCCTCCCTATTCTCCCTCAAGAAATCATCCCAGTTAGGCTGAATTACCACCGGCTTCTGCGAAGATCCCTCAATTCTCGCCTCATTAACAGCCTTCTGCACAATCCTCCCAACATCCTCCCGCTCCGCGAACGCACTCTTCAACTGCGCCCAAAACTCCGGCGCAACATCGACTTTCCCAGTCTTCGGGTTCGTCCTAACAGCAACATGTGCAGGCAAGTACTTCTCAATCGTCTCGAGTGCGTGCTTGGAGATGTATTCGCTATTGGCGTAGGCCTTGACCTCCTTGTGCAATTCCCGAAGGTCACTCTTAACATCACCGATAGTAGATCTGAGCTCGCGCACTTCCTTGTCCTTCGTAGCGAACTTGCCATCGATATCCTTGAATCGGCCAGTGTTCTGCTCCAATTGGACCTCGAAGCTGGTTAATGCTGTTTGCATTCTAGAGACAGTATCTCGCATATCCTGGACCTGGTCCTTCATGTCTTTCGCATCCTTACCGAGATCCTTCGCCGACGCGACCAATTTCTGGATCTCGTCGCCAAGACTGCCAATTGACCCGTCCATGCCTTTTTGCTTGCTGCCGACTTCTTTCGTGAAATCATTCAAATGATTATTGTTCTTAACGAGATCATCGTTAACGGATGCGAAATCCGCCAATCGCCGCTCAAGACTCATCAGCCTCGACACCAACTCATCCGTATTCTCCGGCGGAATCGTAGGCGCAGTATAACTTGGCGCACCCCCCGCCGTCCTTAGCGAAAATGGAATCTCATTCGTCAAACCAATTGCCAACTGCGCCGGCAATGATCGCATACGGTATAGCCCATACGCGACAGGGATGACCATTAACCACTTCCACACCCCATTCCTCAATTGTCTTCGGATGAACCGGAGAGGTGTCACGAGGGTTCCCCGTAGAGCCCATCCGATTAGACGAGCGATGGCTTCAAGGAGTTGTCGGATGAGGGACCATGAGACGATCCAGCAGAACATCAGGAAGTTCTTGATGGAATTGAAGACACCTGGTCGCTCCTCGTCTCTGGCATACAGGTCCTCTTCCTCCTCCTCTTCCTCCTCTTCCTCGTCGTGATCTTCGTCTTCGTCTTCGTCTTCGTCATCCTCAGCCTGCTCAACCTCACTACTCTGCTGTTGATACACATAACTCTCCACATCATCATTGAACCTCGTCTCCTTCCTCGTCTCCCTCGGCGGGATCCCGTGATACCTGGCCTTCCTCTGAGCCCTTGTAATATGCACCGCAGTCTCCTCCGGGCTCATACCCAGTTCGCGCGCTTCTCGCTCGGCGCCTTCCGTAGCTTCCACCATGCGAACCCGGGCGCTCGCGCTGTCTTCTGGTTCAATTTCGGAATTGGAGTTGGAGTCGGGGACGGTTGAAGCTGACCGAGCGCGTTCTTTGCCTTTTCGAGGTGCTGTGGCTGCGGGTTGGAGGCGGGGGTGGGGTTTCACGGGGGAGGCCGAGCGGCCTTTGCGAGTGCGTGGTGCCGGTTTCGAAGGTCCTTCTCCTAGTCCTTGGGAATGTACGGACTCAGAATCCTTGTCGCTGCGCAGTCTTCGCCGAGGTTCGTGCAGCTGTACACTACTCTGCCGATGTTTCCTCGGCGATCTCCGTGGTATGTGTACCTCCTCCTCTTCTTCTCTCCTTACGTCGTCCTGTTCCGGCGAATGGGGATCCAACATCGCATCAGCCGCTACTCCAAGAAATGACTTCATACGGTCCATCGCAACCCCGTTTACGAGTTCTCCCTCTTCCACGCCTCTGAGACGCGCTTCAGTCTTCTGAATTGCGCGGTCGAGGACGTCGTGGATTGGAACGTTATAGTCACTGAGTCTCGGCGCGTTGTATCGTGCGTTGTTCGGAGAACCGTACGAGAAGGATGGTGCGCCGGCTGTGATTCCAGAGTATTCGGGGAGGGGATTGGCTGGTTGATCAGAGATTCTTCGTCTTGTTGTTCGTCGATTGCCAGCTTTGGGATGTTAGCGCATGAGGATGCAGGCCAATTGGATACAAGACGGCATACCTGCTGGCTGATTGTTGAACATTGAATCGTCTTCGAACCGTAATTGAGTCCTACGAAGGCTTTCCAACGCGTTCTGTTCGTCGTTACGTCTTTTGGATACAACTCCATCGACGCGGGCGGGTTCTGCAGGGGTGCCCAACATGGGACTCGTGGGTGATATACAAAGGAGAGGCTGTTCTCTTTGCGCGACACAATTGCAACCCTATGAACATTTCACAATTGCAATTGAAGGTCTGCCTGGTACGAGATTGTAAGCCTCAGTCCTCTCGGTCAAACCTTGAAACGACCCCGGGAGTATGTCGAATCTATTCTTAGTAACACGGCTCACCTTCGTCGCGTCTTCCTGACGTCGCGCCTTCAACACGACCGCACAGCATACAAACCCCACGAACAACAACAATGTCCTCCTCCAAACCCCTCTCCCTAACCCACGTTGTTGCCGCAACCTCCTCTGCCCTCGGTATCGGCAAATCCGGCGGCCTTCCCTGGCGCCTCCGCAAAGAAATGGCTTACTTTGCAAAGATCACAACCGCCGTCCCCGCATCCCCTTCACAGCCCTCTGCGATGAATGCAGTCATCATGGGCCGGAAGTGTTGGGAGAGTATCCCACTGAAGTTCAGGCCGTTAAAGGGACGCGTTAATGTCGTTATTTCTCGGGCGGAAAAGATGGAGTTAGGGGAGGTGGAGCATGTGTACCACGTCCGCTCACTACCCGCCGCGCTGGAACTACTCCAGAAGCTGGAAACACCCTTGCATCACGTCTTCGTGATCGGTGGTGCACAGATCTATAATGCGGCTATGGCACTGCCAGAGTCAAACCGGATATTGTTTACGGCGATTGAGAACGATTTCGAATGTGATACATACTTCACCCCGGATTTCAGAAAGGAGGGGAGCGGGTGGGAAAAGAAGACGCAGGAAGAGTTGGAGCAGTGGGCGGGGGTCGAAATTGGAAAAGGCTTGGTTAATGAAGGGGATGTGAAATATGAGTATCAGATGTGGGAGCGTAGGGAATGAATGATAAATGTCCCTATATTGATATGGGAAGTGGTATAAGTGTGTAAATCCTGCTCCGTCCCTTCTCCGCTAGGCATACATGTATATACTCCCGAAACCCCCATAGGTATATTTAATGCTTCCCATTCACCTCCCCCACCTCCTCCGCCGTCTGATACCCATACGGATTCCCCTTCTGCCACCTCCATAAATCCCTACACGCATCCTCAACCGTAAACTCCGCCTTCCACCCCAACTCCTTATTCGCCTTCGTCGGCAACGCAGTCAAATCCAACACATCCCCCGATCGTCTCCCGACGAATTTATACGGTAGCTCCCTCCCTACCGCTTTAGAGAATGCATCGACCATTTCGAGGACGGTGGAGCCGTGGCCCGTGCCAAGGTTCCAGACGCAGCAGCCCTTCGTTTCTGGCGCAGAGAGCTTCTTGAGGGCGGCGAGGTGGCCGCGGGCGAGGTCGACGACGTGGATGTAATCACGGATTGGGGTTCCGTCCCGGCTGGCATAATCGTTTCCGAAGACTTGTAGGTATTCTCTGCGTCCCACCGCAACTTGTGCGAGGTATGGTAACAAATTGTTCGGGATTCCGAAGGGGTCTTCGCCCATGACGCCGGAGGGGTGCGCACCGCAGGGGTTGAAATACCGGAGAAGTCCGGCGATGAGGTCGGGGTTTGCGGCGCAGTGATCGCGGATCATGTCTTCAATCGCGGATTTTGTGCGGCCGTAAGGGTTTGTCGGGCCGATTGGGCAGTGTTCTGGTATTGGGATCATGTTCTCGAAGCGAGTTGCGTCACCATATACGGTCGCTGATGACGAGAAGACGATCTTGTTGACTTTGTTCTCTTGCATGACTCGTAGTAGGGTGATGCTTCCTCCGACGTTGACGCGGTAGTATTCTAAGGGAATCTCACCCGACTCTCCAACGGCTTTCAGGCCGGCAAAGTGGACGACGGCGCCGATATTGTATTCTTTAAAGACGGAGTTCAGCGCATCGTATTCTGTGATATCGACTTTGTGAAATGGTACTGAGGTGTTTGTGATCTTCTCGATGCGTCTTATCGCTTCTTCTGAGGAGTTGCAGAGGTTATCTACCACGACGACCTTCGTGCCAGCCTGGATCAATTCGACCACCTGCGACGTATGTCAGTCAATTGCGCATCTAAAGTTGTGAGAGAGACGAACCGTATGGCATCCGATATATCCAGCGCCGCCAGTGACGAGGGTGTATGGCTCAGAGACTTGTGCAGGCATGTTGTATGATCGTTGCCGTCTGACCTCCAATCGTCAAGGTGTAAACAGTAGGCGCGGCTGTTGTAGGAGCGAGTAGAGGTGACGCAGTGAATATATAATCGTCGTGGTAACGGTAACGTCGATCAGGCTGCGAACGGGGTGGGTGTACAGGTGTCCTCTCTTGTCTTTTTCGCGGGCCAAGCTCTCCGAGATGAAGCGCGCACGGCACAACACCGCGGCTGAAGCCACAGCGCAACCAAACGCAACCGCAAACACCTTAATCATGCGCTCTGCTATTGTTGGGAAACTTATATATTGCGATGCTAAGCTTTGATGTTGCCTGATTTGTTTGTTATCGGGGCTGTGACTTCGTCCGCTTCGTCCGACATCGATATCGGCGTGCCAAGACTTGTGATGTTCCCACCCTCTCCTCCCCGTCACACCACCGCGGCTTTCAACATCCTCTGTACCACCTCCTTACAGCTCCTCTCCCGAAAACCCTGCCACACCTCATACAAACTCATAATCTCCTGCGTGCATTCCGCGACAGCCTCCATATCGATGTTACCCTTTGCGAAGAAATCCATCAAGGTGTCTTTATCCCTCGTAGTCCCTTTCTCAACCTCCCTTTCCATGGTGAACACGGCGTGAGAGACCGAATTGTGGGAGGGAATGGGTGGGAGGATCAGGGTGATGTAGATTGCTGTCATTGCGATGATGTGCGGTGGGTGTAGGAGGATGAGGTCCGTTGAATACGTGTCGTTGATTGTCGTCCATATCGTCTCAAAGTCATTTTGTGCAATCTTCAATACCTCTTTTAGTCGTATCACCGTAGTATACGGATGAAACGTAACGAGATCAGATCCCAATTCCTCAATGAGGTAGAATTCGCATTCGGCGACTTTGGTGGTATCGGATGGTACATGTTCCGGGAATATATGCCGAGCTTCGGCTACGACCGTGCGTATATGCACGGGAGACTCTTCGGTCTTGCAGGCGAGGTAGAGGCATGTGGTCAAAACCAGATACGGGTTCGTTTCGACGTATTGCGCCCTGTGGGTAAATTGTTAACACACCCACAAGCGAGGAAGCAACCCAGAAGTGCCCACCTTGTATAGAACCTCGAAAAGTACGCTGTTGCCGTCGCAATTGGCTGTTGGCGCAGGTTTAACCGTTTACCAAGACGGAGTATAACTGCATATACCCTGGTGTCAGGCTCGATATCGACCAAATTCGTGACGAGGTACTTACGTCCGTAAAAGTAGATCTTCAAGTAACGAAGTTCGTCGGGCGTGCATAGCCGTAGGTCATCTTGGTGCGTTTCATCGAGTTGGGATCTGGTAAACAGCCAATGGTGTCTGTTGGGCGAATGTCAGCCTTCAAATCGCGGATGGGTCAGTGCTAGCGAACCTCTGCGAAGACGCCCAATAATTTGCTGCCATATCCCATCATCTTCCTTCGAGCGGAGGTTCAAATGGGGGATGGGGCCGGGTGTATGCTGTCCGGCTGTCCTGCGCGGTGCCTCGACGTCGTTTCGCTTTCTTGACAGCCCCGCCAATTACCTGGGTACATTTTGCTCGGTTACCCAAAGTATACACCACAAAAACAAGCAGCAAACACCCTTCAACAAACGCTCCTCGAAGCAATTGACGCGGCTGGTCCGACTTTAAACACTGCCCCACTCAATTCCGTTTTTCTTTTTTCTTCCAGCATTTACTCGCTACCATCCACGTCGACGGGAGTCAGGCATATGCAATCATAGCTTCACACAACCATGGGTCGCGAATACGAGAGTGGTCCAGACAGAGAATCCAGAATACGGAGGCTCTTTCGGTTCCTCGATACGAAACATGAAGGACACCTTGATCTCGCTGGTCTGAAACGCGGGTTGGCGAAGATAAATCATCCGTTGAATCATGCTGGCGCAATTTTGGAGAGTATCGATCAGAATGGGGATGGAATCATTACGTTTCAGGAATTTCATGATTGGGTGGATGAGAGTGAGTTGCAGTTGTGGTTTATGTTCAAGAAGTTGGATAAGAACGGGGCGGGGCGGTTGAGTTTGGCGGAAGTGAAGGAGGCGATGCATGAGGCTGGGTGTGAATGCCATATGGACACGATTAATCAGTTGTTTGAATTGGTGGACAAGAAGGATGATGGGTATATCGACTTCGATGAGTGGAGAGATTACCTTCTGTTCCTGCCCTCAACGGACGCGCCAAAACTCGAGACCGTTCTCGACTACTTCCTCTCAATGGAGCATTCATCCTCAGAAGGAGATGCTTTTCTGAGTGAGGAGACGCTGGATGGGATGGGATACTTTCTTGCCGGAGGAATCGCGGGAGCGGTATCACGAACATGCACAGCACCCTTCGACCGTCTAAAAGTTTACCTCATCGCCTCGACGGGTCCACGGAAAACAGCAACCTCCGCACTGAAGAAAGCGAAACTCGGAAAAGCCATGCGACGTGCATTCGAACCAATGGCACAGGCTGTGAAGGATATCTACAGGGTAGGTGGAGCACGGAGTTTCTTCGTCGGTAACGGGTTGAACGTTGTGAAGATCTTCCCGGAAAGTGCGATCAAGTTCGGGAGTTTTGAGGCAGCGAAGAGGTTCGCGGCTAGTGTGGAGGGAACGGACGTGAATAATATCTCAAGTATGGCAAGGTTCATGAGTGGTGGAATCGCGGGTGCGGTATCACAGATTTCGGTATATCCCATCGACACGCTTAAGTTCCGGGTACAATGCGAGACGACCAAAAACACAAAACCAAAAGGGAACGAGCTTCTCATCCGTACCGCCAAGAAGATGTGGTCTCAAAATGGTATTGCCGGGTTTTACCGAGGTTTACCCCTCGGTATGGTTGGGATCTTCCCATACGCATCAATCGACCTCGGTCTGTTCGAGGGAATGAAGAGATATTACATCAAACAGACCGCAAAACGACTGGGATGTGACGAGCACGAAGTAAAGGCCAACAACATGATTGTCCTTGCCATCGGTGCATGTTCGGGGAGTATCGGTGCAACACTCGTATATCCGCTGAACCTTCTACGAACGCGATTACAAGCACAAGGCACTGCATCACATCCGCAGACATATGACGGCCTCATCGACGTCACTCGGAAAACGCTGCAAAAAGAAGGCTACAAAGGCCTGTATCGAGGATTGGCTCCCAACTTGATGAAGGTTGCGCCGAGTGTGAGTATCAGTTACATGGTGTACGAGAACTCGAAGGTGGCGATGGGGTTGAAGTGAGATGTAATGGTGGATGGATCGGGGATGATCGGGTTTGGACAGGATGTGTCAGACATTCATTGTATTTGGGTTATGTATCTTTTTGCATTGGGTTTGCTGGGGTTACTTTTGCATTTAGGGGCCTGGATAGGCTCTAACCATAATTATACCGGACGTACGTGCACGTTCGGCAGCAAGAAAGAACGTTATGAAGCGAACCTGATTGCTCCTGGGTGTAGGGAATGTGCACCCTCATTAACTGTCAGGATAGAATGTTGCAGAAAGCAATTCGATAATCGATAGACTTGAGAAGTTCGAGGGTAATGAGTTGGCAAGTCAAGAAGTGCAGCTCTGCGTGGTTCAGGCAGCAGTTGGTCGTCGTTGTTCGGGATTCCCACGGTTCGAATTGGCCTTGCTCGCTTCAGATCCTTCGAGAGATGAGCTGGGGAGGTAAAGGGCCGTCATCCAAAGATAATCACAAGCAGATGAAGCTCCAGTCTGTCATAACATTAAACAACTTTAGCTATCCACCGAGCGGAGGCGTATACGTGAGCAAACAGTGATCTGACGTTTCTTCGCCAAACGATCATTCCAGATGGCAGAAACGACAATAGACTTATCAGATGCTAGCGCCCGATACGCGAAGCCAGGGTTCTACTTGGTAAACGTGCCCGGCCTACACCTAGGCAATTGCAATCGTCACGAATCGACACTCTTGCGTGACAGGTATTCCCTTCTTGGTCCCGGTTAACTCGGCCCGCCTGGCGAGCCATCCCTCGACGAATCCTCTAGAACATCACCGGATCGGACTTTGTAATTCTCCCGTTCGTACTGCAAATCCATATGGATACCGATCTGCTGGGTTGCGGCCAGACTCTGGGCTTAGTAACATTGCGCGTCATCGTGCCACCCTCTCGGACCCCAGGTTAAATCTGCTGCTCGCCTTGTCCAACACAAGAACCAAATAATCCACAAAACTGGCTTTCCTTCGTCAACTCGCACGAAGCACTCTTCAGAACAAGACTTCTTTCGTCAGAACTTTTTCCTCCACTACGCCCAAAATGGTCCACCTTATCTCTGCCGCTGAGGAGTTCGACTCCACCATCGCTGGTCCCCAGTTGACCGTTGTCGGTAAGTTGCAATGCAATCACAGCTGCTTTCTGTAACAGCCATTAACGCGGTCGTCAACAGACTTCTACGCCACCTGGTGCGGTCCTTGCAAGGCCATTGCCCCCAAGGTCACCCAGTTCTCCAACACCTACGCCGACGCCAAGTTCGTCAAGATCGACGTCGATGAGCTCTCCGAGGTCGCTGCCAAGTACAACATCCGCGCCATGCCCACCTTCTTGTTGTTCAAGAACGGTGAGAAGGTTGGAGAGGTGAGTCTATTTAAATCCGTAACTTTATAACGCAGGATCTAACATGTGAATTCAGGTTGTCGGTGCTTCCGCTCCTAACCTCGAGAAGGCCATCAAGGAGAACCTTTAAAGTGGATGCGTTTGAGTAATGTGTACGATCAAGCCGGGGGTTTTGTACGTTTAATACGTTTTTTCTTGCAATAGACCTGTTCACCTTTTGCTTCACTTCCTTCCGCTGCCAATGATCTTCTTGACCCGAACACTGTCAGACTGTATGGTTTCCTCTCACTTCGATAAGTCGTCCCCTAAGCCCAAAAGAAAACGTCGCAAATCTTTATCGATACCTCTCGTATCGACAGGGTCCATAACAGCAGGTCCGCCGACTTGCCGAGAGATGCGCCGAAATTTCCCCACATGTGACTGACGTATTTACCTACGTATAACATTCTCGACTTTTTTCCTCGAGGATCCAGTGCCTGATGAACATCGGCCAGAAAAGCACTGGAGCCATTCGAACATTGTTAAGACGACCCATCCCTTCCTCGCGCCTGCCTCCGCTCCTCTCCCGGCCAATGTCCGCGACCTCCGATATCAAGATCCTCCGAACCGTTGCCGAAGTCCGGCAATGGCGCCGTGACCTCCTCGTCAAGAACGAGTCCGTCGGCTTCGTTCCAACGATGGGTGCGCTTCATGCTGGTCATCTCGCACTCGTCAATCACTCCAAGAAGGAGAACGACCATACCATCGTGTCCATCTTCGTCAACCCTGCACAGTTCGCACCACACGAGGACCTGGATCAATACCCAAGAACGTTCGACTCGGACAAGGCAAAGCTGGACGAATTAGGTGGTGTGAGCGCTATCTTTTTGCCCACGGTGAAGGAGATGTACCCCAATGGCATTAAACTCGACAGGTCAAAGCAAGTGGGCGCGTTCGTTGAAGTACAGGGATTATCCCACCAACTCGAGGGCAGCGTCCGACCACACTTCTTCCGTGGAGTAGCGACGGTCGTGACGAAGCTCCTGAACATTGTTCAGCCAGAAAGGTTGTACCTCGGCCAGAAGGACGTACAACAGACGGTTGTTGTGAGGAGGATGGTCACGGACTTGCACATCCCTACGGACGTTAGAGTTTGCCCGACGGTCAGAGAGAGCGATGGATTGGCAATGAGTTCGAGGAATGCGTATTTGAATGAGGAGCAATGGGAGCGGGCGAACATTCTCATCCAGGCCTTGAAGGCTGGAGAGGAGGCATACTTGGCAGGGGCGAGGTCGCAGAAGGACATTGTCGGAGCAGCAGTAGCAGTCATTGGAGACTTGATGTTGAAGAGCGAGAACGGTGTTACTTTGGAGTACATGAGCTTGGCAGACCCAGAGACGTTGCAAGAGATCGACGAGATCCCAGAAGGCGGCAAGGCAATCATGAGTGGAGCAGTTAGAATCGGAAACGCAGCAAAGGGCGAGAGGGTCACCCGAATCATTGACAACCAATTCCTGCCTAGAGACGCATAGGGAAGTAATGAGAGAATCATTATAGAATAGAGAACCCAGGGAGAAAGCAAACGAAAGCCAAATAACTTATTGCGGAACATGAAAGAGTCGGGTGCTGTCTATATAGTCAGCCCGACAAATAAGAAAACCAACCCTAACGAACCATCCATGACCTCGCAACACCCCGATATTTTTTATGGTTCCAACTACTGCTCCTCACACACGTATGAAAATCCTCTGAATTGTTCTTGGTTGGCCTGAGTGAGGACAGACTGAACTGGGGTCAACACTGGCACCTCCCTAGTAAACTCGGTATCGAAGTTCGATGTATCCGTCGCTGACTGCAACGTGGGGCAGAACGGAGGCGGAACACGCTTGTTGTACATGTCATCCCAGTTGATGTTGCGGAAGTAAGGATGGGCCATAACGTCCGCAGCATCACCCTCCCCGGAACCGAGACGACGCTCAGGCTCACGAGTAAGAAGTTTCTGCAAAATTGAAACGGAGTCTCTGGGCATGTGAATAGGGTAGAGGGGCTCGTCAGCTAGGATAGCGTCGAAGATCTCATCCTCGTCGTCACCCCTGAAAGGAGACTGCCCAAGCAACATCTGGTAAATCAAGACACCGAAAGCCCACCAGTCAACCGCACGGCCGTAGCGCTGCTCCAAGAGAATTTCTGGAGCCATGAACTCAGGAGTACCACAGAAAGTACTGGTGGTTTTACCATGCCACATATCTTCCTTGCAGAGACCGTAATCGGCAATCTTGATGTGACCATCCAAACCAAGAAGGATATTGTCCAACTTTAAATCACGGTAGATAATGCCGTTCTCGTGGAAGTACTTCAATGCCAACAACACTTCAGCAGCGTAGAACTGTGCGCGCTTGGCACCGAACTGTTCCCTCTGAATGTGCAACATAAGATCACCACCACTGATGTATTCCATAACGAAGTAGATACGGGTTTCAGTCTGGAAGCAGGAGTGGAGATTCAGGAGGAAGGGATGACGCTCCCTGTTGGCAACAAGGAAAACGCGCTTCTCAGAACGAGTACTCTCAACTTCGTCGTTCTCGATGATGAACTCCTTCTTTAAGACCTTGATGGCATACAGCTGCTTGTTTTGCTTCGCTTCTGCCAACATAACCTTACCAAAGTTACCCTTTCCGAGCACCGCTAAGAAGTTGAAGTCGTCGAGGCCAATCTTGCGTCTCACCATCTGGCGAGAGGGCTGGGCGACGACATCGAGAGCCTTCTCCGGAACCTTCTCAACACCCTGGTCGATTGTAGGAAGGATGGTAGGAATGGTGGGAGAGGAAGGAACAGGCGGTAGGTCTGGTCGCTGCGAAGGAATCACTGTTTGTGCAGACGAGCGTGATGCTTGGGACGAGATTGCAGTCTGGGAGGACGTGGCCGAGGACGGCCGGCGATTGTCCACGGCCGGCCTGTAAGGTTGTTGGCTGACAGATTGGCGCTTGCCAGCAGCAGCGGCGGCAGCCGCGGCAGCAGCCGCACTGCTTGAAGAGGTGTTAGCTTGTGCGGCAGCGAAAGCAGCAGCAGCTGCCTGGGAAGCAGTCCTTGGAGGACCACCTGGACGTTGCTGTTGAGGCAGCGGCACTCGCGAAGGCGGACTAGGTTGAACAGGTTTGGTAACCGCACCTGCAGCCTGCAAACTGAGAGCAGAGGGGGTAGAGGTGTACGACGGTCTTTCAGGCAAAAGCCGACGCTCCTCACCACCCAAAACACCCGCGGGCATAGGCAGTACGGGTGGTTCTCCGCTCTCGATGTAAGACGGCTGCCGGTATCCCGCACCGACGTCTGGCAAAGACTTCCGTGGTGGTGGACCCTGACGCATTCGTTGTGACATAGGCACCTGAGCCTTCCTAATCCTTGTGCTCTTGATTTCTCCCAGGATGGCGTTCGCCATTTCCATAGACATACCGCAGAAGTCGGGAACCAAGTGAGCACACTGAGTGTGACAGGTAAGACCACATTCTGAGCACTTCTTGGCGTTTTTCTTTCCTAGAGGAAGAATGTAACCACAGTGACAACACCAGTTGGCACTAATGTTTGTAAGAGGCTCGAATCTGTGAGGAATACGGTGGTTGAGCTTCTCCTCCTCCGGATCCGTCTCCGCGTTCGACTTGGAGATACACTTGGTAACGACCTTGGGGTAACACTTCTTGTGACAAGTGTACGTACAGTCCTCGCACTGCATACCTGCAGCATTCTTCAAGAACTCACCACAGAAAGCACAGCGCATGATTTGGTAGAACTGCTGCTGCACGAACTTGTGACCGTACATCTCGTGAACTTCCTCCTTCTTCTGACGGATAGCACCTTGACGGCCGAGACCACCCATCTCGAGAGGTCGCTTGCCCTTCGTGTCCTTGATGAAGTCGATATGCATGTAGATCCGACCAGCGGGCTCCAATGCAAACCAGGTATCGATACCGGTCTTTGAGGGGTCCTTTGCGACAAGGTTGTTCTGAATGATTTGACGGTTTGGAACCTGAACCGGCTCTGAAGGTGGAGTAACATTGCCCTTCTCAGGACTGGCCCTTCCATCGTGAGTAACCTTTTCTGCCTCTACCCAACCAGATCCAGCGATCTCCTGCTCGATCTTCTTTCTGCGAAGCTCCTCTACGATGTCCGAAATCCTAACCCAAAGCAATCCAATGGGGAAGGCGTGATCACCCTGCTTGTCGTAGACCGTGATCTCCAACTCGTTAGCCTTGTCGACATCAATGTCAAACTCTTCATCCCACTTGTCGTGGCGCGAGGGCTTGGTTTTGGCGCGAACGGTGTCTTCAACCTTGATCATGACAGAAGTCTCAGGGCCACGAGAGAAGCGGCTGGTCGAAGCGTGGTTGACGTCGCGCACGGCAGAAATGCGGATCATGAGTTTTCCACTCAAAGGCCTGCGAATGTTAGGCGCGTTCACACTGTCATCATCCTCCGCCTCCTCTTCCGCAACATCAACATGCAAGTCTTCATATCTTTTCAATGCCTGCTTGAGCAACTGAATCTTCTGTGTACTCTCCACCCTCTTACTCTCCGCATCAGCCCTGCTCCGACGATCGCCCTCAAGCTGATACAACTTAGCCATCTTTTCGATACCCTCCTTGTATTGTTTCTCGACGGTAAGCTTGAACTCGAGTTGCTGAAGCATGAGCTGAATCTTGGGACCTGTATGTGGTGTCTCGGCCTTAATCAAATCTGGTCACCTTAAGTCAGCATACATGCTTGGCAATGTTCAAATCCAAGAAAGACAAACCTAGCTTCGTGTAATGAGGCCTTGCCTTGGGTACACCGGGGCCAGGCAACGATCCACCCTTCGGTGGTGGCAATGGCGGCACAGCGTCGGTGATACCCAACCCCGTCCTCGAAGCCCTCCGTTCCTCCTCCCTACTCTGGTGCTTTGGCGGAGCCGGTGGGCCGATATTATCGCCATAGACAGGCAGCCCATTCTTGATGTGCAATTCTCTTAGCCGATCCTCGAGGTACCGAATGTTCTTCTGCGCCTCACGGACTTCACGTTCCAAGTTCAGGTGCACGGCCGCATTGTCAGTCCGTGATCGCATAGCCTGTGCACCACTGATCATAGCCTTCTCCTTCTCAATTCGTCTCTCCACATCCTTAATCTTATCCGCGTATTCCTGTGCCATCATCACGTCAGCTGCTGTCCCATGATCATACATAGGTACGCGGTTTGCGACCAATCGTCAAGAAAAGGAGAACGGACCGTCATGATGCAGAACCAGAACTAGAACGTCAACGGACGCTGACTGCAGAAGCAACTTCGAGTATATGCTGCGAATGAAGAGTCTCTACCGTATGCAATATCGAGCTCTTGGAGGTGATCTGAACACGTTGTCTGCCGCTGCTGCAGCTGGTCTTTGGCTGAACGGATGACCGTACGACGTGCGCCAGTGTTTATTGTGTATGCGGCGCCAGAAAGCCCCTGCACTTGAATTATATAAATCCCCGTGGTATATTAAATCAGAACTCCATCCAACAATGTTCCTATCGTAAAGCCATTCCCTTCATCGTTTTCACAGTTTCACGTCAAGCTGCCTCAAATTGTCATTCAATCTCCTCGGTGGTTCTCCCCTCTCTTGGCCATGCCCACCCAATTCCGAGCTTCCCGGTCGCGAGCTTGGTATTCCCACACCTGCACTGCCCATCCTCCTTTCCCTATCCACCATCAACCAGTGAACCTGTGCCTTTAACTGCCATACCGCAGTCCGCAACTCTTGCACCTCCTCTCTCATACGAATACCCTCATTCATCACGAACATCCGATTCTGCATGTCCATACTTGCCACGTCGTTCCGTAAGCGCTCTTGATCCAGCACCAGTGTCTCGAATTCTCGCGTGAGAGATGGATCGAGTGGTGGTTGAGACAAACTGTGTAACGAAGAACGAAGACGGTGGTTCTCGGATTCGAGAGCGGATATTCGGGATGCTTGGGTGCGGAGGGCCGGTGCGATGAGTACAAGGGTACAAAGCAACGTATGATCTGATAGTTCCCGCCGTGGACCAGTCCACGGGCATCCGACGTCTTCAGCTGGACATGTAGAGACAGCTTCAGGGCAGCCGGAAAGGTGTGCGTCGAGATCTCCACGCTGGATGTGGGTCGAGCAATATCGACACGACACTTCGACCGCCGGACATATTGACACGTGAGCCTGTGGGACAGTTAGCAACCGTCGAAATCCTGTCACCAGGCAACCCACCTCATTATCTCGTATAATCCGTTTACACATCTCGCACATCTCCATCTCATGCGCACACTCCCCATCCCCACTCAAATCCTTCCTTAGAACCATCTCATCACACTCCGCCCCAGGACACAGCACCCAAGCATAGTCGCATTCCTTCTCTAAATGTGTCCCTAGCAGCTGTCTCTGCAGAACATTTGGACATCCTTCTGACTGGTTGGGACACACCACCAAGAGCTCGTTGACGATGTTTGCGATTATCTTTGGTGCTGGGAGGAGATCTGATTGGGTGAGCGCTGCGCGATCCACCGGACACGTCCTCGAATGCGATAATGCGGATTCGATACATGGCGTACAGAATATATGCCTGTAACGCCCGACTCATCAGCGTCCGAAACTGCAATGTGATCGGCGTGGAACACGTACCCACACCGCGTCTGCACCGGCTCCACCAACACACTCCGACATACCGGACACATGAAATGATCACTTACGGCGTCGGCATACTGATACTCGTGTCTCTCGGTCATGGTCATGGTCTGTTCATGTGTGAAGTTGGAGGTTGTCCCGCGTATATACCGTAATGGGGCTGGCTGGGGGCGGGGGATCTGATAAGATTGTGTGCCTTAATCCAGCGTTTGGCGAGGCGACGGTCAGCCAGCCAGCTGCTGTACACAAACAAGCTTAGGACACAAGGACAACATCTGACGAGCGATGAGCAAGACGAAGGAGCACAAGGATGATCCGCAAGAGGTGATGTTGAGGAAGCCGAGTGAATGGACTCATAACAGTTGCTATTACAGTAAGATTTCATTGTGAATCATGCTAAAGCTTCAACAGTCATCCTGCAAACGTTTTGCGACTTCCGTACGAGCACTGTTTGGCCGGCTCTGTGTTTGATCTGACAGTGAGGGTAGTGACCGTCGCAATACACACGATCCTCTTCATTCGAGACCTCTACCCCCCAGAACTCTTCGAGCGAGCCCGAAAGTACAACACCGTCGTCCGACGATCACGGCATCCCATGCTTAACGACTGGATCCGTGACGTAGTCACAAGTGTCAACGAGGAGTTGAAAAAGGTGGGCCATTCTGGTGGAATTCTTCCTGGGAACTAATCTGACAGAAGACTCATAGTGTACCGTTAACCGTGTCTCGGTTATCATTTTATCAGCCGATGAAACGCCCATGGAGCGATTCGTGTTTGACGTATCGTCATTTCCCAATATCCCAGAGCAGGAACACAATATCCCTATATCATCTACATCCGCAACCTTCACCCAGTCCGACCTTCTCGAACAATTTCGCGCAACACTCATCCGAATCCAACAATCCGCCACAACCCTAGGAAAACTCCCCGAAGACTGTACCTTCACCGTTGCGATCGAGCTGAAAGAGCACGAGGATAAACCGGCACAATACCCAGATCCGTGGATTCCTGCTCAGCCACAACAGAACGGGGTGCAGGTCAACGGAGAGAGTGTCAGAACGAGGGTTACGACGAAGCCGTTAAGGAATATTGAGATAGGGCCGATCAAGATTGATGCGTGGATCGAGGAGAGTAGAGCGAAGGGGAAGCTAAAAGAGGGTGAACGAGCCTAAATTTGATAGCAACATCTGGCCAGCTGGTTACATCAGGGATTGAACAGCGGTGGGACAGAGTGAATGAACAGCAATCGTAACAGTAGAAACTTGGCAACCTGGGATATTCCCTTTACAATTAATTGCCCATTGAAGGGGGTTGGTTGGCTGCCAACGCATTGCGGCGCGGGCCCGGGCCCCTCATGCACACCACCGCAGACTTAAGCAATTTTGGGAAGTGCCAGCGTCGCCACCCCTGCCGTTCTTCTAGGACCGCCTTTGAATATCAACCCATCAACCACCACCAGCAACCTGAACATACTTCTACTCTTAATACCAACCGATCATGCACAAGTTCAACGCAAACTCCGCTGCCTTCACTTCTACCGGCGGTTACTTCTCCTCCCCGCCCTCCACCTCGTCCTCTCTCCGCTCGCCGACCACTCCCCCCCTCTCCGCCCGTGAGCGCTATGAAGCTGCTCGCTCCTTTGACGAGCTCGACGATCTTGAGTTCTGTCCCTGTTTGACGAACGACGAGGTCATGTCCATCACTTCATCTGTTTATTCCTCATCGTCGAGCACTGGCTCTACCTCTCCTGGTGGATCTCCCCCTCAGAGTCAGGCCTACACCACTACCAGTGTTTTCTCGAATGTCGGAAACGGGAATGGATGGAATGGAAGGGGTGGACAGAGGGTTGGTGCGGCTAGGGGTGTTGCGATTGTTGACCCCATCACTGGGATGAGGGTTGCTACTCCCCCGAGGAACCAGTACGCCAGGCGCTCTTACTGGTAGATCACCGATATACCTATGAGATGGTGATTAACTATGGTCATTGAGGTATGGGTGTGTGTGAAGACCGGATGATAGATGGGTTTTAGGTGGGTTCTTGTTGTCTTTTTACCTTCTTGTGGATGAGTCAGATCAGCGCTGTGCGCACTGGCGCTTGTTCTGCCATTTTGTTTTATCTGTTGGGATTGTCTCGATTGCTTTACAAAAAGACGAGGGCGTGGTATACATTTGTGGATCTGTTGTTTGATATGTATGGTTTCTTTTTGTTGGGTTTGGATGTTATGTTTCGTTTAGGCCATGGCCATGGCCTTGCTCGGCGGCCGCGGAGTCTTTTTTGCTTGTGATCTTTTCTTGAGATGCATTCTGGATGGACGGGTATGTTTACAGGGATCTTTGTGGACGGTGTATTTGACATTTAATTGGTTTTATATTCTTCTTTATTTCAGTCCCACTCCAAGCAAATGTGACGTTGGTGTGCTAGCCAATTGGGAGATGCGCAGTGATGCGATTCAGCGCACCGCACATGACGTCATGACAGCTCAAACTCCTCACGGCCGAGGTGCGCTTAATTTATAAGGGGGACGGCTCCTCGACTTGGAGGGTACCGCATACAACCAACAAGAACAGTCGATCATCACTACCACAGTCACAATGCTCTCCGCCATCCGCTCTTCTATCGCTCGTCAGGCTGCTCCTCTCCGCTCCTCTGGTGTCCGATGCATGTCCCAGGCATCCAAGACTGACGGCGTTACCGGATCTCATATGTCTGAGAACGACCCTGATGTTCGTCTTCCTTTTCGATTACACTTGCTGAGTGAATGCTAATTGTTTGGCGTACAGAAGCTCGAGGAACAGAAGCAGAAGCACCTCAAGGGTCAGGACCACGACGACAACGGCAAGCTCGTCGACCACGCCCCAGGATGGAACGAGACTCTCGCTTCCGCATCGGAGGCCTACATCAAGGCAGACAAGCAGGGTGACTCCATCGAGGAGATGCAGAAAAAGACCGTCAAGCACGTCAAGGAGCATAAGTAAGCGTTTACGTCTGTGACGTGGGAATTATCTGAGGAAAGGAGAAGAAAGTGTATGATATAGGTCATTGGGTCCGGATCACTGAGCGTTTTTGGGGTTCATATATTTTTAATTTTGTATCTACATCATGAGGGGATGTAGCTGTGCTACTGCATGTGTGGCATAATTTCTGAATACAGCAATCAATTGTTATCTGAAGAATGTTCTTCAATCGTGTATGTTATATCAAATCAATTGCAATTTGCTCGCTGTAAGAAACGCCTTGACCCAATCCATAACCCATATCGCTATCAATTCGAAGTCTATCGAGATAAATAACCCTTCAGCTCATCGCCTATTTCAGCACCACGATTAAGATCACCAGGATGCAGATCAACAAAGTAATGATACTGCATCCCCAGTTCCCCTTCACCTTCCTCCCGATCTTCCTCACTCTTCTTCGCGCGTCCTCGACTCTCGTGCGACTCCTGTCAACGGCATCATCTAAATCTGCCAAAAGTTCCTGATGTGAATCAAGCTCATCCGAAATGTGCAGCGAGAGGTTCCGCGTAGTACTCAGAGACGCAGCCAACGCATCTAACGACGTATCCTGACTCTCCATAATCCGGTTCTGCAGCGCCAAGATCGTGGAGTTATCATTCGGCTCTCCATCTTCATTCGAGAACACACTATCCGAGAACCTAACCTGTTTCCGTTCTCGTTGGTTTCGAGAAGGTTCGCCTAGTAAATCTTCTCTCGGATCAGAGCCAAGGAGGGACGCGGCAGCCTTTGCTGATGTAGAGTGTGGAGAGGGTGATCGGGATGTTCGGAGTGTTGGTGGGTTCAGAAGTGGAGGTGCTTCGGTGTCTGAGGGTGAGTCGAACATTGATTTGAGGTTGTGGTAGGATGATTGGAGTTTGATGAGGACGTCTTCGGCTTCTTTCAGCTTGGTTGAGCTCCTGTATGATTGGGATCAGTGGGTGCATTCAATGGGGGATGTATGCAGCATACGTCTTGCCATCGCTCTCTGCTCTACCCAATTCTTCTTCTAGGACATCGATTCCGTGTTGTAGAGTCTGTAATGACTTCAGGATCTCCTCGTCTGTCTCTGGTGATGGTGGAACGTTGATGGAGAGCAGTCGCTGACGTTCGTGGAGGGTTAGTAAGGTGGAGTCAGCGAGGAGAGTGAGCTTTGAGGCGGCTGAAGGGGCCATGCTGGTTGATCGTTTCTGCTTGTCGAATGGATGCTAATTGAGCTGACAATGACTGTTCTTGACCCGGGATCTGTTTACCAAGCTCGTATGCCGTGCCGCGCCAGGCCGTGGGTGCATGAACCAGCTGTGGAGAGGCTGGTCAGAGCGTAATGACAGAGTGTGCAGGTAACCAGCTGGGTAACCCGTAAAAAGTAAAAGGTTTCTCTTATCTATTTCTGTGCATGTCTATAGAGCTCTTAGTTTTTCTGACGCACTTTACACTACCAGTAATTCGACCCGTTCGGGCATGTTCAAAACAACGCGTGCAGCTTACAACATCCTCCAATTCCTCGACATTTTCTGTCATGGAGAGCGACCTTCTGCCGTTGCTTGCTGCTACACAATCTGCAGATCAAAATGCTCGTCTTTCGGCAGAGCTGAGCCTGCGTCAACTCCAAGGACAGGCAGGTTTTCCTGTCGGGTTAAGCAATATTGCTGCCTCGAATGACGTCGACCAGCCATTGAGACAGGTGCGATCGTTACGATGCGAGACAGGATTCATCGACTGATGTTCGTCTAGAGTGCACTCATCCTGCTCAAATCCTATGTCCTCAACAATTGGTCTGCTGAGTCCGAGAATCACAATCCCACTATACCAATCGCTACACCAACAGCCAAAGAACACGTCCGAACCACGCTTTTTCCTCTACTAAGATCACCTAGCAGCTTAATTCTGAGATCGGCTGCGTATGTCATTGCCAGGATAGCGCACGCAGACTATCCCGAACAATGGCCTACATTCATGGACGGTGTCATGTCGATGATGAAGGAGGGCGGTGTGGGAACTACAGGAGCACTGACGGTATTGAAGGAGTTTGTCGACGAAGGTTTGGCTGAAGACCAGTTCTTCAGCGTCGCGCCGGACCTTGTACAGACTCTATATGGTATCGTGTCCACTGAGCATGTCGACAACACTTCGAAGAGCAAGGCGGTGAGTATCTTCAGGTCATCCGTGGATCTACTGGAGATGTTCAAGGATACGCATGCGGAGCCTATCAGGGTATTTGCGGATGGATCGTTGCCGCCGTGGCTGAAGCTCTTCTGTCAGGCCGTTTCTCTTCCTGTTGTGGATCCTTCAAATCCAGAGGAGGTAAACGAGAGTCTCGTTGAGCTGCAGATTGAGGCGCTGCGAACCATCAACAAACTACGCTTGATATTCCCCTCGCACCTCTCACGACACCTTCCCACAACGTTCCCCTCGCTTTTCACCGCGTTGAACGCGCTTACACCAATCTATGTTGCGACACCACATCCGTCAATCTCAACAACCGCAGAAGGCGAATCAATCAGTCTCGATGTTCTTGCAACCGAACATCTTGAATTCTTGTCCATCGCACTTGGCCACCGCGCAATCACGGCCTCCCTGGGATCTGACGGCATCCCACGAATCATTTATCTCCTGTCTACCTTTGCAATTGCAAGAGAGGAGGAGGTGGAGGCATGGGAGGATGATGCAGAGAAGTTTGTCGGCGATATGGGCGGTGATGTGAGTGCTAGGTGGACCGTACGCATTGCGTGTGGCCAGTTGGTCGCAGAGTTGGCAGAAAAACGCGAAGAGGAGGTTATCACAGCATTGTTGAACGAGGTTCGCGCGGCGTTTTCGGACAGGGAATGGCGAAGACAAGAGTCCACGCTTTTCTTGTTGGGGCACGTTGTAATGGCAGAGGATGGAGACGATCTCGAACCGGAGCGGTTCCAGGGTATTGATCAACTACTGCAGCAGTGTCTGTCTGCTGAACAAATGTTGCTCCAAGGAAGGGCTCTGATTCTTGCTGGTGAAGTTGCCAGCTTATGGACACCAGAGCAAGGAGTTCGCCTTGTTGGCAAGTGCCTCGAGGCTATGCAGCCGGACAAGGGTGTTATACTACGTTACTCAGGCTTGAAGGGTCTTCAGCGTCTATGCTCAATCCTTGACAAAGACGCTTTGCATTCGCATCAGACGCACATCATCGACGTTGCCAGTTCCTTCGTACCATCGAAATCCTCCGATCTCCTCAGTGTCGTCCTAGAAACCCTTACGTCTGCTATCAGGGTGGACTACAAAGCCTGCATCAGCTCGGACAAAGTGATCCCTTTGTTGTTTGAGGTTGCTGCTAGTTGCCCAGGAGACCCTTGGCTCACTGGCATTGTCGGTGACGCATTCGAAGCAATGGCTAAAAGTGCAGGAAATTACGTTGCGGTATGCCAGCGTGCCTTGCCACCTTTGTCGCAGTTTCTGAACGGGGAAGAGCAGGAAGGTCTGACATCCGTTGCAGTGGAGTTGCTTAACTCACTGACAGCCAGTGGGCTGAGTCCATTACCAGAAGGATATATTGCGACTGTTCTTCCAGGCTTAGCAAAGGTTATGAGTACGACTGATGATCTAGAAGTTCTTCAGTCTGGACAGGAGGTTTTGAGGAACCTTGTGCAGAAGGATCCTGCTCAGATCCAGGCCTTTAGCGATGGACAGCATGACGGACTTTCGATTGTGATGGTAATCCTGAGCAGATGTCTGTCATCCTCATTTGAGGATTCTGCGGTCGTCTTTGCTGGACCATTGATTGTGGCAGTTATTCGCAAGTTCGCGCATTCCTTGGGACCCGTTCTGCCCGAGCTCCTCAACGCCGTGGCTGTGAGACTCAGTACTGCATCTCAACCCAATTGCATCCAGTCTCTCATTGGCGTGTTTGCACACCTCTCAATTCAGCAATCCACCACCGTGGTGGATTTCTTGAAAAACATTACCATTGGTGAAAATACAGGTCTTGAAGTTGTACTGCGGGCATGGTGTGAAAACTTCGAGGTCTTTCAAAGATATGAACAAATCAAGCTTAACGTTGTCGCACTGGCGACTGTGTTCGGCTTGCAGATGCAAGAATTGATGAACATCAAGGTAAAGGGTGATTTAGTTATCACTCAGACGAACAGAATCATGACACGAAGCGCACGACGAAACCGTAAGTTTTACTATTGAGCTTCACCGATGCAAGTTAGCTTACATCTTGTCGCAGATCCCGAGACGTGGACTTATATTCCTCTTCCTGCAAAAATCATCAAACTGCTTCTTCATGAGCTTGTTTCCGAAAAGAACCGCACAGGTGATGATGACGAAGAGGAGGTGGTTTCGGACGATGAATGGGATGAAGCTGACGCGAACACCATGGAGGGTGGCATGTCTCTTGGTCAACTAGCGGCATTTGCCGATGAAGAAGACGATGAAGATATCGCGGAAGAAGATGACCTTCTTAAGCACGTGCACCTGAAGGACTTTACAGTTGACTTCTTCAAGTCTGCGGTCGCCAACAATGTATCCTCTTTCAATGAGCTTTGTGAGCACTTCTTGACCGCTAGGGAGAAGGAATTGCTCCGGCAGGCTATTGTATGACGAAAAAGTGTTGCAAGCTGGCAAGGATCAATATTCAATTTGCATAACACGATATATTGTCAATCACCTAAGTCAAAAGAAGTTATCCTGGCTGGCCAGTTTAAGGTTTAGTAAAGACTGGTGTAAGTCACCCTAAGAAAGCTGTCTGCGTCAAGTAAAATTCGCCGCATTGTTCAAGAAGAAAAAGGAACATCAAAGCCAAACACTACTCATAATCATCATTATTACGTACCACCATGACGTCTTGATCTTGAAGCCTACCTTGTGCTACGACGATGACTGCTCCAGCAGCAGCAGCAGCAGCAGCACGCCGTGCATGACCACCCCCTCCACCACCTCTACCAAGTGCAGCGAGACCACGACTTCCACCAAGTGCACCACCACCCCCTCCACCACCTCTACCAAGTGCAGCGAGACCACGACTTCCACCAAGTGCACCACCACCCCCTCCACCACCTCCACCAAGTGCACCACCACCCCCTCCACCACCTCCTCCAAGTACGAGGACGACTGCGATGAGAGCAGCACCTGGGCACCCGAGCCTACCACCTCCAAGAAGTACTGGTAAACGGAGTCTCCCAGCAGAAGCCAATGGTCTTGGTGCTCGGAGTGTGACTAGGAGTAGTCGTCCAAGTGGTAGTCGTAGTGACAATGACAGGAGGCAGGGTGACGGTGGCAGTGCAAGTAGACCACACCGTGGAAGGAGAGCAGCTGGAGGACGAGGTGCAGTCATCATCGTACCACTTGGTGGTGCTGGAAGAGCAGTCTTCCTCGTACTTGGAGGAGGTGGTGGTCTTGTACTTGTACTTGTCCTCACCCCTAAGCATGAGACGAGGAGAGGCGGAAGCACTGCCAATGATGGCAGCACCGAAGAGGAGCTGGGCAGCGAGTTTGGCGGAGACCATTGTCGGAGGTTTTGTTGTTGTAAGCGAAGGTAGAAACGATTGGTGGCGATGAGGAAAGAAAGATGGGGGAGAATGAGGGGGTATTTATACTCGAGGACGTGTAGCAGACGGCACTCGAACCGGTCATGGCCCTTCGGTAGCGGTTACCCTCCATGATCTTGGACAGCACTAAAAATTGTTTTTCTCAGAGGATTACTCCTCGGCCGCAGTTGCTAACTTCGGACTGCACCCTCGGTTGGCGCCGCTGACGAAGGCGAAGAGAGCACCGGATCTGCTCCTCCTCTCAATACCCTCACGATGCAAAAATGACGGCTCATTTTGTCCACCATCAATGGTGACGGCACGGACCTGCCCGGGCACATTGGCCGACAAACACTTTCCCTCATGCATCAAAGCCCGACGTCGACGTCGCATATTCGGTCTCAATCCAACTCCGTACCGTAAAGCTACGAGTAAGCTCTGTCAAACCCAGTTTCTGAGCTGCAGATCCATTCTTAGAATCTCAGTAATCATCGTCAGATGAGAATCGCAATCGTCCCATGTAGGGGAGTCGGACCCTGCCCTTGATCTTGGCCTGAGCTTCTGCATGCACGGTTCCAGAGCGTGCCTCGTAACCGCGACTGGGTTACCCGAAAAAATCGGACTGTCGAGCGAATAGAGGAGGATTGGTGCCTCTTAATTGAGCGGAATTTGAGCCGGCTCGATAATTCTTTTTGCGGGGAGGTGTGAGTGCGAGTGTATGGGTGCGGTCCTCCGAGGTCCTCGAGTTCACACGCCAAATATAGCACTACGCTGGAGTTGATAAGACGTTACCTCGATGCTCTGGACAGGGACGGGAGGATCATACGGCTGATCACTCAACAGGGCATCCACGCCAGGAAGAAGAGACGCTTTCTCGTACGTCAATTTCCCCTACGTGACGGCACAGCAGCGGCTGCAATTACGGGTACGGAGCGCTCCAACCTTGTTAGAATGGCCAAGGTCTCCGGGAAGGGCGAAGTGGTCTTTCAGCCCTAAGTCAGATACTCGAAGGTTATTATCAGAAGTCTCGGCTTATAGGGTTCGTTCCTTTCGTATAGTAGCTCGGTCGGACTCCCGCCTGTGGTCTCGGTAAGTATGTATGCCGACATTTAAGAGGTGTAGTCATGATCAGCCATCGCTGAACGCTCACTCTGCGGTAGCAGTGCACTAGGCGAGTTTATCATCCCACCTTTTAGAGAAGATATACATGTAGCTAGTCGACCAGGCGGATAACCAGGCCGTCAGACCTTTGACCACGGCCTCTGTAGGGTATATGCCAGCTTATCAGCCTGAAAGGTACCTCCACGACCAGGCAGAGATAGCAGTACGACAGAAGAGAGTATCCTTCTTGTGCAACACTGCATGGCAGTCGACCGAGCTGATGACCGGTTCACCGCCCAACATCAAGAGGTACCTCGGCAAGCCTTACGACGCGAGACAGACAGCAGAACAGTACAGAAGTGTTACTATCTCTGCTATCGTACCTACACAAGCTCTTCACCGAGCTGACAAGCAGTCCTTCCATCTGGTACAGCCGGTGAGGAAGAGCAGCACGGCACCAAGAAGATTAACATCGCTGTCTCTGTCCAAAAAATGGCGACATCCAATCATCCCGACAAGCAAAATCACCCCCTCCACTCCAAACACACCAACAAGATCGCCAAAATCATCCTCAAACTAAAGTCCCCCTTCCGACAAACCACAAACAACTTCTCCTGTCTCCCAATCCCAAACTTCTCTCGATAATTCGCCTTTCCCTGCAAATTCGCCAGTTTCGCAATCAGTTTATATGCTGATCTCGCGAACTTTGTTGCTAGTTTGTTCTCGGCCACGGATAGTTTGCCCAAATGCCCCAAGGGGGATGTGCCGAAGGAGAGGTAGAGAGGTGGGGATGGGTATGAGCGGAGGGTGGAGGAGGCGTGGGAGATGAGGAGTTCGGAGGTTCCGCGCGGGGCGAGGGGTGATGTTATACAATGCTCAATCGAAAACCCACTCTGTCCATCCAACTTTGTCAACGTCAACAACCCCACCAATGTACCCCCCGGCACCACCGCATAAAACCACCGACCATAAACCTCGAACGCGAACGGCATGAGTCTGGAGTTGTACAGCTTCATACGCGCTTTGGAGCTCGAGCGAAATCCGGTGACGAGTTCTTGGATGTGTTTTTCGAGGGTTGGATCGGGAGAGTTGAGTTTGTCGTATTCGTAGACTTCAACGTGGCCTTGTTCCATTGCGTTTTTGAGTTGTCGGCGGAGGTTCTTGGTGCGCGAGCGAGGTTCTGGTTCTGCTGGTACGATGATTTGCTGTGTTAACAGCGTCAGTCTGACACAATCCAACGATTACATGTTAGACGGACCTCCTTTGCAAACTCCATGTAGTTCCATCCTTTGATAGCAAGACTATCCGCAAAGGGCCCTCTCACGCTTAAAAACAATGGTTTCAATCCACGCCCCGTACAGAAATCCAAAAACGACACCAACAGCTCTTCTGATCTGGCTGGATCAGGCGCGCATGGCTCTCCAAAGACAACAGCGTAGCCCAAACGAGGACAGTACCCAATCGCGCCCTCGCGGCTCATCTGTGGTGTTTTGTCGAGGGAGATGATGGCTTCTTCGTCGTAATCGACATGATCGGCGGAAGGAGTGTAGACGTGGTAGCGAGGGTCTACCCAGGCAGTGTTGACCGAGTTGCCGTACGCACTGATCAGGTCGATCAACAGCATGGCCGTGTGTAGAGTCGTGGAGAGGCAGAGGGAGGGCGGCCATGGTGGTGAGTGAGGGTCGGGGTCGGGCGGGCATCACATGCCAGACGGTGCCAAGCAATTCCCACGGGCGGTTCGCGGAGAAGGCAACTCCAGGCGATCGATCGATAAATTCCAATTGAGGTAGAATAACCCTAAACCAAGAGTAACGATGACTAATCAACGACAACCATCACGACATGTACACCTGATTCAACGCATTGATCTCCCGCGCCAAGTGTACCCACTCCATCTCCCTCCCACAGTCCGCGCCTCCTTCCCCGCGCCTCTTCCTCTCGACCTCTTCCCATAGCATCAACTCGTACATAAACCGTAAATTGGGCTGGATGATCACGTTCAACCTGCGTGCGCGGGCCAAGAGGTATGCCCTGGGCACCGAGATTTGTAGGCGTCTCACCACCTCCGCGATGCAGATGGAGGCCGAACGACTCACGCCCACGCGACAATGAACGAGCGTGGGCGTGCCTTGGCGATACCCCGCATCCAAAAACTTGAGACATTCCTCGATCATCTCGCCATTAAGTGAATCAACACCATCATCCTGCAACTTGTCGATGTACAACCACTCGAATTTTCCTGCGTTCGTTTGTTCCGTCCTCTTGCACGCGATCACATCCTCACCGCGGCATTCAGCAGCAGTTGGACGCTCGCCGACGGAGACAATACGCCTGATTCCCAACTGTTTGAGCAGAGCAGGGTTCGACGCATGCAACAAATTGCCAAGATAGAGATGCGGCAAAATCCTCGATGGCAACGATCCATCAAACTTGCTAAACGTCATCCCATACGGGAACCACCCCTGCCTCGGCAAACTCCTCAAATCTCTTTTATTCGCCGGACTGTTCTTCAACAATAACGGTTCGAGTTCGTTGAGTGCGCGGACATCGGAGGGGTAGGCGAAGAAGTTGCGTGAGAGGGGCTCTTTGTGCATGTTTACCCACGCTTCTTCGGCGGTCCAGGCGTGTGCGTATATCACGTACATGAGACCGAGAAGACTCGTTTCGGTATACCCATCTCCACAATGCAACAAAACCTTCAACTTCCTGCGTTTGTTGTGTACCATGTCGACATCACCATCACCATCTTTATCCTCCTTGACCTGCCCGTGCTGGTCGCCGGTCGTCTGCTCGTACAACCACTTACAAACACCCAAGCACCTCTCCGCCCACCCCGGACGCGCATTAGCTTGTGGCCCCAACGTCCCACTCGCCGGGAAATCGAAATGAACGGTCTTCCGTGGCGATGGACCGTTCATGCTTTCCAATGCCTCGCTGACCTTGACCAACATGTTTGGGCTGGGAACGTCAACGTCGGGACGGGCTTCGATGCATACATCCCAACGGGAAGAAGTGAGGTCGTCGTTGGAGTCGATGCTATCGATATCATCCACGTCAGTCGAGCCTGCGTCCGCGTCGGTGGCGACGGTGGAGGAGAGTCCGACGGGTCTGATCATGGGACTTGCGGGGGTAGACGAGTACGGACTCGAATCCAAATCCGCAGTATTCCCCATATAAACATTCGGTGCGATTGGGCTCGCCGTAGTCAAGATCCTCATCTGTTCCCTCTCCTCGCTCAAGAAATCAAGAGCATGCGGCGTGGGCATCCCCTTCGAACTCACACTCACCAAACTAAAATACTTTTGCTCGAAGGCCTCGAAGGGGTCAGCCATGAGAAAGGTTGCGTACTCCTCCTTCGTATTCCCGTTCCTCCTTTCGTCTTCTTGGGCTCTGCAGACCCTCCTTGCAACTTTGACTACCTCCTCCGTCTTCGTCCCGGGAGCGCCGTAAACGACAACATCGGCGTGCCTAACCCACTTCCTAACCTGAATTCCGAAATTCCTCAATCCGACACCGACGCGGACATCGGCTTCCAAGAACTTGTCTTCAATCATGTCGAGGACCTCATCCGGTCTCACAGCGCCACGAACCCACGCTTTACGCGAATTAGACGGACCAACACGAATAATGAGCAACGAACGACTGAGTTGCGGTGGACGAAGCGCAGACGGGTTCGCACCGGCAAAGAAGTAGCATTGAGCTCTGTTCGAAGGATGCAAGCCATGTGCCCACGGGAACACGATCTTGGAGTCGAGGAGGGGGGCTTTGCATTGTGCGGTCATTGCGATCGCGAGTTGATCAGCTGTGAGTTCGCGGATTGGATCCGGGAGGGCGGAGGAGAAGTAGGGGTATTTTGATGCTGGAGAGAGTGGGGTGATGTCCTGGACTTCCACGGACGGAACTAAAGATGCTGAAGTGAGGGGAGGAGTGGTTGGTGGGGTTGCGGGAGCTGTAATGGGTGTTTCGGGGTAGTCAATGTCAGAACCGACCTTCATGTCGACCGGGTTTGGGGAATCACTCGTCGCTGGTGGAGTGGGTGATCTCGACGGGGCATACTGCTGTGAAGGAGGGATTGCGAGATCAGAAGGCATGGAAGCGCCATGCCTCGTCTGTTGAGGATGCATGATCGAAGCCATACTGGCAATTGGTGGTTATGTATGCTCGTAGTCTCGGGGAATTGTTCCGCTTTTGAATGCTTCCTCGGAGTGGCTGCTGAAACGGATATTGGGTCGTGGAAGTGCACGGTCCGCCTTGTGAGCTCGTAAGTGTGACAATGTAGACGAATCAACAAACGACAATGCGTTTTCTCGAAGTAATGGTTCGTCGTTGCGAACAGAGGCTGAGTCGAGTTATTTCAACGGGTCTGGTGGGCCAGGGTTAGTAACAGGGAATCGGACCGGGAGCGGACAGCGGGGTGATCCGCGAGCGCAACGATCGACGTACCTAGGCTGGATGACTGAGGACAAGGGATGAATGCTGCTCTGGAGGATTGGAGCAAGCCGACCAGCAGCTTTGAGGGGAGGACGGCGACTTTTATTGGTATACGGGATAGAGTTTACGGAGGGGAGGCCTTTGTGGGTAGCACGCGCATGGGAAGATGCCGCTGGCCGCCATTGGCGTGACCCTAACTGAGATAACACGCTCTCTTAAGGAAATGCAGATGGGGGGGAGGAAGAGGAGGAGCATTCATACCCGGGAAAGCAATGGCAACGGCAACGGCAACGGCAATGGCAACGGCAACGACTTCAACGACTCCTCCAAAACCCCCACCCTTGCGAGTCGCCCGGCTTCCAAACAGCGTCGAGACCAGCAGGCCCTAATGTCCGGGCCGTGCACGCCACGAGCGATAGGGGCGTGCGGGGTTTTCTAGCACGTGCACACCAGCTGTTTGGAAGAATATACAAAGCCGGCTTCCTTTTCGGTCGTCAAAATATATATTAGCTACTATTCTACAGAGAACACGGGTATCTTATTTACATCAACTCACTCAGCATGCCGCTGAACCTTTGGCTGCACGAACCAAAAGACGGTCATCAAGGACAACAACGAAATCACGACCGGAGACACGACAGAGGGACCCTTGACCTGGGCTCCCAGCCCAACGACGAAGGGGAAGATGGCACCGCCGGATGAGCCAACGGCAGACATGAACGACATGCACACAACATGCAGTTTCCGATTCACGACCTTTGTGAACCAACTCACCGTTGTCGGATAGATTGGTCCCAGTGCAAATCCTACCAATGACACCGCAACAGCTTCCACGGTGAACTGTGGTACTAGCCAGAAAATTAGGTGCATGGCCATCGAGGCACCAATGTAGACAAAGATACATAGTCTCTCACCCCATCTTGCACTCGCATGGCCGAGGAGGAATCGGCCAGCGACGATACCACCCCAGAACCCAGTCGCAACCCATCCAGCAGCCGTCGGATCACCGTTGCGGGCTTGGACGAGGAACGCAACCAGGAAGCCCCCAAGACAAACTTCTGCTCCCTGATAAAAGCAAAGGAAGATTGCCGTGATCACGGTCGTACGATTCTTCAACGCTGTCTTCAGACCCTGTGGCTTCGCTTCTTCATTCGAACCCATAAGCGAGCCCCGTCTCTGCGCCAGCTCATACGCTGCATCCTCCGGACGAGGCTTAAACGCCCATAAAATGAACACCATACTCATTGCCGTCACACCGACCATGATATAGAAATAATAATTCCACGGAACACCCCTTGTCACCATCTGCGTCGCAATCAACGGCGCAATCGTCGCTCCCAATCCGTACCCGCCGTGCAGGTATCCCAACAGCGTCGTACTGTTCTGCAGCGCAGCATGAAAGACGTTGACCTGTGCCAACATGAGCGCAAACCCAATCCCGGCAAAACAGAACGCGATAATGAACAACGGGTACGGCGGTCTCCAGCAGATCAACGCGTACGTCAAGAACTGTAATCCTACACCTGCGCCGATCGTATAAAACCGCCCGAAACGGTTGAAGATGTATGGACCGGCTACGACACCGATGATGTATCCGAATGCGTTCGACAAGAAGATGACGGAGACGAGGACGTAGCCGATATGGTAGTAACTCTCCAAGTAGAGGAGTAACGCGCCGATTGCGCCATCGTGGAGTCCAAGCGTCATGAACTCGGTGAAAGACGCGATAAACCTCCATTTGTTGATTGGTGGATTAGTCAATGATTGTGCCGTAGGCTGGAGAAATGGTGATCCAGGTCGCGAAACACCTGGTGTGGCAGTCGCACTGAATGGGTTCTGTCGGTCGGTGTTTGGAGTCGCGAAGGGATCCTCTCGTTCGTGATGAGGCGTAACGGGAAGACTCCCTCCTGGAGTCATTGGGGCATAGTTGACCTCGATCGTTGGCAGCTCGCGCACGCCATGCTTGACGGTGTATGCTCTCTTGCTGTTGGGTGAGGTGATGACTTCTTCCAACTCGACAGATCCGGCCGAAGCGGATGAAATTCCTCGGGAATGATTCGTCGTCATGATGATAGATGACGGTGATTCTATTGGGAAGAACGTCAGTGTCTATATCTTCGTTTTCCCGGCCCCTTCAACAGCTACAGCTGCTCTCGGCGGAAGTTCCGACACAGGACCTTTCATCCTGCGCTTTCGTAGCGCGGACCAGGCGATCGCTCCCAGTCGACGTCGCTCAGGCCATGATCACTTTGTGGGGAAACGAGACGCACGGACATGTCATGGCACATCTTCGCGAACGGGTATCGATATCCGATTTTATATTTCCTAATAATGCTTATATGCGCAGTTGCAATTGTCCCTTCTCCTCGTTCATCCTATAGTGATACTTCTCCTCCTTCACGTTAAGTAATCATAGCTGGACTTCTCTTACACGGAGCTGACGGAGCGTGTGACACAAGGACGAGGCATTTGGATGTAATCCATCTTCAGGCTGGTTCCTCCGTTCAGTACGTTGTCATGGGATGGTTTCACATCCACATTCATGTCAATCTCCCTCATTGATCCCCTCTCCTTCGTAAAGGTCCTTCTCCCGCTCGACGCTTTTGCCGTAAGAATAAGACTCATCAAATCTTTGCTGCTAGGTTGCTTGCTGAGAGTGGGCGGCTCGCGGGACAGAACCTCCGGCTTGACTGTGAAGGAGAATTCGTCCCAGTTGCCGGGTTCCGGATGTACGTTCTCGTCTCGGCTGATGCGTGGAGTGGATGGCGGGGCTCTGATAATAGTCTGTTCGATATGAGCAGTTTGCATTTCAGCTGCACTAGTACCGACAGGTGAACAAGGGACAGGTCGACGGCGCGGAGAGACAGGGGAGGCTGGCGGACGACGAGGTCCAACTGGCTTTTTCTTCGGCGTTTCAAAGGCCTCCTTGAAGGCTGCCTCAGACTGTCTTGCAACCTGAGTGCCGGAGTTAGTTGAAATCCCTTCATTGAAATTATGAACCATACCAAGGCAGCTCGAATACTTTTCTTTTCCATCATGGCTCGCTCGTATGCGTCGGGACTCACGTAGCCCATGTAGAGTGCTCGGCGGTTATCCGGCCGTTGGTCATAGTTGGCAAAGTAACCTTGGAAACAGTGTCAGCCTTCGCTCATGCTAGGTCCTTGGTGGATTACTGTTGTATGTGTTATGCGTCGAAACACTGTGCGGCGGAGACGCCTGTGGTAACTGAAAGGCAGTTGCTTCTTCGTAGGCTGCATAGAATTAGCAAGAGGCAGAGGCTGGCAATTCATAGGGGATACCTTGTTGAAGCTCCTTCAATCCGTCTTCCCCAACTCTACCTGCGAAAGCATTGATTGAACTGACTGACTGTCCTATTCACACAGAATCAGTGACTGGCAGAGCAACGTATCGCACGAGGCATACTGTAAGCAACGTTGTCCTGACAAGAGGTTAGCAAGACCAAATAGTCCATGAAGAGAGCATCTTACCCCACGATTGTTGCGCGGAGGTCGAAAAGCCCTCGCGGCAAACTTCTCCGCAAGCCTCTCACGCAGCTCCACATCAGTGAGCGTGAGAGCCGGGCCCTGCTCCTGAACTTTTTCCGCCAACGGCGTGTTCATGGAGACCAGGGCTGGTTCAAGACTTGCTTCAAGGTCTGCCTGAGAACTATGAGTTTCAAGGTCCTTGCTGTGTGTTTCGAGAAAGGCATTCCAGCGGTTCATCCACGTCTTGGAGATAGGTGCTCCCTGTAAGCTGGGCGTTTCTGTATCTTGTGGAGACGGTTCTTTGCAGCGTCGCAGATGACGATAAACAAGCGCTGCTATGTATGGGGCAGTCAAAATGAGGCACCTGTTGGGGTGTTAGCAAGCATACATCCCAATGGGATGCATACATACGCTCCGACAACGATGAGGACGACACTCGCAGCAAGCGGAAGACCCATATTGAGCAAAGGTAACTAGCAAGCAGAAGGAAACGACCAAAAAAGCAGAAGAGCAGGTGTCGAAGAGGATTGCTGTTGAGAGCCAGAGAAGGAGGGTGCAACAAACAACGCGGTGCAGTCAGCCGCGGTCGACATTATGCTTACTGCGCGCAGCCCCGTGGGAGAGCGTACGGCATTCAACGTGCGACCAAGGACTGCCTGGCAACGATGGTTGCAGCACCGCCACAGAGCACCCCCTGATCCCACAACACTGACGAAGGACACCGACCGACACCAAACTCAAGCATCGATATAGGAAACCCGTTATGAAGGGCTCATTAGCACTTGGAGCACTGCTATTTGCAGCCTCAGTGTGTGGAAACTGGGTGCAAAACCATATGGTGCGTTGATCGGGGGATCGTTCGTGGTCAATTCAGCTAATGTCCTGTGAAGAAAGAAGAGCATCAGATGGAGTACTTCGACTGGGATGCGTTCTTCCGTCTGCATGATCTGGATAGCGATGGGGTTCTTGACTCTCAAGACGTCCGGGCCATCTACGGTCTCGACAATGTGAAAGACTTGACGCCAGAGCGCAAACTCGAGATTGAGAAGACGGTGTTCGCTGCCCTTGATGCCGACAGAAATGGAGCAATTACCCTTCAAGAATTCAAATCATTCATGGACGCGAATGGCGACTTGCCGGATTTTGGTTTCGAGGGCCACCATGGTGACGACGAGTTGGAGTTCGACATTCACCATGTCATGAAATACCACACTGATCCGGAAGACTCTGAGGAGAACTGGAGTCACCCCGAAGACATCGAACATTTTGCAAAGCATAATCTGGAACACCATGATGGAATCGACCCTGGTGAGATGTCTGATTTCAACATATAAAGTGTCGTACTAACGAACATCGGTAGATACTGGTGATCATGTAGTTGTCCCTGAAGGGATGGAGGACATTAGAATCGTCGTTCAAATCCCCGAGAAGTTCAGGCGGAAGCATTGATTTACCTACATCCAGAGCTGGCATCTGAATATACCCATTTTTCCTCAGCATGACATTTACATCCATGTCTGCTTCCATGTAATGGTCCTCTCTCAGAATATCCCTTGGCAGGTGCGTGTTCCCGTAAGGATCTCCGAATCCCCAATTATGCTGCTTAATGAAACCGTGTACAGCGCATCGGAGTTTTGCTATATTTGAGACCGCGTCGTTTAACGTTGACAACCTTGACGCGATTTCCCGTTTCGCTCCTTGCCTGCTTCGGCAAATTCATTTTGCCTGCGTGCATATAACCGGGGGTTTTAAGGCTTCGTTTTGGTGTTGCACAGTAAATTATGGAAGGAGAACATAATTCACTTGTTTCGATATAGGGTATCAAGCACATGCCAGCTGGCAGCTATCAAGACATCATCATCATTTAGGAACTCCAATCAACTTTCTCACGACAAGTCCCTTCAATCCTTCGATTGCAAATTCGACCACCGCTTTTACCTTTGTTTTTTGAACAACATCTTTCAGCGCCCTGACACCGCCCGCTTTGACGAAAGCCTCAGCAGGACCATTCCCATCCGGCACGCATATCAGATTACGTGTAATCACCACGGCGCGATGCCTTATCCCTTCGTCGTCTTCCTCAAGCAGCTCGAGCAGTATCTTGACACCCGATTTACTGTTCATGATTGCCCTACACACCGGCTCGTACCCGGAAAGTACGGCTAATGCACCGGTAGCAGCACTTCTCGTTGCTGCATCGTCATCGGTACATAAAGCGATTAGGACTCCCACGCGATGAGCCGCAGCGGCAGTACCGTCGGCAAATTTGACAGCTGCTTGTACGCTCACAACGAGATTGCAGACCAGTTCAACCGCTGCCCTCCTGAGCATGCCGTGCTCAACGATGAGTAGGTCCTCAATAGTGGACCAGCCGTTGCGAGCAATCAGATTCCGTATGGTATCATCCACAGAAGCGAGGTTCGTGAGCGCCAACAAGGTTTCAAAACGTGATAATTCATTAGGCAGGTCTCGCATGGTTAAGAGAACCAATAAAGGTCGGACGGCGTTCGTCGTTGAAAGAGCTGAACCGAAAGCCAGACGCGGGTCCACTGAAATCAGGAGTTTGGCAAGAGCGTGCGCCACCGTAATGGCCAAAGTGGTTTTCTCCGCGGAAGACGTTTGTGGGAATATTGAAACGAGTGCGACAAGACCTCCCTGCTGCACAATTGTACCTCGATGCATACGCTGAGTCGCCAAAGAGAGCAAAATCGCAGCCATCAAGGCATTGATTCGCTCAGATTTGGCTGATGTCTTGGTCAGCTGCCCAAAAGCCTTCACCACGCCCACCTCAAGCACTCGACTGCAGCGAGCATCAACATAGGTCTCGTTGTCCAACTTGTCCCCAGCCCGTTCTTTCTGGTCCCCTGTCTCCCCGGCCGCCGCCATCCTCTTCAAGTCCTGCACTTGTTGCTGTTCTTTAGACAGCACTGGCCTATATCGCGTTAGGTTGTCGAGAATAGTCAAAGCCCCGAAGATCAAGATAGCATCCACGTCCCTTTGTTGCACAACATCGAGCAAGCATGTAAGAACGGGCTTGTCGAGGGATACTGCCTCTTTGACGGATGAGTTGAATGTTGCATGTGCTATGCCTTCTATTGCCATTGACTTGGTAGATGACTCCCTCCCTTCAAGAAGCATACCTCGTAGGATCTTGGCTAGCCGACTCTGCTCCTCCGAATTGACGAAATTCTTTTGCCCTCCTTCGGATTCCAGCTTCACAACGACCAACGCCGCCAAGCACTTCAGTCGCTCATCATGATATGTGGTACACTTCAGGAAGAACCTCATATAATCACCGCTTAGTAACACTTCGCGGCACTTTTTCGACGTGCACGATGCGGAAGCAAGCCCCAGAAGTGCAGTCTGAATACCAACGCCTTCGACCTCTGCATCAGCAAGGATCTCTTGCAAGAACCCATCTTGAAGGAATAGGGATTCTGCTGATTGAGGATCCACGGTAAATAGAACTGCGAATGAGGAAAGAGCACAAATAAGCTCCTCCTCCTTGCCAGACCTAGCGCCATCGACAACATACTTTTGTATAGGGGCTGTGGCAGTGATCTTGAGCCGGAGAAGGTGGGCTAGAACCACAATAGCACGGGAACGGATTCTTTCGTCTAAACGGCAGTCGAGAGATTTCAGGACGGTAGGAAGAATCCTCGACTCGACTGGAAGCTTCAAGCCAACAGGCTCCTTCATAGAAAAGAGTTGTACGAGGAGATCGAGCCGGTCGGAAGTCAGAGATTTTGCGGTGCAGATCGCTTCCACTAATTGACAGACGACTGAATTTCGCGCGTTTGTACTGTGCCAAACACTTGGCGATAGCACCACGTTGACGAGTGCTTTTTGAGTTTCAAGGCTTGATTGTGCCATTGCTGTAGGCCGGGTATCTTCGTGTCTGAGCCATTCCGCGATGGCAGCGCATGCAGCTTCAGAATTCCTCGTCAGCAGCAAGAGGACATACCCAACCTCTGCAGCATGATCTAATAGCGGCAGCAAGAGGGTATCGAGTAACAGGCCCAGTGCGCCACTGCGTACGAAAGCAGTGGCCGTCTCCTTGTCCACGAGTGAACTTTTCAGCTTTTCTGTGGCAGTTGCGTCACCCTCACATAAGCCCTTAGCAAGAGCCTCCCAATCGTGCACCTCATGACCCTCTCCAGGCAGCAAACGCAGCTCCTTCATCTCTTTGATAATGGCTTCCTTGTCTGCTGGGGCCAACACCATCGCTTGTTGTAGTTGTCGGAGAGCGTCTAGGAGCTTACCTTCTTCTGCAAACATCTTCGCTTGTCGTCGGAGAACCTCGGCACTTCCATTTTCCTTTGCAACAACCTCGTTCATGAACGCCCAATGATCCCGATTTGTATCTGCCCAGCTCGTGCTTTGGTCGATCTCTATCCTGATCCCGAATTTGACTGTCCACGTTACACGTACCCAGCGCTAATCCCTTTCGGGCAAGAATATGGAGGAGGGCCCGGGTGGAGAAGTGTGATACGAGATATACCAGGACGTCGCGTACAACGGCCGCGGTTTGTCAGAATTGCACACATGAACGACTATGAACGCCAGCGTCTGGCTAATATCGCCAAGAACAGAGCTCTGCTGGCTGAGCTTGGTCTCGAGAGGCCTGCGCCTGCCCCAGCGACCATTGCGCCTGCTCGAGCACCGAAGCCCGGATCCGCGTCAGTCAGGAAGAGAAAGGTCTCACCTGCGCTGTAAGTCCATTACAATTGACGGAACACTCCAGATGACCGTAATCTAACTGGTTTACAGAACTGAGAAGACCGTCAAAACCGAGGCCGATGATACTACGTCAGCTTACGGCCGCCGCAAAAGCCGTCGTCTTTCGAAGGCACCTGCTCGATACATTGAGGAATCAGATGATCAATCATTTAAGCGGAACACGAACGAAATGGACTCGGATGACTCATCTTCTGACGGCGAGCGCCCCAGATCAAGAGGATCGCGACCCGGCAAAACCCGACCAACCGGCATCAACCCGAACACATTCGGCGCCATCCCTGGTGTTCCGGTAGGCATGATATTCAAGACTCGCCAGGAGGCATCATATTGGGGTATTCACGCGCCCTGGGTCTCTGGAATATCCGGTAACACGACAGATGGCTGTCACTCCATCGCGCTATCAGGTGGTTACGAAGACGATGTCGACGAAGGTTTCCGGTTCACGTACACCGGTTCTGGTGGCCGTGATCTTAAAGGTACTGCGAAAAACCCGAAGAACCTCCGAACTGCTCCGCAAACAAGCGATCAGAGCTTTGATCATCGATACAATCAGATGCTGAAGATCAGCTGCGACACAGGGCGACCGGTTCGGGTTCTGCGTGGGTTCAAGGGGCATAGTGAATGGGCTCCAATCGAAGGATATCGCTACGATGGATTGTACACGTGCCTTAACGCGTGGAGGGAGAAAGGAATGTCCGGATTCTTAGTGTGCAAATACGTGTTCAAGCGATGCGATGGCCAGCCGCCCCTCCTTACGAGAGGAGAGATTGAGAAGCTCGAAACGTCGACGAATGCTGTTCCCACAGGGGACGCTGAAACGACGGGGGACGTTGAACAGGATGTCACTGAACCATCCGCGGAACGTAAACCGGTTGAGGACGTTGAATCGAAGGAGAACGCTGAATCGACTGAGGTCGCTCAACCGGAGGTCACCGAACCAGAAAATTAATCAGAAGGTGAATTAGAAGCTTAACGTACGGGAAAATATACTCCAACCAGCACGGGTGTCCTGCACCTTGCTTAATTGCTCTGCTGCCATCTCGAGACATTTCCGCTTGACCTCATCTCCCTTGCTCCCTTGCTTAACCGAATCATCTTCTTTCATAATACAACGCACTTTTTTCTCAGTTTCTTCAGGCTATCATTCCCGATTGCCGTGTTCACCGCCAGGTCAAACACCTCTTTGACGTTCTTATTCTCTTTTGACGAGCACTCGACATACTGTGCACGCATCTGCTCCGCAACCGCCGTAGCCTGTTCGATGAGGATCAGTGATCATTGCATGTTAACTTGGTGAAAGTACTCCACCTGCTGAAATGTAACCGGTGTTTGTCCTTGTGCCCTGAGCAGATCCAAACACAAGCGATTATGGCGCAGATCACTCTTCAGCCCAACTAAAACCACCGGCGTACTTGGACAGAAATGTTGCACCTCTGGCCACCACTTGTCGACAACATTCTCGAGTGTCACTGGACTATCAATGGCGAAACAGATCAGGATGACGTCGGTTTCCGGATATGATAGCGGCCGTAGACGATCATATTCCTCTTGACCCGCTGTGTCCCACAGTGCCAATTCCACGACCTTGCGCGTCGGCCCGTGAATGGTATTTGTCAGGTAGTTTTCAAAGACTGTTGGGATGTATCGCTGCGAGTCCGTTAGCATGTCTTGGCGGCGTGCCGAACGAAGTGAATCGCACCTCTGGGAACCGTTTCTGGCTAAACGATATCAAAAGGCAGGTTTTGCCGCAACCTCCATCTCCCACGACCACGAGTTTCTTCTTGTAGTCTGGGTGAGGATCTAACGGGACCACGGCTGGTCTGTCAAAGGAGTATTCGGAGCCGGATGCCGTGTACGGCGATGCACTCATTGGAAGGTGAAGATGGTAAAAGAGCGTGATCCGTTAAATATCGCAATAGTAAAAGGACAGAAGTGTATACCTAGATATGTCGATCGTCGCGGCTTGCTGTTTGTACTTGTTTATTCGGGCAGCTTTCAGTGTTCAGTTTGGCTTCCACTTCGAGAAGGACCAAAACAATGTGAGCTCCGGCCAACAGGCACATTCACGTGAGCTCCGTTCACACACGTCGACCAACCCCAAGAATATCCTGAAGACCTCTGATCAACATTTATCGGAGAGTTCGTCATGATCAATGGTAGAGATAGTCCCGAGCAGCAGGATGCCGGGCTTCTTTCGCATGATCATTACAAAGCTCGTCTCGGCAATGGTTTCAGGTTTCGGTTGAGAGAATTCCTCCTGCCCTTTGTTAGACAGGAGACAGAACATCTCGCTCGATTGCAGGTGCTTACGGTCGTCATTGTCTTCATTGTTCGCCAAGGCTAATATCCCGCTACGTAGAGCGTTATGCGAACGCCCATTCTTGATGTCTACTTCTCCTACACCGCCCTCCTCGGCACCCACACATTCTTCATGATGTTCCTACCAATCATCTTCTGGTGCGGCTACACGAACTTTGCACGAGCGATGGTACACGTCCTGGCTGCTGGTGTGTTCTTCAGCGGAATGCTCAAGGATTACCTCTGCTTGCCTCGGCCGCTTTCACCGCCGCTGGAGAGGTTGAACATGTCTCATTCGACAGCATTAGAGTATGGCTTCCCGAGCACACATTCCACCAATGCTGTTAGTGTGGCTCTGTACGCATTGAGTACTCTGGCATCGTGTGGTGAGGATGATTTGTCCCCAAAGGTGGCTTTAGGTTTGAAGCTTGTGGCTGTTATCTATGGAGTGAGCGTCGTTTTTGGGCGTTTGTATTGCGGGATGCACGGCTTCTTCGACGTCATGGTAGGCACTGGGCTAGGTGCTCTGATCTGGTGGCTCCGTTGGGCTTTCCGTGTTCAACTCGACACCTTTGTGTATGAGGGTGGATGGCAAGGTATATCATGCATCGACGTGGCTGCGTTCTTCGCTAACCATTGGCGTATAGTACCATTCATACTCATCCCCATTATTCTGATCATGGTCAGAATACATCCGGAACCTGCCGATTCGTGTCCATGTTTCGACGACGGTGTAGCGTTCGCCGCCGTAGTCCTTGGTGTCGACATTGGTGTCTGGGTCTTTGCGAAATCAAACTTTGCCTGGAGTTCGCCTTCTCCGGCTACCGTACCGTATCTCTTCAGTGACCTAGGCCTCTCAAAGAGCGCCTTGCGGATCATACTGGGTAATCAGTCCATACATAACACACCCTCCCGATATTGCGGCTAATGATCGTTATAACCAGGCGTTGTCTTGATTTTCCTCTGGCGAGCCATTGCAAAACCAACCCTGCACGCTGTTCTTCCGCCAGTTTTCCGTCGTCTCGAAACCCTAGGCCTGGATCTTCCTCGCGCCCACTTCATTTCTGCGTCGACGTACAAGCATGTCCCTGCCAATATCCCAGGGGACACCTTGCCCGGCGTTAACGAAATCAAGGAATCCATCCGATCTATTGGACGAAGAAGAGGAGCGAGTGTGGGCCCTCAGAGTCAAGCTGACTTTTATGAAGCAATTGACTACCGCGAGCGACAAAGACGAAAAAGCAGTGTCGACGGCAAAGTCGGCGAGAGTATTCAGGCGGATCTGGACAAATATATCAAGGAAAATGAGGAGTTGCTGAAGAGTATTGAAAAGCCCAGGGTGAGGTACGACGTCGAGGTTGTGACGAAGTTGATCGTCTATGCCGGCATTGGCTACATAGCGATTCCAGTAACCCCTTTCGTCTTCGCGTTCGTGGGTTTGAATCCGGCTTGAGATAGGAAACTGAAGGTTATGAGAGTATATTCACCATCAAGTTGATAGATGGAATACGAGTTTCTTTCCGACAAAATGCTAAATAGAATGCTTTTATGTCGTCTCCAAAGCTATCGGCGCTGCTTCTTCCCTCCGTCCTCAGTCATGCCCCTTTGTAAGCTGCCGAGTACATCTAGCTAGCTGATGAATAGTGTCTGAGTAATCACCTGGTACTATGCTGCTTACTAGCAGTGCCCTTGTAGGCTGCTTACTAGCAGTGTCTTTGTAGGCGAACTGTTTGAATACACGAAGACACACGGGCAACCTGAGGTCCACGCCCTAGGTTACGTGTGCTTAGATTGCGTTTCGGGAGAGCTGATCTTCCTTGGAGGCAGCAAAGATCACGGCTCCCACGTTCCCAGTGCGATCCTCCTTGGCATTGGTGTAAACCGCTGCTCCCACATTTGCAGCGAGTGTGGTCAAAGCAAACCCCAAAGACACAGGCACTCCTGTAGGTCCGAAACCCGTTCTCCTCGGAGGAGCCATTTTACCTTTGACTATCCCATATGTCGGTTTCTGAATTTCGGGTTTTGCGGTTGGCCTTTTGTCATCTTTGTTGGTGCCAGCATAAATTGCTGCTCCCAGACTCGCAGCCAGGGTGGTAAGAGCTCCCGCAAAGGCAGCTTCTGATGTCGATTTCTTTCCCTCCGGGGCACCTGGATCAACATGGTCCCGCAGGCGACGCCGAGAGGAGCGTCCTGGTTCCGAACGAGAAAATCGCACGGACTCCCCTTCGAACCCAATCGTAGCGGCTACTTCCATGAGTTGTTGCCACTCTTTGTGTTTGTCGCATCGAAGACACAGTCGGCGCACTTCCCAGAATAACCGTTCATCAAGCGTCTCCCCTGCGTGATATGCTACCTTGACATCACTCCACAAAGCAATTCCAGCGTCCCAATTGCGATCGTTAGCCGCGCATTGTATCAGATGAGTCAAGATTTGTATATTTGGCGTCAAGCCTTCCGTCCTTATTGCACGTAGACCAGCAAGGGCCAACTCGGGACGATTGGACTGTACTCCGTAGGCTATGATACTGCCCAGGACATGCAAATCGGGTGTAAACGTTCCTTTTAGCAGTTTCATTACCAGTAGGACGCCTCTCATTCCTTTAAAATCATCTGTGAGTGTGCAGAGATTGACGAGAGTCGAAAAGGTGTATTTGTCAGGCGCTTGGTTGCACGCCAGCATTGCCTTGAAGGACAACCACGCCGCGCCTTCCAGCTTCTTTCGAGTATTTGTGTACTTTGCTGAGGACCGCGTGCGCTTGCGGGCATTGTAAAATCCGCGGATAAGAATATTGAATGCTTTTGTGCTGGGGATCTGTTTCGTTCCACTGAGCAGAGCTACAACAGGTGGTAGGATGTTTCTGTCAGACTTTAAAAAGAGATCTTTCAACTGTCCCTCCAATTCTTCGGGGTCGTTGACCCATTCCGCATTGTCTTCGGACCGGGACCCAACGGAATCTAAATTTGGAGGCCGCTTGAGTCGCAAGAAGAGAGGACGAAAGGTGGGAGGACGAAAGGTGAGAGCAGAACGATGTCGCCCGTACTGGTGGAGTCTTGAAAGATTGTAAGCCAGCTTGTCCAAGGTTTGGTAGCCAATTCTTTTTGCACTCGCAACTGCACTTTCCCTAGGAAACTGAGCCTGTCTAGCATCCCGTGTCGGGTCACGCACATAAGAGTATCTCCTCGGGATGTTTATGCGCTCTCTGCCTGGTGGGCAGAGAATCTCATTATCGAACATCGACCAAAGGTCATGCGTGGTGTACAATATACTCCTAGCTCGTGGTCCCCATGAACGCTGGCCCCTCACATTTCGCTGGTCGTCGGGGAAATCGCGTGGTTGCGATGCGGCTGAGGAGTCTTGCTGATCACGAAAGGTGTCGAGTAACCGCCGTCTGTCGGGATGTGATGTACGTTCCGGAGTATTGCTTGACTCAGCGTGTTCGTAATTTTCTGCTACAGCGACTGAGTAGAAGCGAATGTAGAATTCCTTGAGACGAGACGGCACAGATTGCCCAAGGCGAGGGTTTGGTTGTAGTCGCATAGCTCAGTCCCTGGATCCATACTGCATATTCGCTGGCTCCCTTTTGCAAGTTGAACTCCGGTATTCGTCGCCCAAGGCTGTTCGGATCTTTGCACGACTGTACCGTAGGGTCAATGGGATCAGCGACAGTTGCAATGGTCGCACAGTGGTCACCCTTGTCCAACCTCAATATTTCGCAGCGTAGCGAGTATATACGCAGCCAGGTTCAGCACGTGATCTCGCTTCTACCTGAACAGATAAAAACTGGAATATATCGATATCTTAGATACATTTATCTTCTGTCCGACCATGAAGAAGCTCTCGCCAGATGTACGATCCTCCTTGCCTACAGCATCCCTGCCGGCCGGCACGTATACGCGTACGTCCCTGTAATGTAGCCACTGCAGTTGCCGTTTACGGAACAACCGACATCCATCCCCCAGAAATCGCTGTACCTCCCGAAGAATCCCCAACATGGTCAAATTGAGCCTGAACCTCAAAGCTGAGCTTGCGGGTGTGAACAATCTTGCACCTGCAGATGAGGATGGCGACTTCACCTACTTCTTCAAGGTAAGGGCAAGCACCGAGTACAAGCTTGAGAATCATCGTTAATCAGTCGATTCTTGGTTGCAGGTCGAATGTGTGTAAGATCTCCAAGAATAAAGATTTGCTCTCACGCTTTCTAGGCACATCATGTCGTGAAGTCCATAATAACTGGGTTGGAATTTCCCGTAATGAGGAAGCCGAAATCAGCGGTTCCAAAGGAAATGCCACCTGGGTTTGGAGATGCAAGAACTGCAAGCGGGAAAGCTCCGCATGTATGTTATGACCCTGTGTACTCGGAAATCCTCTAAGTGTCGTTTAGCTTTTGAGAATGCCCCTGTATCCTACGACAAGGAGGCACCAAAGCCGATACTCACATTCGAATGCAGAGGCTGCGAGTTTGTCGAATTTAAGCCTGATGGCGAGTGGGTATGCGAAGGCGAGGAGAGCGGAACGAAGTTTGAAGGAGTGGATCTTACGGAGGATTGGTATGATTACGATGAGAAAGCGGGAGCGGAAGTCTCCATTATCGATATGCAATGGGAGATCAAGCGAGCATGAAGGGTATCCGAGAATATGTGTGTTCCAGAGTTTATATTGTCCGTCAAGGACCATGATAGTCACTAAAAAATATAACGCCGTATCCAACGCCCGATTAACTCCGAATGCCTCAGATGTTACCAGCAGTGATGTGAAAACCAACTGAGTTCCGTCCCTCAACTTCTCTTGACGCTCCTTAACAAACTAGGCACTTTGCTTCGTTTAGACAGACCAACTCTATACCTCGGCGCACTTCCTGGAGTAGATCCCGATACCTTCGACGGCACAGATGCTGTTGCCGGTGCCTGCGCAGTAACTCTCGGCGGTGTCCTTTGCTGTGACATCTCCGCCTTAGCTTTCGCAGGCGTTTTAACATTACGTTCGTTTCCGTGCGCGCTGTTCGACGTCAAGATGTTTCGATTCGGCTCAACTTCTGCCACGCAAGCAGGCTCGGATGGCGAAGGATCTAGCTTTATCGCTGTTCGCACACTTTTTGCCTCCTTTGTAGCACTGACAGTGGTCTTGCTGGCCGTGGACTTCTTTCGCTTCGGACATGAAGGGACAACATCTGCCTGGATCTCAGCAAGCACATTGTCCACCCAGGAATCGTCCTCCTCCATTGCTGATGCATCTTTCTTCTTGCCGTTACGTCGACTATTCTTCAGCATGGTAGGTTTGGTAACATCGTCTTCTGTGATCGTATCATCGACAGATATGTTAATCTTCGAAGCAGCGGCTCCGGGCGAATTGGACGCCCCAGTTGAAGATGCAACAGTACTAGGTACCTCCGAAGTGTTTGCAGGTAGCAACACTCTTTGCGAGTCTGTCAAAGGCGGCACTTCAATCACCGGGTTGAGCTGAGGACTTGGGATTGTGGTCATGTTTTCCACTTCGTGACTGCCGCTGAAGATTTGCCGGACTCCGAGGATAGTTGTGCTCGCGGGGACGTGGACCGAATCGTTAGACGTCTGTGTAGCTACTACCGCGGACGACTCCGGTACTTTCGTGACGGCATTCTTGTGGACCGATTTCGGTGGACGGACTCGAAGCCCCAACGCATGTGCACGGAGAAGAGGATCGTCACTGTCGACTGTACGCTCTTCCTGGCGATCGAACGTTGCACGCTTCTTACCACTTTCACTCCCCTTCGTGCGTTCAGACCTGGATTTTGGAGGCCAGGAGGGCTCTTGATCCCCGTCGTTCAATAGAGCAACGTCCGTCCTAGACCTTTTCTTCGTCGGCCTCGATACCACAGGCAGTTCATCAAAAGTTAGAGATTTGTCTTCAATAGCTGTCCGACTCCTGTTAACAAGGACAAGCTTGGGTTTTGCTGACGACCTAGCGTATTCTGCCTTCGTATCAGCACTGAGGCCTGAAGATGATGACCAGCGTTGCTCAGTTAAATTCTCCGCGGCGTTGACTTCCGTCGTCATTCCAGTAGCCGTTGGGGGATGGTGTTTTGCATCCTCGACAGGCTGTTGTTGCTCTGACACAGGGCTTGGAGGCGTGATTACAGCATCAGCATCCATTCCTTTCACCGCATACTTCGCCTTCTTCGGACCCAATGCTAAGATTTCGTCCTCGGAATCCGAAACGTTCGGCGGTTGGCGTGCAGTGAACCCGAGTCGTGCTGCGGCGGTGTGGGTACGGCGAACGTCTTTCATCTTCTTACTCTTTCGGGGAATGTCCGCGATGCCCGCATTCGTCGAGGGTCCGGATGGCGATGGTAGAAGAGCAACTTATAGCCACATGAGCATTCATCCCAGTTCTCTTGCTTGGAAGTCACACACCATCAGACTCCTTCGCGGCATATGCTTCACCGTTACCGGCAATGCCACCAAAGGCGATGTCATCGTTCTCTTCTTCGTCTTCAGAGTCTGCTACGACTAATGATATAGCCCGCCGGTTCATAGCGGACGGCTTTGAGGCGAATATATGCTTCTCTCTGATACCGCCGATAGGTTTAGCTAGGGCCTTTGTGCGGCTCTGGAGCAACGTACGCATTTCTCGGATCCGAAGGAGTCAACGTCTGGGACACAGCTGCTGGAGAAGCCTCCATGCTCTGTACATGCGAGAGCTGTATGCAGTTGTGAGAGCACTGTGATATTTCAGGGGATGTTAACCTCTAGACGTTGGCCTGGGAGACGCGACGAGCGGAAGGCTGCTCCTGCTTGCAGCTGGGCGCGCACCCTCGAACTCGGATCTTCCGCCTCCTGACCCGCCTGGTGCCGCGAGAACGTCAAATCCGGTGTCATGAGAATACGAAATTTGTCTGGAATAGAGTGACCAGTTGTCTATTCTAAAGGCCAATATTCGAGCTCCGTCCACCAGGATTGTGCAGATCACTGGTGCCCAGCAATACTCGTGAATGCCCTGTCCCCATAAAAGACTCTGTCAACCACTCGTACCAAACCTTTCTGCCATCCGTTTCTCTCCAAATCGTGATATCTACCGACGAGTTTCTTGGGAGACATATCGGTGTCTTCAGAGGGAAGAATATCGGGAACCAAGAAATCATGTCTTTGGACTTCGCTTCAATAGTATCCGGTCGCGTACTCAGCTCTACGTTTTTGTAAAGCACACATTCGAAATAACCGGCAATACCGTGCATGACAGCTTTCTCGGGAATGTTGAATGTGACCCTGCCACAACGCTTGTTGTGTGTATTTTGCCGGACAAGAGGACTGGCGCCGGCCTCGGTGGAGAAAAGTTCAGGATTCGGGTGGACGAACTCCCAGATTTGTTTGATCTCATGGTTTTCCGCGATATGATCCGCTGCCTGAAAGAGTACCACGTATGGCGTCTCGATGTGTTGCAGGGAGTTGTGCTTCTGTAGGTCGGTGAAAAGTTTTGCAGACATGATAGGACTAATGTGTGCTGTGTATGATGCGGGAATTGAAATGCCTCCATCGGCTGTAGCTTTCTGGGTTAGCCATGTTCCTGTAAACACAAGGGCAACGTACGACTCAAAACGTTCTGCACGCCATCTATACATTCCGGACTCAGTTCATTGTCCGCCAGACTACCCAGTAGCTCAGTTACTAGGATGTCTACCGGGTTCTTTGGCTTCCAAGTCCTCATGTCACTCTTCACAAGTTCTACGCGATCCTTCCATTCGTTTCTCTGCCGTTGCTGCAGCGTTACAAAGGCGTTCGGATTCTTCTCCACGGCGATAAGCTCGATCGACACCTTAGCCGTCTCCGACGCACGAAGAGCGCGTGCAACTAATGGACCACGGCCAGCACCAGCAACTGCAACAACAGGTCGTCTACTGTGCGGCCAATCCCGGAGCGCTTTCACTATCGCCAGCTCGTACTGGGCATACTTGACAGGATCCTTCTCGAAAACCTCATATGTCATGCTCTCAAGATTGTCCATCAAAGGTTGCAATGGAGCCTGTAGATAGTCCTGATATCCCTGTGCAAAGGCTTCCGTCACTGTAGGTGGCGGAAGCTTTGCCTGGAGGTATCTGACGTACTTCAGGTAGCCAAGTGGCCCATCTTTTAGCTTCCCCGTTTCAGCATCACGGATGATGGTGAATGGTTTTAACTTTAAGAAGTGTTGATAAAGGGACTGGTGGCCTTTTGAAAGTACGGGAAACCCCTTGGCATTACCAATAAAGGCGCTTGAGGAGAGAAGAAGGAACCGTACTGGCTCAGCAAACCAACGATCTTGAACGACCTGCGGTGGAAGGTGCGCGGGGATTTGAAGGGCCAGAGACAACCTTGCATTGTATCCGCATACTGTACGGATGGTGTTCCAAAGATCCCACATACTCAACGCATCGTATCTGTCACCGGATCCATCCTCATTATGTGCCTCACCCATTGGCACGTCCTCGGGAGGATCTTCACACATCAGCATGTGAATGCTGACCTGCAGGTAGGCTGACATAGACAGAGCCGTATTCACGGCTTGAGCATAGCGTACCAGATCTGTCCGGCGCTTCGGGGGAGGGATGACGATGTTTACCACACCACAGTACGAAGCATAGGCCACCTCCTGTTTTAACACTTCTGCTGAAACACGAGCGAGTTCGTGGTCTTTGGCGTTTGGTTCAATCCATGAAGATGCAAAGGCAACAACCTGCTCGACGTGATCTAACGAATTTGTGAGAAAATGGTGTCCGCACGGGGAGATTGATTGATTTACCAAAAGAGGTGATAGCAGCTTCTTCTCCAGAAATGCTGTCCACTATAGTCTTACCTCCTTCAAGGTCATTCGATATCCGTGCTGCGTGGGTAGGGCGAGTTATAGGGGTCGAGATGAAGTCGTAGCCGTCACTTTCCACAGCTCTGGCGATTACCGCGGTGAGATCCCAAGAAGAGTCCGAAGACGTCGGCACATGAACCCCGACATTGAACACTTGAGCGATGGAAGAATCGTCGGACGACATGGTGATCCTCCTTTAACTTTACGCGGCTCAATTGGGAAGTAAGATGCACATATAAACCCCGGCAGTCAAGAATTTTGCACACAGCAGTAGTACTTAATGCGCACCGTCAACTGAGAATTGGGGGCACAGTTTAGCTTTGGAATGGTGCTGTTTCCTCATACAAATACCGTCTGGGCAAATTGTACGGGTGGTGCGTCGCTATCTCAACTTGACAGCAGCATGAGAACCTGGAAAGCTGCAACCCTTACTGCTGTGTGCAACATTCTTGACACAGCGCGTCTTAGGTGCATCTGCGCAGAATCAGACCTGACCACAAACAACCCAACAACTCCATCAAATTGCCCTCTAAACGAAAGCAGGCAACTCAGAACGATTCAAAGGAATGCAGACTATCTGCTCGTACCACTAGACCGCCCCCACGCGTTGCCGAAGATGTCCGTGAAACAACAGCAACCAAACCACCAAGGACCCAGCAGACGTCTAAAAGAATCATCGAAGTTCCGGATGAGCCTACCCCTGTTGACCTTGACATCACTATCGACAGTTTCACCGCTATGCTCACTGTCACCCGCGAACCGGAGGTTAAATACGCCCAAGCACCATTCATTGTCGACTCCATCAAACACTGGGCGGATGTCGAGGTCGAGTTGACAGAGGCAGTGCTCGAGGAGTTATGGGATGATCGAGACCTGCCTGGGGGTATTACCTTACGCGATTACACTCAAAAATGCATTGGAAGGTACTCCGCAGAAAGAGTCGAGACTGTGATGTTCCGTGGAACCGACTACGCTGTGAACTCGACTGGAAACCCTTTGTCGAAGCTGTCAATGTCGAGCGCTTATCACCTAAGCCCGAATGGCAGGCCCTCATCAACGTCGATTCGCATTACTCCCTGCCGAAGTCGCTCTACCAAAGTGACGACGACTCCCAGGCCCCGCTACACTCCTCCCAAGTCAGGAAATGGTGTCAAACTGCTCGGCCTAGACGCCCTAAGAGTGCTACAGTTGCGCATCTTCAGAATATCGAGCCTGGATTCGAGGGTGACCCCGCTAAGTACGACAAGCTTGCCGCGCTACGAGGATTTCAAGCCCGCTGGATGTGCTCGAAGCAAATCACCAAAGCAGCTGCAATGAAGGCCATTTAACAACTGCTGTCAACATAAGCTGTAAGCTGTTCCTGGGTTAATGCGTAACCGCAGCTTGTGAACATGTGGAGGATTTAGTTGCTTTGAGAGTTGATATAATCGATTGAGCAGTGCATGAAGGCTTCAGAGTCTGACTTGGCAAACTCATGCTCGTTGTTCTTCTTCATCCAGCTTTTCATCATGCTAAGACAGAGCTCGATTGGATTTAGGTCTTGGGAGTAATGTAGTAGGAAATGGATTGGACAGCCGGCTCTTTCGACTAGCAGTTCAGCAACCCTTGGATTGTGATGACTACAACAACTGTTTGAGTACAACATCGCTGTTGGGACCAGGGTAAGGTCCTATGATTGGTAGGAGTTGCCGTTCCACAGATTTGACAAAGCGGTCAGCATGAAAGACCCCTGAAAGATCCACAAGGCACGGGGACCTGTTCAGGTGAGTGCTGGCAATACACTCCAGCGCTTGGAGCAAGTGAGAGTACGGCCTTCAATGGCACAGTTTCCAGCGGGATCATAACCAAATTTGTGGTGAGCGCTGCACTCATCGATGGCTGATTCATCGAGGAAAATAAGCCGATCCCGCATGTAGTAGGCCATTTCAATCGCATGGTCTGCCCGTAGCATTCCATTACACTGCGCTGCCCTGACGGTCATCACCTTAGGGGTATATCCAATCTTGTGGAGGTAACGCATGATCTGGAAACGGTTGAGATCACAAGCGAAGGCTTTGTTCATGTATTCAGCACAGTGTTCTTGGTAGAGAGTAGGGTTTTGCTTGTACAAGTACTGAATATACTGCATACCATTCAGTGAATCCCTTGAGTAGCACCACCTTACTCACTGGCCCTAGATGTTCGTCGATTTGAGGCTTGCGTCCACAAGTATGATGACCGGCACGCTCACTGGTGGCCTGCTCTTCATACCTCTTGACAATTCGGTAAACGGTGCGGACTGAAGTGATTGAGATTTCACTGAGTGTGATGGGATCGGCTCCCCTGATGTAACGGTGGATAACTAGATCTCAGACGGGGTCGGCAATGATCTTCCCATGCATTTTTGGCTTATCCTGGCCTTCCTAGGCCTTCAATGGAGTTTTTTACGGGAGGGTATGCAAGATTGGGCGCACCTGCAGTGTGTTGTGTCAAGAATTTTGCACATAGCTGTAACTGCGCTGCAGCCGCGGCCGCGGATTTCGACAGCCCCATTACAGTTCGCGTTTCCTCAGGACAACGCCCATACCAGGTATCTTCCGGGCCCGCATCGCTGCTTCACCTGATGCGCATCTACCAACCCACCGGCTTAGACGCGACTTGCTTTTGAGCATACACACGGTCTTCTACGATTTTCCTTGGTTACTAACCTCTTCCATCCACCTCGGCGAGCTTCCGTTTTCCTCCTTCAGACTTCGAGTACTCCTAAGAGCAAGATTCTTTCATCCCGCAGTATAAACCTTCCAAGCAGTTTCCCGGTTGATCTCCGCCAAAGACACCTGCCCGACTCTGAGCCATTCCTTGTCTCCTAGAGCAAACGCGGTTATGACTGCTCAGAGTTAGTCGGAGCTTTTCGAAGCGAAGATTAGGGTGTCGGAGTTCATCCGGAACTTAACCCTAAGTGTTCCATCGACATATGCAGCGCTGCAAATTGTGTTTCTATTTCGCCTTTCGAGTCTATCAGGCCGACGTTTGGCACGGGGGACGTTCAAAATCAGCTCACGCAGATTGAGGGAGAGAGGCTCATACGTCAACAGCGCAGGGATCATGACGTACAGCTATTGGTATTATCACATACGAGTACAGCGGGTGGTGCCATGAGGTTGACGCCCAGCTAGCATACAAACGGGACAGGAATAGACTCATCATCGGTTGTGAGTGGGGGTTATGAAAGGCGTATCCACCTGGATGCTATGCTCGACTGAAAACCTCACCCGACTGCGACATCAGAGCTTCCAGAGAAAGGCTCTCCATGCAAAGGCTTTCGTCGGTACCGGCCGTTGGTTTCGGATGTCTTCAAGGGCAGCGAACGGGGTCGTAGCGAACCTTACGATTGGAAATTCAAAAACACACGAATGGAAGTTTTCATGTCTCAGTCGGAAAGATTTGTCGGTGTACGTCGAGAGATGCCCTGGTGTAATCTTCGTTCACAATTGAGCGATGACGCGAGAGTTCTTGTTCAATACTTGCTACGCTGCAAGCTCCGGATATGTGATGATGCTTTCTACCACGGCCTTGCGTTTTCGTATGAGTTGTCCTCTCCAACCCTGCTTCCTTCCGGCGCCGAGTTGTTCCTGCTTTTCTTGAACTGGCGTTCATCTTCGAAGGACTCGACTCGTGAGAGTTGGCACAGCAGCGCACCTTGCATGTCGATAGGCCCAACCAGCCACTTCTGCGGAAGGGAGGGAGGCCGCCCTTGACCGAAAAACCGGATGTCGTCAGATATCCTCATCCTTCGGAGAAAGACGGTTTTTGCGGATGTCGTTTGTCCGTTTGTCCACTTTTGGCAAGAAACAAAGTCTAGTCCCTGACGGTTCTGCTATCACACACGATCTGCTTGAGAACCCGTGTCTGTTTAAGGATTTTGGGGGCTCGTCGAACGATGGAGGTGAGGATACGTCAGCCGAGTGTAGAGTCTATGGGAACAACATGGCCAAAGCAAGTCAATGCCTGGTGAGAGACCTGGAAGTCGCTCTGACTATGTACTGGTGGAGTTGAGATGCGCTAATTGAGAGGTTTGTTCCGGTTTATCTCTGGGCTTGAGCAGCGAGAATTGCTTCCACTACGTGCAAACTGTACCTATGCGTGTGGTTCCTGGCTTTATCCAACCTCTTGCTATGACTGTGTCCTGCCCTTCTACGGCCTGCTCCCGTTTCGACACGGCCGGGACCTTCCCATTGGAACCGTCAAAGCTCCGTGCTTGTCTGGCCGTGCTTGATGGGAGATCTGTGTCTTGGGTTAGACTTGGAATTTGGCTTAGGGGAGATGGACCACGATCTTTCGTCAAATTGTGGTACACCACGGGATTCTTACTGCTCGGGTCACTGAGTAAGACTTGCACAAGCGATGCGGGTGCGGGTGCCTTATGGGCGTTCGAGTTGTAGTCACCACGACTGCAACTCATTTCTTATAGCAGATAAGTGGGATCAAGATCGTTTGTTGACTCGAAGACTGATACTAAATATAGGTTTGATTCCAGCAGGCTTTTCCTCGTGTCTCCTCGGAGAACCCGACCCTCGAAGACCTGGAGACCTTCCTCCTTTGAACGACCTACCATAGTTACCCTTGAGCTTACACACAATCAATACTTCACCTCTTCGCTCCTCTCCATCTGATAATTTAAGGTTGCCTGTGTGTGCATCTGTGCTGCACCCCCTGATTCACCCACTCGACCCCCATACGACCAGAAAGACGTCAGTTGAAATTGCGGGCAGCAGCTTTCTGCCAATTCTAGACGATGACCCTTGACCTGGATGAATGCATCGAACGCCTTTATAAGAATCAGCCGCTTGCCGAGCCTGTTCTTAGGGAGATCTGCGAGCGGACGAAGGAAGTCTTGATGAAGGAGAGCAATGTCGTTCACATACAAGCACCAGTAACAGTTGTCGGTGACATCCATGGGTATGTCCCTGTCAAAGTCGAAATATGTGCAGGAATTGACGCATGTGTTGACAGTCAATTCTATGATCTGATAGAGATCTTCAAGATTGGAGGATACGCACCACATACAAACTACCTGTTTCTAGGGGATTATGTCGACCGCGGACTGTTCAGCGTCGAGACAATCTCGCTATTGACATGTCTGAAGCTACGCTATCCTGATAGAGTAAACCTTATCCGCGGCAACCATGAGTCAAGAGGTGTTACGCAGTCATATGGGTTTTATGCCGAATGCATCCGAAAGTATGGCAGCGCGAATGTCTGGCATTACTTCACAGACATGTTTGACTTTCTGACGTTGTCTGTTGTCATTGACAATCAGATTTTCTGTGTACATGGAGGTATGCGACTGGCGTAACTGTTGAAATCTACGATGTACTGACGTATCACCAGGATTATCACCATCTATTCATTCGATTGATCAGATTAAGATCATTGATCGCTTCAGAGAAGTTCCGCATGAGGGACCTATGGCAGATTTAGTATGGTCAGATCCTGATCCTGACAAAGATGAGTTTTCAATTTCACCACGGTAGGTCTCCTTTCACGCGGCAATGATACAGCTGCTGATCCATTGTCTAGTGGAGCGGGTTATACATTTGGCGCACAAGTGGTGAAGAAGTTCCTTCACGTTAACAAGATGGTCCACATCCTTCGCGCACATCAGTTATGTCAGGAAGGGTATCAAGTGTTATACGATGATCAATTATCAACAGTATGGTCGGCGCCGAATTACTGCTATCGATGCGGTAATATGGCGTCGGTTTTGGAGGTGAACGAGCACGGAGAGCGATTCTTCAACGTATTCGACGCAGCGCCAGAAAACGAGCATGATGGGCCTGCGCAGCAGAATCTACCGAACAAGGTGCGTCACCGAAGCTATCCGTACAAATGCAAGATGACGCTGACAGGATCCTTCTCTAGCAAACCATCGAATACTTTTTGTGATCACAGTTATACCCTTGCATGAATGCTTGAACAGCATAGTGGAACACGGAAATTAAGGATAACAGGCGTTTTGTGTCGGACCCTCGGGACATTCGATTTTGATTTCAAGAGGCTTATTTCAAGGAATATGAGATGGGATAGCAATGCAACGCCTCAAACTCCAGTGTAGATAATTAAAAAGATTATTTCCTCTCAAGCTATATGAGCTGCTGCGCATTCATGAGAATGTCGTTTCATTGAACCTCTCCAAAACTTCCATGTCTCGAAAGAATCCTTCCAGCACGAGGCACGATGACTCCACTTTCGGATGTCGTGCCACTCGTACTCGTCGGTTCCACGGGTAACTTAGAGAAAGAATTATGAACAATCTGAGGCTTCTTCCCCGCTGACACGGTCTTCATTTGAGGCAGAGCGCTTTCGCCATCGTCTTCCATTGATGTCGGGGTGATATCTGCATCCTCAGTCACTGTACCAGCTGCGGACTCGAACATGGCAAAGCTAGTATTCGTGTCGAAATTCGCTCGAGAAGTGAGGGGAGGACCGCGGGTTTTGGAGTTCACGTTCTCTGTTTCAGTAGGTATGCATTCATCCGAACTCGTCATTCGGGAGGACGCCTTTGTCGAGTAAACACTATAAGGAGCGGCACGGATATCAGAAGGCGAACCTGCCTCATAGTCGCGACCTGCAGGCAGTGTTGGTGAATCCCATAGTGGTGTTCCTTCTGGCGATAAATCCGCATTCATCATCCTGTTGAATTGCGGAGTCGTATCACTGATATCCTCCACAGGCTCCACAATAGCATCACGGGGTTCGGTTATATACTCGTCAATATCAATATCTGTAACTGGTTCAGCCAAGATTACTTGGCGCGGTTGGCCGGACAAGGCCTCTTGCAAAGGAATACGCTGCGGTACTGCTGGAAAGGCGTAGATGAGAGCATCGCCCGGATCAGTTACAGTCGATAGAGGGCGATCCATCCGCGACGAAGCAGCAGATAACGTCTCACGTTCACGATCGGAGTGCGTAGCCTCACGTGTAGGATGCGAGAAGTTTCGGACGTGAGCGGGAGTGAACGGCATGGATGTGATCGTAACAGGACCACTCGAATCCTCGGATCCTTCGGATTCCTTCTCGTTTGATTCATGCCATGGCGCAGACCCTGAGAAAGCAGGTGTCATGCTTACGAAGTCTTTGTGAATGGGTTGATAGAGGCTGCTGGATGGTGGCGGAGACGTAGGAGGGGGTGATGGCATTGGGGGCTGGATCATCTTTGAACGACTCTTGGATACCCCACCCGTACCGCTGACTGAGGAGTGCGGTACTAGCATGATGGGCGATCCACCCTCATGTGAAAGTTTGGCCCCTCCGGTGACGACAAACTCCCTTTCTGGAGTAGCTTTATCCGCTGCCCTCTCCTTCTTGTACTTGGCCATGTCACGCTCCTTCTTCTTTCGTGACGACGATGCTCGGCGTATCAGAGAAGACCAAGCAGTGGAGATAAAGTTAGCATTACCACGCCTTTCAGCCGAAATTTCCGTCGTTCTGCTTACAGCACTCACGTCCTGAGCGGGAATGGCGGATGGCCCTTCCATTGAACTTTTGGAAGACTCGGACGCATCAACAGACTCGCGGAAACGTGATGACACTCGGCCAGGAGCCGTTCTCGACGAAGATCTGAATTCCTGATTATAGGCTTCTTCGCTGAGGGTAGGCTGGATAGGCATAGCCAGCGACATCATATCTTCTGCATATTTCTCGGCCTCTTCTCCTTCTTCCTCATAAGCCCAGGCTTCAGGCGTCTGGGTTGCCACGCTTTGAGACCTGACCTCCACAAAATCTTCGTTTTCCCAAGCTCGTTCCTTTCCTTTCGACGACCCCGAACGCATGAATGTAGCTTGCTGTCCTCTTGACCGACGGGCGATATCTTCTTCTTGTTGCTGAAGCCTTTCGACTTCCGCTCTCAGTCTCCGACGCTGCTCCTGTCTTTCTTTCGCTTCTTCAACTCGCTTGGCTCTTCGACGCTCTTCGCGCTCCATTAAACTCCGCAAATCCTTTGCTCCAAGCGTATCAGCTATCCCATCCACTGTACCAGTTGACTTTGAGTGTTGATGCTGCTTAGGGAGCACTTGGTTCAGAATTATGCCCTCAGACTGGGCTCGAACATGGGAACCTGGTGCCTGTGACTGCAGCGGACGTTGTTCTGGTTCCTCTTGCATAAATCTCAGTGTCGGACTTGGCTTGACCAAATCCAGTGATCGGACTTTCAGTGCACGCATCATAGATGGCGATTGCGACATGGACGACATCACCGAACCGCGCGTAGGAGGCGGCGCAGCGGACATTGACTCTTTTCGCGATTTTAGGGATTTGGAGATGGATATATTTCTGGAGAGTGGTTGGCTTCCTCTTTGTTGGTTCTCGTCGACAAGGTACTTAGACGCTGGAACGCTTTGTCTTTTGCGCTGACGCTTGTCGTGACCTAGAGTAGGAGTGCTTGAATCTCTCAACTGCTGCGATGGAACACCTGCTACCGGAGTAGCCGGCACACTGTTGCGCTTTGACCGGAAGCTGGACTCGCGCAAAATAGATCCCAGTCGTGAGGGGCTTGATGTCTCCTGGGCTGACTGCTGTTGACCTGAGACCGTCTTCTTTTTCTTCCAGAATAGCACACTTGGCATCGCCTTAGCATTCGCTTTGATTGGTGATGTACTCGCTTGTCAGACACTGCAATGGTCCTTGCGACAGCGAGTGGACGACGGCGGAGCACGAAAAGGCGGCGACGGAAGCGGTCAGACACCCGTTGGACGATGGCTGAGCAGAAGGAACCCGATCCGGGAGCGGGAACAGTAACTTGAAGGTGAAAGATCCCCTCAAAGACAATAAGGTTCACGGACCAGAGCCATACGTATACGCAATTGGTAAACGTCACCCAATCAACTTTTGCATTGAGTTTAGAGTAGCGGCTGGCATGCGGCTGCAGTTCTGCGGTGAGCCACCCTGTACAAGGCGCAGTGTACGGAAAACTTTAATTCCAACCTTGCATCTTGTGTCGATACGTGAGGACCTCGTCCATTTCTATGTCTATATATTACCGACAACGACCTACACTTGCGGCTTCATGTAGAAATGCTCGCCCAGAGATAGCACCTCCGCCTTGTCCCCCACCGCGATCTCGCCATCGAAAGCATTGGCAACCGCGTTCATACCAAAGCATGGCGTGTACTTTGAGCCCGGATCAATCCTCCTAAATCCTTGCAGCGTCTTATACGGTTGTGCCTCGTCGGGCACCGCAGTTTCGAGGTCCAAGTTCGGCAACCGACAACGCGGACACCGCGAAGTGAGGTGAAAAACCGTGCCACCGATCCTAATTTTCGTCCAGTCGTCCTCCGCCCATGCTCTTGGTACACCCTTCAGAACGATATTTGGGCGAAACCGGATGATGCTAGGCAACAGCTGAGGTAACCGTGAATTCAAGTCCTCGAAGCTTTCCTCCGTTGCGATAAGGAAAGGCTGCCCATCCGCATAAGCAACGATTGGTTTCGCGTTATCCGCAGAAGATGGAGGCAGATTCCCCCTAACTGGTCGCTCTGTTGGACCTCGATAAACGAGCTTGCATTCGAATCCGAGGAATTCTGATAGGTATTCGGAGCAAACGGTTGGCATCTCGTAAGCATCCACAGGTGCTGCCCAGACCTTCGTATCGATGATAGGACAATGCGCAAGGTATTTGGCACTGAACTAGACGTTAGGGCCGTGTCAAAACCGCACAGATTGACGCTTTACCTTGGGAACATAGGGATCGTAACAAAATCATCCGCACCCTCCACCTGGATCACCAGTATCTCCACCCCATCCTCAACCTCGAGAGCCGTGTGGATCCAAGCCATCCTAGGCGTATCTCGCATTGTACACATGTTGTAGGTGCCATTAGGCATGACACGAACAATCATGAACTGCCTGTCATGAGCGAAACCTGTATCGCCCAGTCGAGCAGACGGAAGGGAGATGCCGCGGCATGACTTGATCGGGTATACGAAGACCTGGGAGACTTCAAGATGCAGCTCACTGTGAGGCATAGTCGGGACAACAGCACTCGAAGGTTTAGGCACCGGGCATTGTTTTTTATGTGGGGAGTCCAGTGGCGGTCCGAGCCCCCGGGCGGGCAAACGAAGCGATTACCTAAGAGTTGCAGGCGATGCAGGGTCCCCGCCTCCAGCTGATAAAGGGACATTTGACAGGGAATAATTGCGTTGGTATGTATCATCTGTACAAGATAATTTAAATCATTTGTCTCCACATCGTTCTCTTGCAACTTCTGTTCAGACCGTCTCTCCGCCAGCTTGGTACTCGGCCTCTCGCATGTTCCTGTACGCCCTTTCGGTCAGTATTCGTTGCTTACACTTTCTGGACAAGATAGACATACGTGGGTGGCTCGATGCTGGGAACAAACTCCAGTCCGACGTATACCACGCCGAGCAGCATGAGAAGACTGCCAGCAATGATCCGGAGCACGCTGTCGCTAAGCAGGATGCTTCCCACGAAGATGTAGACTATCATCTCGAGCTTAGTTTTTCCATTCAGATCTGGAGGATCAAGGGGTTTCCTCACGAGCACCTCGTCCAACAAAAGAGAATAGGAAGCTTCCGTACCGTGCAACCTGCGGAGGAACCTGGAATTCGAGGATACCGGTTGCGACACCTGGGAAGATCAGCGCTTGGATGGTTGGTACTTGTTCAACACTACGTACCGAAGAGAATAACATAGCAGCCGATGATAACGCTCTGGAAGCCGACTGGGAAGAATTGACTGATACCGCCAAGCACCATGATGACCGCAGCGGCCAAGTTGGCGATCTTGAAAGCTTTCGTAGTGTCGAAGTTATCCATCGTTATAGCTGTTGGTGATGATCAATCAATTCGACGAGCAGTTGAGCGACTGAAGGTTTTGTTTAAATGGCAGCTGCTGCGGATCGTGCTCAGTGCGTATGACAGAGGAGGCGCAGCAACATGCATGCATGCCAATGGGATAAGGTTTGACAGCTTTTCAGACAACGATAGTGGTAATGTATTTGTAGTACTCGCTCAGAACACGAGCAATTGACATCTAAACCCGTCACCAATGACAAATCCCTCACAGCACAACTTTCAATAACATCCGCATCGATTACACAGAAAAGGTCTGGTCATATTCCCTCAGAAAGTGAAGAAATATGGAGGTCAACATTATTGTTCTGATTGTTGAGCTTGATAATGTATTGTTTGTTCCTCATAGGGGATGACCAGACCGGTCTGTGAAAGCAACACGTACGTCGAACAACTGTAACAGACGGGACATACGATGAGCCGTGATACGAAGGTTGAGGTGGGTGGGACGAGTCTTGCGCTTCGACGAGCACTCGCGGCGAATTTATAGCGTGCGCAGAACTTGCAGCACGTGATAGCAGGGACTGTCCCACGCGCGCTGTCCCTGCTGAGGTGAGTAGGCTAGAACAGGGCAAGAGCAAGGTGCACCCGATGACCTCATCGCATGACGTCAAGTAAGATTGGCAGCTGTCCTTGATTGCCCGTGCTTTGTGACCACTATAAGAATGCCCGCGTTCCCAGCCCGTCCCACCTCTCTCCATCACCACCATGTCCGACAGACTCAACCAAACCACCGTTAACCAGAACACCACCGACGTCTCCGAGCTCGTCCAGCCCGCCGTCGTTCACGAGCGTGTTCAACAGTCCGAGAGGGAGGAGATCACAGAGGCCATTGATAAGGAGAGGCACATCCAGCACTACCAGCAGCGTGTTCAGTATGTTCCCTCCTTCATGCTCCACAAACTCCCTTGCTGATCTGTGACGCACAGACCAATTGCCGACCGCCAGGTTGAGGCCGAAGTTCATGTTCAAAACGTTGTTCCTGTGACGGAGCGCCGCATGGAGGCTGACATCGCTCCGGAGGCTGCTCGTGCTCTCGAGGCTCAGCAGGCTGCCTTCCGTGACGAGCGTACGGTCCTCCCTACCCAGCGTACCCAGGTCAATACTGGTGCCGTAGCCACCGAGCACGTTCACCACCACGTCCACGAGACCATTCAGCCCGTCATTGAACGCGAGACTCTCCAGAGCAAGGTCATTGAGACCACAGTTCCCATTCACGAGAGGATTGATGAGGCGCCCGTGGTGTAAGTTGTCGCAAACATATTTTGCTTCTCGCACATTACTGACTAAGATTGTTATAGTCACCAAGCCACCGTTCAGCCCACAATTAGCTTGCAGGAGTTCCAGGCCAAGGGCGGATCCCTTGAGGGTAGGGGCGAAGTGTGCCAGACCTTTGTCGGTCAGGAGCCGGAGGTGGCCCCCGGAGGCGGAGCGGATCAGCGTTTGCCTCATCACTTGGGTGGAGGCAGCGAAGGTTTGACCGCTGGTGCTACCGGCGCCCCTACCGGTGCAAACGTTGGAACGACTTCCGGCGTCACCGGCGCTGATACTACATCCGGTACTGGCGTGGGAACTACTGGTACTCACACCGGTTCCAGGCGAACCGGAGAGAGCAAGCTTGATCGTGCTGAAGACCAGGCCGAGAGCAAGGTCGCGCAACATGCGGATAAGAAGGAGGCCGAAGCCGAGTCCGGCACGAAGAAGGAGGGCGTTTTTCAGAAGATCAAGGATGTCGTCACTGGTCACCACCATTAATTTAGGAGTGCAATTCGATCAGGTGCGGGCGCGAGGATGATGTAGGATTATTGTTGTACTATGAATATACCCTCGATTACACCTTTGTTCTGTTCTATCGTACTGAACTACTCCCCATACCATATACTATACGCCATGCTCTTCATCCGTTGTCATGCCAGGTTCTGCTTCTTGGTAGGATACTACGGCTTTCCTTGCTCTTCCGCTCGTTCTCTTTGAGCCAGTTGTGGGAGGGACATGGTCATTCGAGTCAGACTCATGATCGTCAGTTTCCTCCGGCGTCGCCTCCTTTACAACGGCCTTCTTTGTTGTCTTTCGTTTCTTCTTGCTTGGCGCACTATCCTTGTTCTCCCCTGCGGCCTTCTTTTCCTGTTCCTCCATTGCGTTCTCGTCCATTGACGTGTGTTCAGCTGCTGCCTCGGCCGCCTTTCCTTTCTTGGCCCGCGCAACCTTCTTTTTCGGCGGTATTGGCTTACCATCGTCGTCCAACTCAGGTTCTTTGACCTTCCTGACTCTCTTTGGTTTCGTCAGAATTTCCCCCCCACCTTCGGGATACCATCCGCCTTCATGAAATTCGTCCATAGGCCTCTCAGCGATTTGAGGAGGGCATTTAGGATTGTCAAGGTTCAACACTCTTGCCAATTCGAAAACTGCCTGCTCTTTGTCCTTTGCTTCGATCATAAGATCCGTGGTGTCTGGGCATGGCGGGAGATTTCTCACGCGTTTTGAGTGGCCGCGACGTTCCATGGGCATGATTGCGCCTGGTCTAGACTCCGAGTAATGCTGCTTTGGAGTGATTCCTTTGGCTTCCCATAGAGCATTTATCTCCGGTAGGAGGTTGTAAGGATCAAGTGACCCTTCACGAATATCGCCGTGCACGATATTGTGATGATGCCAATCGAGGACCAAGGGCACGCCCAGCTCTTTGCAGAGCGGTAAGAGGTCGGTTACAGACCAGCACACGTCATCGTTTTCAAGTACAAGTCTCCTCTTCACGCTTTCCGGAAGACGGGCGTAGTTGGCACGGAAGCGGTCAAGTGTTGCTGGTTTGTCGCCATAGGTTCCGCCCAGATGTATGATCATAACTGCATCCCTGTCTGCTTGACCGGTCATTCCAAGCCTGGTAAGTAGCTCATCGTGCATAATCAGGTCGCGAAAGGCATTATCGACGACCTGTTCTCTCGGCGAAGCAATTTGGGTAAACTGCCCTGGATGCGTCGTCAAACGATGACCATACTTCATTGCCAAAGCTCCCGCAGCTGTCAATTCCTCGTCGGCGAATTCCAGGGTGTACCCAAACTTTTCATGCGATGCAAACGGAAACATCTCGCTAGACACACGAAGGAAGCGGATGCCGAAGCGCTCATTCCATTCGATCATCTTGGACAAATCTGCAGCATTTTGCTTGCCAAGAGCACGAACAAACTCCATACCCTCCTTCTCCAGTGTGGCTTGGCGGCAGGTACGTGAGCAAAAGATAGGTGTTGGGAGTTCGCGGAGGATGGTGTTCAAGCAACTAAACGCGGATTAGCGAGGAAGGTGTAGGTAAGTTAGGCAAACGCATACGCGTATCCCAGGCGTCCCTTCCACGGGATGGGTACATAGTCTTTGTCGACAGGTGCGGGTCTTGCGAGCGCCTCTTTAACAGCCTCATCCCGCTTCTCCTTGGCCTTCTGCTTCGCCTTGCTGAGCGGCACGCCCTCTTCGGCAGCGATAGAATTCGCGTCCTCCTCCATTTCATCCTCGACTTTCTCGACTATCTTCTCTTCATCTGGGCTTGCTTCCCGATCCCCTTCCGCCTCGGTTATTTCGTTCTCCTTGCCCTTCAGCTTCTGAGGCGCAATAGACGGCGCCTTCGGCAAGGACACGTCATGAAACTTCCTTGATTGCTCGAAATTGTTCTGCAATGTTTTGATGGTAGCAGCAAGCGGTGTTTCCGGAGGGGTAACGATGGCTGCCTTGGTTTTCGTTGCCGCTCTGGATTGACGTTTTGGAGGCATGACAAAGGCACAAAATGATCTCGACTGTAATCGTATACCGGTGTGATTTCGTAGAAGGCGATTCAACATGTAACGCCGGTGCTGCTGCTTCGAACGACCGGTTGTTCTTGGTGGTCAGTCAATAGCAGTTGGCGGAGTACAGCTTTTTCTTTCGCGGTCGAGCCTCTCAGTGCGCATCGATCGCAAACGACGTCATTGAGATCGGGCTGCACTCTCAATCGATACGAGCCGTTGCCGTTAGATGTCTGGCAATCGTCAAGACAAAATCATAGATGTTTTTAACTTCTATTGTCTCTTGTGCAATGTACATAGTTTCCCATTCATTCATCAGCGTGGGTGAACCCTGCGTTGCCCCGGATTCCCTGGCCCCGCCGTGTACGCAATCACGCCGCAACGTAAACCAAAGGCATACAACCAGGACCTTTACCATGTCTGATCCGTTGAATCCACAGAGGCTCATTGACATTCTCAGAGCCTCTCTGACAAATTCCAGTACCGGTTCTGACGACAATACCGCCCCCGAATCGTCGACCTCGCCGGTCTTGCTCAAAAACCCGTACGATGCTTTGGCCATTCTTTGCCATGCATGTATGCTCGCCGTTGGGTTCAGATTTGTAGGCCTGGGCGAAGACGGTAAATTTGGTACGTTACGAACATTCCTTCATGCTCAGTCTTTCTCATAACGAGCAGATACGCCGTTTGATGCTGCTGATGTGAAGCCGCTTCCACAGTCTTGGAACTCAACAACGCCTTCCCTACATGAATTCAGATACACCCACACACAGTCATCGCTAACATTCTTGATCAAATTATCGAGGCTGGGACCGAAGGTCATGATCTATGGGATGGGTCTGGGTGATGATAAGCCTGCTACATATAGCGTGATTGCAAAGGAATACACGAGTGAGAATTTCTTTCCCTATCCAAGCGACAGTTCGGAGGAGCCCTTACAGAATGGTTACGTTTCATCTTCGAGGCTCAAGGATTTCGCTGGCTTGTTCAAGTTGAATGTCTTACAAAAGATCATTCCGGGTCTGCACAAGGCGGGTTATGAAGAGTATATACCTGCAAGCACTTCATGAGGGACAACACTGACATCATATAGAGCATCTAGTGATCTCCAAGAGCCTCGTAGCTCTGCGTCAACGTCTGAGATTGCCGAACCACTTCGACCTCTACCATACGGTGATCCCGGCTTTGATCCCCTTCGTACTGGCATCCCCCGGGCAGGAGGCAGGCCGAACCCGGGCCCATATGTTCCTGATTTTGACGATGAACACGAAATATCTTCAGGCCCTGCTCATCTACGTCCGGGCCCTTTCGGAGGTATAAATCCGTTCTCCATCGGTCATGATGACTTGAATCCTCCAGGCTTAGGTTCTAATCCGTCTCTGACTGGCCCTTTCTTCGGAGGCGGAAACAGTCCCTTGCCTAGGCCCGGTATGGGTGGAATGCATCCTACCGCCGACCATCCCCTGTTTGGAGGTCGTGGAGGTGATTATGGGGACGAAAGGCCACCCAATGCGCCTCCCGGCGCTAGATGGGATCCTGTCGGACCGGGGAACGGCGGGTTTGGGTTACCGAGAGGCCCGAGGGGCCCATTTGGAGGAAACGGCAGTGGATTTCCTGGAGGAGGATTTCTTTAAACGCCGTTGGTATGATGGGTTTTGGGAGTATTTTTAGGTGTTCACGTTCACACGGTCATTTCTAAGGAAGCATGTCGGCTGCCATTATTCTCAAGGCCCGTGTCTGTTTTTCACACATCTGCATTCATATATCTTACGAATATGTTTGGTATCGTTTCTGCCGTTTTAAACTCTATTAGCAATCATTCACGTTGGTTAGCCATTCCAGTTATCTCCCAAATGCAGGTATACGTAGACCGACTTGTCAGTCTAGGCATCTGGATGCTATGGACGTGTATACGATGTACCTACCTACATGGAAGTCTGTAGAGATGCATGTATGCACTAATCCATACCTGTGCGAAAATCATAGATCATTAGCGATAGGTCCGGTTTAATCCATGGTGTTTTGGTTGCGGGTAAAGCCCGATATTATCGCGGATAATGGGACCAGATACTTGAAGATGTTGACTTACTCTTTGACGAGACCAGGCATGATCCATGAGGGATCCAGATAAAATTAGGCTTAACTCCAAATTTTGTCAAGCAAAATGCTAGAAAATATTACAGAAAAATGCCACAAATTGTTGGGGGAAGTCGCAGTATTGATAGGCAAAAAAGAGCGCGATTACTAGAGAATATTTTGCGTATCTTGATAGGTAAATTCAACGTAGCAGTAATCATATGCAAGGTGCTATGACTCAGCCCTACGTTCGTGAGAATCATGGATTCCAAAATCCTGTTTAATCCATGATTTGGAACTGTGGATTAGTCAATGAACGTATCATGGATTTCGGGACCCAAACCATGATATCATTCCGCCTGATCCATCATTTTTTTTAGCATAATCCACAATCCTGTTGGGTATAATCCACATTCGGGTTCGGCTTAACCCATGATACGATCCAGCATACTCCACGCCCTTCGTGTCCTCCGTTCCAACCATGATACAACATGGGGTCCAACCCAGGTAGAACGTGACGAGATTCGGGGTTGTTAACCACAAGACGAAGATGGATTGTCATCCGGAATGTTTTCGGTCTGATCAAATACCAGAAGCACCTGCCCAATTGCAATGGTGCAATGGAATCTGCTTGTGTAAGTTTTAGAGCCAACCTAGAACCGCGTATCGTGTGAATTCCACAAGCAGGACCTCTGGCATACCGGCGGTGTTTCGCTTAACAGGAGGTCATGGTACGTTATGCACATGTGTTTTTTTGCCCCATACCGGAACGCGAACCTCCCACCCCATTCCTACGGAGGGAGATAGTATGGAATTCGTGGTATGGATATCCCAACTGCGGAGCAGAAAATTAAAGTGATTGCCGAAAATCCACGACTCATCACTTGAGATAGAGCATCGGGAACACAAGTCCCGTAGTGAATTTATCCAGCACGATCAGACGTTGGAGGTTATCTTAGCAGGTATAAACCCATTTGCAAGTTTGGATCACCAAATCCCGAGGTATTCAAGGAAATCACTTCTCTCAATACCTCAGCGCGGGTGTACTTGAACAGCAGACATTTTCCTGCACCACAGGTACTGTGCTGCCTCACACAAGTACAGAAACTCTTTCCTGAGATGCAGAACAATAACGCTGATATATCGATTAAAATTATATGGTTCAGCTTTGGTCGGCTGCTTAAGCTCTGTCTTACTTTTTACGTGCAAGGTATGAAGCATGTTATCCTATAACCCAATCCCATGCCTAACTAAATATGGTTGGAATTATTCCAGAACAAACTCATGCCCAGGATATGGAAATCCCATACTAGTAGTAAAATATTCTAGGATTCCCATACTTCCTCAAGTCGTAGGGCAGATGTGAATGCCATCTCGGAATGGCATCAATTGAGTGGCCATGGGACGTACGCGTTGACGATCGCGACGTCCTCCAACCCATTGAATTACCAAAGCCGAATTTGTAATAAGCTTTACCTCCATCAAAATCAAGAATTACTAGGTTGGGTGTAGTCCATGGATTTTTTGATCGTGGAAAATCCATGATCGCATTTGGGATACTGGGACCCACACAAATGATTAAGATCGGCTCAATCCATGATAATCCAGGATACAAATCGGTATAGTTCACGATCTGGATCTGGATGTTCCACGATGATTGGGCTTAAACAAAAGATTAGGAGTCATGCGAAAGTATGTGGAGTAAAAGCTACAGTAGTATCAGACCAAAAGAGCAAAATTACCGGTAAAATGGATTTATTTTGAGCACTGCGATTTCTGTATCAGCCGTAAACATGCATGCACTATGACTCAGAATAATAGCAGAATCCCAATCAAATACAAGAAAATCTTGTTCCTACCTGGTCTGGCTTGACCTTTGCTGGTCATGATTACATGTGGCGCCAGAGATATCCTGAAATCTTCAACGAGATGAGGGTTCTCTAGGTTATACATACGCTTTGCTGCACAGCCACAACACACTCATGCACCAAACCATATGCATAATGGCCAAGGATGATGGAATCATGACATAGCCCCACGAAGTAAAATTCATGTGTTAAACACGATTTCTTCCTTAGGCGCGCACAATCCATGTCAGAATCTTGGATTAGTCGGGGATTAGAATGGCCATGGATTAAGCGCGCGATCATGGATTACAATCCGCGCAGAGGTCCCTGACATAGTCATGAATTATGCGAAATAAAATCGTGGTTTGGGTCCTGAAATCCATGCTACGATCATGGATAAATATAAATCCACGATTCCGATTGAGCGGGATTTTGTAATCCATGATTCTCGTACGTGTCAGGTCAGGTCTGCCCTACGGCCGACATCACATGACATCATGTTGGTTGGTCATGGCTATATATGTAGCAGGATACCCCTCTGGATTAAATACATGAAAACTGTTTTGTGTAGCAAGTCTTTAGCTTTCAAGGCATATACGTGTTGTTTTCGCAACCTTTTCAGGTATTCTGCAGCTGCTAGGACCGTCTTTTGTGGCAGCGTTTCAAGATTCTATCTGGGATCGTGATCCCTGGCCTTGCTATCGGGCCTGTCCATGATACTGTTGAGGATGGTATTCCATGATTTTGTCTAGTACTTTTGCCAGGATTGTACCCCACGATGAAGTGCGTAATCCATATGTAATCACCCACGAATCCATGACTTTCACATGGGTTACGCGCTTGCCTGACAGAATGCAGGTTTAGTCTATGATTTTTACTTTTGTACGGCGTGGTGACTACCCCTATCGCTTTTATAGCTCTATTGGCTATGAGATACTCAAATTCCATAATTATGTGCTCATGGCATTTCCCTAAATTCATGAGCGCGCGCTCTAGGAAATTCCATGAGCGGAAACCCACGATTAAGCCGACACATTTCAAACAAGGGGCTTGACAATCCATGCTAGAGTCAGGTTTTACTTTTTAAAAAAGTCATGAATTGAACCTGACCTGGTAATCCATGCCTACGGAGTCACCCATTATGGCATTTCCATAGATTTTGGTATGGGATTTCCACAACGTGATTCCATAGCGGCCGACCCCCTAGGGCATGATGCCCACATACGTCCCTACATTCGTGAGAATTATGGATTACAAAATCCTGTTCACTCCATGATCGCATGCGGAATTTTAAGACCCAAACCACGAATTTTGTCCGCTTAATCCATGATCGTATTCGGCATAATATCTGATTTTGTTCAGCATAATCCTTGATTTATTTTTGGCATATTTCTTAAGCTTGATCCGCGTAGGCGTAATTCATGATTTCTGACTTTGTAAGGCGTCGGGCTGGGTGCGTTTGCGGAATTTTGGAAACTTTCTCATGCAGGTTTCATGATTTGCTCATAGAATGTAGACGATGTGGTTCTGAAATTCATCCTGGAATTGTATGACAGAATGTCTCACCTTCAATAATATGGAGATTCCACACCTGCATTCCACGAGCGCTTACTCCCCCGGACTTTGCAATCGGAGTAATGGATGTCAACCTCGCCTAAAGTTCGCAAGGTTTGACTATCCTTAATCCTCAAGCTTGCTTTTACGTTCATGGGAAATCCGACAAATTATACATAAGCTGACCCTTTGATCAGTTTAGCCATTATTTGGCGCAGATTCACAAACAGTCGAGCACAGTATACGTAGGGGTGATCAAACCGAGGAGATCATATGTAATGGCGATACATGCTCTAACTTCGTAAAAGCTACTGATTTTTGACTACCCTGGTTATGGCCGCGTTTTTTCATGGATTATATCTGACATCCTCACAAATACATCATGACTATCCAGTATTATCACCGGAATCTTCGACGAAGCTCGTCCGACCTGTACCAAAATCGATGGCTCTTTACAACGGTCATGGCACCCTGCCATATGGCCCTGCCTCAAGCTTCAAGTGCATTCAACATCGTGGCCGACCCGTCCCGGGTTCATGTTCATGTATATGGATGGTCGCACCTAAACCTTCCAGATTCCTTCCATGGATTACCCTAGCACTTCACAGATCAACACATGCGAACATTCCCTTATCCACAATACAGAATCAATGATACAAACATGGCGCCTAGCTGTTCTACGTTTGCTGGTAGACCAATCCCCCGCCATCGTGTTTCCCACGCCTCGCAGAGCCCCAGGTTTCTTGATCAATCCAACCAATGTAGTGCTCGCCGCCAAACCCGCCAACCTATTGATGGCGTCAGTACCAGCTACTTATCAATACGGGTTGCTTTTAGCACTCACATAATACACTTCGTCCACTCTCAGCACCCAGTATTTGAAATCGTGCGCTGCGTAAGCCCACTTCGCTTCTGGATGTGCCCTCATATAACAGGGTTTGACCAGTTCCGCCTACGTAGGAAAGTGTCAGCTCGATAGCTAAGGACGACATCTACTACTACTTACCATCGTCTCATTAAGAGGTTCCAATTTTCCTACCAATGAAAACCGCGCATCGACGATTGGAAGCGAAGACTGCGGTTGCGGACTCCGGACTCCCAGACTAACTCGGTTGTCTTCAAAGACGTTTTGAAGAGCAGCCTGCAATGGACTCATCAAGAAGATGGGGTCTCCACCGCCGTCCTCTAGACACTCTTCTGTACTAGCAAAATACTCCATGGTTGCCATCGGATATCCCTCGAGTGACCCATGTGTCTTTGAGCCAACTAGCGATCCAAGGAAGCCGATATTCGCGGTTGCCATAATCTGGCGAGCATAACGGGCGGCCGCTTCAGGTCTGCGGTCATCTGGGCGTGACACATCACGCAGTAAAGCACATTGTACGAGGAAAGGGAATACCACGAGAAGACTGGTAATGAACTGTACGCGTAAAGATGAATACTTGGCCATCTTCCATTGCAATGTTGTCAGGTTGCAATTCCAATTGACGTTGAGGTCGTCTAGAGCTATCTGGCCATGGAGGCACTAATGCAACCTTAACTGGAGCTGCCGCGGTACGGCTGACCACGGTTAAGTATTTCGGAAGCGATCATCGTTTGCTGTGAGAGATATTGTTTATTTTCAGGATATATCTGCCGAACTCTACCTCCGCCTCCGGGGAATACTAGCCTACACTTCCGCCTTCGCGATCGATCCAACCTACAAAGCACTGCCGAAAACGGTGTACCTGTTTTTTTTTTTGGTTAGCAAACGCGATCGGGCGAGACCGAGAAGGAAGTTTTTCATACCTGCGGGCGATCGATGGACCGTACTCTTCGTAGTCAGCCTTGGTATGACAGTAGCTCATGAACTCGGGTGTCTGTGCCAGCAGACTACCGCCGAACCATACAGCATTTCTCTGCTTCTTGTGGGTAATGACATCAACCTCCAAACCTCCGCTCTTTGCGCCGGTTCCACTCAGTTGCTCAGACCGCTGAATTCGGCGGTCGACGATATCCTTAATATCGCGCTTGAGACGCTGACCGAAATTGCGGAACATGGTGGATCCACCGGACAAGACAATGTTCTTGTACAAGCCACGACGAACATCGATAGGCGAGGACTGGATGACGTTGTCAACGACTTCTGGGAGAGGCGTCAAGAAATCGGACGATGCAATCTCGGGGTTGAAGAAGATTTCAGGTCCCAAGAAGCGTTCGTAACCGACGTCAACGGTGACCGAACGGTTAGGTCCCAACTGAGCGATGTACTTCTGGAAACGTTCGGGATCGGCATCGTAGCGAGAAAACTCGCGAACGATATCCGGGCAGACGTACGAAAATTCCTCCTTGATCCGTTCGGCAGTCTTCAGGGAGCTATCCGGTTCGTTACGATCACGGAGCAGGGATTGAACGAAGTAAGTGATATCGCGACCGGCGATGGGAATGTGCTTGATAGACGAGCCGATGACATAGCCCTCTGCTACAGGAATGACGTGGGTAACACCGTCTCCGGAGTCGATAACGGTACCCGTAAGGGATCTATCCTGCACCTTTGAAGAAGTCCAAGACGCAGCAAGCGCAAGTACAGCCTGGACGGCGATGTATAGACCTTTACAGTTGAAAGATTCGAACATGATCTCTGCAGTGTTTTCGCGGTTCTCTGGAGGGTTGAGCGGTGGTTCAGTCTGCATTCGCCTGCGGTCAGTATGCATTGTACGTTGGATCAAACTTGAAAAAGATTACCATAAGGAAGGCATGATCTTCTGGCTCACACCTCAAGTACTTGAAGATACTCTGCTCCCAGTATCGCTCCATCAAGTCCCAATTCTCAATCTGTCCATGTCGAATAGGATAATTGATTCCGTAGCCCGGAGTATTCGCGTGTGCAACAGCTTCGTCACCGATAAAGAAGTCCAAGTCCTCTGTACCACGCTTTTGTGACAAGTGACCTCCTCCTCCACCAGACAAGAAAGAAGGCTTAGAAGGGGGAGCAGGGCCTCCGCGGCCACCAGCTCCCGGAGCTTGGCGGGTCGCGATTGCCGTAGGGAAGACGTATGAAGGAGCGTCGTTACCGGCGAAACCAAGCTTCGTGTAGCCGGTACCATTGTCCATACTGCATCAATCAATCAACATGCAGATCCGAGGATAAAGACCGGCAAGACTTACACAATGTTAGCGTACGACATGGCGATTCAGTTGCTTCGTTGCAATGCGATCAGGGCGGTGTGAGCTTAAATGATAGAATGATAGAGGAGCCGGGCTCAATGGTAGTTTGTGAAGGAATTAAGTCTCTCTGATCTGTTTGTAACGGAGAGCTCGCACCGCGGCCGGTCAGTGCCTGCCTGGTTGGATCACGGCCGCGTGCACGGCGTCATAACCCCACAGCCTGGAGAGAGGTGAAGACATGGCCAGCGAGATGAAGACAAATACAATCAACAGAAATACTACAAACAAAATCAGAGCGCTTTTTTGCACTCCCTCTGTCACTCCCGGTCATTAGCCACTCACCAGCCACTGCCGGCCAATGCATCACACGGGCCTCATACGCGGTACCATAACCTTACCTCGACCGACGATTCAAATCATACCATCATGTCATTTATGCCAGTAAGTCGCTCCCATTCCTGCGACTTGCGCAACTCAAGCAACCTCGGAGATTGTGTCTGGGGTCTTTCCGCTGCCGAGAACACCTTTATCCTCGACCTAAACGACGAATGCATTCGTGTTTTTCCTTGGAATTAGGCCTCGTGAATTCAGAATTGATCTGTGATGGTCGCATGAGCTGTCGCATTGTCTTCGTACTTTCTTCGACCTGCCCAGGTAACTGACCTCGAGACTTAGGTGAACCCACGACCTTTTTTGGCCGAACTCACAGGAAAGACCGTCATTGCGAAACTGAAGTGGGGAATGGAATACAAGGTATGGCGTGAAGATTGTAGCAATCCACACAGCGCCTAATGTGTGATTTTTAGGGATACTTGGTCTCGGTAGACTCATACATGAACCTCCAACTGGCCAATACGGAGGAGTTTGTGGACGGAAAGAGCACAGGAACGTTGGGTGAGGTGTTGATCAGATGCAATAATGTTTTGTGGGTAGCGGCGGCACCAGAAGGAGAGAAAGATACCAAGATGGAAGAGTAACACGTCCTGCGGGCAGGCCGAGTTCGATGCATCCCAAAAATATCAGATACGCAAAACACTCGCGGACTCCTCCAACCTGAACTCCCCAGAGATCATGTCATGGAGTATGTTCAATACCCCTCTTGCCTGGACTCTAACCAGTTCATCCGAGTCTGTAGCTTCCACGTACGTGATAATGCGCTGCATGTCTTTTAGATGTTCCGCAGGGAACTCAGCGACTGCAGCGATACCCTTCAAAACCCCGGCTATCAGGACCACAGACGCACGCCGTACAGTAACTGCGTCTTCGTTTCTTTCGAGCTGCAGGATCGCCAATGCACCTTCAATTGCTCGTGCACACCATTGACCCATACCAGTTGCATTTGTTTCCACGGCCATGCCCAGGATACTAAGAGCCGATGCACGAAGGCGAACGTCTTCGACTATCTCCTTCCGCCTTGCGCTGACGTCCAAGAGTACGCGTGCAATGTCCGTTGCCGCATCACCTACGAGAGCAGCACCTAACCCCTGTATCGTCCGCAACAGAGCTTCACCAACCCGCAGCCGCGCATCAACTGTCCACTTTTCCGAACTCTCGGCATACGCCTGGAGTAGATGCCTTGTTATTTCTATCCCGTATCTGTATGTCAATGCTGACAATCCTTTGATTGCATTCAGGTAAATGAAACTGTCCTCATCACGGACAAGGTTGGTAAACATGCTCAGGACCGCATTAACATCAACGACAGGATCGGCGACATCGACAAGGTCACGAAGTATTTGCATACCATGTGCGCGAACCGGAACAAGCGGATCTTGTAGTAATTGCAAGCCTTCAGCATATTTTTCCACCGATGTCTTCTCAGTAGTCAATGTAGATTCCACATCATCGGACACTGATGTACGTGCAGCGATCAACGTCTTCAAGTTCAAGGCAGGGGCTGCAAGCAATGGATTCGGATAGTTCCGCGAGATGAAGTCGAGAGAAGATTTGGTCGTGCCCAACAAACGAACCTCTTCTGCCGATAAATCTTCGCTCTCACCCAGGATGGCAGTTAGCAAACTGATCGCAAGTCCGACAGTATCAGAGTCTCCTTCTTGACCGTCACCTTCCTTGTCCTCATCCTCGTCGTCTGAGTCTTGGCCCTGTACAATGCTGCCGAGTCCTGCCAAGCCGGGAGCTGCTGTAGCCGGACTGGACTGCCTGCGAGACGCTTTGATCTTCTCGACAAACTCGTCCAATACACCTTTCACCAGCTCAATAATCTGCCTTGGCTTCTTCAGAGCAGATTCGCCGAATCTGTCAAGCGTCTCCTGTAGAAGTCGCAAAGTTGCGACCATCGCTACTGGATCAGAAGAGCCAGATTCCTCGCCTGCACTAAGCCACAGACGAAGCAGAGCAAGGAGTACTTCACTCATGAGCCCTTCGACAGTTTCAACACCCTTCAGGAGATCCAATGCTGCTTCAACCCGCCCATCAATCTCGTCCATGCCTACTTCTCGCTGGATAGTGGCAGGACGGATGTTAATGCCACCCTCTGAACCAGGACCAAACTCCCAGGTAGGCCCCGAGACATACGTGATATTTTGCAGTAAGCGTACAATGGCCTTCGCACCTCCTGTAGTTTTGACATGCACCAGTATCAACGATTGAGCCTGCTCTTGCCATGTTGACCGGTTCGTCTTGTAAGCGTATAGCAGCAAGCCCCATAGTGGTAACAAAACTGGCCGAATCAACTTCTCTGTTAAGACAAAGTCGGGGTTGACAACTAATACAGTTAGTCGAGATATTGATTTTCGCAGTGATTCTTCACTTGCAGGGGCGAGCAAGGGTTGATGTACTGGCTGAATGATGTACCGTCGGGCGACCTCAGGAACTGTACTGTTGAGTTGAGCTATTATCTGAGCACTGACACGAGGCATAGGTGTCTTGTCACCGGGCAGATCCAGCATGCCCAACAACTGCGGGCAGACTATGCCGTAGTAATCATCACCTGACATAGTTTTTGGAATCGCACATATCAGCTTGGCAGCCCGTGTGACCTTTTCAAGTGAAACGTCTTCACCTGTACGAAGTCCCAAGACAAACGACACAACACTTTGGACACCGTCTCCACGGGGTCGTACGCTGACCATCGAAAGTTTCTCTGCCAGCACGGTGCGAAACCAGGTCGGACATTGTGTGTGGAGAAGGGAAGTGAGCATGGTGATAAGCGCCTGCGCATCCAGGCTAGCTCTCTGATTAGCAAGAATACGAGAGAGTTAGTGGTCAGTAATCTACCTTTCCAGCATTTCATTGAATTTTGCTGTCCACTGAGCTTTTTCCGTCTCCGAGACTGCTGGATTGAATGCCAATTCTCCACAACCTGCCAGAACATCCAGCATATATTTGCTCCTGACGCCAATGAGAGTTCCAACATCACCTCCTTCCTTTTGTAGATTGAGGATACCCGTTAATATTGCCTCAAGAATATCAGGCTTGCCTTCACCTTTCTCTATGGCTGGAGCATGCTGTTTGCCGCCGAAGGCGTGGTTCAAACGTTTTCGGAGCGATACACCAACGCCTATTGTCAAACAGGGATAAAGACAGTATATGATGAGAAAGTCGAAAAGCTTGTATAGTATCGTCAAGTCGCGCATCCCAAGGGTCATGGCACCGGGGCTCGGCACCGGAGTCGCCTTAGAAGCGACCTGGATGTTTGACAGAAGACGGAGGGCGTACAATGTAATGGTATGCAGATCAGAGTCGGTATGTCGTGCAGTATATGATGAAGGAACAAGGGACCGTATTTGAGAGGTTGACAAAGTCTGGGTTTCTGCATGCTATACTTAGAACGTAATCTATAGAAACAATTGGACAGACCATGCTACCTTTTAAGGGCTTCACAGCTTCATTCAAGAACGCGCTTGCTTCGGCGATCCATTCAGACAAACTGCGACCATCATTATCCTCCACAGCCATTGCCATTGACCGCTTTTCCGAAGGGTTCTGGTGTATGCGAATTTCGGATGCTACGGCGTATAATACGCGTGTAACGTAGATACTGGGTCATTGCCGGCGTCACGTGAAGATACGGCGGGTTTTTTGGAGGCGGCGACTCGAGAGCAGCTGCTATACCCAAGGACCGCGATAAAAATACAGGGAGGACGACATGACTGAGCGATCTGCCAAGAGGTCAAAAACTGAAGAGAACCCTTATCTTGCTCACATGAACGGAAACGGTCAGGCGGAAGGTAATGGCAATTGGGCCGGTTTGACGAGGCACCAGACGACTGCTGCTCAGGCTACGGCTGCGGAGAACGGCCCTTCCAACGCATTCAATGGAGCTCCTCTTTCTCAGGAGTACTTCCGTATCTTGAAGACTCGACGGGACTTGCCGGTACATCAGCAGCGCGCGGAGTTCTTGAAGCTCTACCAATCCACCCAGATTCTCGTTTTCGTTGGTGAGACTGGTTCCGGTAAAACTACGCAGATCCCTCAGTTCGTCCTTTTCGACGACATGCCGCATTTGACTGGCAAGCAAGTTGCATGTACGCAGCCCAGACGTGTCGCCGCCATGAGTGTTGCTAAGCGCGTGGCCGACGAGATGGACGTTACGCTTGGTGAGGAGGTCGGATACAACATTCGTTTCGAAGACTGCTCCGGACCGAAGACTATTTTGAAGTACATGACGGATGGTATGCTTCTGCGTGAGGCGATGAACGACCATATGCTCTCAAGATATTCTTGCATTATTCTTGACGAGGCTCACGAAAGAACACTGGCTACGGATATTTTGATGGGCTTGATGAAGGAGATTGCTGGTAGACGCCCGGATTTGAAGATCATCGTCATGTCTGCAACATTGGACGCTCAAAAGTTCCAAGGTTACTTCAACGACGCGCCTCTTCTTGCTGTTCCCGGACGTACTCACCCTGTCGAGATCTACTATACGCCTGAGCCTGAGCGCGATTATCTTGAGGCAGCCCTTCGCACCGTTTTGCAGATCCATGCCAGTGAAGATGATGGTGACATCTTGTTGTTCTTGACCGGTGAGGAGGAAATCGAGGATGCATGCAGGAAGATTTCTTTGGAAGCAGATGAGTTGTCGCGGGAGACAGATGCTGGACCTATAGTGGTATACCCGCTTTACGGTTCCCTGCCGCCACAGCAGCAACAAAAGATCTTCGACCCCGCACCGCCACCGAAGTTCCCTGGAGGTCGCAATGGACGTAAGGTCGTTATCTCTACCAACTTGGCTGAGACTTCCTTGACCATCGACGGTATCGTTTACGTCGTCGATCCCGGATTCTCGAAGCAGAAGGTTTACAACCCCCGCATCCGTGTCGAGTCTTTGCTCGTTACACCCATTTCCAAGGCCTCGGCTCAGCAGCGCGCTGGTCGTGCTGGACGTACCAGGCCTGGAAAGGCTTTCCGTCTCTACACCGAAGAGGCATTTCAGAAGGAGTTAATCGACCAGACTTACCCCGAAATTCTGCGATCGAACTTGTCATCTACTGTTTTGGAGTTGAAGAAGCTTGGCATTGACGACCTTGTCCACTTTGACTTCATGGATCCTCCTGCACCGGAAACCATGATGCGTGCGTTGGAGGAGTTGAACTACCTTGCCTGTTTGGACGATGATGGTAACCTCACTGCTCTTGGTCGTATGGCTTCCGATTTCCCCTTGGATCCTACATTGGCAGTGATGTTGATTGGCTCTCCCGAGTTCTACTGCTCCAACGAGATCTTGAGTTTGACTGCTCTGCTCTCCGTACCTAATGTCTTTGTGAGACCAAACAGCGCTAGGAAGGCGGCTGATGCCATGAAGGCGCAGTTCGCTCACCCTGACGGTGATCACTTGACTTTGTTGAACGTTTACCACGCCTACAAGTCCGCCGAGGGCCAGTCCCTTAACAATTGGTGCTACGACCACTTCTTGTCAGCCCGTGCTCTTCAGTCTGCAGACAACGTCCGCAACCAGCTCAAGCGCACCATGGAACGCAATGATCTTGACCTCGTTTCTACACCATTCGAGGACAAGAACTACTACAACAACATTCGACGAGCCTTAGTTTCCGGATTCTTCATGCAGGTTGCCAAGAAGACCCAGAAGTCCTATACTACCGTTAAGGATGACCAGTCTGTCATGCTCCATCCCTCGACTGTCTTGCAGCAGGCGCCTGAATGGGTTCTTTACAACGAGTTCGTTCTGACGTCGAAGAATTACATCCGTACGATCACCGCGATCAAGCCTGAGTGGTTGTTGGAGATCGCACCCCTGTACTACGACATTGAGAGTTTCCCCAAGGGTGAGGTAAGGGAGGCTTTGAGAAAAGTGGTGAACAAGAGGGATCGCAGCGACGCATTGCTCGGTCAGAAGCGCAAGAAGTACGCTGCGTGAGGAATGCAAAGGATACAGCGATGAATGCTTAGCGGCATAGATCCTGGCACCGGCGTTTTATTTGCTTTTGGTTATTATGTCTTCACAATACGCTTTCTTCACCACCCCATTGCCCTTTCATGAAAGTCCATCGGTTTTGAGTTGCGGCCAGCCGCACGCCCTTACAGTAGCCGGGGTGACCGGGTTCATCGACGTAGGTCTACCGACGACGACCCGGCAGTCGCCAAGCACCCAAATAATGGCATTGGCTTCGGTAGTTGACGCCGTTGAGACGTACGGAATGGTTACTGATGATGCTTGCAGTGGCGGCATTTCAATTTCTTCGATAGTGCTCAAGTGAAGGACCCTTCTGATCCAACACAGAGTCCGGCAATCTTCAGGGTACGTGAGGCATATACTCCAATGGATGACGATAATAACACTCTATAGGACCCTTCTGCTAATGTTATATGCTCGGGAGGTGGTCACGTATTTGTCGGAGACAGGAATGGCCGCATTCAAATCTTGAACGATAAGTTTCGAGTCATAAGGGCATTCACGGCACATCAGGACGGAGGCGTTACGCACTTGTTGCATAACGGTAGAGATCTACTACTTAGTATTGGCGACGACAATGTAGCTGGGCCGCATCTTAAGCTGTGGCAGCTTGACAAGATTGATAAGAAGACCGGCGTTCCCCGGATTGCGACAACTTACGTATTACGAAGAGGTGAGCCGTTTCCAATCTCATCAGTGGGTTTCGTTGCTTCGTTCGGTCAGATTGCTGTAGGATTTGCGGATGGTACAGTCGTTCTTCTGCGTGGTGATGTTGCTCGGGGCAGCACCTGGAAACACAAGGTCGTTTTTGAATCAGAAGAACCAATCACCGGTCTTGGTTTTACAGAAGGGACCAAGCAAACTATTCTCTATGTCGTTACAACGAACCGGATTATGACATACATCTCTGCTGGAGGTAAATCTCACGGACAGCCAGCGCGTATCCTTGATCCTGCTGGATGTGGGCTGGAATGTTCTGCGGTCGACCCGCATACGGGTGATCTCGTGGCAGTCCGCGAAGATGCCATATATTTTTTTGGGCCGAATGGTCGCGGACCTTGTTATGCTTATGAAGGACCCAAGACTATGGCTAAGCTCTATAGGGGGTATGTCGCTCTTGTTTCGCCCCCAACAGCACCGCAGCCATCAGAAACAATTCGCAATATCTCTGGCATGCCATCTTCAGATTTCTTCGACACGGCTAGGATGACCATTGTTGACACGGAACATAAGTACATTGCTTACACTGGCGAGTTCCCACAGGGTGTGCGAAGTATGTTTAGTGAATGGGGCGCCTATTTTCTGGTAACGCTAGACGGCCAAGTCCATAGGTTGAAGGAGAAGGATCTGCCGTCGAAGCTTGGCATTTTGTACAAGAAGAATCTCTTCACCTTGGCAATTAACCTGGCCAAGACAGAAGCAGAAGGCTCGGTCAACGTGAATGAGATCTACCACAAGTATGGAGATTATTTGTATTCGAAGGGTGACTTTGACGGAGCTATGCGCCAGTACATCGACTCGATTGATGAAGCACAACCGTCGCAGGTTATTCGAAAATTCTTGGACGCCCAGCGCATTCACAACCTCACTCATTATCTGGAAGAACTTCACAAACGAGGCCACGCTAATGCGGATCACACGACTCTGCTGCTCAATTGCTACGCAAAGCTCAAGGATGTGCCTAACCTTGAAAAGTTCATCATGGCTGAGATAGATCTCAAGTTCGATCTGGAGACCGCAATGCTTGTGTGCAGACAAGGAGGGTATCATGCACAGGCGGCTTACCTAGCAGAGAAGCACGGAGAGAATGCGACCTATTTGGCCATTCAACTGGAGGATTTGCATGATCATCGTGCAGCATTAGAGTTCATAAGGCGGTTACACCCCGACGACGTTAACGTGCAACTGGAAGCATACGGAAACGTTTTGTTGAATGAGTTCCCGGAGGAGACTACGCAACTGTACATCGACTATTACACCGGAACATACATCCCGAAACACAAGGAAGTAACGACCACAGCAGCTTCACCGGCGCCGACCCCATCATCGTTCATGCCAAACCTTTCAAACCTGTCGAACTTACCAAACTACACCCATTTTCTCTCGAGCATGACAACTGGCCTCGGTACCGGATCATCGTCGCCAGCACCATCGACACGCGTGCAGATTGCCTCGGGAAAACCAGTTGAGGTCAAGAGAGTTGAGTACACGGCAGCTCAACCTCGTACTGCTTTTGCAACATTCTTGGACTATCCCCAACAGTTCATCCAATTCCTTGAGGCGCTAGTGCCTTCCCTCTCCGATGACGGAACAGCCCTTAGAGATGTCAGCACAGCTCTGTTCGAGGCATATCTTCGACGAGCGGTCGAGACTTCAGGCGACGAAAAATCCGAATGGGAAAGAAAGGCTAAGGCTATGCTTGAGGATCCACATTCGCTTGTTGACCAGACGAATGCCTTTTTCATTTCACAATTCACGTCCTACCGCGACGGCATGGTTTATTTGCGTGAGAAAGCGTCTCTGACAATGGATATTTTCCAGTCTTGCGCAAGCTCCCGTGATACTCCTGGCGTTATTGCAGCTCTTCACAAATATGGTGGTCAGGAGCCTGAGATGTACCCGATGGCGCTACGGTACCTGACGTCTGATCCAAAGATCCTCGCTGATGCAAGTGACGAACTTCCTTCAATCCTGGATAAGATCTCTCGTGATGGTCTAATGGCACCCTTGCAGGTGGTGCACGCCCTGAGTAACAACGCTGTTGCAACAGTCGGCGTAGTCAAAACTTACCTTGGGAACGCGATTGAAAGAGAAAGGAGGGAAATCGAGAACAACCGTAAGCTTGTCGAGAGCTATCGCGTAGAGTCCGAGAAGAAGAAGAAAGAGGTTGATGACCTCAGACAGGGGTGAGTGACATCCTCTATCCTTTCCTAACACATCTAACACGTTCTCTGCTAGGGCTCGAGTTTTCCAAGTGACGAGGTGCTCGGCCTGCGGCGGTACCTTGGATCTACCTACTGTGCACTTTTTATGCAAACACTCGTTCCATCAAAGGTTATCTCCCGGTTTTCCCACGGTATGAGGATATCTGCTGACACTGCGCGCAGGTGTGTCGGAGAAAGCGAAGCTATAGAAGAATGCCCGCAGTGCTCTGCCAATAATGCTACGATACGGGCTATCCGAAAAGCACAGGAGGACATGGCAGGCCGGTCGGATCTCTTCCTCGCCTCTGTCAACGATTCCTCTGATTCTTTCAGGACGATTTCCGACTGGTTCTCGAAAGCGCCTGGTGTTCTCAACACCGCGAAGGTCGAATGACGTCACCCAACCATCTTTTTTGAGCGTTTGAAAGCATTTTGAATTTTTGCGGTTTTGGAGGCTGCAGGCACGGAGTTTGATAGACAATACAGCGTAACCGATATACCCGACAACGACTCCAAAAATACTGAGCACCCGTACAATCTTTAGGAATACACACACTTGTAACTTGCCTTGATTAGAGAATGATTGGAGACATCCCTCACATACTCCTTCTTAACCCGAACTCTACGGAGTTCATGACGGATAATGCCGTGGCGGCTGCAAGAGAAGCCTCAGGCGGTACATTCCAGGTTACGGGATGGACTGCGCCAAAGCCAGCTCCTTCAGGTTCGTTGCTGAGACGTACATGAGTGGGAGTACAAAGTTCTGAACATTGTATAGCAATTGAGTCCGCGTCTGATGGCTCCACTTCCACTGCCGTCTGCTTAGCTGCGTTAAATGACAGAGATCTGACAAAATACGACGGCCTTCTGGTAAGTGAAGATGCAAAAAATGGATAACGGTTAGCTAACACGACCAGGTTGCTTGCTTCTCAGCTCACCCGCTAATTCAAGCATTGCGTGAACGCGTATCCATCCCAGTCATCGGGATAATGGAAGCAGCGCTGTATTTCGCACGCATGACGGGTGGCCGATTTGGAATTGTCACGGCTTCTCTGAGATGGGAATACCTGTTCCAGGCTGCGGTTGAGAATTACGGCTTGAACTCATTCTTTGCGGGAGCGAAGAGCAGCAGGTTAAGTGTGCTTGAGTTGGAGAGTAAACCGGTGGATGAAGTTAATGCAAAAATGGTTCAGGCAGCACAGGATCTTGTTGCTAACGGCGCAGATGTCTTGTGTCTTGGCTGTGCTGGTATGGTAGGCCTTCGTGCGGCACTGGAAAGTGCACTTGGTCCTGACATTACCATCATCGATGGAGTATTGGCCGGTGCGCAGATTCTAGCGGGGATGGCGAGGAGTAAGTCCTCTTGAACCATGTGCACACCTGACTTGACTAACAACTGTTACAGTGGGACTCAAGACTGCCAAATCTGGAGTTTATGCTCCTCTCAGATAATCAGGCGCCGACTTTCAAGTGTGCAAGAAATATTATTGAGCCTGTTCCATACCCCAAATGCCGTAATGCTGTGATTGTATTATACCCCTTTCCTTTACGCAAGCCTCTCAATAACCTCCTTGACCAAGCTGATGTCGGCCCTCTGAACGTACTCAATCCTCTTCTCCTTCTCCAACAATCCCTTGAACTCCTCCGGCAAGACCTGGTCGAAGTTGTACCCAGGGAACTTCTTGAGGGCAGTGTCAACAGCAGCAGAGAACTTGGCGGGGTGAGCGGTAGAGAGGGAGATAGTGTAGGTCTCTGGCGATGAGGTGCGGATAGCGGCGGCGATACCGACAGCGGTGTGAGGGTCGAGGATGTAAGGGTTCTCTCCAGGCTCACCAGCGTAGAAAGCCTGGATGGTCTCAAGAGTCTGCTCATCAGACACACGTTCTGAGCCAAAGTCACGACGTCCAGCCTCGAGCACCTTGTCAGAGACAGCGAAACGACCGTTGGTCTTCAACTCGTTCATCCAGCCAGCAAGGATTTCACCAGCCTTCTGCGCACCCTCCTCACCACCCTCCGTCTCGGCCTCTCCAGCGAGGTACCACAAGAGGCGCTCGAAGTTGGAAGAAACCAAGATGTCCATGGCGGGGGAGAGAGTCTCCTTGGCACCATCAGGAGCCGCAGCAGCGCCATCAGCAGCCTGGGGCAACTGGCCGTCAGCCTCATGACCAGCGGGAGCCTCCTTCTTCTCGTAACGTCCAGACTGGAAGAAACGGTTGAGAATGTCGTTGGCGTTGGTAGCGACGATGAGCTTGGACACGGGAAGACCCATGGACTTGGCGTAGTAACCAGCAAGGATGTCACCAAAGTTACCGGTGGGAACAACGTAGCGGAGCTGGATCCTCTCGGCCTCCGGGGAGGTGGGAGGGAGACCGAGTGATCGGAGAAGGGTAAAGTAGGAGTGGAAGTAGTAGACGATCTGAGCGAGGATACGGGCCCAGTTGATGGAGTTGATGGCACCAAGGTTGTACTTGGAGTTGAAGTCGGCGTCACCGAAGAGCTGCTTGACGATGTCCTGACAGTCGTCGAAGGTACCCTCAACGGCGATGTTGTGGACATTGGCGTCAAGAACAGTGGTCATCTGAGCCTCCTGGATGGGAGAGACACGACCTCTGGGGTGGAGAATGAAGACGGAAACATCCTCCTTGTTGCGCAAACCGTAGATGGCGGCGGATCCGGTATCACCAGAGGTAGCACCGACGACGGTGATCTTGTGACGGTCAGCATCGGACTTACCCTGGTTCTTGCGTTTCAAGAAGTACTCGAACAAGTTACCCAGGAACTGCAAAGCAACATCCTTGAAAGCGAAGGTAGGACCGTGGAAAAGCTCGAGGAGGTAGAGGTTGTCCTTCTTGCGAAGATGACGGAGGGGAGTGACATCCGAGTCACGGAAGGTCGCGTATGACCGGTGGACGAGGTCCTTGAGGTCGTCTGCTGGAATCTCAGAAGGAGATATGTAGAGGGAAAGAACATTGAAGGCGAGCTCCTGGAAGGAGAGGTGAGCCCATGCGGATCGCCAGTCGGAAGGCAGAGCGGGGATAGCGTGAGGAAGGAAGAGACCGGAGTCGTCGGCGAGACCCTTCAAGACGGCAGCCTCGAAGGTGAATCCCTTTGATCCACCACGGGTAGAACGGTACTGCTGAGATCGGGAAGGTTCCATGGTTGATCTGACTTTTATGGAGTTCAACTTCGCGTTTACTGAGCCCTACACTAAATTTGGCAGCGTGCATGTCCATGCGTGCTCGACGTCGCCGAGATGCTCGGACCACGAAGAGTTCCGTTGTGGAAGGAGTACCAGCATCACCGGCAATCAAATCGAGATGAAATGACTCATAAAAAAACAATACCTCTTTTCCATCACCAGCTTTCCCAGTCGTCTGGTTCCTTCTAGCACCTGCGGATGGGCCGATTGTGCCTTTGCGCGCCGCCGTATGATGCATATTTTTACGTCTGCAACTCAAAACTCCTCAGTTGATCCACAAATAAAAAATGGCCGACAACGAGAACAAGCCCGTCGACATCTTCCAGGATGTCGGTGAAGCTGCCGAGAACGTTACCGACAACAACCAGGTCGTCCAGGAGATCGAGTCTCTCTGCATGCAGTGTCATGAGCAGGTTTGTCGCATATCGCCGCTTTTTTCACACGATTACTAATGTACATCATGACAGGGAATGACCCGTCTCTTACTCACCCGTATTCCTTTCTTCAAGGAGGTTGTGTTGATGTCCTTTGCCTGCCCTCACTGTGGTTTCCGCAACTCTGAAATCCAGAACGCCGGTGTCATTCAGCCCAGAGGTTGTATCCAGACACTTCAGGTTACCTCCAAGGGTGACCTTGACCGTCAAGTCGTCAAATCCGAGACTTGCTCTTCCACATTCGTCGAGCTCGACCTCGAGATCCCACCACAGCGCGGCCAGCTTACCACCGTCGAGGGTCTCTTGTCCACCGTCCTCGAGGACTTGGACGCCGATCAGCCTGCGCGCAAAGACGTCGACCCCGAAACATACGAGAAGATCGCAGCTTTCATCCAGAAAGGACGCGACATGTTGGAGGGCCGCGCTTTCCCCTTCATCCTCCGCCTCAACGACCCAGCCGGTAACTCATGGATCGAGCCTCAGCCCGGAGACCCGCAGACCAAGTGGTCCCGTGTCGAATACGACCGTACACCAGAGCAGAACCAGGCTTTGGGATTGGCGAACCCTGAAGAGGGCCAGCAGGATGACGACGATATTCGCCCAGATGAGGTTCACACGTTCCCTGCATCTTGCCCATCATGTACCCACCCTTGCAACACTCACATGAAGTTGGTCGAGATTCCTCATTTCAAGGAGGTTGTTATTATGTCCACGGTATGCGATGACTGTGGGTACAAGAGTAACGAGGTGAAGACTGGTGGAGAGGTTTCCTCTCTGGGTCGCAAGATCACTTTGAAGGTCGAGGATGCCGATGACTTGGCTCGTGATATTTTAAAGTCCGAGACCTGCGCCCTGTCTGTCCCTGAGCTCAACCTCGACCTCCACCCTGGTACTTTGGGTGGTCGTTTCACTACTCTGGAGGGTCTGTTGGCGCAGGTTCACGATGAGCTGTACGGTCGTGTCTACTCCCAGCAGTCAGACTCCATGGAGACCGAGAAGAACGAGAAGTGGCAGGCTTTCCTTGACGGTCTGTCCGAGGCTCGCGAGGGTAAGAGGCAATTCACCATCATCCTTGATGACCCGCTCGCCGCATCATACCTCCAGAACATCTACGCACCTGATCCGGACCCGAACATGACCACCGAGGATTACGAGCGTACGCACGAGCAGAATGAGGATCTTGGTTTGAACGACATGGTCTTGGAGGGATACGAGGATGAAAACGAGAACGAGGCTGCTAAGAGGGAGGCTGAGGAGGAGGCCGGCAATGCTGCCAAGAGGCAGGAGACTGAGACCCAGGCGTAAAGGGTATAAAAGACGGACGACGACACGATAGGCGTAAGTTTTTGATATATTTTTGGCTTTCGGTTAAGCGTTGTCTAGGCGTCGCAAGAGATAGTCCACTTCCACTTCTTTCGTCAATGGGATTACCCAGTCCTGCAAGAATGGTCAGTACATACTTCGACACATATACGTCGGCAAACATACCCTGTACATGCTCACCACCGTGTCCACATCTACTCTTGCGGGCGCGCCGGTGGTGTCATTGTTCAGCTCCACTGGATCTCTTCCATAAGCCCGAGCTTTTCTGCCGAGTCGCTCCAACACCTGCTTCTCCACCGCAGCATTGGTGATAGCTGCATCTAATCCGCCTACATCCCTCGCCCTGATGAGCTCGTTCATCTTTTCTGGGTCTGATCTATACTTGACCTCTGCTACATATTTGCCGTAGTGTATTCTTCGGCTCAATGCTTGCAAACACTGAATATCGATGGTTGCCGCACTGCCATAGTTCACATCATCGCCCTCCTCGCAGATTGCCGGGATGATTCTCTCGACGTAGTAATCCTTGATCTTGTCATTGACGTTGATGTCGTTTGGATGCAGAAATCGTGGGTAGGTGAGTGGTGGAAGGATAGGTTCAGGAAGGTCAGCGGTGAATGCGTACTCGTCTGGTGACTGATACCGGCGGACCTTGGCTATGTATGCACTGCATGAGTAACCACCACGGTGCACCATGATTGCCAGCTGCACATACCATGGATGACCTCAGTCTCCTGCACGACCCAATCCAGGAAAGAGCCCTTGAAGTCTGGCAGTGGAATGCCGTTTGGAGTGTAGACGAGCTTATTTTGCTTGAATTGAGCGCGTTCGATGAGGCTGAAGATGATTGTGTCCTCCAAACGAATGAGCTGGTACCGCAGATCGTTCAGATCCATGCTGACGCTGTGATCTGCGGCGTGTATGCTGTTGCTTCTGTCTGTCAAGTCCATTTCTGGCAGCTGCTACAGGCGGAGTCTTTGTCAGCCCCAGTGAGCGTTCGTTTAAGCTCGAGCATACATGCCGTACGGTAACCGAGGAATCTGCGCGGCCTCGCAGGCACGCCGCTACTCCCACATGCCCTGTAACACAAGCAGTGCCCAGCAGACGTTCGTTACTCTCGCAAGATGACTCACACATTGCGCGTCGCGTTCGAAGGTTGCTGCCATGGCGAGCTCGACGCCATCTACGGGTCGTTGGCTGCAATGGAGAAGCAGCGCGGTGTCGAAGTTGACTTGCTCCTGATCGGAGGCGACTTTCAGGTGACTGAAGCTTGCTGGCCCAGCATATATCCGGTAATGCTGACGTCTTGCAGGCAATACGGAACCGTGACGATCTCAACTGTCTTGCAGTACCTCCGAAGTACAGACGCCTAGGCGACTTTGCTGATTACTACGAGGGAAGAAAGACTGCACCAGTACTGACTATCTTCATCGGCGGCAACCACGAAGCAAGCAACTTCTCCTGGGAACTGTACCACGGAGGATGGGTTGCACCCAACATCTATTACCTGGGAGCTGCTGGCGTCGTAAACGTCAATGGCCTGCGAATTGGAGGTCTGTCAGGTATCTACAACTCTGCAAACTACACAAAGGGTCATTTCGAAACAGTACCGTACGACAGCTCTACTATCCGCAGTGCTTATCACGTCCGTCAGTACGATGTGTACAAGCTATTCAACTTGCGAGAGCCCATCGATGTCATGCTGTCCCATGACTGGCCAAGAGGCATCTACCATCACGGCAACACACATTCACTGCTGCAGAGAAAGCCATTCTTCAGAAGGGAGGTGCAATCGAATACGCTTGGGTCGCCGGCGGCGGAGAATCTACTGAAAAAGCTGAAACCCGCATATTGGTTCTCGGCTCATCTACACGTCAAGTTTGCCGCTGTTGTCAATCACGATGAAGGCAGGCGTGCGACACCGTCCGCAGAGATGATTGAGAAAGCCGCTGCAGGGAATTCTGAGGAGGTTGTACTCGAGTTGGATGAGGAGGAAACTGCCCCGGTTGCGGTAGTCGTTGAGAACGGCGATGCAGACGAGATTCAACTTGATTTGGATGACGACTTTGAGAATGAACCGGTGATGCCGTTAGCATTAAACCACGAGATTACAGTCTCGCCGGAGAAGAACAATGATGAGATTGACATTAATATGGACATCGATATGGAAGTGGAACCGACGCCGGCGGACGTCGGCGCACCGAATGCTGGCGCAGATCAAGCAAATCCTGAGGATCAGATCGCAATTACTGCAGAAGATGCCTCGAGCTCCGAAAAAGCGGAAACCGTGGTCATGCAGCCGCGCAATGCCGCGATCGGAGTGTCCCCCATCACGATTCCAGTACAGCCGGCACTACCAAATACAACCCGCTTCCTGGCTTTAGACAAGTGTCTACCGAACCGGGCCTTCCTGCAAGTTATGGACATTCCCGTTGCATCAACGCCTTCTGGTGACGATCTGGAGTTTTGCTATGATGCGGAATGGCTTGCGATTACTCGAGCCCTTCACCCCTGGCTTTCCACGACCAAGAAACAAAGGCCCTTACCTCGGGATGAGAAAGAGGTTGCTGCTACGATTGACAAAGAACTGGCTTGGGTCAAGGAGAACGTCATGACGCGGCCGACAGGATCAAGGATTCCGCGAAACTTTGAGCAGACAGCGTTCCGGGCAGACGACAAGGGACAGCAAGAAACACTGCTTCATGACGATCCTCAAACCAGGGCTTTTTGCGAGATGCTTCAGATCGAGAACAAGATATATCCTGGCAGCAAGTAGGGATTAACAGATCATGTCGCATTTGACCGTCGGCAGCGGTTACCCCGCTATGTTAAGCCGGCCAAAAAATATGTCATAGGCCCGCTAGATGCATCATCTGAGCTAGGATCACGACACGTTCACGCACTCCACCTCCTCATCCCTACACCTCCCACACGGCCGTTGGCCATCATACCCCTGCTTGCGCTTCGTACAGTTGACACATGCTTTAGCTGTTCGCACAAACCCGCACTCCTCCCCCAACCCGAGTTACGGAGAGCGACAATCCGTTGACCTCGAGTTCGATTGAATTTGGATGATGTAGATTTTACTCTTATTGATCATTTGCTCAGGATTGTTGCGTGGTGTGGACCAAGGAGGTGATGGAGGTGGTTTATGTTTGTCCCACGGTAAAAGGGTTCGAATCGAGACCACCCCGCAGTCCGTCTTGAGGCTCCGGATATCAGAGAAGATCCACATTGCCCAGACTTGCCATAAAGGATCCTTCCGCTAATTGACCCGATTTCACCCCATCGCAGTAGAGCTAAGCCTAAGCGAACTCCGCCTTCAACTTCAACGTCCATCCTCCAGCTTATCCGCAAACTTCTTCAACATCGGCGCCAACAACGGCTTGTTCTCAGGGTTCTTCCAACCCAAGTGTTACTACCATCATGATTAATCGATAGTGAATTAATTGCCGGTCGGCAGCTCTTACATGGTACCCCGCTACCGCGATGTTACGGCGCCGGCACGTCGGCACAGGCAAACTGAGCGGATTACGAACATGCAGGGGGAACACAGCCCGTAACGTAGATCGCTCTTTAAGGACTTAGAGATACTCCGGATCGAAATATCAAGTAGAAAAGGACAATGATCCATTGGACCGTATAGAAAGACAAATGCAACCATCCAGAGCGACGTCGGCAAGAGCGGCGGAGCAGGAGGATTCGCCGGTGCAAATGTCCGTTCTCGAAGGCGACGCCGCTCTTGCTCCACAGCCAATGGCCGCCGCCTTAGCCGAGCCGGACATTGAAGCCGATGCCGGAATTTCAAGACCTGGAAAGTTGGGCAAAAGGAGGATATCAATTCAGGACCAGTCCGACAGGCTGCCGTTTCGCAAGCTGCTGCTGGTGTTCATGGCCATGGCACTCGCATTACTTCTTTCTTTTCTCGACAGTACCAGTGTCAGTACGGCCCTACCGGCAATTGCGAATGATTTCAGCGCGGCAAAGAGTATCAGTTGGGTGGGCAATTCGTTCTTGATTGCGAATACTGCGTTTCAAGTCTTATATGGGCGGATCAGTGACATCTTTGGGAGAAAGTGGGTGTTGATGGGAGCTCTCATGATCTTTGCCCTCGGAAACCTTCTTTCGGGTTTCTCGCAGAACATGGCAATGATGATTGTATTCCGAGCTGTGGCGGGTGCTGGAGCAGGAGGTATCAACAGTCTTGCAATGATCATCTTCAGTGACCTGGTATCTCTACGAGAACGTGGTAAATACCAGGGCTTGCTAGGTGCCGCAGTCGCAATTGGAGGTGGAATCGGACCCGTTATTGGAGGCGCGTTTAGTGAAGAGGCGACCTGGCGGTGGGTGTTTTGGTTCACCGTACCACTGACGGCCATTTCCGTCGTCCAAATCTTTTTCTTTCTACCCCTCAAGCACGTTGTTGGCAGCTTTCGGGGGAAACTTGCCAAAGTCGATTGGTTTGGTACCTTTCTCATTCTCGCAGCGACCATCTTTATCTTGGTTGCCATCTCGGGCGGAGGATCCTCATATGCATGGGACTCTGCCTTAGTGATTGCCCTCTTAGTGCTTGGTGGAGTCATCTTCATCGCATTCCTGATCGTTGAATGGAAGGTTGCCCCACTACCGATCATGCCATTAAGGCTCTTCAAGAACCTTTCGGTCTGCGTGATCTTCATTCAGACGTTTTTGGTTGGTATCGTCTACTATGGCAACCTATACTATCTACCAGTTTACTTTCAGATCGTTCGAGGAAAGACAGCTATCGAGTCAGGTGTTCTTCTCCTGCCTCTAGTCATTACGCAGACTGTGGCATCCACTGTCTCGGGTCTTGTTGTCTCAAAGACTGGGAGATATAATCCCTCCATCTGGACGGGCTTCGTCATTTGGACCATCGGACTTGGACTACAGACCACGTTTGACCGGAATACCTCAATCGCAAAAATTGTCGGCTACCTCATTCTCGAGGGTTCCGGCATTGGTCAGACCTTTCAAACCACACTCGTCGCAGCCCAAGCAAATGGTCATAAACAAGACAGAGCCGTCATCACTGGTACCCGCAACTTCTTCCGCAGCATCGGCGGAAGTTTCGGGCTCGCTATCTGTGGATCTATCTTCAATAACCTCTTGATGGAGCACCTAGAGGCATCGCCCGTTTTATCAAACTCCGAGGCATCAGCGATTGACTCATCGAGCTTGTCTCTGCCAACGGGCTTAACAGCTGCAGAACGGAACGCGGCACTAGACGCGTACAATTCTGCCCTCAAGCCATGTTGGTACATGTTCCTCGGTGTGGGTGCAGCTAGCGCGGTGCTCAGCTTCTTCGTGAAGGATAACCTGAAGGACCAAATCGAGGAAGCGCAACCGGAGAGGAAAAAGAAGAGTAAGCAGGATGACGAGGAGAAGCCGAAGGAGAAGGAGGACATCGGGATGGAGTCCGACGCAAACACAAAGTTGGATGAGAGTGCGGTAGGGTCTCTTTCATCAACACCCACGCTGGAAGATGCACGCAATCACCAGGTTGACCCTCTGGATGTGACAGTATCAGAGGACTCCGCGGAGGATCATTTGAGGAAGAAGGACGGTACGACAACTTGAACATCATCTATTTGCATACATTGGTTGTGATAGCATCGAGAGCAGCACGGTCGCTACAGGATTGGATTTTATGGAACTGGCGTTTACGTTTGAGTACTCGAATTGCACATCTAATTTATTTTAGGAACATCTAGTTGGTCATATGCGATATATTCCTGTTGTATCAATGCTCGTGTTTCTCATTTGGTAGCAGCTCCTTCTCAGCACCGCTCTCGCTCTCTTCATCCGTTTCCTCATCGCTGGCGTACTCTTCTGCAGACTCTTCTTCCTCCTCAGAACCTTCTTCCTCGCCTGACGAAGTCTCTTCTTCGCTTTCTTCGTCTTCCTCTTCGTCCTGCTCCTCGTCACTCTCCGCATAGAAGTCGTCCAGACTTGGAATACCCACTTTCTTCGGCAAAGGCGCAGCAGCCTTGAGCGACGATTGCGTGGATGGCGCTGGTGAGTACATTCTCGATTGCGGAGTTGCAATCTGCGAATGAGGAGCTTCATAAACAGGGAGATGGACGTCTCGTGAAGTACTTGGCGGGATTTGGTCTTCAGACTCTGGCCATGCGGGAAGCCCCACGTAATCTTTAGTTTCCATGTTCAATGCTAACGAAACCGATCCCAACACGAAGCGACCGCGGGAGGCTGTGTCATAGCGTTGTTCTGGTACAGGCTTCGAGGCCAATAAGACTTGCGATGCGGCACTAGCAAGCGGGGAGCTTAGCAGTGCTCGATAGTATCTGCTTCGGTCTCGAAGATCGTATGAAAGATCATATCGAGCAAGTTGTGTGACATAGTTGTACAGCAAAGTAATGCCGGCATTGTCACCACCGGGAGATGCGGCCTCACTGGGCGGCTCCTCCTCGATCTGCTCGTTCGTTTGCTGTTCCTCGTTCGTAATTTCCTTGGTTTCGGAGTCGCGATGGCCCTGATCGTGAGCTAGGTAAAGAGAATAAAGTTTCGCAGCCAATGTCAGAACCTGCAACTTGACCGACACGTCCTCTTCCGGGAAAGTCTTGGCACAGAGTCGTAGAACGTCTGGTGCGACCCTCAGCACCCCCGAAACCGCCGAATACTCCCCAACGAGCCACAAGATATTCTCTCGCGCCTTGGCATCCGTGACATATGCGAGTGATTTGGCTAATGTCGTGATAACATCGGCATTCGGCTCGTGACTCAATTGCACGAGATGCCTGATTGCGGAAACAGACTCGGCCGCTAGCCTTTCATTGTCCGATCTGAGATGCTTCATGAGAGTCCTCAAACATGGTTCTGCCATCGAAGGTACGGCCTGCGCACACATGCTGATGGCTTTGACAGCCGCGGCAGATAGGGCACTATCCTGACTTGTGCAATATCGCTGAAGCTCAGGAAGGATATCCTTGATGTTGTCCTTCGTTGCCACTAACGCCAGTATTTCGAGCTTGAGCTTCCAGACCGACTCAGGGTCTGACGGCCAGACAATGAAATGCCTGTGATGCCGTGAGAATAAGGAGGCATATTGCTGGGAGATCACCGAGATGTTGGATAACGCAACAGCTTGGACATCTGGACTGCGGCGGAGAAGGCTGAGTAGAGGTACGACCACGCGGCTCATCTCACTTGGAAGCGCAAGGTAAAAGTAAATGCTGGTGGCAGCCATCACCACTGCACTGTTCCGGCTGAGCAACAAGGGCGCAACCAATTGCAAGAGAAGCTTCAGATCTGGATCTGTTGATCGTCGCCTTGAGCTCTCCGGCTGTACCTCTTTCTTCTCCTCCTCCTGTTCGTGCTCGTCATAAAAGTCCTTCGTCGTCTTCGGCTTTTGATTCTGTACCGGCGTCGGTTCCTCACTGCCATCCACAGGTGGCAGAAAGCACTTCCTCGCATACATTAGTAACGACCGAAGCAAAGAAACCTGGCTCCACTCATCCATGTCTACAAGCATCTGGCAGTACCTCCGGTAATGCGGGTGAATCAAATCCAGCCGTTCAGGACATAACTGCAAGAACGCAGACACCGCCGAGCCGATAACAACGCTCGACCGATCTGCAAGAAGTGTCGTGATATATTCGATCAACTGCGGTAGATGCGATGGCTCCAAGCTATAGCATTTCGGAATACATATCGCCGCCGACTTTCGTACATACGGCGATGGATCCGTCGCGCACTTCTTGATACCAAGAAGGACGATACCGCTGATGACTGGGACTCTGATTCCAGCCATGACTCGTAGTGCTAGACCCCGCACCAATTGGTTCTTGTCACCCAATGCTTTCTGGATGGTGTTAATAGATAGAAGGGCGAGGTCGGGTTCGGCTTCGGCGTAGCGTAGGAGGTAGGCATAAACGAGCTTCCGGATCGCCAGTGAAGGAGAAGCAACTGTACATGCGTCGTTAACTCGTGACTTACGTCGAATCTATGCGCACACACCATTCTTCACAACATCAGCAAAGTACTCCGAAACATCCTGCCCCCTCGACATAAGTCCATTCAACTGCTTCAATGCTTCCAACCTCTCCAGCTCCATTTTCGAATCCAACCGTTTCCTCACATCCCTCATACGGGGGTCATTCAAACTCGTAATCCGCTGTTTCGAGCCGGAGGCTGCTGCGACGGCTGCATCGAGACGGAGGTCTTTGGCGGTTTGTTCGAGGGCGCTGTTTACGCGAGCTGAGAGCTGGGCAGCAATGAGATCTGCCATTCGTCCTCTCGTCTCCCAAGGCTATCTGGATTGCAATTGCAGACTTCGTTGTACTTTGGTGGTGAGCACGTGCGTCGGTGCGTCGGCCGCGGCAGAGCTTGGGTTCAAGCAGTGTGACGTCTACCTTCGAAAACCCGACCTTCGAGAAATTATTGCCATGAATCTTTTTCTTCTGGTACTCCTTATATCCGTTCCAATCTCATTACTCGTATGGTAGGTTGAAATATGGTATCTGCAATCCCGAAGGTTTGCAGCTAACGACAACCCTACAGGCTCGCACTATCATCCTGTCTCGGTGATTCCCTCCGACAAGCATACACCGCCGTCGAAACAGACGCAAACGAACGTACAATGGGCTCAGAAGCCTACAGATGGGTTGGTCCGCACACGATGGGGTTTGGTGGATCCGAAGCAATCGAGATGGACAGAATACGGCGGCCAATGGACGAGGAGGAGTAACAGGACGGCGTTTTGCTTTTGACATTTAGCGTCTAGATATTATGCCTAGGTATGACTGAGCTGGTCTTGGTATATCTATGGTAGAGGAAACTCGAGGGTCCTGTGTAATCTTGCGCAGATCTCAATGAAGTTGGGTTCATTGTCTACAGTCAAGATGCCATGGCGGACGAAAAAGTCGATCATGACTGTACGGAAGGATTAGCAACAAGGATTGACTATATCGCGTCGGCTTACTCACCAAGAGCGCAATTAGGCTTGAATTCACCAGCAGCAAGAGCCTTCTTCACCTCTTCTACAGTCAAGAGCTCAAAGGACTCCACCTCGTTGTCGTTCGGTTTTGGTACCGTACCCTCAGGAATGACCATGTCGTAAATATACTGCACCTCCGGCTGCAACCAACCGCCCTCCCCTCCTTGTTTCGAACAGCTGATATAGAAGTACGTCGCAACACCTGCAGCCTTAGTGTTCTTCTTCACCAACTCAGCCGGAAGACTCGCTTCCTCCTCCGCTTCCTTCACCAAAGTGTCGTATGGCGTCATGGGGTATGAAATACCACCTGCTACCGTATTGTCCAACATCCCGCCGTACGTCTGCTTGTGCGGTGATCTCCGCGGAACCCACATTCGAAGAGGTGCAGAGTCCGTTGCGGGGATGTACCCGTTCATGTGAATACCGTACGTGACGAGACCGAAGAGACAGCAGGCTGATCGCTCCATGACAAAGACCACATTTTTGGGGCCGGCGTAACATGGGTAAAGCTCATTTCTCCAGCCTTTCAAGATTGCGAACCTTTGTTCATCTCTCCACTTTTCCACCGTCCTCTTGAGTGCCTCTGATCTCTTCTCGAAGGTATCATGCTTTGACGCAAGACTTGCAGCGGATCCCGTGATGTGCCAATCATCTGGTAACTCGCGCAATGCCTCTACGACCTTTGGCAGCAGATATCCCAGCGTCTTTCCTTCATGCTGGAACAAAACGTAGGACTCGAGGAGCTCGGCGTAGGCAACAGGCTGGCTGACCCTGTTTGGAAAAGAGTCGCAATTGTGAATGAGATCTCGGTTGGTTAGATTCGCCATCCTGTATTTTGTTGTCAACGTTACTTTCGGAGTCGTACTTGATAGCGTCCATCCGAATTAGAGTGCGGCTTGCGGTGCAGGTGCTCCGGACGCTGGGGCCAAGGTGCAAGGACTGATAGATCAACGACGAAAATGGTTTGCAAGAGACATACAGATGGTGCAATGAAGGTCGGCGTGTTGACAGGTAAGCGTTGTTAGTGGCTTTGAACAACAGATGACTGATCACCTACAGTATCCGAAACTGCCTCACGCGACGCTACAACCGATCGCTCCGGTCCCGTCCTCGTCGAGCTTTTCGAATCGGATCCCGACAACTGGGCAGTTACACAGAAAGCAATTGTTCCCGATGACATTGACAAGATCCGCAACACCGTCAAAGAATGGTGCGACACTGAGGAATTAAACCTTATCGTGACCTCAGGCGGTACCGGCTTTGCCGTGACGGATGTCACTCCCGAGGCAGTGAAGCCGTTGCTGGAGAAGGAGGCGCCAGGGCTGGTACATGGTATGTTGGCGTCCTCGTATGCGATCACGCCATTCGCTGTCATGGCTCGTCTCGTCGCCGGTGTTCGCGGGCAGACCATCATCCTCACCGTACCCGGCAGTCCCAAGGGCGCAAAGGAGAACGTAGAGGCTGTACTCAAGATGATGCCACACGCCTGTGAACTCGCAGCGGGTGAGAACAGTCGCGCGTTGCACAAGGGTGGAGTCAAGCAACTGGAAGAAGAAGCCGGTGTCGAGGGAGGGCACGCGCATACGCATAGACATGACCCACATCACCACCATCACCAGGGACACTACCATGGGAAAGTCGGTGGTAACCTCTCCAAGACCTTTGATCAGCCAGTTACGAGACGCCACCGTGAGTCCCCATACCCCATGATCAGCGTCACCGAAGCACAGCAAATCATCGCAGACCACAGCTTCGTTCTCAACTACGAAGAGAAGAAGGTCGACCACAATCTCGTTGGCTGCGTCGTCGCCGAGGATGTCGCAGCACCCGAGAATGTCCCGGCCTACCGAGCAAGTATTGTCGACGGGTACGCCGTCATCGCTTCTGACGGTCGAGGAGTCTACCCCGTCGTCACAGTCTCCCATGCATCCGCTGGTGAACACCAACCCCTACAACCAGGCCAAATAGCCCGTGTCACGACCGGGGCTCCCCTCCCACCTGGCGCTACCGCCGTCGTCATGGTCGAAGATACAATCCTCAAGTCCACGAAAGAGGACGGCAAAGAAGAGAATGAAGTAGAAATCCTCGTCGATGCAAAAGACGGCAACAACGTCCGTGAGATCGGAAGTGATGTCAAAGCCGGAAGTGTGATCATGCGTAAAGGCGAGGAAATCACCTCAGTTGGTGGTGAAGTCGGTGTGCTTGCCTCTGTAGGCAGGGCAAAAGTCAAGGTATACAAAAAGCCGATCATCGGCCTACTCTCGACCGGAAACGAAGTGGTTCCCCACGACAGAGAAGGCGGACTCAAATCAGGAGAAATCCGGGATAGCAACCGTCCGACTCTCTACACAACCATCGCAGCATGGGGCTACCCCGTCGTCGACTTCGGCATCGCAAAAGACACAGCCCAAGATCTCGAATCAACCCTCCGCACCGCCCTCGAAAAGACCGACGTCGTCATCACCACCGGCGGCGTCTCCATGGGCGAACTCGACCTCCTAAAACCCACGATCGAACATTCCCTAAAGGGGACCATTCAATTCGGCCGTGTCGCGATGAAACCCGGAAAACCGACTACGTTCGCCACTATACCCTGGCACGACGGGTCTACCAAACTGATTTTTGCGCTTCCTGGGAATCCGGCGAGTGCGATGGTGACGTTTAACCTCTTTATTCTTCCCTCGCTACGGAAGTCGGCTGGGTATGAGCCTGCTGCGCTACCAAAAATTAAGGTCATACTCGCTGAATCCGTTAGACTTGATCCCCGGCCCGAGTACCATCGTGCGATCTTGCATGTTGATAATGAAGGGAGGTTGAAGGCACACTCTACGGGAGGGCAGAGGAGTAGTAGGATTGGGAGTATGCAGAAGGCGAATGCGTTGTTGTGTTTGCCTAGCATTATGGAATTGAATGGAAAGACTGAGTTGGCTGCTGGTGAGACTGTTGATGCGTTGGTGTTGAGCAGGCTTCATGGGTCCATGTAAGATCTACTACCGATGAGTTCGTTTTGTAGTATTTAGATTCCATGAGCATGCTATATCGTTCATACTCAAGATGACTTGAATCTACTATCGCAATTCATATCCACCCTCATCTCCCCCCACCTCCGGTGCTGGCGTTCGTAGCAGTCCCTCTAACAAATATTCGAAGTCCAGTCCAATGTGTTTCAAGATCTCACACTGCTTCTTCGTCGCCGCGACACTCGCCTTATACTCCTGCGTGTCCGGTCCAAAGGAATACAACTGCCGTGCAAACAAATCGGAGTATGCTGTACGATCGTTAGCTTCTGCATCACAGAAATGAAGACACCTTACCTTCGACCTGTACCTTCGCCCACTTGATAAATCCTGACACCATCCGATTCTCCGTGAACGCGGCGCTGTAGATATCACACGTATTCCTTATGAGAGTGAAATGAATAAGCGCAAGCTCCGCGATATATAGCGGCACATTCCCTTCGAAATGAATTTGCCGGGTTCGTTGCTTGATCAGCTTTGTCCTCGCACCCAGAAATGCTTCTCTCGCACGATCTTCATAACCGAGACGAAGGAGCCGCTGCGCCATCTTTCTCACTTCTTCTTTCTTCGAGGATGTAGCAGTATCCGAAAGATCCTGCGTGATGATGCCAGCTAACCGCGAACTCCGCTCGTCAAGCTTCATGGTGAGCAGTTCAGACGCGATAATGTCGTCATCCAAAGTATTGACCAACTCTCGTCCTTTCTCGACATCGTGCACTGCTTCCTCGAAAGCCCTATGTGCAATCTTCACATCGAGCTCATCCATCTTTGACTGCAGCCACCTAAAGTTACGTTTGCTATTTTCTGCTTCGATGTATGCCGAGCTTCGTGCATGTGTCATTTCTGATATACCCCGTAGAAGAGATCCACGAGACTGCAAAGCTGGATCCGAAGCTGTCATGTACGACAATGAATCCGACACTCTCGGTTCATATGCCATTTGCCTTTCCTTGTCCCTCCTCAACTCATCCTGAACTCTCTTGAAATTTGACAGCATGGATTTCTTCTCCTCGGTTCTGTCGGTGCGATACACAAACCGTTCATTCCCAATGCGAACGGCAATGGCGAAGCCAACGTCTTCCCTCCTGTTCTCCTCAACGGCAAGGTCAGTAAGCTCAAGCTCGGCCAATGGCCAGCATCGCTGTATGACAAGCCGGGGCTGCTTATGGCCACGATTGGATCCACCTGGTTGCTGCTGCGAATTCTGATGCATATGCTTGCGAGTCGCAACAAGCAAATGATCATTCAAAAGAATCAGATGAGCGGCCATTCTTGGCTTCCAGGTAGCAACGTTCAACTCAACCCACGCAGGGGACTCGCGAACGACATGACGTCCGGGGATCGCGGGCAAGAACTTCTGTGATCCTTCGACGTGCTCCCAAAGACTCTGCATTTGACTGGTATGAAGGGCAGCAAGATTCGCGATACTATTACGGTGGGTAGCATGGCGACGCTTGCTTGGCATGTCCTCGGTCTCAGAACCCTTGTCTGCCAGCGAAAGTGAATCCGTGATGTCCCGCAGATCATTCAACAACCCACGTAGAACATGCATATCGGAATCCAAATTCGCGACCTCTTTGGAGATTTTGACAAAATCGGCATAATTCTTGAACACGTTGTCCTGAAGATCGGATGACGTGTTGTTCTTGGTCGCAGTCAAGGAGGCATAGAATTCTTGGATCTCGGCTTCTGTAGCCGCGGATAGCAGTGATCTGACGTACGATTCGGAGTCGAAATCTGGCTGAGTGAAGACGCGAAGGTCGAGAACTGGCTTCTCTGTACGTTCTTCCCTAGTTTCGGTTACTGGAGGAAGGCCGAGATTGGATGGTCTAAATGCAGTTGGGTGCGCTCTGCCGCCTTGTGGAGTCTGGAGGACAGGCGCACCAATACCAATTCGCGTAGATGCTCGTTTCTTGAGTAAACCACCGACCTGTATGCTGGGTCAATGCATGGCCTCGTTTACCTACATAGTCCTTTACACACCTTTGACTTTGCTTTCTGATTCACACCCGGTATGCCCCCGCCTACCTCTGGCAGCACGGAATTCCTCCTCGCATCGGTCTTGCTCGCTTTCAAGTACTTCTTCCTCAACGTCCCCGTCGAAGCAAGCATTGTTGTTGTCCCTTCCCTTCGTCGCTGTACTGTTATGGCGGTGAGTTTACGTGCTGCCACCACGGCGTCAGAATGGATGCGCGTGCCTGGTCAAATTGAGACCAGAAGTAGAAGTACTACGCCGTAAGAAAGTTCAAAATCTCAAATCAACAGAAATCATCATGTCTGCTCTTCGCAACACTGCCATTGCTGCTGGAACCGTGGCTGCCCTTGCTTTGGGTGCGTATGCTGTCGCTGTCGTCTTGGAATCGTTCACTGATCCGTTTCCCAGGTTACGCCGTCTACTTTGACTACCGTCGGAGAAACGATGCCGCCTTCCGCAAGACTTTGAGTATGTTTATCCAACCAATCGACGCTGAAGCAGTAAGCTCATAGTATCTACACAGGATCATCCCACAAGAAGGTCGCTAAGGCCAAGAAGGCCGAGGAGGAGCAGGCTATCAAGAAGTCCAGCGAGGCTCTCAGCGAGGCCTTGGCTCAGGTCTACGCCGAGGGTCTCCCCACCGGTGTCGAGGAGCGCGAGTCATTCTTCATGGAGCAGGTTACCAAGGGTGAGATTCTCTTCACCCAGGGCGAGGAACACTTCCTTAACGCCGCCATTTGCTTCTACAAGGCCTGGAAGGTCTACCCTCAACCCGTCGAGCTCTTGAACATCTACCAGCAGACGATGCCCGAGGGTGTCTTTAACATTGTCGTCGCTATGGCTGCTATTGAGTCTCGTACTCACGCTGATACTGCTACCGCTGCTGAGGATGCCGGTATTGATGAGGATGTTCCCAACCCAACAGCTACCGAGGCTTCCGAGGCATCCCCGGCTGATGTGGAGGCTGTTAAGGCCGAGGAGGAGTCTGAGGAGGAGGAGGTTGTTGTTGAGACCATCCCTGTTGCCGCGGAGGCGACTGAGGAGGAGCCCTTGGAGTAAAACAGTACGATAGTGTTGTGTTGACGATAATGAAAGAAACGATGGGGGACCAGGCTGGCCTGGGCGGAAGGATGTAACAGGTGACGTGTGGCGTATCTCCACTTTCTTGTTTTCGCAGAGGATTTGGGATAATGAAAATAAATTAAATGCGAAGCACCTAACGCCTGACCTATATTATCATGATACTGTCTTTTCAACATCGCAGACCATTACATTCGTCACTTAAGCAGCCAAAGCCTTCGGCTTGCCCTCCTCGGGTTGTAGGTGACGAAGGTATACCTTATCCATCCCCGACACAGGCTCCTTGCCATCTTCGATACCACTCCCAGTACCAATTGCGAGGTATTTGCCGTCGTGACTGAATGCCAGTGCACTGACACCCGTGGGATACCTCGGATACTGCTTGAGTCTCTTCTTCGCCCCTCCATCCCAAAGCGCAACCGTACCGTCTCCTCCACCGGACGCGAACGTACCATGTACAGGGTGAAACGCCAAAGCGTTGACCGGATAGATCGTATCCACGCCATTGACTGCCTGTCTATGACACTTGAACGCGAAACTCCTCGTTTGACTCTCGGGACTGGGATCAAAGTACTCCACCGCGACACGTCCTTCGATACTCGAGCTTGCATATCCCTCCCCATTAGGCATACATTTGACTGTTCTGGTCATGAACTTCAAGCTACTCTCTCGCTTCTGTAGAGTCTGTTGCATATTCCTCACGTCGAAGACGTAGATCTGTCGTTTTGCCATTGCGACAACCAATTTGTTCCCAACCGTGTCTATGGAGAAGATCTTATGTGGTTGAACGTGCAAGCCCGCTTCGATGTGCTTAGACCTGTGATCCCAAAGACGGAGGGATTTGTCCCATGATCCTGAGATGAGGAGTGATGTCTCAGTGTTGTATGCGATTGAGGAAACACCATCATCGTGCAAACCAAGCGTGTTGTTGTTCGAGGTATTCAGGTCAGCGACTTTGACGCGTCCATCGAGGCCTGCTGTGAAGACGTGCATACCATCACCCCAACAAGCATCCAGAACGGGCGCTTGGTGCTCCAAGGTCGCGAGCAGAGTACCCTTCCGTGGCGTCGACGCGCCCGGATGTTCTGTCGTAACATCAAAGAGACGAACTGTTTTGTCCCATGATGACACAATGAGATTTGAGGACACCGTCGGGGAGAAGTCGAGCGAGGTAACACCGTCCGTCGGAGCTGGAATGAGCTCGAATTGGCACTCGGCTGTGAGTCAATGTAAGCAAGCGAACCGGATCAATGCAACCTTCACTTACGTTTAGACATCTTTACTTAGCAACGGAACAATTGCGATCGAGTGTCTTCTTAATTAAGCTTTCGCGCTTGCATTTGACGTTCTGAATTTGTCGGCGTCCACGTACGTCGACCAAAACAAACCCGGGAATAACAGCAACCAACTGCCGGCAGACGACACAGCAACGAGGCAAACGTCCAAATAGCATTACGTACACCATCCACATTCGTTACATTCATTCGTTTACAACATGCCGTCTTCTGCGGCCGTGAAGGCTGCCGCTGCTCTCCTCGGCAAGGGAAACCACCATTGCCCCATTACAATCAGGGCACCTCCTCATGTTGACTACCTAGTGGGGTTTCCAGGCGTTCCAGCGACAAGGTAACGATGTCCTCAGACTTAAAAGGTTTTGGCTAACCTTGTACAGACCGCGTCTCATCGGCACAGTTGAACTCCGTGGCTCCAGCCTCCTGGTCTCCTATGTCTCCATCTCCTTACATTGCACCACGGCCATATACCCGCATTCATCTACATCCGCAGCATTACCCGCATTACATTCGACCAAGCGAGAAGTATCGAAAGTGATTGGGAAGGAGCTCCTGCTGTACACTGCGCCGGAAGGGCGGCCGCACGAGACGGTACTGTCGATGGATATCCCTTTTGAGTTGGCGTTACCGAACACGTATGAAGATTTGCCGACACCGAGTATTGCTCTTGGAAGGGGACAGAGTGTCAGTACGTCGTATACGCTCGTGGCGACACTACATCAGGCGACCGTTGCGGCAACAAGAGTATCCGTTCCAGTGAGGATCGACAGATATGATAACTTGTCAACTTGGGGTATGTTTGCTGTACCACAAGCCGAGACAACACATGGAGCCGATCACATCGTCAGCATGGGCGTTTCTATACCACGGACATCTGCTGGACCGGGTGATATCATGGGTGTCTTTATCGAACTGAGACCGAATCCGGATTGGCCAGTGAAAACGCAGAAGGTGAGGGTGGATAGTCTTACAGTGAGCATCGAGCAGCTTCTGACATACAAATTTTCGGTGACGGGGCAAAGCGACGTCGTACGTAAGAAGAAGATCGTTCGTGAGGAGATCGAGCTTTACCAACAGAAGCTTCCTAATGAGGGTTTATCACGGACAATCAACCTCCCAATTCCGACCGGAGAAGAATCACCGTCTCGCTCGTCCTCTCTCAAATCCGCTCTCTCGTTTGAGAAGGACGACAAAGAGAACGACGCAGTCGCAATCGGCTTCACCACTGAATGCGAGCTGTACAAGATCGAGTACAACTTGTCAGTGAAAGCAAAACTTACGCGTGCAAAGGACGTGGCACTCAAGATCCCCATCCACATCTCACCATGGAACAGGGCATACTGCAAGAGGCAGATGGAGGGTATCGAAATGGCAGTACGGGAAGAACGGAAAAGATACGCAAGAAGTCACCGGGGCGGAGGGGGTAGTGCGTTCGGCATGCCCAAGAGCGCAAGTATGGGTCAGGTCAAGATCGTGAGGCCAGAAGATGATCCGCAGAGCATGCTCTTGGGCGGAAAAGGATCACCTGGGAAAAGGAGAGTACTGGTGGAGTAAGGCGAGGGAATGTTTTGCATGCATACATGTACGGTATACCTATTGGGCATTGGAGTTATGACAGGCGTTGCTTTTTGATAAATTGGAGTTCTATAGGGATAGAAATCACACCAAGTTCGTTTTCCCCGCGATTTTGATACTGTCCTATACTGAGTACAGCTGGTTGCAAAATGCCTGTCGCAGGGCCTACTGCTGTGTGCAAAGTTCTTGACGCGGCGCATTTTACCGCCTATCTGCGCGGGGATAGTTTCATGAACCCCCCCATCTTCGTAGACAAGGCTTGGAAGGGCGGTTTCAGGGTAGAGGTCGATAGATCAGACTCTTAGGAATCGATAGATGTCCTCGAAACGCGTGTAGTACCGGTTCTCATAGAGTTGTGACATTATGAAGGATTTCGGCCCAGGTGCATGATGTTGCATGAATATGCATGAAAACATCGAAAACACTCTCTGGACCCACAAACCTCAAAAAACTGGTAGAATCAAAGAAACCACACGCAGAACATGTTCATCCAAGCTCCCTCTATCTCATGGGACCCAGAGCTGCATCCGTAGTGCCTTCCAGGGTCCGTTTCTTTCTTTTCACTGAAAACACCTTTTTAGCATGAAGCAGCTGAGGGAGGCC